CTTTAATAGGTTTAAAAAAGCTTTTAAATCACTTTTTTAAAATTTAAATAAAAAACGATAAGCCGAGCGCGATATATTATAACTCCGATAAATTAAATTAATAAAAAATTATTTAGTTGAGTTTAAACGCTTTAATATTTAACTTAATTTTATTAATAATATTAAGATTTTTATATTTTATTAAGGATTAAAAGATAAGGTTAAGGACGAACTTATTAAAATTAACAAACTAAACGATTTCTTTTAATATATTAAACTTATAATTAAAATCGATAACCGTTTTTATAAAAAAAAAAAAAAAAATAATAATAAGAACTTAACTTAAGACGTAAGTATTAATAATAACTTTAACGTAACTTTAATTAAAAATACCGTTATAACAAGAATAATAACTTTTAATAAATTACTATTTATAAATAATATAATAAACCTATAAACCTTAATATAATAAAATAAAACTAATCCTATTAAAAAAAAAAATTTAAATATTATAATTATAATAAGTTAAGATACATAACTAGAGATTATAAATAGCTTAAACGAATTTAATAACGACCTATTTTTGAAAAATAGATTAATATTACTTTTAAAAAAGTACTTTATAAATTACTTTTTTAAACTATATATTATAACGATAACTGCTTTACTTACCGAAATAATAAAAAATAATTAAGATAGTATTTTAAGAAACTTTTTAATAGAACTTTTATTATAGCGAATAAATAAGAACGTTTTAAAACTATTGAGAATTATAATAAAAAATATATCTAAATATTATCGATAATATATAAAATAATTAGGGTATAACCTATTAGCTTTCTTAAATAAACGTAAACTTTTATAATAATAAAAAATAAATTAAAAAATAAAATAATAATTAAAATTAAAAACGACTTATTTTAATTAAAAAACGAGATCTTAATTTATAAAATACGAATTTTAAATAAATTTATTTATATAATACGATAAGTATTTAATAAAATAATTTAATATTATAAATATCGCTTTTTAATAATAAAAGATTATAACGAAAACTATATTTATATTTTAATTAATTATTATAAAGCCGGCCGATTATTAAAGAAAAAGCGATTAAATATAAAAATAATACTCGCTTTATTTTAATAACGATTTTAAAAACGATTAAAAGCTAAAATAAAAGAAAACTTTTTTTAATTAAAATACGAAATCGATAAAAAAATAGATATTATATATTTAATATATGGACTTTAGATATTAAAAAAACGTTATTATTAACGTATTAAAGAACTAAATAAGGCTTATTATACGGTAAACGTTTATATTCCCCGATATTTAATTATAAAAATAATTTTTATTATTTTATAATAGCGATTATATAAATAGTTCGAAGTAATAATAAAAGACGATATACTTTGTTTAAAATTAAATTTTCTTATATTTAAAAAAAATATTAAGTTAAATAATTTAAGTAAAGAAATTATTGACGATATACTTATAGAATTTAATACCGAGGGATTAAATTATAACCCCTTTTTAGATAATATTAATATATCGGATTACGAATAATTAATAAGCTAATAATTACTTTATAACTTAAACGAACTTTACGACGTCGCTCGATAACGTATTTAATTAAAAATTAATTATAAGATATTATTTAATATTAACGATTTTATTATTAAAAAAAGAAGCCGATTTAAATAAATAATTAAAATAATAAAAATTTATAAGCTTTTAAAGAGAACTAAATTAGTTTATTAAGGATTTAAAAAACTATTTATATAATTAATATATTTTAAATATATAATTTAATATTAAAGTATATAAAAATTATAAATTGTTTTTTAAAAGGAGAGAACCTATTAATAAAAAAATAAACGATATTTACGATATTATTAATGTATTATATTTACTTATTAAAAGATAAAAGTATCCCGATTTAATAATTAATTACGAACGGTTTATAAAGGAAGGACGGGCATTAGCCCTCGAGATATTAAAAAACTAAGTATACTAATTATAAAAAAACAATAAAAAACGGTTAAAATAAATAAGTTTTTATATTTTATAATACTCCCCGATAAGGAATATTTATAATTTAAATTCTAAATAAACGAATACGATATAAATACTATTATTAATAGTAGCGTTTAAAAAAATTTTATTTTATTAAAAACGGTAAATAAATATAAATTATTATAAATATAAAAAACGAACCTATATATTTTATAAATAATAAAAAGAGAATAAATTAATTATAACGACAGATATATTAATTAAGAGATTATATACCTTACGATATATATTAATAATTAATTAAAATAATTAAAATACGATATTATAAAGATCGGAGATACTAATATTATTTTAAAAATCTTATAATTACGAAAATATAATTTATAAATAAATTAAAAAACCGGTTAATTTTATTAGATAAATTTAATTACTAAACGATTTAAAGAAAAAAGTTTAAATAAGTTTTATATAATATTTAATAAACGAAAATAAATTAAATATATCGTTTTTATTAAAATAATAAAACTTATTAAGATATTCGTACCCGGTATAGATAATTAAAGATCGGATTTATTCTAAACTATACTTAAGGAATACCGGATTTATATAAAACTATTCGTTTTAAAAAAAAAAATAAAACTATTAGAATATAATAATTAAAATATAAAAATCGAATTAAAAAAAAAATAAAATTTAAATTTTATTTATTATATTTTATAAATTAACTTGAACGCGACGAACTTAATAAGTATATTAATAATAGACTTAAAAAAGGTTATATTAAACTATTATCTTTTTTAATAAGAGCACTAATCTTCTTTATATTTAAAAAAAATAAAAAAAAGCTTAGACTTATAATCGATTATAAAAAACTTAATAAAATTATTAAAAAAAGTTATTACTTATTACCTTTTATTATAAAACTTAAGGAAATATTATATAAAACTTAATAGTTTACTATAATAGACTTTAAAAAAATATTTAATTAAATTAAAATTAAAAAAAAAGACGAATAGAAAACGGTATTCTAAACTTATAAAAGATTTTATAAATACTTAATTATACTTTTTAAATTTATTAACGCACCTACTATATTTTAAATAATAATTAATTACGTATTTAAGGAATACGCCGATATTTTTATAATCGTTTATTTTAATAATATTTTTATCTTCTCCCCTAATTTTAAAACGTATAAAAAATACGTTTATATAATATTTTAAAAATTTTAAAACGCGAAGCTTTTTATTAAACTTAATAAATACGAATTTTATATATAAAAAATAAATTTCTTTAATTATATAATTACATTAAAATAAATCTATATATAAATATTTAAAATAATAATAATTAAGGATTAGCCTATACTTATTAATATTAAAAACGTATAATTATTTTTAAAATTCGTTAACTTTTATTAACGATTTTTTAAAAACTATATTAATATTATTAGACTTTTTAATAACTTAATAAAAAAAAACATAACTTTTATTTAAGATAAAAAATATAAAAATATTTTTAATAAAGTTAAAAATTTAGTTATTTTAGAATTAATAATTATAATTCCGGACCTAAAAAAACCGTTCAAAATCGAGACCGACGCTTCGGATTTTATTATAAAAACTATTTTAAAATAATAAAACTAATAAAAAGTATTTTATTTTTATATATTTTATTTTAAAACGTTTTATGAAATAAAACTAAATTAATAAATTTATAATAAAAAATTAATAATTATAATTAAAACTTTTAAAAAATAAAAACTATAGTTTTTAAAAACTAAATACGAAGTTATTATTTATATAAATTATAAAAATTTTATAAACTTTATAATAAATAAAAATTTAAATAAATAATAAATTAAATAAAGCGAATTTTTATTAAAATTTAATTTTCGAATTATTTATTAAAAAGGTTTAAAAAATAGTAAAATAAACGCTCTTAATAAACGACTTAATTATAAAATTATAGTCCTTAAAGAAACATAAATAATCTTTAAATACGATAATAAAAATAATTTTATATTTATTATAAAACTCTTTATAATAATTAAAAAAGTTAATATTAACCTGTTTAGAAAAATAACTTTTAAACTTATTATAAAAGTTTATAATACTCGAGCATACGGTTATTAAAGTATTATAAAAATATAAAAACGAATTCGCTAATACTATAATAAATCCGTTATAAAAATAAAAATCGTTAAAATTATTAAAAACTATAATATTTATAAAAAAAATAAAAATAGCCTTTATAAACTTTATAAAGAGTTATAACTACTATTAATATTATTAAAAATATAGCATTTAATCTCTTAAGATTTTATTATTAAACTATTAAAGTCTAAAAAACTACTTATAAATATATAATACGATAGTATTTTAGTTATCGTTAATTAATTTATTAAATTCGCTTATTTTATATTATATAAAAAAATAAGTAATATTAAGGAATTAATATATACCTTTTTTAAAATAATTATTATTAACTATAGTTTACCTAAGGAAATAGTTTTTAATAAAGATAAGCTATTTATCGTTAAGTTTTAAAGATTTTTAATTTCGTAATTTAATATAAATTATAAACTATCGACCTTTTTTTATTTATAAATCGATAGATAAACGGAAAAAATTAATTAAATTCTTAAAATATACCTCCGCTATTATATAAATTATAATTAAAATAATTAAGTATTATTATTATTAATAGCCTAATTTATATATAATAGCGTAGTTAGTAAAAATATAAAAGAATCCCTTTTTTATTTTAATTACGAATTTTAATTAATTATATATAAAAAAGTACGTAAAGGATTATAAGCTATAAAAGCCGTAGTAAACGTAAATAAATTTAAAAAGATTTAAAAAAAAGCCTCTTTAGACCTTAAGTTTATATAATAACGTATAAAAAAATACGCCGATAAATTAAAAATTAATAAACTAATTTTAAAAAAAAGAAATAGCGTATACCTCTTTCGCTATAATATTAAAACAAAACGATTAAATAATAAGTTAAATTATAAAAAATTTAAACTTTTTAAAATTATTAAAAAAGTCTTATTAATTAATTTTAAATTAAAACTCTTAAATACGATACGATATTACTTAGTTTTTTATATTTTATTCTTTATATTAATACCTAAAGGCTTATATATTAAAAATCGTATTATTATTAAACTTAACGAACTAAAATATAAAGTCGAACAAATTATCGACTACCGAATTTAAAAAGAATAATAAAAATATTTTATTAAATAAAAAGACTATAAATATAAAAATAATATATAAGAACCCGTTATAAACTTTTAAACCTCTTAGTAACTCTTTAAAAACTATTAAAAAACGGAATTCGCGGTCTTAAGGACGCGAACTCGTTATTAAGCCCGAAAAAGGACTAATTTATATTATTAAAAACCTATATAAACTATAATTCTTTAATTATTCTACGCTTATATATATTTAATATAGACTCTAAAATATTAAATTTATTTATTTCCTATATCCTTTAAAAAAAAGTCTTAACTTAACGATCTTATATTAACTTCTAAATTTTTTAAATACGAAATAAACGATTAGTAGTAATTATTATTAATAATTAAAAATAAATTAACTCCTCGTAAAATTTTAAAAATTCTTTATTTATTTTCTCTTCCTTTTTATCCTATTCTTTTTATTAAATATTAAATTTTTAAATTATAATTATTAATAATTACGAATATAATAAAAAATAAAAAATTAGCTTATGAGTCGATATTATTAATACCTTATTATAAAACTTTTTTACTTTTATATAAATCCGATAATAAAAAGACCTTTTATTAAACCGATACGTAATTTTAATACGAAAATAATAAATATAAAATATATCGGTATTAACCGAACGAGTTTTAATAAATTTTAAAAATATTAAACACTTATAATCTTTTTTTTTTATTTTTTTAAATTTTATTTTAACGTTTAAATTTTTTATGCGACTTAATATAGTATTAATATTATAAAAAATAATAAATTAATAATTTAATAAGCCTTAATTTAAGTTATAGATATTTACTTATAAGTCTATAGGATTAGACTTTTAAAAAGGAGACTTAATATTATAATTTAATATATATAATAAATTAAAAACCTACCCCGCTACTTTACGATAGCTATTTTGTTATATATATAATTAAATAATAAAAATATATATATTATTTTAACAGATCGAAAAAATTATAAAGAAGTTATGTAATAATAAAAAAGACCGACAGACGATAAACGGTTTTTAAATATAAACTAATAAAATAAAAATCGGTTTATTTTTAAAAGACCGACTTTACGATATTAGTCTTAAATATAAAAAAACTATTTAATAATATATAAGACTTATATATAATATAAACTTAAGCTAAGCTTACGTTTATAATTTTTATAGTTTTTTTAATAATTAACTTTATATTAAATCTTACGATTATTTTTAATTATTTTTATTAAAAACTTATTTAATAAAATTATGATTAATTATCGAAGCCTTATTTACCTTACGACTTATAGATAATAGTTTTATTAAAAACTATTTTTATAACGATTATTATTTACGAGTATCGCAGCCCCGACTTTTGTTAACATAAACCTCATTACGATTAGCTGGCCGTAACAATGCTTGCGGTTTACCAAAATAGCTATAAGGCTGAAGGAAGAGGATTTTGAATACGAATCTAGTGACATAACCCCCGATGAGTACCACAAGCGCACCTGGAATGACGTAGAGGACCTAGAACAGCGCGTTCCGCAACAGCGCGCCTGTTTGACAACTCTTTACAACTTTATTTGGGATGGACAAAGCCCATAGACGATAGATTAATCCGTGAATAGGGTCACTTTGTTGACTTTAACATTCTACGAGTTCTCAAGCTGCCGGATACAATGCGGCCGAAGGGTCTCAAACTGCTTGCCAGCCAATGTATAATAGTCGACGTGAACGAAGCGTAAAAGACAGAGAGTTAGATGGTGAGCAGCGGAAACCTGAGTGAGAGGATGAGAGATACCTAGAAGCCAGTCGCGGGTAGCCAACAGGGGAACGTATTTGACAAATGATCGAATCTGCCCTCCTACATCCATGCACCATAATGGTTCAAAGTACATTATTCCCTCCAAATACCTAAGGTAGGTGGTAAAGTAGTATATCATACCTGTAGAAAACGAGAAGCGCGTATAAAAGCAACTAAGTAGCTCAAAATAACCCGTCACCTAATGAAGTGTAACTTCATAAGGAAGGCAATGAACTCGTTGTGCGAGGATTTGACCTTTTTCTCCGGTCTTCTGGACGAAATTTTGTCCCTCTATGGCTAAATTCCGATGTTGCCGAGATGTTCGCTAGACTTCCACAGAGACCTGAGTCGTATGCATGAAGTACGCGTAGGCTTCGTAACCCCCAGCTCTTATGGAGAGCCCAGGCCACCCCAACGACCCAAAAGATAACTGCATATAAACTTACATGGCCCACCATGTATTTGTGACAGGGCGATGATACCCCGGATCATTGGTCGGAGCAGGACTTTGGCTTCTCCTACTTTGAACACCCCAAGGTGTTGTCAGGTGTCGACTTCGTCATTGGCTGAAAATGTCATCACGCGACTCGTGACTTAGACTCGGATTCCGGCACCAAATGAGATCCTCCGCGACTCATCGCAGCCTCTCAAGTTATATTACCGTCCTGAGCATTGCTGCAGTTCATGCCGTGGCTCCGTGACTGAAAATTTGGAACAGATTCATCGAAGACCTCCACCAAGGGAGATGAGATCATTCACGGCCCCAATCGGCATCCAGTTGCCGGTCTTTTACGAGCATCAAAAGACCTGCCTATCATAGCCCTTTACGTCGACGAGCATGGCGCGAGCCATCCGTGGGAGCCGTACGCCGACCCACGTTGGAGTTGTGGCCGGGTCACTCCGCTATCCTCGTGCCACGTAGACCGTTGGGGAATGGGTGCCAAGATGAGAGAGGCTTTGTTAATTTCCTACATAATCGAATGCCCGAAAGTGTCTAGTCTCCAGTCCTGAGGGATCTCTACGTTCAGTAGACTCTCTAATGAGTGCTGTCTGGCCGTTGGTCAAATATTTACGAGCAAATGTCGTGGCATCTCGCGAGTAAGTGACGGCCAATTTTAATCACCTGTTCTTGTTGATATTGTCAAGTGCGCAAATCGTAACTCCATTTGGTGTTGCGCATGGGGCAGTCGATACCGGGCATGAGTAGTGACCTAAATTGTGATGAACTTGTTAATATAATCTCGTTGATTAAATGAGAGTAGGATAAAACTCTCCTGTCTCATTGATTGTTAAAATGGATTCAAAATTTAGTTTACTGAGCAATAAGATGTATTTCTTGGATCACAAATCCAGTATTTATTATCTTTCCTACAGCCCACACTACAACGACCTGGTCAGGATTTCGATCTCCAGGCTTCGTTGAATCACAGAATGAAGTACTTTACCGCCGTCGTTGTGGCTCTTGCCACCCCCTCTAACGCTGCCTTCTGCAACTACGGATGGGGCAAGCCGGCAGGAACAACGTGCCCTGGTCTCTATGTAAGTTCGAGATCGCCAAGTCCTCGATCCTCAGAAGACCTGCTAATGACTTGCAGCCAAACACATACTGCGTAAGGTTTCTGAAGTCTTGACCCTGTCTTCCATTGACCATGTCCACACAGTGCATAGAGGGCGAGAACATACAGAAGTCGGAAACTTTTCCTATTTACCGAACATGTTCGTATCCTGGTAACGATAATTCACAAGCGGTCCTTCAACCGTGCCTTTCAGATAAAAAAGATCAAGGAGTAAGTTATTATGTCTTTAACCTTGCGATGAACTCGAAGCTGATGAGTGTGTTCTAGTACGTTGAATGTGTAAGTCTTCGGGTCGCCCGCCGCCGCTTTGAAGCTGGTTGCATTCTTACGCATTTAGTGTCCTTAAACCACTTTTTCCAAAAAAACAAAATGACGATGGAAGAGGTAGCTACGTAAAGCTTCTCGATATTCAACTGTCCCCGCCTATGTCGAATAGTGTCTCGGAGGATTAGCGATATTGGCTAGGGCAGCAAGCAAGACTCTCAGGTTCACGAGAGTTCTTACTTGCCTCTCTGCTCAGAGCAGAAGGTTGAAATATTTTTGATATATTTTTGTTTCGAGTCTGAGCAGTGAGGGTTGGGATAAATGCTGTTACACGACAGGAGATGTTAACGTAATGTACCTATGTACGTTGATAAATATGCTTTAATAGAATTTAATGCTTGAATGATACAGTCAAGGAACAAGTTCAGCTCAGAGAGCGTGGGAAACTGTTATTTGGTGTGAATCGTTGGGGGCGTATGCAACTGCTCGGCTATAATGGCTTTTGACCGTATACGACATGGCTACGCTATACATTAGCATAAGCTTATGGAACGCGGTTCGTTCTACACTCACATTGGCCAGTATGCATGAATTGCAGTATTATTCAAATCGTTTCGCACTTCCGCAAGGAAAGCATCCACACTCTCTCTTGACCATCCTAGAACGCGGGTGAATAGCCCAACACTCAGGCCCTCCAGCCCCATCATCACATTCTCGTGATTCCATGTACCTGATCGTATCGTTAGCGCCAAGACGTCTGTTCAAGTCCCAGATCTAAACGGAAACCTGATGCAAAGCAATGGCATGTTTTCCGCATGTGTAGAAAGAGTAAAATACAATTCACTTACCAAGTTCCTTGTGCCTAGGATGTTTTGCCCATCTGTTTGTCGGCCACTTGAAGATGATCTCCTTGACATTTACAAACCCTGCTTCTCGTAGTTGTCGCTTGTAATGCGTTGCCGCTCCAAACGGTGTTCCTAGCTCCCCTGTCCCTTGGAATAGGAACTGATTCCATTGGTACAGCGACGACTCCTTCGTCAACGTGCCGTCGTCAGACATGGCTTGCGCTCCATCGGCGACTTCGAACCAGCCTCCCGGGTTCAGATTCGCAAATGACTGCCGAAACAATTTGGAAAAGTCCCTGATGCCGCCCGTGTTCATCCGGCTGTAAATAAAATCAAACTTTTGCGAAAACGACCAGGGTTCGTACTCAATGTCGTCAATCTGGAAATAGACATTGGGCGGCACGTACGACGGTTGCACAGGGCTCAAGTCTACGCCAATGATGGTCGATCCCGGGTTCTCATCCGCAAAGTCAATAGACCAGATTCCCGTACCCGTACCGACGTCCAGAACCCGCTGCGGCGGCCTGTCCTTGCTCAGCGGGGATAAGTGCAGCTTGTCGCCTAGGGTGAGGAGGAACAGGTTATGCTGAAGGTCTAGGCGATCGAGTTCGAGGTCGTCGTTGGGGAAGAGATAGGCGCCGTCCTTGTAGGCGTGATAAGTGCGGCCATTCTCCTCTCGGTAGCGGAGTATGCTGCTGCGCAGGGACATTGTGGAGGGTTGCACCTCGGCCCCTAGGGCCGAGTCGAGGTCCGAATCCTCGCCGTCGGACTCGAGTTCGCTTTCCTCATCGACGGATGTGGTGACGGAGACGTCGTCGGGTATGTGATCTGCCTCGATGGAAGCTGAGGGGTGAGGTGCCGCTGGGGCCGACATGTCTGGTGGGCAGCACAAGAGACAATCAACAGATGGAAAAATCCGAGATTGGCGGTGTCTGTTTCTATTCAGATGAATGCAACCAAAGAGTAAGAGCTGAAGTTACAAGGAGATCTTTGAGCCTTCAGCGTCTATCATGGCGACACTCTCTTTTTTTCTTACGCCTTGAGATTAAATGGCCTTCGCAACAGAGGGTGGGAAACCCGATGGAAAGGCGGAAATCGTGGAGACTTCGGAGGGATGTTCGTTCCTGTGGCCCAACGGCGAATCAATACGCTTTTGATATCTGACGGAAGAACTTGCACCAACAACGAGAGAGAGGGTGCGTGTGCGGGATTTTAATTGGCCATTAAGCATCCCTGGCAGGCAAACAGCAATCCTGCATTAGAAAAGAGGGGTCTCGCCCAAGCCGGACGACTCAAGGTTCCTGATTCTTTTGCGTTGGTTCTAGGTGTACGAATCGATTCCTGATTTCCTGCGCGTTTGACCGGTGTCGAGCGAGACCTGAACTGAGAAAGAGCATCCATTTGCGTTGGACGCCATAGAGGGACTGTTGAAGCATTGTCGAATGATGCCGAGCGCTATAGTTACCCACTTCGGGTAAGGTCATTCTGCGGGAGGACGGCGTAAAAGGCGATTTGGGACAATATGATATTACCCCTCTTTTCGTGCATCAGGGATTTATGAGGAAATTCGCTCACAGATCCGACCATCTGGTAGGTTGGAGAAGTAGATGCTTCTGTCAGAGAAACATTGACCGGGTTTCCGGGCGCTCGCTTAAGTGGGCCATGATTCCGATCTACCATGCAGATTATTGATCTGATGGTGGCAGCCTGGTTCGTGGTACCATCAATTTCATAGGCCCATAGTGTCGTGGACTTAGGAGAAGAGAGCAAAGGAATATAAAGCTCTTGAAAATAGTCTCTCATCCGCCAAATAAGTACTAAATAAGTACCTAGTCAATGGTCACAGTTATGAGTGTCCACTGAGAATTGTCATATTAATGACATCAAATGTATCCAACGTTTCTTCTCGTATCTGACCACTTTGGTAGCTTTTCAACTCGATAAGAGTCAAGGGTTCCTCAATGAAACTCCTTGATATTTGTTGAATACGATGTTCATTCAAGAAGAACGCCAGTCCGTGGAAAAGAGATTCAAAATTCAAAGCATAACAGATGATGAAGGCTCAACTTTGAGTAAGGAGATCACTGTGACTGATTCTGTTGCAGGAAAGGCTTTTGATCAATATTCAAGAATGAGCTACAAGTCGCTAGCTGATGGTCTTCGCCACAAAAGTCAGCCCAACTCCTCAAACGGCCTATTAGTGCTGTAGGAAGAAAGGTATTGATGACGCCACAACGTTCATCAGTCACAGTCATGCTAACGGTTTTCGTCCCGTGACAAATCGATAGCTCGTAATGAGCCTGTAGTCCTTGCTGCGGAACTCTCGCTTGACACCCTCCATCAGCACTCTCGCCTGGTCATGAGAGTAGTTCAACACTCTAGTGAACAGGGCCGGAGTGTGAGAGTCGACAGACATTTGCATGTGAACCAGTTCGCAGCGACCGAGCTCCTTCAATGCTGGATCTTTCGCCCACGGACCGATGGGTATCTGATAGCAATGTTAGCCCATCTTTTGGTGGCAAACATCTCACCAGTCGAGAAACCTACCCTGTAGACGAGTTCCTGAACATCCTCAAACCCAGCGTCGATCATCCATTGTTTGTGGTGCCTTGCAACGTTGATCTGCTTCCCATACATCTTGCTCGCCTCGTCCAGCTTGTTGACCCATTCTTTCGTCCAGGCCGCTCTCTCATAGCTGTCGTCGTCACTGAAGATCCATGCATCATATTCTTGCATTTCAACCCATCCACCCGGCTTCAGACCGCCCATGACTCGGCTGTAGAACCTGGCCCAGTCGGAGGACGTCCCGCTCAGCGCACGGCCGTGAATGTAGTCGAAATGCTCCTCCTCGCGGTATGTCCACTCATCCTCGTAATCGTCGACATGAAACTTGCAATTCGTAGGGACCCATTCTGGCTGAATGGGTGAGAGGTCGACACCGTAGACGTCCGCTGTGGGAAACTCGTCTGCCATTTCAATGGCCCAGATTCCGGTCCCCGTGCCGAGGTCGAGGATCCTCATACCAGATGCCGCCGGATCCTCTGGGGTGGGGAGCGGGGCGGTGTAGAGCTGGCCACCGAGAAGGAGACGCCAGATGTGGTGTTGCAAGTCGAGGCGTTCTTGCTCTTGGTCGTCGTTGGGTAGGACGTATTGTCCTTCGCGGTAGGCGTGGTATCTCCGACCGTTCTCGTACTGGTAGTGGAAGATGGAGGATGCTATGGAGGCTGTGTAAGTGCTACCAGCATCGGAGCCGTAGGCCGAGTCATGGTCTTCGGCGGGGCGTGCAACCTCAGTCTGTATTTCAGGGGGAAGCAAAGTAAATGTCAGTGCACATAACCCTGCCTTACGATGGAGAGGGAGCAGGCGATCATGGTCTTACATCGTCGACCTGAAGCGGCGTCAAGGTCTGGTCCGCCGCCGGGTTAAGTAAGTACTGGATGCTCGTCGGGGCCACGGCACGCGGAGGCGTTGTCGCTCCGGTCGTGCTACTCAGAGGAGTCGGTGTTTCGGCTGGGCCGGCACTAGGGGGGCTCCCGGTGGCCGGTCCCGAGTCCGCGGTACTGGAACCGCCGGTAGTTGACGGACGCGACGTCATCGGGAGAGGAGCGGGGGATCGGCAGGGCCGTCTGCCGTCAGCCGTCGTTTTCGGTGGAATGAAAACCGAAATTTGAAACCCACGGTTTCGCGTTCCCCTCTCAGTTTCGTTCTGTTGGAGATACGACAGCAGAGAAGAGGAACAAAGTTGAAGCCCTCTTGGAATGGAGAAGCGGTAAAGTAAAATGTCACCCCACGGTGGGAAACGATGGATGAATGCGGATCACCCGGGAACCCAGCTGAAGGACAGTTCTGGGAAAAGCCTTGCACATAAAGCCCCCTCCATCATCACGCCAATGAGCCGCCAGGTTCGTCCCCTATTCCGCTTCGAGTGTTACGTCCGTGCCGCCCCCGTACGTTACGACCCCTTCCTCTCAGCGGCCAAACCCACCAGGGTATCCGCTCCCGATCGCTATCGCCATCTTCGGTAAGGGCTGTGAGCACGTTGTGAGCTTCATGTTACGAGTATGAGCCAATCACTGATGAGTTCTGCTCGGCAAGGGATCCCCCCTCATATCAACGTTCAGATATCATCTTATGTATCCGTACATCGCTTAAGTATGAGACTGACTTAGTGACATTGACTTAGTCTCCCTTAGTGACACTTATCTACACTAGTGTCTGCCCAAGCCGAGGGGAAGCGGCATGTTTCTGGCCTGTCACGAAAGCGGCGGGGAAGAGGCCGCAGTGGAGGGGTCAACGATTTTCTTTTGAAGCTTTTTGAAGCCGAGTTTGTCCCGTTCGGAACCCACGATCCCAACACCCTCAGAAAGACATTCACGAACTTCCCAACGAACTCATCTCATAGTCAGTAGCGGGAGGCTTTTGTGATTTAATTATTACCGGCAAACCCCTCAACTCAAAAGCCACTTCCCTTATCATCACGTCACTCTCCTGCCGCTCAACTCACCGCCTCTTATTCTCCCGCCACAGACTACCGCGCACGATTATGGCCCAAAAGCTCATCGTCGTCGTCGGCGCCACGGGCAACCAAGGTGGCTCCGTTGCCCGCCGCTTTCTGGCCGCAGGTTACCGCGTCCGCGCCCTCACCCGCGACACCTCGACTGCGTCCGCTACTGCCCTGGCCGCCCTCGGCTCCGACGTGGAGCTGGTGAGCGCGGACCTCGAAGACGTCACCTCCATGGAAGAAGCATTCCGCGGTGCTAATGTCATCTTCAGCGTCACAAATTACTGGGAACCCTTCTTTCGTCCAGATTGTCGCGCAAAGGCACAGGAGCAGGGCATATCTTGCCGGAAGTTTGCATACGATGTCGAGTTGCGCCAGGGACGGAATATTGTCGACGCTGCGGCCAAGACCGTGGACACGCTCGATGAGAACGGATTTTTGGTTTCGACTCTGAGTCATGCCGAGAGATGCAGTGCTGGGCGGTTCAAGGAGCTGTATCACTTTGATTCCAAGGCCGAGGTCTTTCCTGGCTACGTAAATACGAAGTATCCCGAGCTTGCGGCGAAGATGTCGTGCATTCATACCGGATACTTTTACACCAGCTACAATATTCTACCCAACTCTTATTTTGGAAAGGTGAGTGCTTACCGTTTATCTTTGCAACGATTAATTCTCAAGCGACAACAGAACCCCGACGGCACATTTACCATGGCTTTTACTACCTCCCCGGACAAGCCCGTTCCGCACTTCTCACCCGTCGACGATATGGGCAACTTCACCTACGCCGTTTCTCAGATGCCTCAAGGCAAGGCTTATATGGCCGAAGGAACAACTGCCACTTGGCCCCAGTTCCTCGAGACATGGGCAAAGGTAAACGGAGTTCAAGCCAGCTATAAGCAGATCACACCGGAAGAGATGATTGAGGCGACTGGAGAGCACGACACCGGCATCGAAGTCGCGTACATGTTTTCATATTCCTCAGATCCGGGCTACGATGGCGGTATGGATCTGCTTACCGCAGTTGATCTCAGAAAGGTGAGAACCCAAATCCGTAAACGACCTGACGTTTTGGTTTCAGAACGTAGAGTTGACTTTAAGTTAAATAGGCCGGTGTCGATTGCCCAATGACGACTTGGGAAGAATGGTCGAAGAAGAATGACTGGTCATCTGTCCTGAACAAATGATGAGCGATTTGATGGGTTTTTGACGAGGATGAACTAGACCTAGAATTCAATTGAGCAATCTGACCTTTACAGCCTATCATCCTTCAGGGTTTTGATTTTAACCAGCTTGAATTCTCCTCAGCGGTCCGGAATTGAACAGTTCAAGTTTTGGTGAACACCGTGTGGTATTCGGTGAGCTCAAAATTTTGTCATTTTGGATTTACAGATTCAGAGTTCAATCTTTTCAAAGTTGTTCTTTTTCTTTGAGTCCTAAAAACACCAGCAACCCAAATATCAGAACTCCATGTATACCGCTACAGCGGCCGCCAGAATCATGGCAAACATCGCTTGACCCCCCGCTGCAGAAACCTCTATCCCTCGGCTCTTCACCGGTTGAGCACCCGAAAGTATGCCCCTCCCAGGTTCCATGGATTCCGGAAACATCAAAACAGTGCCGTTGCCAGCATCGCCCACAGACGCGGTTGTGTTCGGATCAATGGTGAAAGAGGTGTTTGTCGACTCGAACCCTTCTCTTCTCCCCACCAGCACTTCGACGCTGCGGAACGCCACGGCCGGCGCATCCTGCGCCAGAAAGTGGCCTGCCGTGGAAACCGCGAGGTACGTCAGTCCTCTCTCTGAGTGCACCGTGCCCATTACACCAGCGCCGGCGAGCGTCTCCGGGTTGCCGTTGAGGTGATATGGCACATAAAGCGGTGAGATCGGCTTCTTTTGAAAACCCATTTGCCCTCCCCAGGTCAAGTTCTGAATCGTGAGCAGCGTGCCGTCGTCAATCAGCACGAAGTCCTTGGTGCCGTGAGCGAGAATCACATTTCGCGTCTTGTCAATAACGTTTGGCAAGACTGGCTGACTTCCAGGCCCCTCGTCGATGGAGTTGTCGGTCGCGTTGAAGAACACAGGCGTCTCCGTGCAGAAGACCCATTCCTTGTCTAGGGGGGCGTTGATAGCTCTCTTGACGTCTTCGCGGTTGAAGTAAACTGGTCCAGCCCCCTTTGGCCTGTAGTTTGAGCCATCGCTAAACCCGAGAGGGTCATACTTCAGCGGGCAGAGGTTCGTAACGGAGTAAACGCTGAAGCAAGGAGTGATTTCCGTCGCAGCTTTTATAATCATGGTCCAGGTATCGCATTCTGTCTTCACATTGCCGTCCCCATCCATACCCGGCATGATCGCTGGTTGCAGGCCGGCAGGTGGATAGACGAGCCATTTGCGCATGTAATCCGCATACCCACACTTCTCATTTGCTTCTTTCAGCGTCTGCCGGAACGAGTCGTTGAAGGCAAAGACATGCTCCCATCGATCCACGAAAGAGACCGCGGGGATCTCTTCGCCGATACTATCGACCGAGTACGTCCCGTCAAAGATTTGCATACCAGCAATGTTGAAGTAGTCCTTGTCGTTGCTGTCGACCATGGCACTCGCGATGTAGGGGCAATACATGCCGCTGTATGAGGAGCCCGTCACGTAAACCTTGTACCCCTGCATGGCAAAGGTGTCGACAAAGTTGCGCCAGAAGCTGAGGAACTGGCGGGCGACGTCGAACTCGTCCTTAGCGTTGGGGGTGCCCTGCGAGAAGCCCGTGCCGACGGGCTGGTCTACCCAGACGACGTTTGTGATTCGATGCCAGCTCCATTTGTTGCGTATGGGCCTGAACATCCCCGGCTGCCAGAGCATCGGGCCGTTTTCCGAGAGGAGTTCTCCAGTGGAAGAGCACCCAGGCTGATATACGAGTTAGCTCTGTTCAGCGTCGGATACAATTGCTTTGACTAACGCCGCCAGTTAACCAGATCATGATTTCCTTGTCGGCGGCCTGGCTCTCGGACGGGAAGAACCAGAAGTACAGCTTCCCGGCCGTGTCATTGTTTTTGTCAATGTTGAGTAATCCCGCATAGGACTCGCCAACGTCAAAGTTGACTTCGGGAATCTTTGTCCCATCGACAACGAATTCTGCCGTTGACGTGATTAGAAAGCTGATTGATCTTGGTCATGAATTTTGAGAAAACGCACTTCGAGTCTTGTTTGTCAGGAACTTTGGTTCTCCTTGCGCCTTGTTCACGACATATTGTTGATTATCGGCCTTCGCATTTGAGAATTGACGCTGGTCCAGCGATGGTTTGTACTGTTTCAAGTTCAAGGTTGCAGAGACGGCCACGGGAAGCAGCAAGGCCGCCTGGAGCCAACGCATGTTGGCAAGATACCGAGAGCCTAGTCGTGGAAATTGGGGGTCGTCGATACCCTTCTTGCCTTGTTGCTGATGATTACAGCATCCCCCTCACCAGGTCCAAGAACCGCAAGAAAGCTGGGGAAATGAGGCGGCTCTGCACCGGCCTTTAAGCAGGAAAAGAAGAGGTGCCACCAATTAAGCATTCCTCGGAAAGGCGCGATGCGTGTTTCAAGATGGGCCCTGTTGGAGGGGATTAAGCTCGGACGCTGATCCCCATGAAGGGAAATGCACATCAGTGTCACCTCAACTCGGTTTCGCCTGAGCTTATTTTACTTGGCTTCGGGCCGCTAGGTTTAGGGGGGGCCAGTTCGAATTTGGTAAAAAAGCGGAGGAGTCTAACTTTGGAGGCTTTCCAGTGTCGGGAGACCCTTGATTTATGACCGGTGAGTCAAAGGGACCAGATGGTCATCTCTGCTGCAAGGTACAAATATGAGGCACACACAGATTAGCTTCTTTTGTCATCAAACCTGGACTGTTTCGGTAGACGGTAGATGCCGATTTTGTCCAATGTTGATAAACATATCCCAAATCGAGATGTTTTGACTTGAGTACAAGCTGATCTTTAGACTCTTTCTCGGAAACGGGATTAGTCGAATCGATCGAAATGGAAGTCCAATTCGACTGCTGAGTCAGTGGATCCCATTGGGCCCATCTCGGTGGTCTATATCGAGTAAGGACTGAGATCAAGCACCTAGCCTCAACCTCTCTCTTCTGCCTAACGCAGATATCAATACTATTATCAATTGACCCTTTGTCACCCTTTTAACCGCACAATTTACTTTACCTACGATACGATACAAGCAAAATCGTACACCATCCAATAAAGTAAGAATTTTTGAATGTGAAATTTGAGATCACTCGAATTCTGCAGATCCTACCAGAGCATTTGATCCTGGATTCTCCCGTCAGAAACTGAACACCTCATCAACATCCTACGTACATCTTTCGGCTTTGTCACATTTTTTCGATGACGGAGAGTTTACAAGTCGTCACAGTTTGGTGTCTCATTTATTTGTCGTCGGCTTTTTCTGGACGGTCATGCTCCTTACAAGTTTGCCATTGTCTTTCTATAAGCATTTCCAGTGTTCACTCTGCTACAATTTAGCTCGATGAACGAATGGTTTTCATGATTAGGTTCGAATCGAAAGTGCTTGCAATGACGTGTCATAGGCATCGGCCTCAGATCATCTGAAAAGCCTGATACTTATAACCATTTCAAACCAACCAGAGATAGCCGATGTCTTATTGGGATTTTTATCAACACGCTAGGACGCCAAAGTCTATGGATCATTTGATACATCAGAGACAGAAATCCGCGTGCAGCAGGAAGCATAGAGTTCCACGACTTCAGAATCATTGAAAGGAGTAACAGATGTGATCTTTCGAATGCTTTCATTGATTGGTTGGCGAAAAATTGTACTTTCATGACAAAACATGGCAGATTACCAGAACGAACTCCCGATGCTTTGGTTGTGTTTTGATTCTCTGGCTCAATCCAAGACCTCAGCATCTTTGTTCCGTCGTAGTCATGATGAAGAAGATATCTTAGATTTCTGTCTTCCAGCACATCGCAAGCTCCCCTATGGACTCTCTGGAACCTCGCTTTCGCACACAACTGCCAGATCTAGTCAGTCTGAGATTGTCTCCACGGCAATAGCTTGGAATTCTCCTGAGCAAAAAGACGTGGCGTACCTGGTCGAAGTAGAAGTAAACATGGCATTGGCTGTATTCCATTTGGGTGTCGGATGTCTTACCACAAGCGCGGCAGGTCTTGAGGTTGGGATCGTTGACGTTACCTTGGCCAGTGTAGGAGATCCTGGTTGACGCGAATGAGCTCGGTAAGACTGACTGGTAATACCTGAAGGGAGCACCGTACTAGCGATAGAATTCTTTTCGAGGAAGCTGCGAAGCATGCGATTTGTGGTTTGCGTAATAGGGACTTTTGTGTTACTATTAGACTTACACGATAGCCACTTCTTTGGTTAATATCAATGCGTTCCATGTAGTGGTACTTGACATTCTCTTCGAATTCTGCGGTCATATGGTGAACAGAATACAAGATGGCGATGGTATGACCGACCTTGAAGGGGATGTCAACGTGGTTGTTAACAGGGCCGTTGAGGAAGATCCGAAACTCGTGGCCCTCATTGTCTCAGACTATGAGCTGAGGTTTTTCCTTTGTGATTAAGACTTTCTGGATCTCGGCCAGCATACACCAGTGGTTGCGTGTGTCCTGACGGCGCATACATAGCTCTTGGAGGCCAGGAAAGGCGCGCTTCCCCTTGAAGTGAGCAATTATGGACATTTCGTTGTAGATGGTGTGCTGTTCTGAGTACTAGGTAGATTTTGGACCACGTTTTTGGAATGGCAAGTGTTTAGTGAGGATAGCAAAAGGTTAGGCAAGATCAGGTAATGTAGACAAACGAGATACTCTCAATAGAGAGCTTGACGGACTATTTACATGGACAGACCCATCATGAGCATTCATTTGTCCTGGCGGCCTGAATTTATGTTGTCAGCATAAATTCGGCGAGAAAGCCAACACACGAGCGCGTTTGATGTGGAAATCTGAAAATTAAAGAAACTAAGTTTTGCGACCCTGGTTTTCCTTGCTTCATGTATTAGGTTCAATCAATTCAAGGGAAAAATGGTTACACGCTATTTGAGACTTTGCACCTCAGCAGAAATGGGCGTATGGTTATTTGAGGCCGTCTCTGAACTCTGCCTGTGGAGTTTCTCTTAGACAAGATGCAGCTTAGCTTCTGGACCAGCGCTGTAGCTTCCAACAAAGCATTCTGACCCATTTCCGGCAGCTTCAAGGATCCCCCGACGACATTGCAGTCAATAGAGACAATATCAAGGTAGGAATTGGCACTCCTCGTCTTGAGCATTAGACATTAGTTGTTTGTTCTGCTGACTTGTAACTGTATAGTATAGAAACCGAAGGAGGCATGTCATTGACTCGCTCCAACGCAGCTAGTACATCATCGCATCAATGAGTCGGTCAAAGAAGAAGTAGAGACTCTGTATGTACTAGAGGCCCAAGTGGCGAACTCGGCCATCCAAAGCCAACAGAACGCGATTGGTATCAAGGCAATCAAAACCCACCACAATTCTACCGTCAAGCGTCGCCTCAGCCAGCGTTGACACCTTGCACCAATCTTTCGACGATGCGAGCATACGGAAGTGCCGTACACGAGGCAACCAAGTCCTGGCCTTGACTCGCACTCCATGTGTTCACGCCGCCTCTGCATGAGAAGCCTGGTGCAAGAGTTAGTCGGGAGGCTCCCGGGAGATGGGAGTACAGCATGAAGCCGGGAGGAGGGGGGGGGTGGGATGTCAGCACAGAACAACATACGGGACACTGCCTCTGCAGAAACGGAGATCGCTGCCGAGGTCACACCGTTTATCGTTGGGACACTCGAGGTGAAGCATACGGCGCTCCATGAGCCATTCCACCTTGAGTCGCACGCCGGTGTCGACGAGGTAGTAGAAGTAGCTGCTGGTGTGTTTCAGTGAGAGGGCGTCGGGGTAGATGAGTTGCTTGGAGATGAGGAGGTGAATTTCCGCGGGTAGATCCGTGAAGCCGGCGAGCTGAGTGCGGTCGGAGGAGGCCTCACTGTCGGCAGACCGAAGCGGCCTTTCTGCTGCCGGCGCCGGAGTGGGTCGCTTGCGGGCGCGGATGGATTCCATGATCGCGGAGGGCGATGTGCTAGCTACCTAGTTGTGGGTTTCGACGTTGGGAGCGGCAGAGGGCAGATGTTCATGCCGTCACAGCTATTCCTCGCCGTGTCTGTTTTGCGTCTCGTATGTTCCAAAGCTGGGAAAGCTGTGCGTCAGAGAGCAACCCTTGGGGGGAAGAGGATTAAGGCAGCCTATATAGGAACATAGCACAAATCCTGCTGCCTCGAATGGATGTTTATGGGGACTTTGAGGCGTGGCATGTTCCTAGCGTGTCAGACACAAAGTTTCAGTGCGTCCGTCACCAGGAATACGTTGCACTGCCAGCCAGGCAGATGCCGGCCGTGGCTGGTTTCAGGAACCGCTTTACCGAATCCAGGCGTTTAACGTGGCTGATTTCAACACCACTGCAGCATTCCCAACGTTGCCGCGGGGCTCCTCGTCTAAGTCTGATCGAGTTAGCCTTCCTGCTGCTTTTACAAAAGAAACTCAGAGCATCGTACGGTTATTACAAACGGTTTTGCCAGGGGAGACGACTACCTGTGGTCAGCGCCTCAAAAGGATGCATATGCTGCTTTAAAGGACATATTTCTGACTGAAAACATGCCTGAACGAAAGAGGCACGGATTACGACTGTTTTCAACGGTGAATACGACATCACCATTCTTCTTACAGAGTCCGCAATTCGCCCGGAAATTTCGCTGGAATTAACTTTTGTTAATTTCGTCCAAAGTCCCAACCGCAAATCCTGCCTTACCACTATCTATCGCCTTTCATTCGTCCAAGCGAAAAGCGCCATCCGAAGCCCGATGATGAGAATATGCTGGATTGAGTTTGTATGCAATAAGAACCCGGGGCAACCGCCATGCACCTAAATGACTGATTCGCAATTACTTCAAAACAAAAGAAAGTTCGACCCAATGCTGATGCTAGAAATCTTTGAGTTATCCCGCCCTGCCAGACCCAACGCCGATGCAACATGAAGTCTGCCCCCCCCCCACCCCCCCTCTCCCCCACCCCGACACGGCTTACACTACCTCCAAGTTCACGAAGCACTGCTTTGGCTTCCGCGTCAACGTTTCAATGTCTTCGTAGTTGGACAACTCCTCACCACAAGACCGGAAATCGAACGTCCACACCAACAGAGTTACGATCAGCCTGAGTTCCATGTACGCCAACTTGCGACCGAAGCAGCCTCGGAGACCGAGGCCAAACGGCATGGTAGGCCCGGCCAATGCATCATAGACCTCCTCACCGTCGTCATTCTTCGAGAGCCAGCGCTCGGGGTAAAAGTCACCCATGCCCTCGTTGCTCCACTCTCGCACGCCACGCTCGACTGCTGCCGTCCGCGACGATGGGCTGCGCAGCTTCTCGTCAATGTCGAAACCTGACTCGGTGAAGCTGGGGCCCTTGTTGGGAATGAAGACGGTGGTGCCTTTGGGGATGCGGTGCCCCAAGACGATGGTATCTTCCTTGCACTGCCTATCCTGATTGAGGGTGGTATGCGCGAGCCGGAGCATCTCTTCGACAACGGCCTCCAGGTAGGGAATGTTGGCTCCCGTGATCTCCTCGTGCGATGGCAGACGGTCATCTGCAACGGCGTCCGCGTGCGTAGCAAGAAGGGCTTCGCGAAGTCGTTGCTGACAAGCAGGATTGTCACTGAGAAACTTGACCCCCCAGCAGAGCGTCGTGCTTGTGGTATCATGTCCAGCGACGATGAAGCCAAGCAACTACGTTGAAAATCGTCAGTCATCGTCCGTTGGCTAATGCTCTTTAACAATGTCTTCTTACCTCGTCTCTCATGGCATCTGACCAGTACACCGGCTCGCGGTTTTCCTTTTTGGCAAAAGTGGTTTCTCTTTGGATGATGAGATCCACTGCAGACTTCACGTAGCTGTCGCTGCCATCTTGGCCCTCGCCTCTATGTCTCTCGACAGCCTTGTGGACTTGGTCCTTGAGGAATCCTGTTCGCAGTGCCCTCATACTCCTGACACTGGGCTTGATGCCAATGAACCACCACGCAATCTTCAAGAAACCAGTTGCAGCAACTCCCATGATGTTGTCAGCGGTTTGGATTGCTGTCTCCAAAGTCGGATGGATCGGCGCGCCAGGAAACTCAACGGCCGTTGGATTCGATTCATCGACGGGGGGTTTCTTCTCATTGTCGGCTTGCAACATCTCAATCTGCGGTATAAGAGCGCGGTGTTCAACGCTGGAACCGAACCCAAAGTCAAAGACGGCGTCGAGGGCCGTGTAAAAGATGTCTCGCTCGGCGCCAAAGGGCTTTCCGGCCGCAGCCTTTGCCTTCATCTTCCAGACGTCCAAAAGATTCGCAGCGCTCTTGTAGATATTCGGAGCCGCGACATTGTGGAGAAAACCAGGGGACATCAGGTCTTGGAGCAGGCGCCGATGGGCTTTCCATTCCGGGCCCGTCTTGATGTTGATGTGGAAGTTGGGGGCCTCGCCACTCAAGAGGTTGATGGTGAAGTCGGAGCGTTCAAACTCTTTCCGACGCATCAGAATGTCCTGTCCCTCGCGGAAGTCGGTGATTAGGACGGCCGGCTTTTGAAACGGCTCGATGAAGAATTGAGACAAGGGGCTGTCATGCCGACGCGCCTCAGCAATCATCCACCCAAAAGGGTTATCGGGCGCTTGTTTCTGGAGCCTGGGGATGTCCCCCAGCAGAGACTTTGTAGCCTCTTTGTTGTATGGGATTCCGGGGATCGGCTTGGGGAGAAGGTATTGATAGAGAGTGTACAAAAATACGAGCAATGTAGATATCACTGCCGTAGCTATATGTATAGTGCCAAAGGTTGTTGGGACAGGGTCCAAGGGTGACGCTGTGGCGGTAAAGTTCGACATTTCGAATGTTCTAATGCACGATAAGCTTCGAGCTAAAGACAGGCTGGGTGACATCAAGAACTATAATTCTTTGAGTTTTGCTGCCCGGGTGACTTTATATCGGCATTTGTCGATGGGCCTCTGAGGCCGCGTCCGCGGAGGCCCGAGACAACGGGGCCAATATTCGCAATGCGGACCGCTGGGCCGCGGAGACCGCACCGTTGAAGCCGAGCTTGTGAGGTGTTTTCCTGACTCTTACGATTGTTACTGACTCTTGCGATTGTTCGTCAACCACGGTTCTACAGAAGTCTGAGGGATAAAAAAAGAAAAGTTTGTGAAGTTCACTCTGTGAGAAATTTGGGCAGATTAAGCTCGGGTGTGGCGCTGGGTAGTCCCAGATCAAATCCTTATGCTTCTGCAGGGTGTGTTTCTTCCGCGCTTAGCCTGCCAGATTAGGACATACTTTTGTCTGATGGAGGGATGCTGAAGCAGACTGCTTCCTGGGCGTCCGAAACCAGTGTGGCTCGTCTGATGCTAGCGATGTTACATGCCGTTAGTGCGTCCGATATGGTCGATGACCTGGCCTTTTGGCGCCCTGTGAGCACCTTTGACGTTGCGACTGCATTTGCTAACTAGGATGGGACCATTCATGTCATGATGACCTCGGAGACGACGGCTTTCAGATGGCTGTACATTCTGTTCAATTACTTTGAAGGATAGACCCTGTCGGTCTTTCTTTTCCTACGCGCGAAACGTCGATATAAATACACAACAGATGGCCCTCATTAGAAGCATGCTCAACACATTCACTAGTTTTTCGCAATCTCCTTGGATCCTGTTCATTCCCTTCTCTTGGAATAGGCTTCATTTTCATCACGTCAATGTCTTTCAGGAGTAGCATAGTCGATACCAACGGGGCATCTAGTGGGACAGGACGAGCTACAGAAGCTTACCTGGCTATGAGGGGTGCCTCGTTGGCGATATCCCATATGCAGATGGTAGCCCTCAAAGTAGTTGCCGAAGAGCTGATGACTTCCAATTCTGATGTTCGCACCAAAGCCACGATCTTCAGTGTCAGAAGACCCGAGCAGATTTGGGACCGGCTTCATGACACCAAGCAGACTATTGACCGTCTAGATGACGCCGCCAATATTGCCGAGACCGCCGCTTCAGGTCAGGTCTCTCTCGAGACGCAGTCTGACCAAGGTTGGGAGTTTCCTGCTTGGCATCAACCTTTCAGGTACAATGTTCTTCCTGCGGGAACAGCTGAAGCATATCGCTGATGGCGGATCCATCACCAATGCCTCGAGCGCCCTCGGCTTGAGAAGCTGTTCTGACCAGGGTGGCTCAGCATATATCGCTTGCAAACATGCGGTGCTGGAGCTGACACGGAACGTAGCGAGAGAGTACGGCCATCGAGAATTCCGAGTCGATTGTATCAATCTGCGAGTAGGAAGCCGCCTTCCCTGCTTGATGCAAAGCCTTTGTACAGACTAACCATGCTGAGGTGGTGGAGGCTTTGACATGCCGATGATGCAGCCAAGGCCAGGTGCGGAGGATTCCACAGGAGGCACAGTACCACCAATTCCTCGAATGGGAAAGCTTGGAGAAGTTGCTGCTTTGGTTGGGTTCTTCTTAGGCGATGAAACCACTTACATCACAAGAACGTCCGTTGTCGTTGATGGGGTGCTTTCCTGCCGACGAAGCCATTATGCCATCGATTAACCTTGTTGCCAGCGAGAAGAGCTCTGGAGATATGAAATTACTCTGGCATGTACCATATTCCAGCTCAACTACGGACCTCACGGCTTATGGACCATGGTGGCGGTTCAGGATTCTTCGCATTGTCTGAAATTTGGCAAAGATAACGGCGAACCGAAGAGAGTTCTACACGAGGGCACACTACTTACGAGACTATCGATTGAAGATCGTGATTGATATCGTCGATTTCCCTCATTCATCACGGCCCGCTAGGATGCATTATCTTGGATCATAGGCTGCAACGGATCCAGCCGTCCACCTCGATACTCTGCTTCTCTCATTTTGCCTTCAGCTCGAGCCATATCCTCAGGACTTAACAACTTTACCCACGACGAGAAATAAGAGCCTAGCCCTGTAACACGGCCATGGCCCGGCGGACTAGCCAAGCCCAACTTTGCGAGTCTATGTCGGTCCCAAATTGCAAATCCCATGTTTCTGTAAGGTTCAAATCCAGCATACTTCATCGGCGAGTGCGCATTTCTCCCCATGCTATCTACAATCCATAGACTATCCGCCGGCAACACCAGTGCGGATCTTCGAGTGTCGGAGGTGGCGGGCATTCCTCTGCTCGATGGTGATATGTCTTCGATAGGGAGGTCAGGCGGCGGCATTCGATCCACAAGCGCCGTACCACCATCGGACTTGGAGTCGACAAAGGCTGTGAGGTAGTCTATCGCTGTCATTACTTCATGGTAGGCAGCCTTGAAGTTGGTGCTGGTACTGTCGTAAAACGATCGGATATCAAGAACCTTTGGTTTCAAGTCCTTCTCCTCCCCTTCCGTGCTGAGTAACTGGGACTTGCGTGCTGCCAAGTTCATTTCGAGCACGACTTGAATCCGCCAGAACGCCCGAATCATCCGCTGCTCTTCAACCCACGATAGCTCATCATCGCAAGCAGAAATATCCGGTGCGTCCAGCCGGCCTTCTATCCTCGCAGCCGCAAGACTGGCAATGTAGTGGTTGATGCAAAGGCGGCTCAGGGAGTGAATTCGACTGGCTGTAGCGAGGACCGACCGCATGACGCTCACATTGGGAGACTTTGATATATCCATGGTCGGCAGAATGTAATCTGCATCCGAGCTCTGGCCGAGGACGATGCCGGCTTCGCGGTCACTGATCCTGGCGGCAAGTGTGTGTTGAGGGGTGTTCTGATAAGCGCCTGCCCGTATTGAGATGATGCATCGTATGACCTTCTGTGTCTGGGACGGTAAGTTGTTTTCTGTTATAGCAGGCCAAAAGACTTCGTTCTTTAACTGATTGAACACCCGGCTCGCGATGGGCGAGGAGGTGAGGAGGTTCCAGAGGCAATGGAGATCGTCAATCTGCGTTAGTATTTGAAGGAGGACCTCGGTTGGAAGGCCCTCAAACTGGACGACGGTATCTTCGGCCATGGTTTCACGCAGTAAACACCTCTTTGTGAAGTTGTGTGAAGTTGGGGGCGTGTCGGATGTGATGGATGTGCTCCAGTGGTGTTAGATAGATGGCTGGATTGGAGTTACTGCTGCGGACGATTGACCCCGCACTCCCGCAGTCGGAGGCGACACACTCTGGATTTCGACCTTGCGCCAACTTGAGGTAAGGTTCCCTGTGCTACTGTCGATCCACGCTGGATCTTGACGTCAACCATTTGAACCACCTCGGAACTCAATCAAAGACAGACAATACACACCCTGTCAAACCCACCAAGATTTTGGGCTCGACCTGTCGACTTTCGGATTAACCAAAGTAAACTAAAGATCAATGGCTGGCGTCCTCTATCGAAAGAGTGATGATATAATATGGTTGAGTTGAATTACATACACTGAGTTGCGTGCGAATTATGAATTCCAATTCGCTCTATCTGATGCGGCAATTTCCTCGATGAGTTGCGCATGCTCAACATGATATTGACAGTGCTGGGGGCAGCGCAAGGGAATTATAGAGAGTGTTTATGGGGTTGAATGAAGTATTCCGAGTAAATCATTTCGACCATCTCTTTGTTTGAGGATAAACATAGATCGGTCCTCACTTGGGACGGGAACAGAAGAGAAGACGTCGTCGTCGAAACCTTCAAGTTTGCAACCAAGTAGAAACCCTTGTTTGACTTATTGAGCGTGCGCTAACTACTTTCGTTGCATGGGCAGAAATTTTGATTAAAAATAACGTTCATTACGATTATGATGGCCTGTGTTTGACTTGAGTCAAATACTTGTCAAATTGAAGAACGGCTCAATATGCTTCCTGATGGCCTACAGCTTGCGGTTTCCCTGACAGATTGATTGAAAACTTTGTTGAAAACTTTACTTAGTACGCTCAGGTATGACCAAGGCGAAGTCAAGATTATACATAGAGATGCATACATACCTTACTTTACATCCGCATATTGAACGGACTTGAGCATCCCCCGTCAAAGATGTGGTCCCACGATGTTGCGGCAAGGAGGTCCACAAGACTCGACAGGTGCCAGGTCTCGGGAGAGTATTCCATGATCAGAAACGCCGTCCGAAATCTGCGGACAGAAATGAAAGCCAACAAAATTTCCCAAAAGCCAGAGATGCTTGGACATGCGGCTACCTAGTTGATGCTTGCAGAATGATCAAGACTTCACACGAATCACACCGAAGCGTCAAAGGCTCAGACGAGAATCGTGGAGCAGCTATAGACTTGTTACTCCAAAGGTCCAACAGCTTGATAAATGTAGGCCAAAGCTTCCGTTCATATTGTTTTCTTCCGTAATTACAGAGTACGGGTTCTGGCATTTTCCTTGAGCTCTGGGTGGTGGGTGGTTTGCATAGGTACCAATAATTACGAGAAAGCTCCAGCCAGGAGACTCGGACTCTACGGGTCGTAGGGGATGTGGCGCAGTATCCGTGCTGCTTTTGTAAATCATTCGTTATAATTGCATGTGGTTTGTCTGAGCCTCTTATCCAATTCACGTGACCATAGATGCACAAGATTCATGCTAGTGTGGCAGCTCCTTTCAACGGATTATTTTGGAAGCCCTCAAAGTCTTGCTAAGAACTCCTTTCCATCTCGATTCTGTCATTCTCTCATAGAAGCTCTATTCTTTCGACTCTGGAAAGGCTGGTTGTACTGATTTTTTGGTGCGGAAAATTCGCATGCACACATCAGATCGACTCGCGACTCGCGACTCAAAGCAACCCCGGGAAACAAGTAAAGTCCCGAAGGTGGGGCCGACGTAGCCTCAACACGACGGCACGCGCTGAAGTACGCCGTCCCTTCCGAAGGGTTCCGAAACAACATAGTTTTGATACCGGAGCCTTGTTTCCATGGCTGAAGAACAGCAGTGGATCACCAGCTTGCATCAGGTGGGACCAGCTGGCTATGGAGCGTCCGGAGCGGAGCCTGATCGGAGGCCCGTCCGGAATTAATGTCCTATCCGACCTCCGAAACTGGCCTAATTCAGCTAGATCAATTCCCAATTGGGACTGGTCCCGTTTCCATGTCTTTTGACGTTTTTATCACGGAAACCAGAATAACGTTTATTGCGACGGAAACGGTATCCACCGACCCCTACTTCCGACTGCCATAGTTCAGTGCTGCTTTGTTTGCGATTCTGACTATTCTTCACCTTCGGCGGCTATATCGAGCCTGACCTTCTTCTTCACAGCTTTTGCTCTCGGCGGTGTCTGTTCGTGCCACTCCGTTCAGACGACCTTACCCTTGTCGAAACATCCGAGGCGACTTGTGTCATTAGCGGCCTCGAAGAATTTGCTTGCCATCTGTCTACACTGGAAATACTGACTTTGGCTGTTTAGTTCAGACAATAGGACACTGCGGATGAAAATGGTCATCCTTTCATACCAAGGCTATCGGCGGCTTCATCACGCAGGCCATCAACCTCCTCGCCGCCACGGGCTTGTTTGCAGCCTCAATCTATATGATCCTCAGTCGCCTGATCCGAATTCTTCGGGCCGACCACCTTTCTCTCCTCGCCGTGCCATCGGTTACCTGGATCTTCGTCGCTCTTCGTCGCTGGAGACGTTGGGTCGTTCACATTGCAGGCGGGATGTGGCGGAATCCAAGCAGCGGGAGCTCTGAGGCTCTACGACATTTGGCCAGAAGATCATTCTCGTTGGTCTCCTGGTTCAAATCGTGGTCTTCGGTTTCTTCAATGTCACGACCAACTTGTTACATCATCGAATCAGTCGAAAGCCAACGTCGGTTGGCATTGAAGGGATTGCCCCGTGGCGAAGATGCGGCTATGTTCTCTGCAGCACCAGCCCGATCATCCTCGTACGAAGCATCTTACGAGCCATCGAGTACCTCCGAGGTAACCGCGGATACCTCATTTTGCGCGAGATTTTTCTCTCCATATTTGATACCATTCTCGTGGCCACGGTCATGGCAATTTTCCTGGTTTGGTACGATAAAGACTTGGAAGAGAAGGTTTCGAGAAAAAAACATAGACACCTTGGGATCCAGTGACAATGCATGTATGTTGGACGACTTGTCTGGAAGACAGACTGCCCGGGAATGGCTCGCATTAAGGAATAGTTGTGCTGTTCGTCTCTCGGTCGAGGCAAATGTTGTTAGATCCCGCCGTTTACGAAACGAAAGCATCTACAGCAAGGCTTGACGTGTATCAGTCGCCATGCTGATGCGTGCAAAATTGGCTCACAGGCATGAGAAGAGGGCTTTGTCATAAATTCATTTCGTTGTTTTCTACCGTCGAATCTCTGATCCACGACCTATGCTCTTGGTCTAACATGCCATATGTCTCCGCGTATAGATTGTCCGCCCAACCATCGAGCCACCATCGACTACGCAAACGCTTCAAAAGCATGCAGAAGTACAAGAATATGACTAGTGCCTTCTGCCTTGACTCTCTGAGCAAGGGCAGAAAGTCATCTGCAACCATTGCAATCCAGACAAAGATATCAGTGACATCTTGAGGATCCGGAGACTCATAGAAAGCGCCATAGGACTTGTATAGCTCGTTGATGGCCCTGTTGTATATCTCCAGAAGCCCGTGGTCCGGCTCCGATGCGTTGATGTTTGCTTCGAGGTCTCCAAGATGCGTGTGGTGATATGGACCTTCTCGACACAGGAAATGCGTCGTGATTCGCGAAACCATGGGTGAAATTAGGTGTTTGTCGTCCGGCTCCCCGGCAAGGTACCGGGTCCCGCAGAATAGGACTATCCAGTCAGGGGATTGGCCTGCACTAGCTAGCGGCGACTCGTGTAGATATTGGGAATTGGCTAGAACTGCCAGTGGAGAACAGAGTTAGCAAGCTATTTCGATCACGAACCCGAGAAGGGGACCTCGTACCAATGTAGATAGTCAAGACTGAAAAGAGGAACAAATGCGCCTTGTTCTCGTCCTGAACATGCTCCATCAAGCCTACGGCCGTCCTCGAGGAAATTTCGTGGTGCACCATCGACTTTTCCAGCAACTGATCTTTCCTCTCCGGATTCAAGTGTGCGAGATGCAGTGCTGCCAGCGAGAGAATGCTCCGCATGACGTAGTCGGTTTCCAGCCCGAGTTTGACGACATTCAGGCGCCAGAACTCGCCCATCAGTGGGTTGTCCGATAAAGTCTGCGCGGTGAAGTTGCAATAATGATGCAGAAGTTCAAGATCGAGAAAGTTCAACTCGCCCGCATGCTGGGAGGGCGTCAGCATTGGGTCCAGCGACGGCGAAGCCAGAAACCCGCAAGCCACGCCATGTTTGAGGCAGTTTTTGCAGGCTGGTCGCTGCTCATCACACTAGAAGGAGTCTCGTAAGCTCATTTTTCGGTTGCAAAAGATTTCCAAAATCAATAGATGTAATCATCCCACCGACCCACCAATGAGGCACGGCACAAGAATAGAATGCTTCTAGATCAGGTGTTCTTCTGATCTTGCTACCATCCAATGCCGGCCAGTCAAAGCCGCATAGAACCGTAGAAAGAAAGAGACCAGCATACCTTGATCTTTCTCGCTTTACAAGTCTTACAACCTGTGCGAGTCTTTGGATGGGCCCGACGTGACGGGTTGGACTGCATGTTCGGACTCAGTACTGCCCGAGGACAGCTACGTGGTGGCTCGGGTCGGTGGATAACGATTCGTTGCGTCGGTATTACTACAGCACGACATTTCGGCCATGACACCAGCCTCAGCAAGGCAAATAGCTCTTCTCGAGCGTTGGATAGACTGGCCGCGCCTCGCGTGCAACGTAGGGAGATATGACTGTTGATTAATAGAGGGGACTCATAGCCTGCACCCAATCCGCGGATGCCTTCGCAGTTTGTCGTATTCGCACTTTCTCGGGTGGTCTAAGGGGCTAGCCTAGACGCACAACTTGTGTTCCTTCGGCGCCACACTCGAGCGTCACCTTGTCTTGCGTCGATTTGCTGATATCCGCTGAGTCAGGCAAACTAGTGGACATGAAGCATCAGAAATACTACTCTTGACCTGGATAAATGTTTAAGCATTTTGAAGGCGCCACCACACTACTTAGCTGTTCTAGCTCGGCCCTCCCGGGCATATACATTACTAGTGAAAATCAGATTATGCACCATGGGCATAAATAGGACTTGTCTAGCAAGCCCTCGCACTCTGAAACACAGAACCTATAACGCGACCAACCATAAGCGGAATAAATAACCGGCTGCACCTAGAGCTTTGCCGGAGCTCCCTGAGCCCGGCTCATGTATCCGATCACACCATCTCAAGTCCACCAATCCAGCATAGTACAGGACGTCTCTCAGTCACGAACCTCAAAAAGACCCCGGCGAGACTTGTAGTTGCCCAATAATGCACTAAGTTCGCGGCCTGACAATAGTATAAAGCTTGGCACCTTGTTTACCCGTTGCGCGTGGCTACTACCAATGTGTACACTTTGCGAAAAGAGGTTTCAAGTCGAAAACCTCATTGCTTGTCAAGTGAATATACTTCCCTGTCAAAAGATTGCCGTCGCAGCTTTTTCTTTTGGCCGTGCTGCGACATAGCTAAGCCGCTCGCGAGGGGGCAGCCTTTCGCAACTTCGGCACCTAGGCCACTATACAGGGGCATTTGATAGGTCGCTATAATGCCAATTTTTTCTATTTCGAGTCGTGCACGGCTTAACGCGACATGCTGTCCTAGCCCGGGATAATGAAACCATAAATTAGTATGGACAATGTTGGATTTGGTGGTTTGACGCGGTTTCTGCCGACTGTGCTAAGTAAGCGGCCGGAGTGAGGACTGGCTCCGACCTTAGTCTGACCAGCTAGTCGAGTTCAATCTTTACCTACATGCTTAGTATACTCCAAGTCCCCAGTACTCACCAGTCAGGTACCTAGTTTTTGGATGTACATGGAATATTGCCGCTTTACAGCACATGTCGACAGCGGAGACCGGCACTTCACGGTCTTCCGTTTGACAGCGCCGGAAATACGGCAAACCAGGCAATTAAATTTTTTCCTAGCGGAGCCTCCGCACGTCAGAATAGACTTCAAGTACCCTCCTTGGGTGATCCCAGCATGTGTAGAATGACGATGGCCGAACGAGGCATCGAACTCGCGATCTTCATGATTACAGTGTCAGAGTAGCCTGATTTTGAAACTTTTCTTTGACGATGCTCGCAAAGACATCCGCTCAGATGATCATAAAGAGCTTACTTACGTTGAGCGAATCGATAGTAACGAAATACATCCCTATGTGAGCCATTTTTGCAGGGTTCATTGGGTAGGTAGCTGGGATCAAAAAGTCGCGGCTTGGATATGGAAGCTAACCACCCCGCTCGTAGGCTTGCTAGACTCGCGTAGATGGAACCCTAGTGGGGGCAAGCAAGCATCTTGGAGTTGGCCCCTCACACGTTCACCTCTTAGAATTGAATCTTAGAGCCGTCGTCGAAGATCGTGGCGGACATAGCTCAGTTGGGAGAGCGTCAGACTGAAGTGGAATTCGTTCCTCTGAACTTCATTCAATATATCTGAAGGTCGTGTGTTCAATCCACACTGGCCGCATCTTCTACTTTTGCATATAGCAAATCTCCATCCCCATGCTTAATTCATTCGGCATTCCACTCGCGGATGAAAGAATTGAACCTTCCTTGCCTGGACTTTCTGGGTGGCTAGCTTTTATTCTCTTACCCCATTCATTGGATGATGATGATGGATAAATATATTAATCACATATAAACCTGACTGGGGTCTAGTCATGATCAAGCAAGTAAGCAGCACATGTGCCGATGGATCGATCGCATGAGGAGGACTGAAAGGAAAGATGGGGTGGGGTGATCGATTGCCACACTCATCGGCCTCTGACGAGGATCGGCCGTTTCCGCCTGTCTAGGTTGGGAGGAGGAGCTATGTACAGGTGCTTTCATGCTACATACGATGGGCAAAGATTGGGATGGGGACACTGTGTATCTAGGAAGGCAAGCTAGGATGCTTACTGACTTAGGGTTGCTTAGTCGATCTGCTCTTCCCCCTTTTCCTACCTACCCCTCTAATACAATACGCATGAAACCTGTTGGATATTGTGGCTCTGCGTCTAACGACTCCTAGCCAAGGACAGGTAAACAACTAAGCGACGCCTATGAAGATGTTAGATTAAGCAAGTCACAGACAGCAAGCAAGCCTTCAAGGATGTACCAATCTCTTAGGCCGAACTTGGTTAAGTATGCAGCAAATACAGCCTGCGAGGTCCATGTCCTTGTCACCAAATAATGATGGAAGACGACATTTTATTTACTGGCTTGCTTATGATATTGATGCTCTCTCTCAATGGGAGCCGCCTGATCATGGCCATGGGCCTATGGCAAGTCCATCAAGGCGGATGGGGTCCTACAGATGAAGTAAGTGAACGATTTTACAGGGGACATCCGTCTTCAATCTTCTCTCCAAGTCTGAATTCCCAAGTATTGATGTTCACCAAGATGTTGATGACAGCAAACAGGCTTAAATGAGGTCAAAAGTGGTACTCCGACGGTTTGGCATTACGAGAAAGACGAACGAACTCAGTATGTCCATACAAGCAAGGGGAAGAGGGAACACGAGGTTTCCTATTACCTGCGGACAAATACTTATGCAAGGGAAAGAAAACCAGCCAAATTGGGGACGACAGCAAACTGCAAACTGGTCAATAGTAGCAAAGCTCGCCTACCCGCAATCGATATCTTGAGCCCGGAACTCAGTAATGGATTTGGCCACGTTGGCTACCTGGAGTTTTGGTACTACGATCGATCACCTTTATTAGAACATGTTTGCAAACGCTGCTTTCAGCGACCCACGTCAGAAACGACTTCGACGCTCGTGAAATCAGTTTGGTATGTAACGCCATCTTGTTGAGCAGAGCTCGTATCGAAGCGAAGAACGTGTTTTGTTTCTCAGCATTCCTTCACTTATCACTACAAGAAGACAGGTCTCCGCCTCTGTTCAGTTCTACTTCCCACCACCCCGAATCGCCCCTCACTACTCCTGGTCATTCTCCATCGGCCTAGAACTCCCACCATTCCATCCAAGCAATATTATTAATCTTTTCATTCATCTCAACATGAAGGCTGTCTCGATTCTTATTCCTTTCCTCGCTACCTCGGCTAGTTCTCTTCCAACTGTTCTCCCTCCAAGCGCCGGCGGTGTCGCCGTAGTGGAAGAAAACAACAAAGGGCCCGAATACTCGCGAAACGAAAATGATCGACGACAGATCGAGATCATTTGTCCTGGTTATCGAGGCTGCAACCGCAAGGGATCCGTCGGTGATGCCCCCAAAATCGAGCGCGAGATTGAACACGGAGCTCTCATCGAGGGATCCGACATCACCGCCTCCAGCATACTCCAGTAACGGTGCTGATATAGCTATGGTCCTTCCGAATATAGATGGAGGTGCGACTTCCGAGTACCAAGAAGCTACCTGTGCCATTATAAACACTCCAACATCGACTTCCCTCAGCCTCGGAGTGAAGGTGGCTTGTGAATCTTGAGCCAAGGAGACTCAACTTTTGCACTCAGGCTTTATCGCAAGTTCAACACGATCAGCGAGGAAGGTCGGGGCGATTAAATTACTTGACTGTCTCCTGTATGATGGGATGACAGGCAAGTAACTAACGGCTGTCAAATACAAGCACATTGTGGAGTGTTGGACCGGGCTGAAACACAATTTCAATTATCATGTAATTATTCGTCAAGCGGTTTTCGATTCTCAACAAAAGACTCTGACACCATCTTTTACATCGCTTGATACCATTTCCAAAGTCGCGCATCCTACAACCACGTATTTGTGCTACTCCAACTCGATTTCCGATAGGGCATACTTGCCAGACTCAAGAGCTTCCCCGTCCATAATATCACTGACATACGCATCTCCTATAAGCTCATACATACCCCTCTTCGTGGGACGAATCACAAAAGGAACCTCGGAGCCCAGCAGGAGACAGATAGAATCACCAACCTTTGCATCTCTCGGCACCATGCAAAGCCTGTCTGCAGTCGTACGCGAGAACCTCCGCGGACTGGCCGCAGCCAGAATAGTCATCTCCACCGGCACAGCAGCCGCCACGAAAGTCACGCGGGCTCTTTCCGCCTCGTCTGGGTCTTCCGAGACGAGCCAGGTCTCCATATCCGTGATCATCGTCTTGATAGGCTCTGACAGGTCCACGTCGATGCGGTCGCTCAGCTGGCTTCTCTCGCACGTCATGGTCTTCCAGAAAGTAGTGAGGAGCTCGGGGGACATGTCTTGGATGCGATCCAAACCTGATGCAATGCGGACGCAGGATTTATAGAATTTGAGTGATCTAAGCGAGTTCCTGGCGTAGAAGGCATCTATGCTGTCGAGCGGGAACGGGACGCGCTTGGGTTTCGGTGGGAGCGGTAGCTCGGGCCAGAAGATGCCATCATCCTGGATGGTGTCTACAATCATCCCGGAGCACCGAAGTATCTTGTCATCAATGATCTTGATGTCCCCCAGCTTTGTTCCGCCAGCCGAGAACTTGCCGTATCGAACACTGTAGCTTGTCAGAGCATCTAATTCTTGGTTTCGCAAGTCGGGCACCCAGGAAGGGAGACCTGGCAGCCTTCGACGCTTCCATTGATACAACGAACGGTAGTACCATGGCAGCGAGGCATCGCTAATCAACTTTTGCGGCGCGGATGCTAGAACGCCGAGATCCTTCTTCTCCAGGAGTTGAGATCTGGCGAAGCGCAAGTAGCACTCTTGTACCGAGAGAGAGTACAAGTTATCCCGGGATATGATGCTATCTTTCTCAACATCCGAGGCGTAGCCCAAAACGCCCAAGATGTGATCCCGTGGGTCGGTGCACATAAATGCTCTGGTGCATTTGACGCCGTCCATCAGCGTGATAGGCTGCTTGCCGCGGTACCATTGGCTCATGCGCATCATGGAGAGGTTGTATAGACGGGTCGGAAGGAAAGACAGGTTGCTGTCGTTCACTGTTGCGTCCTTGGGCAGAGCTTGAATACCGTACGTCGACATCCTAAGTGCCAGCTCGGAGAGCGGTTGAAATGGCATCACGAGCTTCCCGCAGTAGACCCATGTGTTATCGTTGAGAATCGCCTCCTGGTAAACCCACTTCCGTTCGAACCAAGTGTGTTTCATTAGTGACCTCAGAGGGTTCCAGTCCAGGTTCCATATGGTGGTCTTGCCCTCTCGGGCTCGTTTGTGGTTGCGGGTGCCGATGAGTCCTGCACTTTCTCTATTCTTCTGAGGATCGTCCACGACTGGGGGAATAATGTCCAAAGCCTCTTTGATCACGTCCTGGATTCCACCGACATGCGCGTCATCGCTTCCGAGCCAGATCTTAACAGATTCCGCTTTTGAGTAGATATCTGTCATCCGCCCAATCTGGTGCGTCTTCTCCAACGTGTTCCGCTGGTCGATGCAAATAGAGTCTGCCCAAAGCACGACCTCCTCGGTGGGGGAGCGCCAGCGCTTTAGAGCTTCGAACAGAGTTTGAGTAATTTGTATCTCCTTTCCCTTGCAGGCGATGTATGCTTTGTCTTTGGCATCGCCCCAGGCATACGAGACGGCATGATACTTGATGGGCGCTTTGATCCACTCACTGGCGAGCTCGATGCGAACGTCGTCATCATGATGTCCGGGGAGCAGATGAATGAGACGGAATTGGCCTTCTTCCAGTGGGTCGTGGATGTATTGTGGCAGCGGCCGTAGAAATCGCTGAAGACGCGACAACAAGCTCGTGTTGTTTTCACGGGTGCATGAATGATATGCGACCGGGGTGGCCAGAATCACCGCTGTGCCGATTGTGTATAGGACCAGCGATTTAAAGCCGGCATTATCCATTGACGTTGCTATCATCGACATGAGATGATGGAACCGTCTGGCCGGTTCTGTCGCCTAGGCCTCTCTTGCCGGTAGTCTAAGGAGGTTGGATCATCCTAGTAGAGTTGCGGAGACAGATGAGGGACGAACGTGATTCCATGTCGGCACGCGTTGAACCAATCACATGGAGTGCAGGGGATCCCTACCACATTTCCCAGTCTTTTCCCAAAGTCTGAGGTCGTTTTGAGACTAGTCAAAGGATCGTGGATCGCCAATTCAGTTGCCATCGAGTCACTTAAAGCCAACTTTCGGCACGTTTTACCTTGCCATCAAGGTGATAGTTCAAACGCTGCCTTTGAGGAGAGTTATTCCACGGGCTAGTTGCTACATTGCTATTATTGGTCGTTTCTTGGCTAAATCAAGAGTAGAGTCGAGCATATGGAACAATGCGCTCCCTGAAAGCAGGAGACCTTCATTTAGCCAGACTTCGGAGAATAGGAGATTGCCACAGCATTGTCCACAATCCATATCGACTTTCGAACCAGTAGCAAAAGTAAGTTTCGTGTCAAGCAGCTCGATGGAAACAAAGCCGGTGCCAACTCCTAAACCTGTGAAGCCGCGTTGACTTGGCAAACGTCGCCGACGAACGAGTCAGCGCGAGGTGTATCTGATCAACTGAATCATGGCCACCCACAGTAGTGCGTCTCAGGTCGAGCGATAGCACAACGCTGCTACGATTTAAGCTTGGCTTTGGATCGTAAAGTACTAAAATATCCACAGCCTCTTCGCGTCACCATAGCGTCATGATAGGCGATTACCCTTCGTATTTTATGTCGAAGGGAAGCATTTCCGGCTTCTTTCAGTCTTGCCTAACTTAATAAAATTTCACTGCTGGTTTCTGGGTACCCATAGAAAACATCGGCTTTGGATAGATTATCGCCAGTGATCATCGGACAATGTACGGAATCTTATTTCCGTTTCGGTGAGCCAGGACTTGTTTCACGGAAACAACATGAAGCTATGAGGATCTGAAGGTCATTCGAGCGGACCGGAGAGCTCTTGGCACTGCATCTATGACCGCGATTCTGAGATCTGCCAAGAATGACATGACTAGTGCCTCATTATGTTTTTTTTTTGGCTCGTCATTCGATTCATCATCACCATCTCCAACAAGACCTTGCCAATATGCGAGTGCGCGGCCGACTGTAAGGTAATAGATATATGTATTTGCGCACTAAGGAAATCCTCTAACATGAATAGTCGTAAATCGTGGCGACTTATGATTAGTAGCTTGCGATTGGTCTCGTACGAGTGAGAGTCTATCTGGATGTAGATCTTCTCTGGGCCCAGAAGCTCGGAAGCAAGTGACCTTCCGCTTTCGGAGCCCCGGGAGAGTATATTTGGATTTGAGCTAGCAGCTGAAGTCTCCCACTCTCACCACGTTTCGGCGTTATCAAGGAGCGATCGTGGCATTGATTAATCTAGAGCTCATTCTCCTTGTAAGCTTGAAAACAAACCAGGAATACTGTCTACTAAGCGCATGGAGAGAGGGTGACTGTGGAAGTCAATTGAACTGCAACATGGCCCCAGCTATCCTACCAGGCTCATGCTTCGTGCCATGCTCCCATGCCTCTGCGTGGCGACCAAGACCAAGGGTGGCGGCAAGGTGTTTGACTACAGCGGAATTCGCTGTTGACGACTCATGTTGCACCCTTTTGTCGTTATTATCGTGCCAAGGAACAACGAGCATGCCATGAAATCTGGCAGGCAATAAGTGCCTCGGCGCCAAGGCGACAGTTGCGATGAAGCCGAAGTATGATCAGACAATAGAATTAAGTCGGCAAAACATGGCTTCCGCTTCGCAGCCATGAGGGAACAACAGTCTGGAGGTGTTATCATATGGACGCACAGAAGGAGATACGTCCCTGATGCATGTGGCAGTTATCGGATAGAGAGCTTCATCAATGATTATTCAAGCAGAAACAAGTTGGGGACTGCCATTACTACCGAAAACCAGGTTTAAGAAAACATCTTGATTAATCACGATAACGACAAAGTTTGCTGCTCACTATATTATCAGATGACTGATTTTCTGCCTCTCATTTCTGTTTCCATCTACCAGGGAACGCATTGCACCGCGGGTTTGCGGGGACAGGACTCGGAGAACCCAGGGATCCATGTCTTCAGCTTCTCGTCAGCCAGCCTGATAAGGCCGACCCCTCGAAGACCTCAGTTTTGAGAAGGCTGATAGGTTATCCGCACCAGCCTGCATCGAGAATATGACTGGGGCGAGAAACGTATGTCACAATACCACATCCGAAGAATCTCGAGATTCTCAGCCGTAACGTAGCTGGCAACCCTGTATACGGCGAGTCTAATTGTGCCTAGGCGTCCGGCTTCAGCTTACGGAGATCTGCCACCAACCTTTCCTGATGCTGAATTCCTCAAAATTGAGTTTTCGAAGCAAGTTTAGGCTGTAAGGCATGCGAGACTCCAAGCAGTTCATCATCTCATAAATAAAAAGATACCAGTCGGTACCAAGAAAACGTTATTCTGGTCTCTGTCGTGGCCAGTGCCCAGGAGGGTAGCTATCTCTTCCTCTGACTAGCATCGCCGACTAGAAGGGCACCACATGATTACGATTTCCGAATTAATCTTCAACTTGAGACGGATCACTCTGGGCGTTTGGTTTGATGGCACCTATAATGCGCGCTTGTTTAGGTATAGTAGGTAGAGGTATTGTGGGTGATGGGGCAAGTCGAGTCGTGTAAACACGAGAGGTTGAAGGCATCATCAAACCTCTTCCTTCAGCCTGTCCCTCATCAACTTCCTTCATTTCGAAAACCAGACTCGTTCTCTTCTGAACTTGTCAATCTTTTCAAACAGTCCTTTTTTTCATTCCGCACTTATGACTTTCAACACACTTTTGTTCAAACATCTCTTGGTAAGTGTTGCCCTGGTCCGGATCCTCGACCCGGCCTCCTATCGGCAGCGTCGTCGCCCGAGGGATAAAGACTATTTTAGCATCGCTGGCGACCATCAATCCCAACATAATCGACCATGGCCACTTCGACTTTGGGGGCATCGACCGCCTCAATGAGTCGCTCACAAAGTCCATCCGCCCGACTCTGGACCTGAGGGAGCAAAGAGGGTGCGACGGGGTCTACTCAACTGAACTACAGAGAGCATACCCCTTCTAAATCACTGGCGACTTGCCAAAGTGATTCAGCATTTACATTTCACGAACTTCGCTCCACCCCCTGGATAGGGTCTGACTTACCTTTCTCGCGGAGTACAAAGCAAAGCATTACATTATCATATACTAGGTCACTTACATCAGCATTATTCATATTCAGTACAGGGGATCAATACGGGATCAGAGTTATAGCATAGTGGAATGATTAGGTGGGAAAAGATTATGTATTTAGAGAGGTATTACAGATAGGTGACGACGCGGACGCCCTTTTCTTACGAGACTTACCGGCGTTAAACAATACAACAACAACAACAATCCGCCCGACTCTGACCCCGGAGCCAAACAGAATTAAGCGTCAGGACGCCGCGTCGAGCACCATCCTCAACTCTCTGACCGTCGCCGCCAGCGACGCCTTTGTCTCGATCGATATCCAGTTCTTCACTTCATCTACCAACATGCGCGCTATCAACACCACTAGCAGTGGGAACACCAACTCAATCACCAGCGTGAGTACAAAGATTCCATCGTGGGGAGTTCTCCAAATCGCAAATACTAACGAAACTTCTCTCGCAGAGGAACTTGAAGTATGGCCCGATGCTGATGTTTTCAAATTCGAAAACGGCGACCACATCAAGGAGTTTTTGGTTCTCGAGAACCGAGGCTCTATCCATGGCTTCAACTTCACGACGGCCAGCGGCACGACGTACTCCGCAACGGGTCAGGTCCTCCGCGACCCTCCCCGGATGCAAAAGGGCCCCGTCGGATCCGGAATTCTGGGCCGTATGCGCGTACAATACTGCAACATTGGCCAGATCGGCCACCTCGGCTTTGACCTCCTCGATGAGCTCCAGTCCGTCTCCGTCAGCAACATTGCGCACTCTGGCTTCACGGACAACATTATATCCTCCGGCCCCGGACAGACCATGGGTATCGGCTCGAAGATCGTGGATAACCGCAAGTACACCGCCGAGCAAATCGTCACAGTCGTGAAGATGCACGACGTGACAAAGTCGTACACCAACAGCGTCGCGAACCAGTGGAATGTCGAAGGCCGGGTCACCGTCGAGGCCGAAGCTGGCATCCCTCTCATTGGCAAGACCCAGGTGACGACGGAGTTCTCCTGGCAGGTGCAAAAGACCATCGTAACTCTTTGTCCTCCCTCCCAAAAACGCCGTTCCAAAACCACATGCTGTTAACATGACCAACCCAGACCGAAGAAGACACGGAGGGTGAGACTCTGACCAAGTCCGCCACCATCAACCTCAAGTGCCCGCCCAAGAATTACTGCGTGGGCTCGTCCTTCTTCACAATCTTCAAGATGGACGTCGAAGTCGAGGCCACGTTCCGCGCCAAGACGAAGTCAGGCAAAGACTTCTTCTGGAAGCAGAAGGGCAAGTATGAAGGCGCTGACTCCATCGCCCTGTAGCTACAGGTAGACGAGGCAGACGACGTCATTGGAGAAGCGTTCTCTTGTTGTCCAAAACTTTTGAGTCTGATTCCCCCACCTTTTTTGTCTTTTCTACGATCTTGAGCAGGCAGCATTTTAACTCATTCGTAACCTTCTTCAGCTTGTTGCTAGTGGAGAGCGCGCTGGGAGCATCATATCACCAACTAAAGACTGATTTAAGATGAGTATTCGATGTTGTTTATATAAAGATATCGAAGAAAAAGACATTCTGATTACTCGTGCCTCGGCCTCTGCCAGTTTTCCAGCTGTTGCCGCGGGAAAGTTCCCACTGCTGGTGCGGACAGGTCTCGGAAAAGGAGTCACAATGAATGAGTCCGAGGATTCTGAAGTATTCGTGACCTCGGCTTCCTCGACTACGAGGCTCCTCGCGAAGCTGACACGACGTTTCCGATTTAATTGTCCACGTACTAAAGGCAGCTCAGCATCCACTGTGGCGCCAACAAACCAAGGCCCATCATCTCTCACAGTCTGCATTCGAGAAGTACTTGAGCCGTGTAAATAGGCATGAAGAACAACTAATGATGAACAATGTAAAATTCATCAGGATGGGTACCCTTTGCTGCTCAATTGCATTTCCTCAAGTTGTGGATCTCGGTCCTGCTTGAGGCTCAGACGAAATATGAAAATATGAATATAAATGTTGACTCTGGTGAGTTTATGAGAGTAGGATGGAAATGAGAAACAATTGAGGCGAAAGGATCGTGGCTTGAGTGACGACAGCGGCAGTGAGTTGACATTGAATATAAGTACCTCACCAGCGAACATGGCAAAAGTCCTCTTTTACTTTGGAATCCACATCGCCACTGAGAAGTATTCAAATCTGAACCGCTGCGAAACAAGTTGATTTATTCGCCCCGTTGACTTGATAGCAACGCCGGCTGACTGTTCATCCATCACTTGAACCCGAAGCTTAATCGAGGCCACCACTGAGCAAATGCCAAAGTCATCACCCAAATCTCAAAGACACTGCATGTAAACAACAAATACCCCCGATGGCTCCAGAGTCTTTGAAACATTTCAAACAAATCCTCAGCCACCAACCCCATCGGCATTCTCGTCTCACAACCAAACGCACCGCGAATCCCTGCGCTCCCTCCAAGCCGAAAGAAACCAGCCTCGATATCCGAAATCAACGCCAACTATGAAGAGATGATCCGCTTGACGCACAGCGAGCTCGAGGAACGGTGCCGCAGCGTCTGGGATAAGTGGAACCGAGCCGATGTTCGCCCCCAGCGCGCGTGCTACGAACGGACGCGGTGGGAGGGTGTTGCACTTGCGGGTTGTCCAGGTGGAACGTCAGGGACCTCGCTGGGCAGTTTGGGGACCGCGCCTAGGGGTATGAGGCGAAGAGGCTGAAGAGACTGGAAGCTGTGGAAAGGGACTTTGAGGATGGGGTGGGAAGGCTTGAGAAGGTCTTGGGGGGTGAGTAGAGAAAGATTGTTAGGGATGAGAGGTCGGGTTTATGTCTGGGGCCGTGGAGTCTTGATCTCGTGGAGATTGGGGTTGGGGGCCATATCGTCAGGAGAAGAGGATTGAGGGAGTTCGAACAGGCGAGGGCTGGAAGATGACGAAGACTACATGGTCTAGAAGCCGGGAACCAAGATGCCAGGCAGCCGAGATAATACGACTGAGGGGGGATGTGAGACGAAGATTCCCTCCAAACAAAGGAGCGGCGTTGGCGTAACCCGGAGGAGAGATGTCATTAGAAAATGAATCAAGCAAGCGTTGCCAAGCCCGAGGGGATGGATGGCTGAAGTTATGGAATCTGAGCCTACCCACTCGCATCAAGTCTTTGACACCTTTTGTTTACCCGCTGGGCCAATCTTGCTGAGTCTTGTGACCTATTTGAAGGGAGATCGATCTGTGCTGCTGTTCACAGATACACCCCGCAACCGCATTGGACAACCCGTTAACTTAAAGGCGTCAATTTGAATGCCAGCCCAGCCTGCTTCAATGCTGTAGTTATCTCCAAACGCCATGATGCAGGTCTGTTATCCAGATACACCCCTCATCCGGCAATGTCTTGTTCAAAATCATTCAATCCGCCGTCGGAAGACAGCCACCACGCCAACTCCTCCATCCCAACCAACCTTCACGGACTTGCCCATCAAACCAGATAAAGGCCCCAATTTCTCAAATCAGTCCTCTCCTAAGCTCTGCCTAACACAAGCTCGACACCGCCTCCGGAAATCCTTATTCTTGGCCTCCCTCTCCTCGCGGAACATGCGCGCAGCCTCGACGTTGGCGGGCGACTCATCATTGGGCCCGTGGAAGAGGCTGATTGTGCTCAGGAGGATCGTCTCGGGGCTCTGCACGGGACTCCACCGCTCTGAGACCGCCTCGTAGCCGTACTGGTCCTCCTCGGGCGGGTGCAGGATCGAGATGCACAGCCGGCCGTCCGGGTAGATGTTTGGGTGGAAGGGGATGGGCGTCTGGAAAGTCAGGGAGGGCGGCATGAGGGGATAGTTTGCGGGGAAGGTGAGTCTGGCGCGAAAGTTGCCTCCTGGTGTTTTGAGCATGTTAGCGGTTTGAGGGACTGGATTGTGAGGTTTTGGGGATGGTGAGTCGAGGAGAGGTGGGCCAGCTTGGTAAGCTTCAAAGGTCCGGTTCTACCATGGTGTGTGTGTGTGTGTGAGAGAGAGAGAGAAAGAAGCATACCTCCATAGTACTTGCAGTCGTCGCTAATCATGAGCATGACTTCCCACTCAAAGATGTTGTTGTCGTTGACCAGCCCACACGAGATACCGGGGATGTCCTTCCCCGTTTGCATCTCTTTGAGCTGCCGACGGAGCAGCGAAGCCGCCGCTGCGGAAGACGACGCCATGGTCACGCAAAGCCTCTTATCCGTGGTATCCTTCTAGAACTCTGTCTGTCGGTATGTATGTACGTGGAGGTAGCGAGGATCGATAGACGGTGACACCTAAGCAGAGTCTCGAGGCCTTGCGCGCGGGGAGAAGGGCGATGGATCGGGGGAAAGCTGAGGATGGGGGGTTCGTGGGAATGTGTTCGTTAAATATTGTCGATGCGGCTTCGGGCTTATGTTCAGAGGGAAAAAGGGGGGGCGTCGGGTGCCTGGCTCTGTACGCGCGAGGTAAAGAAACAACAGCGATTATTCAGCCTGGGAAGGTTGCAGACGCGGCAAACAGACCGCGGGATGAGGTCGTCGAAATCGGAGCCAATGCGAGTGTGGGGTTCCCCAAGCTGCAGGGGTTTACTTCAAGGTGTGGCCGGTGTCTGAGGGGCTTTGGTCTGTCGCCTCACCGAGACACACCGAGGTGCTCTCGGTGAAGGGCAAGCCACCGGTTTTGGTGATCAGGGACAGAGCTTTGGGCTTGGCCAGAGACCCGACGTACCGCCCAGAAATAGACCGTCCTCCCACACCCGGACAAGCTCTTTGTTGAAGACTGGGAGGTTGTTCTCCACACTGCTGCCAAACAAGGGTATCATTTCTCGCGTCCAGCTCATCGTACAACTCTCGAAACCGTGACCCTCTCCTCTCCCAGCCCGGCGCTTCTCATTTCTTCTTGGTGCCCCCGAACCCCGTAATCCCCATTGCCGCCATCATATCATCCTCGTCGTGCTCCCCCTCAATCCTCACATCATCTCCGTATTCCGTCTTGACCTTCTCCGCCGCCTCCTTTCCAGCCCTCCTCCTCTCCTCAGCCTCTTTCCTCTTCCTCCTCCGCTCCTCAGCCTCCTTCAAATTCTCTTCCTCCCTCAGCGCAAGTCTATCCTGCAAACTAGTCGCCTTCTCCTTCTCGAGGTCCAGTTTCCTCTGCCAATGCCACTCAATCCGGTCCCGCACCTCCTCGGCCGTCGCCCTCTTCACCTCGGTCTTCTGGCCCGTGTTGGCCAGGTGCTGCGGCGTGTTGAGGTGCTCCACAAACTGCTTATTGTCCTTGAACGTGAGATCACACGCCTCGCAGTAGAACCCAGCCCCGCGCCCGCGCTTCCCCACGCCCGCGCCCGCGGGCACGAGCTGCGTCTTGCCGACCTGCGCGCTGAGGTCCAGCACATTCCGCCGCGCCTGCGTGAGGGTCTCGTCGCCCGTCAGGGGCTTATAGTATTTTTTCCCCGCGAGCTTCGCTTCGTAGCGCGCTTTTGCTTCTTCCTTTTCCTTGGCCTCGCGGTCTTTGGCTTTGGCAGCGTATTCGTCCAGGTCGTAGGTCTTGCGGAAGTCAGTGTCGCCTGCGGGCGCGCCGTAGGCGCTGGCTTTCTTGTCTGCCATTGTGTGGTCGGGGCCCTCTGGGCTGTGATGTCGGGTATTCGTGGAATTCGCGAGGCTCGGGGAAAGGAAAGTCTGAGGATATCCAAATAAGAATCGCGCGGCGTGGCTTTTGGTGCGTGCGTGGAGTTGTGACAGGGAATTTGGTGCCTGGACCGGCGCTGGGCCAGAAGCGTTCAATGATGAAATTTAATGCCTAGCAACCGGGCTGGGGTCGGGTGAGGCTGCAGGGGTTGGGGAAACAGAATTGAGAGGGGCCAGGCGAGACAGGGTCCAGGGGTTACTGGTACAATGGTGGGGTTGTAACGCTAGAGGGAAAAAAAAAGATACCTACCCCTCCATCCAATTCTCCCTCCAAGTTGTGGAAGAAAAAAGTTACGCCTAATCTCGACCAATTTTTGTAGTCAATTGACTGACTTTCCGCGACTCGATCGATAGTCCCCCAGCAGACACCACCTTCACGCCGGACAAGCGCAGACTACCGCCATTATGCTGTATCTTGTAGGACTGGGTCTCTCTGACGAGACCGACATCACAGTCAAGGGCCTCGAAGTCGTCAAGAAAGCCTCCCGGGTCTACCTGGAAGCCTACACGAGTATCCTTCTCGTCGACAAGGCCATCTTGGTGCGCCCTCCCCCAAGATATTCCTCTTGAGCGTTATTCCAATGACAAGATGTCTAATTCTCGTATCCACCAAGTAGGAAACTTACTACGGCCGCGAAATCGTAGTAGCGGACCGCGAAATGGTCGAGTCCAACAGCGACGAGATTCTCCGCGACGCCCAAATAGAGGACGTAGCCTTCTGCGTCGTCGGCGACCCCTTTGGCGCGACAACGCACACCGACCTCGTCCTCCGCGCCCGCGAGCTCTCCATCCCCGTCGCCACCGTCCCCAACGCCTCTATCATGTCCGGCATCGGCGCCACGGGCCTGCAGCTCTACAATTTCGGGCAGACCGTCTCCATGGTCTTCTTCACCGACACCTGGAAGCCTGCCTCCTTTTATGACCGCATCAAGGAGAACCGCGACATTGGCTTGCACACGCTTGTCCTGCTCGACATCAAGGTCAAGGAGCAGAGTCTCGAGGATATGGCCAGGGGTCGGAGGGTCTACCAGCCGCCGCGGTACATGACCGTCGGCCAGTGCGCAGCGCAGATGCTCGAGATTGAAGAGGATAAGAAGGAGGGCGTTTACTCGCCCGACAGCTTGGCTATCGGGGCAGCGCGCGTGGGGGGCAAGACTGAGAAGTTTGTCGCTGGCACACTGAAGGAGCTCTGCGACTCGGATGAGCTCTTGGGTGGGCCGCTTCACAGCATGGTTCTCCTTGGCAGAAGGGCGCACGAGCTGGAACGCGACTACATTCGCGAGTTCGCGGTGAACAGGGAGACGTTTGACAAGAGCTGGGCCGCGGATTATGGGAAGCAATAATCGTCATTCATATCCCGTGACTTGTCGTCGGGATTTTGGTGCTTATTCCCCCGATGACCTCCATCTACTTTGTGCTATTCTTACATGCCGCCGCCATTACTTCGCACGTCCTTTTTCAGCTCAAGAAGAAGCGGAGCGGTACTGCTCGACCTCCTGAGAAGAAACCTCTCTCAACTTGTTGACCTTTGCCGGGCTGCCGGTGACGACGCCTTCGGCCAGCTGAGCAACCTTACCGATGAAGGTGGCGTTGCTGAGGGCGTAGGTGATGCTGACGGTCTTGACGCGGATAATGCCGATGCGAGGGTCGTTCTCAGAGCCGTCGTGGGTGCCGTCGCCAAGGTCACCGAGCCACGCCTTGAGGGTTGGGCTGTAATGCTTCTTCACCAGCGAGCGGTCGGTGATGACGCTGGAGACGCCCGAGACGGAGGCCCAGTCACCTGAGCTGTTGATGAAGGAGATGTTGATGTGGGGGTCGCTGTCAATCTCATCCGTCTTGTGAGACTCGGTGTTGGTGTGGAACAGCAGGTCAACGCCACCGTTTTCCTGGGAGGGATATCAGGGAGGGATTGCTCATGGGGTGGGGAGTAAGGTGCTAGGAGAGGAAACGAACCGTTGCGGCGAGGGCCATGGCGCGAGAGACCAGGGCGCCGGACTTTGCGTCTCTGGTGGTCATCATAGCGAACTTTGTCTTGTCGGCGAAGCTGACGAATGCCTCGACCTTTTCCTTGACGGAAACATTGTCGTCCTTGTTGACCGCCTTGTAGGGGTCGGCGGGCTTACTGCCGGTGGAGGTGTTTGAGAAGGACATGATGAATGGGGTTACTGGTAGTGTGGTTGCTTTGCGGAGATTAAGTCTTCGTGAGTAGGGTTGAACGCGTCGATTAAGCTGCACAGTCCGGATGATGTATCGTGAGAAGAGTACGGGAGAAGACATTGAGATGCAGAGGGAAGGTCTTTGAAGATGGACTATTTGAACCCCTCGCCTTATTGGGGCGACTCCATAGGCGAGCTGACCTCATTGGCATAGCTACGTGCAGTCAGGGACGACCAATTTCATCATCGAAAGCACGTTGGGAAAGGTCCCAAGGCAATCAATTACCTAAGGCAAGGTAGGTAATTAGTGACTGAGCGACGGCCGAGTGACCACAGCGTGGGAGCGAGCTGCAGAGCCGTAATGGGCAAGACATGATGACGTCAAGAGCGGAGGGGCAGATGGCGTTCCTGCCTACAATAGAAGGGGCCAGCCCGCAGTGGCACAATGGGGTACCATTATCCATGAGGTAAGTAGGCAGGTAGTTCCATGAGACTCTGGACGGACGACGTGTTTTATGGGGTTAAATTCATCATTGATCGTCTCGTTTGCTCTGCCTGCGCTGTTGTAAGGTAAGATGCCGGCACTGGGCGCGGAGTGCTCCAATTGAGTCTGAGTTGGAGTTGCATTGGGTGCAGTGACCAAATGCCATGTCTCCTTGTCGAACAGACGAGGCCCTTAGTCGACGGGGAGAGCTGCGGTTATGATGGTATTCGTCCGATTCGAAAGGGTAGTAGGATAATCCGAGCATCCATTGAATTGAGCCTTTGATTGCGTCTTGTGCCAGAGGCGTCTGCTGTCGCGGGTCTGTGTGGCGTTTTATTTTCCACGGTCCGAGTCGCGATGCAGATGGGAGATGCACAGACAAGACTGGAGGCATTGACAGCCGCAGAGAGCGAAGAGGACGGGAAATGATTAGTGGTTGCTCTGATTTCCTGGGGTAAAGGTTTAGGGTGAATTGGACGATCAGACTTTATGGTGTGCGCAACTCCCTTGGTGTCGCGAATCGTGATAGACGGGTCCGATGCTGCCCCCAAATAACGATCGTGATGCGGCTCGGGAAGCCTGGACGGGTTATCCGTGCCTGGGTCAAGATTCCGTTCCATTCTGTTTACTTTCATATGAGATATTGCATGATGTGCTGCGGCTTCCCTTCGTTTGGACTTTCGGTCTAAGTCCAGATCGGGGTCAATCCAGGCCGGGATCAATCCAAGACATACATTAGGGCGCTTATTGCTTGAATGGGTTCAAGTTGGAGGACTGAGAAAGCACATCCAATGAGGATCGGCCGGAGAAGTTTCCACCAGATAATCGACATGCCCATCTTCAATCGTCGATGGCCCTGAGCATGTGCGTTGAGGTTTGAGGTCAGGCTTATATAAAGGTAGAGTTTCCACTGTATTTGACGTCCGGACTTCAGAGCAGATGCGGAAGCTACCTTACCTACCCTAACTTACCTAAGGTACCCCTGTGAACGCCATGCCCCATGCCCCATGCCCCATGCCCCCTGCCCCTGCCATTCTTTCCCATCGGGCCTTCGCTGCTCGTTCTTCCACTCGTCTCCAAAAAGCATCATCATTTCGTCCATCCAACTGCTCATGGAGATCTGCAATCAATGCACCCATAATCCCGCCCAATTTGCGAGTAATTGCCAGGCAGTCGCAGAATGCCCCACTAGTCCACACATCGGCCGGTCAATCGCCTCGCTCAGTGCCTCGTGTGCCGTGGCAGTCGCTGTGTGCCTCCAGAAGATCAACTCTTCAGGTTCTGTTTACTACTTTCCCGTCAGATGCAATAGCTCCTGCCGTGGTTAAACGCATTCGCCTTCGCTGACAGCAAGAGCAAGCATTGCAACCTCATCCCACCTCGCTCCTGTGCCGTGAGTTCCTACCATAATAAGACAAGCATCTTACATCGAATGATGCTGCCCCGACCCCAGCGCATGTACCTTAGGCAGTCAGTCCCGTGATTAGGCGGGCATCGGCACCGTCAAAGCTGAGAGTCTGAGACGGCGCAAAGTCGCCTGCATGCCGAACGTGAGCGGGTACCTTCCTTACCGCACCTGGATAAAAGAGAAAGAGGCACAAAAAAGGTCGGTGGTTCCCGCTGCCACTGACCGTCATTCACTCACCCGCTATCCACAGTCCACCTCACCTGCCTCATCCCCGTCCACTTTCCCTCTCTCACGCGCGCGCAGATCTGACACCTCTTCCCGGCGTCACGTCTGGCCCATTGCCCCTCCCCTCATCATCTCTGATCTCTATACTGTAAACTTTTCTTTTTTCCCCTCGTGATTGTTCCCTTCAACATCAACCCTCCACCGTCCCTTTCATTCCTCCCTCTCTCTCGGCCCTCAATTTGACCACGCCCTCTCTGATGAAGGATATCACTGTTAGAGTGGAAGACTTCAATCCGCCTTCACTCTTCCACTGAAACCTTGCCGAACCTAGCGGACGCGCGGGCTTGTTGGCGGCGGATACGGGACGGGAATTCCACGACCGAAGTCGACCCCGACTCAGCTGCGAGCTTTCATCATCCTTCTACGCTAGTATTTAACCTCTTCAACGACTCGACTGCCCGACTCGACTGCCCGACCCGACTACGGCCAGGACTTCCTCATTTGGGATCGCCATCCGCGACTGCCGACCTGTCAACCACGACTCGGCTACTTTGGATTTTCTTCGGACTTCCTTCCTCCTCTTCCCGCCAATTTGCACAACCGACATCCGATTGTCGGCTTGGCTGACACTCGTCATTCTTCTGACTTTCATTTTGACCCCTCCATAACGTCAGGACGAACGCCCGAACCACGTCTAATTTCTTCTTCTTCAAACCTTCGTTTCACCTTTTCCTCCATTCGTGGGTCGCATCGCAAGGTCAACTTACTCCGGCCAACTGCCATCCCCTGCGTCGCCGACATCCAGGTTCGATTGGCCTAAATAGTGGTGCCTCTTTGAACCTCGATCGACAATTCTGCCGGAAACCGAGGAATTCCCACCGCCACCCACTCGCTCGGCAACGAATATTCACAAACTCCGTGTCGCCGCGACAACTTCTCCAGGTCCTCACCCGCGCTACATCTTCCATCTCAATTGGTCGCGGCCCATTTGCGCCTGTGACAAGGTTGACGAGCCCTCCCAACGCCAGCAAATTCGCCGGGGACTACAGCCCAATTCAACGCCATGTCGCACCGAGAAATGGTCTGTTCGACTCAGGTTTTGCTATTCTTTATTGCACACTGACCAATACATAGGAGATTCTACCATGGGAGTGCCGTGACGTAGAGGACCAGGCCGAAGCTTACTACAACCACCCTCTCAGGTCCATGAACAAGGCCCTCGTCGAGGAGAATGCGATGCTGAAGAAGCTTCTTCGAGAAAACAACATCTCTTGGTCACCTGTATCCGCCAACTACCAGAAATACAAGAGTGATTTTCAACGTGCTCGATCCTCCTCTACTGGACCGCATCCTTACCCCTATCTTCCGACAGAAGTCTTGCTGCGCATTCTCAAGTGCTCCCTAACCTCAAAGGATCCGATCATCGACCCTCTGTCAAAACTCACGCCCGACAACCTCACGGTCCTAGAGAAGGGCCGCAGTAATCAAATTGCCATCCACTTTTTGGCGACATGCAAGGCGATGCACGAAGAGGGCAATCGCATTCTATGGAGTCAGAACACTTTCACCTTCACGACCGACCAGGCTGTCAAGAACTTTGCCAACTTGGACTTCGGATTCCGTAAGAATATCCAGCATGTCAACTTCCGCATTATTGCCCAGTTCTACGATGACAAGAAGAGAAAGCACAAGCTCGAGCGATCTTACCACCCCTACCTCAAGAACGATATTACATTGCGGACAATCCCCCGGGTGAACGAGCTTACTTATGCCCGCGGCGGCTTTCGCTGTTACTCGTGGGGCCAAGTGACGGATTTTCTGCGTGCTCTCCGCCCTCCATTCGATCCTAAGCATGACAAGAAAATGGTTCGCCCCAAGCTGCTTCCCGGCCTTGCGTCACTCAGAATCGACTTGGTGAACTTTCTGGACGACTTTCTCCCCATGCCCAGCAGCGATCTGCACGACATGGCATCCCATGAGCTTGGATGCTCACTCAACGAGTTGCAAGTCACCGGTCTACCGATAGACGATACCGGCAACAAGGCCACCGCAGAGCTTACTGGGCTCTTGCGTGATGAGGGCCTCTTCCTTGCTGGTCTTCCTTCATTCGTTCAAGTCAAGAACTCCCTGAAGCCTCTGCCAGGAATCTCGAGCTGCGCACGTGTTGTTCGGGCCTGGATGTCCATTAAGGGAAAAGGTGACAGTACACACCCCGACTCTTCTCACTCGGAGTCTGAAGTTGACATGGGCCACCATCACCCCCGTGAACCCATCATGCCCCCAGCGCCTCCAGAGACCGGTCACCCCAAGTCTGCACCCAACCGTGAAGACTTGACAATTTGGAAGAAGGTGCCCAAGACCCGCGATGGTGATGACCGACAGTGGGCCGAGTTCTGCCGCAGCAGCGGCTTTCCCATGGAGGACATTGAGGAAATGATGGGCGACGATGACGAACTAGGTGTCTGTCCATGTTGCGGCGAACCCCACGGTAGTATGTTGGACCTTCTCGAGACGAGTGACGCGGACTGATGTAGATGTCCGACGGAGTTAAGATTGCGGCGTTTGGCGGGGGTCACTGGAATGAAGCGCCTTTGCGCTTAAGAGCATGTCAAACGATGAAGGACGACATGGCGAGGAACCCTTAAACATGGTATTCGGGATATGAATATGGATTATCGGATGGGAAGTTCAGGGAGTTACTTTGCTCGGGTCACGAGATTATGATACCATATTTTGCTAGGAGCACATAGATACCATGGTTGACCTGTAATCAGGCGTATGAGGCCAGCGTCTGGCCTCGTGGATGAAAAGCTAGACGATTTCAAATTGTTCTCAACTAATGCCCATTGACACAAGTAGACAAGTAGACGCGCCGTCATTTTTCCTGTGTTTGAGTGTGTCTGTGTTCGTTCGAGGCAAATACTTTAGTCGCCTTTCTTCAAAGGATGAATGTCAGCTCCAATATCATTGGGATGGAGAACATACCTACTCCCGACTTCTCACGCTCGATGTCTACATAATCAAAGTCTGTCAACCAGTACCCGAATCGAGCGTACCCCTGTCTCCAAGTCAGCAAGTCGACCTACCACTCTCCTGACCTCTGGTAGGACGCTGGAGAAGACCTCGCGGAGCTTTTACAAGTCCCAGGAGGAGTCTAGCTTGGACCCGAGGGAGACGGTTCTGTCATTGGCGGGCATTGCCGAGCTACGATGACAATGGTCGCTGTTTTCTTGTCTACTTCCAGTCCCGCTGCTGCTGCGGCGGTCGTCGTTGATGGATCTTTGGGAAGAGGAGGAACAAGAACTTGTCCAGAAGTCTGGATACTGCCCGTCGTTCTCCTTGCGCTTGGCGTTGTCGAGGACGCGGTTTACGTCGTGGGTTTCCCTCTCGGCCTCGAAGAGGGTTTGGTAAAGGACATTTAGGTCTTGGCGGGAGCGTCGGATCATGGTGGAGATTTTGTAGGTGCCCCATGTCGTTTCGATTTGGGCTTGAGGGACGGGGAAAGGGGCCTGGATTGGGCCGTTTATTGAAGTGTAGCCTATGACGCCTTGTGGAGGGGAAGGGGTGGGATGGTTCTCGCATTGATTACATTACTCTCGGGGGGTCTTATCTTTGGTGATCGGATTAGGCTTGATTTTTCGAGGTCTAGGTTAGTATCTGGTGCTGGGGTTGTGTCTCTTTACCTTCGAAGTTGTCGGTTGTTGACAGCTTGACCAACAACGACAGGATCTGAGGCTGGGGAGAGGTCAAGCTGTCTGGATATATTCTGTTCATTATATGCAATGAAGTCTACTAGCTTTTCTATGTAGTCTTGTGGCTTTGTTCGGCTTCTCGAGTTGAAGAGGCTCTTTCTTCGAGGTTGTCAAGCACACTTTGTTCCGCTTCAAGAACAAGTATTTCTTTGCCAAGCTAGCTGTTCTCTCTCATCATTGCATCAACAAAGGAGCACACGACAGGGGGCCATTTGATTTGGGTCCAGTCTAGTCAGAGGACCAGTCAATACCCTTGCCCTACGACACGTTGTCGAACGAGGGATCCTCAAGTCTTGGTTTCAAGTCTCGTGAACCTAGTGTAGTATGGACCAGCTTCCATCCCACTAGTCCCTCTCTATGTAGTCTTGCGATCGCCAAAGCTATCCCTAACCTTATCGCTGAAGAACATCAATCCGTTTGGTCCATCTTCGGCACACCTCATCCGGTTTAGGCAGGTCGAGCAAAACTTGTTGACGAAAGCAGACCCGCCCGAACCCCTAGGTCGTCAGACTTAATTAACCTTAATCGCGCAACCATTCTATTTTGCGACCAGCTAGCGCCCTATTTGCAAGGATCGCATTGGGGGGGATATTGGCGATGTGTTGAATTTTCTTTCTCGGATGGGACCAGACAGCTGGCTTACCTCAGCGCTGAGGCATCGAATCATTTTGTATCCGTATAGTGCAGAGATTTGGAGATGCCCACATGCAGGTGATTGCTTAAGCCTTGTACGGATAAAACTACTGCTGATCGACGTGCCGCTTCCGAAGCTTGACTCGCGATCTGCAGTATACTTACACAGTAAGCTTGAAGCCTTGATTTTGCGCAGTATGATTACGTAACTGTAGCCATGACTCTCATAGCAACTCCTGCGACGACTTTATATTATGGTCTTACTACCCGTACTCCGTTCATGCATACAATATAGGTACTCGTTTCGACGCTTTGTGGCCGAAGGTTCCGGCTGCAACTCTCCCCCCCACGTGTGGCAGTGGGGAAGATCCACCACATCCCGCAGTTCGCCTCCTTAGTTAGGTTCGTGGGATGCCCAGCAATGAAGTGCCGCTCTCCGAGCCAGAAAAGTCTCAACAATCCGGAGTAGGCTTGGAAAAGCGTTGACGCCCCCGGTATGTAGCGAGCAGGGGAACAGACTTGTATGATTCGACATTGGAGTCTCGGTCAAGGGAATTTGTCGGTATGAGCGAACGCCCCAGACAACGGGGGAAGGGGGGCGCACGCTAGACCAGGGCAAGGAGTCAAGGCTCGGGAAGCGAGGCGAATCGGGAAGCCGCTCAAGTCAGGTTGTGGATGTGCGGGCTGCTGTGTATACTAGCATTGTGGGCGTTTCTTTGGCAAATCTCGACGATATGTCTGGTCCTCCCAAGGTCTTCCGAGTCAGCCATCACCAGGTGTCCACTATATACCCCGGGGGAAGCGAGATCAGGGGACGGGCGGCAAGAATCACGCCCCGGTGCGAGTCATAGCCCGTTGCAGCGAATTCATAGGCATGTTTCCCCGTGCCTTGACACTTAATGTGACATTATCCCTTTTGATGGTGCTGAAAAAGCGAGCGAAAGAAAAAGAGAGAGAAGAGAATGTATGCGTGTATGGGTTTAATGAGGAAGCGAGGACATCTCGACATTTAGCAATGACTGGTTTCCCTTTCTAGTGCCCCTCCCAACATCTCGGAAATCTTCTTCCTGTTCCCTTCTTTCTCCCGACTCGGTGCGTGCTACGCCAAGGTTCACCAGGAGGAAACATTCAGGCCGGAACGACGCAACTCACTTCGAATTCGGAATCCCCGACGACGAAAATTCACCTCTCCCGCCATGCAGTTCACAAAGATGTCTCTCGCGCCACACGCTTCGGCGTACCTGGTTGCCAACACGATGGTGGCTCTCGTGACGGTGTTGGTGGTTGCGCTGCGGGTCGTCTCTCGTGTGCTGGCGGGGTCTAGGCTGGGATGGGATGACTACTTTACGCTGTTTGCTGTTCCTCAGGGACTCGCTCTGTTGGCGATACAAGGTCTTTGTAAGAGATTCTTTGAACCGGAAGGGCCATGGTGGTCTGGAGATGGGGTTGTTTTGGATGTCTTGCTGATATTCGACTGCAGGGACGTCGGCTGGCCTTGGGTATGAGCTATCGAAGATCGGATCGAACTGGACATTTATGGAAACTGTGAGTCTCTCCTTCTATATCAATTCGCAAAGGCGTGAGATCGGTACATACGCGAGAAACCCCCCCGGTTTGCTAACAATAACGGCCAAAACCTCCAGCTCTTCCTCCCCTCGGACACCATCTTCGGTTTCGCTAGCCTGACCACGAAGCTTAGCGTCCTCTTCTTCTACCTCCGCGTCTTTACGAGCCCACCGATGCGCTTGGCGACCAAGGTAGGCTTCGCCATCGTCATCGTCTGGGGCGTCGGCAACATCCTCCAGACCTTGCTGGTCTGCCACATCACCGACAGGAAATGGCACGCCACAGACCCGGAAATTTGCCGCGAGCACGAGGTGAGAATCCTCTCAACGGGGCTATTCAACTGTATCACCAATACCGTCATCATGCTGGTGCCTCTGTACACGATCTGGAGCCTGACAAAGGTCAGCGTGTCAACGCGATGGGGGCTCAGCGGCGTCTTTTTGTTGAATCTCATGTGAGTTGGTGGCCCATCTGTTTAAAACCGGCGCAAAAAAAAAGAAAGGTCGTATTCAAAATAGACGAGAGCGCCTTGTCTCTAACCATCTTCTAATCCAGTGCCATCGTCGCTTCCATCGTCAGACTCCGCATCATGATAAATGTCTACACCCTGGCGCAAATCGTCCGAAACCTGCCCGCCGCGACCTTTTTGACGGTCCTCGAGACGAACCTGACCATCCTCTGCAACAGCCTGCCAATGCTCCTGCCGCTGTGGGCCTTTTGGAAGCACCGTCGCTTCGAGACGGACGAGTACGTGTCGAGGTTGGGCGGCAATAGCCAGTCGTGCAAGCACGAGCACCTGGTGGAGGACCTGACCAACGGAATCCCGCTCGAGACAATCTACGGCAAGAATGAGGTCCATTTTACGACGACGGTGACTGGGAGGGGGGAGCTGCGGCGGCGGTCGAACGGGACGGACGAGGACGATGTTTCGGAGACGGAGTCGATGCAGAGGCTGCCGAGGAACGCGCAGGCGATTACCATTGAGACGAAGTGGTCTATTGTGGAGGAGACGACAAAGGATTGTGGGCGGGCTTGAAGATATAATGTCCCCTTATGTGATTCTTTTCTTTTTTAATATCTATGAAATGATAATGACGCATCCCCTCTGAAAACATCACCGAGACAGATTCGAAACTTGGCATCTTTTGAACCCACGCGTACTAAATGGGCTTGGTGCAAAGAGATAAAAGTATTATAGTCTCTATGTCTTCATCGCAGGAGTGTCTTCGCCCTCTTCCAGCGCTGGGCAGCAAGGCTGGTAGAATTGGACCAAATGACCTACGACATCGTGCTCAGTGAGGAATCCTTCAACAAAGAACAAGGGTCGAAATGATAGCCATAGCCGAGCCGCTGCTACCATCTCTTCTCAGCATGTTCCCCGTACCTTCTGGAAGCTCCTTCGGATGAACATGAGTTTTATCCACCATCGTCGGTGGAGAGTACAGGGATCTTCCTAGCATCCGGATCTACCTAGGATGTGATCAGGTCTGCCGAGATCGCCGACGATCACCGGGAGTACAAACGCTGATTTATTCGCCAACGGTGGAATTGCTGCTGTGAAACATGCTTTGATCGAGACAGGTCTATGCCTGCGTGAGTGTCACCTTGCGTCGCGACACGCGACGCGCGACACGGACATTGCAAAGTCGCCTCCTTCTGCAGCGCATTTCATGGCTTGAAAATTTTTGAGGAATTCACGGTACTAAGGCCAGCGATACTGTTTAGGACCGAGCGCGATCCACTATGCGCATATATCTTTATCGAGTTGAGACTAATGTTTGTATATCAGTAGCCCTTTTCTATGTGCGGAATAGTGACGATCGTTCGAGAGGCTGGTGATCAAGGAGGTGTCTCTCACGATGGCGAGGAATACAGGCAGTGGGCTGCCGTTAGCCGTGAGCTCTTATTTTTCCTTGCTATAATTAGGTAGTGAGTTGCAGCATCATGCCGTCGTAACCGTTTCTGTTACGGCATTTCGAACCGAACCGATCCTTGCCGAGTCTATAGATCTCCAATCTTAGGTAGGGTTCCTCCTTTCAGCGGACATCTGTCCCCTTGCCGACGGTCGATCCCGGCGGGCAGCTCTAGAGAGAGCAGAATGTGAAAAAAGTTTGTTGGGTCGTCGGGCCGGTGAAGCTAGAGAGGCGAAGAGTCTGGCATCACCATTCGCAAGGCAGGCTGCTTTCGGACAGCTTTGAGATGAGAAATCCCTAGGGCTCAACTGAAAAGCCGACTCTGGTGACGCACAGACTCTTTGGAATGAGATACGAAAAGACGAAAAATCCAGTCTATCATCTTGGTAAAACAACGCAAGATACAATAGAAAGAGGCAGCTCTAGAGGAATTGAAGGGGAAAAGTCAGAGATGGCAATATTCGGAGCCCCAAAAGTCTCATGGCTGGGTTGCTGCTTTACTTTACCATCGTTTCCTCACACCGGATTATTTTATCCAGCCACATCTGGGGCGATTATGACTTATTAAACGGCTACCATATTGGAATGAATTATCCACGGCAAAATCGCTTTCGAATTCGCCAATAGGAGCAATTGAAGCTAAGCATCAGAGGAAACATCCGTGGTAGATAGTAAGAAACATGGAGATTACTCTCCTCTGGTTTGTACTAGGCACCAGAATACAAGTATGTGTAAGAATTGTTCATAATCTTTGTACTGAGATAATACCTCATATCCCCTCAAGCCTGCAAATACTTGCTGTCTAACCCGGAAAGGCCGAAACCTAACCATGCGCATGGCTTCCTTGTAAATCAACAAACGGCCGCTTAGTAAATGGCTGGGGGGTATCTTGACGGCATCAAAAGTGTATATCCAGCCATTGATGGAAGCCTGGTCATAAACACAATTAAACGAAGCCCCATTGTTAGCTCACAAAGGCCGCATGAACCAGCGGCAAAGCGTCTCCATGCCGACGCCCGTGTTCTTCAGCGTCGCCGGCGCGGCGCCCTTTTTAACCAACTCGATGACGGTTTGTAGCGTCGCCCACGGTCACCCGCCGCCGGGCTGGTTCGAGTTGGCGCCGCAGTGGGTGCCGCCGGGGACGAGGTACAGGCGGTGAAATGGCCGGGCCGCTCTCATTGAACCCTTGGCAGGGGAACACGATGCTCCGGACGGAATCGTAGTATTGCACCGACGAGGCGGCGGGGATGAAATCGTCATCCTCGCCGTGGATGTGGAGGATCCTACCGCCGGCGGACTGGATGTTGCCGAGCTCCGGGTGCGTCGTCTTTAAGGAGTCGATGTACTTTTTCATGCCGTAGGGCATCCAGTCGCGGAGGGTGTCGGCGGTGACGCTGACGAGGTCGCTTGTGTCGCGGAGCTGGAGGTAGCGCGCCACCCACTCGTCGCCAAGGCCGGACATACTCAGGCTCCAGGTCTACATCGCCTCGTCGAAGGAGGCTGTGGCTTCGGAGAAGGCTGAGCCGGATTGGTAGTTGAAGTAGACGCGCTTGCCCTAGGAGTCATGAAGGCCGTTGCAGTAGTCCCTTGCCAAGCTTGCGGCCTAAGCGGTGACGGAGCCATTCCGGGCCGGGCTTACCGGCGTGGGGAAGCTGGGCCCGCTGCTGGCGGCTTTTGCTGTGAAGTAGTAGGCTTGGCCGACGGTGGTTTTGAAGTCAAAGGTGGTTTTGCAGAGGTCTGAACGCGCGATGACGCCGTCGGTCTAACCATCGAGGGGGTCGCAAGCGGCGATGTTCAGGCTAAGGATCTTGTCGAGCTGGCAGGAGGGAGAGAAGTAGTTTCGGGTTTGCTCCATGAAGTTGGGTGTTAAGTGGTTGGCTAATTGCTGTCCGGCTTTCGTATTGTTAGTACACCACAAAGTCTACTGGCGAGATGGCTGTGTGGCCTATATCGGAAAATAGGCGCGCCAGCGCAAGACCGTCAAACTGGTGGGTAAACCGCTGTGCCTGACTACATCCCTCGCGGCCGCCCCCGGAGCAACCTTGGTAGTACGAGTAGATCTTCTAGCCATCGGTGACGCTGTAGAACTTCTTAGTAAACTCTTTTCCCAGCGTGGCCGTCTCGGTGTGCGCTTGGTATTCGAACATGTAGACGGACTGCCAGTTGATATTACCGTTGGCCGTGAGGAAGACAGCGTCTCATTCCGTTTTAAAATCACCAAAGCCGCCGTCAGTGATGCCAGAGACGGCACCGACGATGATACCTGTGGGGAAGTATTGGCTTCCAGAGGTGATGGCCAGGCCGCGCGTAGCCGTCTTGCAGACGTTGGCGAGGGATTCGGCGTTGACGATGGCTGGGGCGACGGCGGCCGCGAGGGCCCATATAGAGGAAGGCATTGTTGATAGGGTTCTAGTTTAGCAATGAAGCTGCTCTCTATTACCCAAATACGAGAAGCACAATTCTTGAGACTTTGAACTGAGCGTGGCTGTGACTTCAACTACATGTTGCGTCTTTGTATGGAGAAGTGCCCATCATGATATATAACCATCTTGTGTAGCTTGACCCCCTTCGTTTCTCTGCCATACGGGAAATCCGAGCTTCCCTCTGTCTATCCGGAGTTGTCCATATTCGGGTTCCCCGAACATCGTCAGTTGAAGTGTCGGTCCGCGGGCCGAAACTCTATTACAATATTAAACTCATGCGGGAGAAAGTAGCTCACTCGAGTCTGGTCTCCGAGCGAGGCAGCATTTCGTTCGGCCGAGATCTCAGCGTGTTTCAAGCGTCAGTGATTCGTGCTCGAATCATGCTTACACAAGTACGCAACGTCGAGTCTAGGGATAAGCGAGCACTATCAAACCTAGAATCAACCTCACGAGCAGACTGATGAATCGCTGGCTGATCTTGGAATACGACGACACTATCAAATGGACTCAGATCTGGCACGTGCTGTGGTCTCGAGGGGCCATGCGGGATGCCGAGGTGGGCTGAAACTTGGATCCAACCGGAAACGCAAGCACGTCACTGAAGGGAAGGCAAAACCCACTTGCATGCCCAGCATCCCGTCTTTACCTTGGCACTCCCCTTCCGGGACGGCATGTTGACAGTTGTGGTATTAGCAGGCAAGATGCCAATGAGCTCCAGTATCGATTAGTTATCTGCTGTTCTTTGTTTTCCTCGAGAAAGCGGGGAAAATCCGAAGGTATGTTTTAATTATCTCTCATCCGTGTATCCCACACCGATGACATGTAGCATCTAGTTAATTCTGACGACACTTCCTCCATTCGATTGCTAGTACATAGCTGTTTTGGAATCATCTAAGTCTAGTATCATCTTTTCCATCGTCAATGTCAAAGGCACCTCTCGCCAGCAGAATATAATGACAAGCTGCTTGTTGCCAAGCTCTCCTCACAACTTATACAACTTATATTTTCCATAATTTCGAACATCAATACAGGAAGAATTGTCCCCAAAGATCACCTACCTGATTACACTGATATCCCGCCCCGGAATCAGTCTTAAGACTCTTGAGAAGTATTCTCAGGTTTTTGCGCATAGACAACGTGGCTAAAAGTGTCAGCATGGACCGTCTACGGCCAAATACATGAGGTGTCAAAACCTACATCTTCCAATATGCGTGCATTTTCTTATTCTTCAAGTCTCTCCGGACGCCAGCGCACAGGGCGAGAACCTCTTCTCTGGACCATTCCAGCACGCGGGTAAGCAGCCCAAGAGACAGCCCCTCGAGGCCGATATTGAGGTTAACAAACTGCCACTGCCCCAATTCCTGCAGATGGGGATCCGTGGGCCAGGTATTGAGGGGCAGCTTGTAATCCTTGCGCACAATGTTGACGAAGCCGGCCTCCTCCAGGTCCGTCTTGTTGTGGGCCAGACTTTCCAGCGGCCGCCCAATCTTGGTGGCGGCTTCTTGCAGCAGCTCGTGCCACCTCCACAAGTCCGAGTCCTTGCGGACCGAGTCATCATCGCATCCCGGCGGCAACTCGAGTCCTGCGACTTCAAAGTGGCCTCCCGGAGTCAAGGCACTATATTAAAACAAGATGTTGCGGTGAGAACGTGCAACCACTGGGGCGCTCGGTGGTGAGAGTCTCTTACTTGTAGACCTTTTTAATCATCTTTTCTTTGTTCGCGAATGCACCGTCCATGCTCCTGCAGTAGATAAAGTCAAAGGGTTCAGTCCAGGTCCATGACTTTTCCAGATCGTCGACCTCGAAGACGCAGTTGGGAGGCGCCCTAGGCCTCGGGTCAGCATACAATCGTCAAGAGTTGACACAGATAGCAGTAAGAGTCGCACCACTCAGGTTGAATCGGGCTCAAATCAACGCCAAGAACCTGTCAAATGTTAGATTCAATCTTGCAGTTGCCTTTGAAGCTTCATCTCGAACCTCGGCAGACTGGAAATTGTCCGCTACAGCTACCTGTTAGCGTTATTAATCCATGGTCTTAGAGATGAGTACGACGTACCAAAATCAATGGCCCAGATCCCCGTTCCCGTTCCCATATCCAGCACCCGCTTCGCAGTCTTATGTGCAGGGCAAAGGGCTAATTCTTCCTCCAGTTGCAGAAGCCAGATGCGATGTTGAAGATCTTTGGTCGATTAGCCACTTACAGACAGCTCATGTCTGGTGCCACCGAGACACTCAATCGGCGGCCGCTTACCGAGACGGTCATTCTCTGGCTTCGGTTCAATTATCGTTAGAACAATAACTTTTCCGAAAACAAATTAGAGGTATCATTCAGGCTGCCTTGCTCACCTCATCATTGGGGAAACTGTATTCTGCTCAAACATCAGTCCAAAATCTTAAATTCAATAGAGGTGGCACATACTTCCTGAGCTCATGGAATGATACGTCCGTCCATTTTCGGCTTGATGCTCAAGAATACTCGATCTCAGAGACACCAGCGACGATTGCTCGGAATGCTAAGGAAACACAGCAGACAAGACATCAGTTGCTATGTCACGGCTGATGAGATGCAACTGTGAATCTCACATCATCTCCATATTCCGACGTTCTATCATCTGCCGGCTATTCATCCGGGACCATATCAGCATACGCTCTAGCTTGTGATTGTAAGATCGTAAGCCGCTCAAGATTCTTCCTACATTCTGAGGGTCCTGCATGATGTCGGCCGCTGTGACAGTTCCTGATTTGACGGTGTTCGACACTTCTTATGTGATGTCCTGACTCAAGAGAGATTGGGAATTAGAGAGCACCGGCAAAGGTCGAGAAAACGGGGATTTTCAACGGCAGGACTGCAACAACCCCTCACTGATTCGATCCCGGTCATGTAGAACGTGGCCTCTCTAAATACGGCTTTGTCGATCCCATCGGCCTGTCTCGCTTAACAGTTGTTGCAGCACAGCTGCGGGGCGACATGGCTCTGGGGCCTGTCGCTGGCAAGGAGAATAGTCTCGAAAAGGCATCTCATGATTGAGAAGTTCAGTTGGTCATAACATGGCCAATCCCAATTGGTCGGACGTCACGGACTTACTAGCGACTTTGGCTCGCTGCCGGATCTTGGCAAAGTCTCAAAGAGCCTGATATGAGATAGCGAGTTCATACCCGCACCGGGTTCATGTCCCGCCGTAGCCGGGAATTGAATGTCTTAATCCTCTACTTGTTGTGCCATACCGCCCCTATTGTAGACGTCTAGGCTTGTCCCTCTCGATTTCAACATGACGGAGCGTCCACAAAACCGGCCTCTGGTATCGTGGAGGTATGTATACTAGCTGGGTATTATTAACTTTTATTGATATTATTTTTGTTAAAGTGAACTCGCGAATTATCTTGGTACTGAAATAAGTAATGGCCTGGTGTATGTAGGTAGATATAGTGAAGCTCTCTAGTAGATGCAAGTGAACTATATCACCTATCACGCATATAGCAAACGCTAGATGTAACAGAGAAAGGTCAAAACGAAGTCAGATTCAGAAATCGGTTTGAGAGAGCAGTAACAAAAATTTCTAATAATGTTTATAAGAATTTAGATGTCTTTGCTAAGTAAAAGAGGGCAGAGAAGTGAAGTAAGGTAAAAGGAGTGAAGTACGAAATGAAATTAAAGGAAAGTGAAGGAAATTGAAGGAAAGGAGAGTAAAATGAAGTGAGGAAGGAATCTGTGGGAACGGAAACCAAGAATAGGCAATCAAGCATGGGCTTCGAAGCGCTACGGGTATGCACCAGAAGCTTCATTTGGACTGCTGTTCCTTCTCCAAGCTTCCAAGTCGGTCCCTGAATTCCTTCAATCTTTCAAGTAGGACATTGGTCTCCTTCTGTTGGTTGACGTATCGCAGGTGTGATTGTTCGAATCGAACCGTAGTGACGAAAGGTCAATTGACTGTATATTAACCTCTGCGTGAAACAAAAAAGCGAAGTTCGAACCGTAGGTTAGACGCTGATGCAGAGACCCTCAGATAGCGCCAGCGCTGGCGCTGACTCGTGGTCGAATTGGGCTTCCAATCCGACACCTTCTCCAACATTTCAATCATGTCCTTGTTGTCATGTGCAATCTCTGAACTTTTTAGTTTGTCCATGGTCTCCTTCTCAAGCAAATCCCAAGACTCCCCACTCAACTGCTCAGTGGTTACATGTGGTTTCCATTTGTCGGGGGCAGATCTGACATCATCGGCTACTTTCTCTGGCGTCTTATCCGTATTCCCATACATGAATGCCATCAAGGCTGCCTGCGCAGCTTCGAGTGCAACGATTTCAGGTGGAGGACCGAACAGTTCGTCAAGCTTGGCGGATAAAGCTGAAAAAAGCTTGACTGCCTTCATCATGCCCAAAAGTCCTTTGTCGTCTAGAGCTTGCACACTCAGGTTGATGTATAGGATATGGCACTGAGCCTTGAAAACCTCTTCAAGCTTCCCCACAGCTTGAGCTTGATCGATGAACCTTGGGTGCTCAACAGTTTATTTCCGTGTAGTATAGAGCGATGGGTTCCTCAGGCTATTGCGTAGATTGGCTTATTTTTTCAGAGCTTTCGAGGATGGTTGGGCGTGATTTTGTAGGAGGGGAGAGATGGGAAAAGATAAATTGGATGAGAGCTTTCGATGAAGGGCTTCTTTTGGACTGTAGACAGAAGGTGCGATGATGGCCAGGGAAACGCCTTCTCTAGAAGAGGATGGGAGACAGCTTTTAATATTCATGCGTCAATAGTTTGGTGGATTTGAAGAGCAGCGTCTGGACAGCATTAGGACTATGAGGTCTCCAAAAAGGATCCAAGAAGCACGATTCATTCAATTTGCAAAGGAATGATAGTAAGGCATGTTCATTCACGTAAGAGGTTATTAAGACGTTGCTGTTCTGTCGTTCAGGTTAATTTCCTTTCATTCATGTGCTGTGCTGATAAGAAACCCTTGTCACCACACTGGTTCTCAGCAAACGCTAGTGCTGTTCAGACGGCACAGTTCTCGGGTGTCGCCGACAGTGATTTGATACCGCTTCCTCACTCCGCCGGTAAATCTCGTGATCAATCTTCAAAGAAGCTGCTCAGAACAGACATCTCCTCCTCGACTGTCTGTACCTTCTTGATGACCTTGGCCGGGTTGCCAACCGCCAGAGAGTAGGACGGCAGGCTCTTGGTGACGACAGAGCCAGCACCGACAGTGGTGCCAAAGCCGATGGTGACGCCAGGGAGGATGATTGAGCCGCCTCCAATCCAGCAGTCATCTTCAATGGTTACTCGGAGACCATATTCCCTGCATCTGAGTCGGGAAAGGATGCTCGCATCATGAGTTGCGCTGTAGATGCCCACGTTGGGTCCAATATGAACGCGGTCGCCAATGCTGACGACACTGACGTCAAGGATAGTCAGGCTGCAGTAATTGATTAGAACCGTGACACTGTTCTTGAGAGAGGAGAAGCAAGGGTAGGGTGTTTGCAGCGCCGGGAAGACGTACTTGAAACTGATAAAGGAATCCTTGCCCAAAAAGACGTTGCAGCCATAGTTCACCGACAAAGGCGCCTCGATAAACGAGCCCTCGCCGAGCTTGCCGAGCATGCGCTGCAAAATCTCCTTCTTCTTCTTACCCACCTCTTGGAAAGTAAACTTGCGGTGGTCGATCTCATTGAATTCGCGCGTGAGGCAGCGGGCTCGGTGGCGGCCTTCGCTGAGAATCGGGTCGAGGGGGTCGTACATCATGCCCGAGACCATGCGCTCGTAGTTCTCGCAAGACGGCTTGTCTTTGATGGAGCTCATGAGCTCGAGGATCTCGAGGTCCTTCTCCTTCTTGGCGCCCATCGTGATGGTGGTGTGCGGATTGGTGTCTTGGGGGGGTTGGTTGATGAGGTAGGCAGGTAGTGGGCAGGAAGGTGAAGGGGCAGCGAGGCAACTACGCGTCGGCGGTGGTGAAGAATTGAGAGCCTGTGGATTGGGAGAATGTTTTCCTGCCCTGAAGATGATTGTACGGGAAGGAATATGGACCGCTGGGAGGTCTTGTTCCGCGGTGCCGACATGGAAGGAAAGCACCCCCATCCTCACCTTCCATTAAAGCGTGAGGAAAGAAGTCCGGCATGGGTAAGGTTTGGGCCTCAGGCGGCGGAGCCATCACAGATCCGTAGTGTTTTCAAAATGATATCCATTTATTTATCAATCTCAGACTCCTATCTGAGAGTTTACGGGAAAAGGCTCAGGTGTCTCTCTGGCTTGACTTGAAAGCGATCAGTGCGATTCGATTCCATCGAGATAATCACAGTTCAACTCAGAACCTAAGTAGATGCATGCCCAGGACCCACATCTTGTAAGGACGCCCAAGGCACGATTTAATCATAACTTATACATCATTAACTCATTTTCAAAAGATACCGTGAGCTCGGTGTAGTGTAGCGCCTACCCAAATAATGCGCCTTGCAGTAACAAAATGCCATTCCGCAAAGCAACAAAAGCACAATCGTAACATCAACCACTCGTACCATGCTTACTCCGACTAGCCAAACGCTGCCGCGTGCTCTGCAACCTTTCCTCGTCCATGGCCGACCGCCATGTGCAGTCGCCAACAAACTCGCACATGCGACACTTGTATGCCTCCTCAATCTGCACGCCCCGTGGCTGTCGATCTGCCCGCCACCACTCCATTGTGCTATCCAGGTAGAGGTTCAGCGCCCGGTCGTCCATGGGGAACACGTGGCTGTCAATGAGCGAGCCGTCTCCGCGGTATCTGTACTCCACAGCGAGAAGCCGACCCACGGAGTCGGCGCCGTGAGGGAATGTTTGGCGCAGTTCTGATGCGAGAAGCGGGAGCAGTTCCCGGAGTGTTCTGTACTTGACAAAGTCTGGCGCCGAGGTGCTTTCTTGGTTCGCTTCATCTATTTCAGCATCGAGGGCCGCTGCGCTGGGAGATGGCGGGATATAGTTTCTATCAGGTAATGATTCGAAAAACAGCTCGTCGTGGAGGCTGCCAATCTGGGCAATGAACGAGTCGGAAAATGGCACATCCGGATCTAGACCGTACCGTCGGAAGATGCGAAGGTAGTCCAGCTTGTCCGCCGCCATTTCTGACAGGAACCTCTGGTAGAGGAAGAGCTGCACCTTTGCCGGCCGCAGCAACGCTGGGTTGTTCGGCGCTTTCATGGACCCTCGCGTCTTCACATCCGTCAGATAGATCTGTGGTATACTCGCCTGCTTCTTGGAGGGGAAGTAGTCGGTGATGCTCGACTGTTTTTGTTCAGACTCCTGGCTCAGCTGCTCCGTGAACTCCGGATCCGGGTTCTCGTAGCTCAGACCGTCAATGACACCATTGACTAGGTTCCCGTCAGCGAATCCCCATACCTCGAGCTCGCGGGTCATGCCGGTATCTCGGAGTGTTCGAAGTCCCTGGATAAGATTCCACATCCGGAGACCAAAGCCGTCTTCTTTGCTCGTAATCTCGACGCGGACGGTGGTGTGCACTTCGTCTTCGAGGTCTTGGTGGACCTTTGTCCCCTGCTTCATCGCCGCCGTGCGAGTCCTCCGGCCATAGGGCAGGCGGGTGAGTGTATAAAAGTACTGCAGCTCGCACCAGGCGCCGGAAGTCAAGTCGGTGACGGTAAATGGCTTCCGAGGAAACGAGCGAAACCGCACAAGCGGCGATCGGGTATCATTCTCTGGCTCAGGGGAGGCTTTCTCGAGTGGTCTTGGCGATGAGGGAGCGGCATTGCTATTCGAGAGGGCTCTACTCACTAAGCGCTTTCGCGTCAGTCAGTCTCCAGGAGATGTTCGACATATGACCAAGCACTCACAATCCGGGTAGGTGACGGAGTGGCTAGGTGACGTCGGGGAAAGATCTGCCTGTTTCGTATCTTCGGCAAAGGTCGCCTTTGAGCGACTCCGACTAGATCGTAAAGGGCCCTTGGCTGTGCCAGTCGTACGGTAAGAGAGGGCGTCGGAAAGAGCATCGTTGAGGCGAAACTCCTCTTCAGCGACGGTGTCAATGCCAAAGTCTGAAGCGATTGTAGGAGCGGCGGGGTTCCGCGAGGAGGTAGAGGTGGGGGCGGGGTTGTCGGTAATGAGCTGGCTCAGCAAAGTCTCGTCCTCCAAAGAAAGATCGTAGCCATATTCGTCGTCTGAATCAAGAGAAAAGGAGGAAGACATTGCAAAATGAAGCAGGAGTCATGTCGTTGCTTCGTGGGGGAGGACCCTCGTTGACGGCGTCACGACTCGGCGGGAATGATCGCCGCTAGATGGGAGAGCGCGTCAGGAAAGTGGCGACGGATATCACGAAGTCCAGTGACCTTCGGGGGACTTTGCCCCACATGTTCATCGAAGGAGGCCAATGAGAAATAGGCATGTACCAATAGCCGAAGTGAATCATGTCAGCGAGCAACAGGCCGCAACAGGCCGCAACGTCGTGTGCCTCGGCCCTTATCTGGGACGGGGCTCCCGAACGCGCATAACACACCATAATCGAGAGAAGAGATCCTCTAAAGACTCATCTCAAAGCTAGTCGTAGTTAAAGAAAGGTCCAGTAAAATTCAGCATTATTTTTTTCATTTCCTGCTTCACCTCGTGCCCTCTCCCTCCCCACAGGCTCAGTGCTAGAAGGTGTGAAAGAGAAAGAAAGGCTCCCGAGTGTCTAAGAGTGTAGTTGCCCCCATCCTGACCGTGAAATACCAGTGGAAGCACCTTTTGCGTCCTAAATTGCCGCCCTTGTCCGGGCATCATCGAAATCGATCCTAATAGAAGACAATTAGGTTTGGACATCCAAGTAAACGAATGGAGGTAAAAGCACCTAGCTCCTGATCGAGCAATCATCGCTTACTGCAGGCAGTCTCTTCCTCAACTTCTCTCCCAAAGTCTCCGCGAGCATAACACGGACACTTTCATCCGCGGAAAACACAATGTTTTTGACCAGAGCATCGAAATCTGACATGTCTGTCGATGTCAAATGCTCTCGGAAAGTCTCAAGCATGACTTCTCTGGAGAAGACGTCGGGAAGTCGCGCCAGTTGTGGAAGCTTTCCCGCAGCGAGAAACTCAGCGACGAAAACAACGCTGTTGTTCAAGGGAACTCTGTTTGTTGAGTGCTCTGCATGCGAATCCTCTTGGCCTCTCGTCACCGGGACAACCTTGACGAACTGGACGTCGTCATCGCTCTTGTCCATCACTTCACGCTTGATGTGGATCCCAATATCAGACTCAATGCTCTTTGGCTGGTCTACGGATGCCTCGCCGGTTCGTAAAGGTTGATGTCGTTTTTGGGTCGGGCCACTCTCGGACTCGCTTTGCTGATCTGCCTGCCTCTTGTTCCTTCTTCCTAGAGTAGGGCTGGAAGCGGGAATGGAGTTCCTCAGGAGATTGATAGATCCACTGTCCTGACGAAGGGGTGAGGCCGGGATGAAAGGTCCGTTGCGCTGAGGCACTCGCAGCGTTATAATCCTCGTTCGTGGACTCTCTACTGAAACAAGGTCAGTCTCGTGGTTCGAAGGGGATCTTTTCGGAGAAGCTGGTGAGGTACTTATATCGTGCTCGATATACCTCGATCTATGACGCCCAGCACATTGTCGACGTGGTCTACTGGAGCTGTGCTCAGAAGTATTGCTGGCCAGGTCGTTCTCCTCTCTATCATGGCTCCATCCGATTTGATGGTCTCTGGTGCCCAAGTCGATGCCGACGCTGTCTTCCTCGTCCGTAGAAGGGTCTGAGTCCGAAGACGAATCAAAATGGGATATGGTTCGTGTTGATTGACCCGAGTCTGAACTCTCTTCGTCGTTCTCTTCAGACCAAGATTCAGACACCTGACGATGGCGTTGCACGGGCGATCGCAACGCAGAGTGTTCCAATAAACAGGCCCTTAGTGCTCCCGCCTTCACTTTCTGCAACCAAAATCGCTGACGAAGCGAACGTCCGCAAAGAGTGTCATCTCTCCACTCTTTGAAGAAAAAGATATTATCAACCCCATGGAGCACAACTCTGGCACGGCAAAGACCGTTTTCGTCAGGATCGTATAGCGCGAATAGCTTCGGTTGGAACTTGCTCCCCAATTTGTAAACTACCTTGAAGTCCTTTTTGACGAGATCATGCTTGATGGGAGATGTGCCGCAATTCTGCACGCATTCATTGATCGTGAAACGTCTGTCATCGGAATCCCATATCACTGTTGGAAGGAACCATCCGATCCAGAGAGCTGTTGACTTTTCTGGGTTCCCTAGCGGATTCATTTCTTGGACGCTTGGCAAGTTCCAGGTATCTTCGCGTTTGAGCCAACTTTTCCGGACTTTTTGGGTGTCCAACGAGGGACTCCTGTCGTTAAACTCCAAGACAACGAGGGACATGCTTTGCGGTGGCGATCCAGCGTAATCCAGGCCGTCGTTAAACGCTTCAAGCCAGGGGTTGTAGCAGGTCTCACCGGTGGCATCCCTTATGGGGGCAGGTGGCATGTTGGATGCTGGCGATGGGCTACTTAATGATGGACTGTAGATTGATGGGTAAGATTTCTTCAATAAGAGGAGTTTCTTGTCCGTATCGATTGCTGGGAAGAATTAGCTTTTGTTTAGAGGAGTAGTGGTGTGCGGAAAATGAGGTTGATGTGATGAATGATTAAACGGACGTTACACAGAGACTCGATTGAGGTTGAGGAAGGACGGATGGAAAACTCAAGATCAGGGGTCAAAGTGAGCAGGAGTTGGTTGATTCCTGCCCGTATCAGGCATCCCACACAGCTGGCAAGTGACTTGTAATAATAACTTACTCCTGCCCATTTCTAAACGGTCAGCAGCTCACCATGTCCATGTCGTTTTGACATTTGGAGGAAGCGAGGTGAAGCTGCGTTAATTGAACCCGCAAGAGTTGAGTGTGTGCCAACGACTGTGATGGACCATGCTGCCATAATTGAAGGGTCGATCTCATGCTAATGGGTAGTAAGTCAATAAGTAAGTAAGGTTCAGTAAATAGTATCAATGAAGTATTTGAATCTAAGGTAGGCGCGGTGCTGTGAGGTGGCTTCCTCCAAACATTACCGCCCGTTACCGCTCCACAACCGGACCTCGGAGTGGCATCTACAATCCCTTCTCGTGTCTATAAGCACATTTACTGTTTTCTTCCTGAGTACGGACGCCAAATGAAGAAATTTCTTCCAAAACAATTATTATCATGATAAATAAGCGCAAAAAGCAAAACAAATCGACCGAGCTGGGACTCGAACCCAGAACCTTTGCCACCGGAAAGCAACGCGCTGCCATTGCGCCACCCGGCCCGATTGATGCCAAAATCTCAAAATTTGGTGGCCTATGTTGTGTCTCCTGTTAGGAGCAGAGGCCGGTCAGTGGCGTCCACGAGATTTTCCGCCACATGCTGCTGGGGGCGTCACCCGCCTAATTGACGATTTCTCTGAGAGCACATTCCCACAACGACCATCATCGCCATCCACCACCTTTGGAAACCAGACAATCATCGACCGCTAAAATCTCATGAACCGAGTGAGAAGTCTCAACCGAATGGCGCGAGTCCCGACAATAGCCACCGTCGTTCGCGGCGCAGGCGTCAACATCGTCCTCAAGGCAGACCAACCCACCGGCCGCACCGTCTCCGGCACGGTCCAGGATGTGCTCACCCGCGGCAACCACCCCCGGGGCATCAAAGTCCGGCTCGCCGACGGCCGAGTGGGACGAGTGCAGTCTCATACCGGTGACGCACAGCAACAGCAAGACTCGGCTTCCACTTCAACCGAAGTCGCCGACGCATCGGCCGCCTATGGAGACTCTCGCAGACCCCCATGGCGCGGCGGGGGCCGTCGGCAAGATCCCGAGGCTGAGCTGCCTTCGGCCCAGGTTGGGCTTGAAGCTTACATTCGACCTGCCAAGCAGAAGAATGGAGGTCGAGGTAGGGTGCCTGCGAACTCTGGCGCCGAGGTTGAAAGAGCGGCGCCTCCCGCGGCTTCTGAAATCGTGACATGTCCTGTTTGTGGCGAGTTTGAGGGAGATGCTGCTGCTGTTGAGCACCATGTTGCCGGTCGCTTTGATTGAAGTACGGTCGCATCAAAGCACTTCACGCACACTACATAGCTCCAGGCAAGACCTCTTACGTGGGGCAACTCCTTATTCAAAGTGTCTATTAAGGCGATCAACCCTTACCGAGTCGACATCGCGAGGCGGATTCTCGCCTCATGTTCCGAAGGAGGTGATCATGGGACTCCTATGTATCAAGATATCAAGGCTAAACCAACACAAGGCTCCACCAGCCACACGTCCACGTCTTACAGGCGATACCTGAAGCCCGCAGTCTTCCAGTCCGTCATATCCTCATAATCCTCAGGCCGCAGCTCAACCCGATCCACCATATCCGCGACATCACCCGCAGTCCCCTCCGTCTGCATCACCTTGCCGCCGCCAACAGCACCAGCACCACCAGCGCTGCCCTCGTACCCTTCCTCCCTCGTGCGCTTGGCATTCATCCATTGCAGGTAGAACCGCAGGCCGAGCGCGAGCACCACGACGAGCGCGTAGCAGATCATGATGGTGCGGAAGGCAGTGTTGTAATGCGGCTCCTCCGAGGTCTTGAAGAATTGCGGGCCGGCGATGTTGCCGGCGCAATAGGCAAGGAACAGCAGCGACGACATGGTCATCTTCTTGGTGACGCCGCGGTAGTTGGCCGAGACGAGCGACATGGCGAGCGGCATGGCGGCCGGGCCGGGGGAGAGGAGGAAGTAGCCAAAGAGCTGGACGCCGCTGCTGACGGTCTCGCGGGAGTAGATGATGGCGGCGCCCGTGATGCAGGGGAGGACCACGATGGCGATAAGGATGCAGTTCATTGTGCGGTAGCGACCCGCGATCCAACCCGTGCCGGCAATGAAGGCGGCCGAGAGGAGCGAGTAGGGGATATTGATGAGGGTGGACTGGAGGCTGGTGAAGCCAAAGGACTTGATGACGAGGTTGGCAAAGTTCTGGGTGCCGCCGTTGGGGATCTGGGTGATGATTTCCAGGCCAAAGATGAACCACGTCTTGGGGTCGATCATGCACTCGACGACCTGGTCCCACTTCCAGTGCGTCTTCTCGGTGGATCCGGTGCCGGCGATGACGACGCGGTCGGCGGCGTACCGGCGCTCCTCGGGCTTGAGGAAGCGGGCCTTGGAGATGGTGTCGGGCAGCCAGACGAGGAGGACAAAAGCCCAGACAAAGGTGACGACGCCGAGGATGATGTACATCCAGCGCCAGGGGCCGACTTTGTCGTCGCTGGAAATGTGGCCAAAGCCAAAGGCGACAAAGGAGGCGACGAGGCCGCCGACGCTGTTGCCGGCGAACCAGATGCCCGTGCGGGTGGGGATCTCGTCGCGGGTGTACCACGTCGAGGTGAGGAACATGAAGGCGGGCGTGATGGTGGCCTCTGCGACGCCGAGGAGGAAGCGGACGGTGAGGAGGCCGCCGTAGTTTGTGCAGGCGGCGGTGAGGGCGACGACGGCGCCCCAGAAAAAGGTGTTTGCGGTCATGTACTTTGCGACGGGGAGGCGGGCGATGAGGACGGAGGTCGGGTAGGTCCAGGCGAAGTAGCCAAAGTAGAAGATGCTTGAGACCCAGCTGTAGTCCTGGCCCTTGAGATGCTGTTGCATGAGATTAGTACACATGCGCGCAGATCAGATAAGTCTTAGAGGAGAATGACGCACAGTGTCGGTTCTGAGGCCAAAGACAGAGGCGCTGGACAGGATGGTCTTGTCCATGAAGTTGAGCATGTAGGTGATGAAGAGCAGCGGGATGATGTTGAGATCAATCTTTCGCACAATCTTCTTGGCCATGTTGCTATCAATGTGCTGCCTCTCCCCGTCCTGCGCCTCGGCGGGAGGGTTCTGCGGTGCGTCTGATGATGACCGCATGTTGGCGAGCAGGCTTTGCCGTTCGTCGGGTTGGTCTTTGTCGTCGTCTTCGTCGTCGTTGTCTACTGCCCGAGAACCCGAAGCTCCTGCAGAAAATTCCAGGGTCGCATCTTGAGAGCGGCGCCGGGGTGTCGTCGCCCTTTTGAATAAGGCGGCCATTCAGCAGGCCCGGGGGCGGGGGATGGGCAGAAGGAGTCCCGTCGCGACCTTTCCGCGGCCAAAAAAGAAGAGTCGACGTGCCTTATCTTCCGCCGATCTTCCCCGACACTGGCAAACTGCCGACGCGTTTGCCTCTTCCACTCCTACGCCCCTCCTCCGGTCCCTTGTCTACCAGACGGCCGTGACCACCGCGAACCGGGAAATGGACCGACCAGAACGTCTAGACAGTGATCGATAACAGGACGTCAAGAGATAAGACAAGCGTGTCGGTTGGGTCCGCTCACCGGGGGACGAACAGCTTGGCGACCGCTAGACCCCGCCGAATAGACGGTGTCTCCCTGGCGGTCCTCGAGATATCGTCCCACCTCGTGCTGTCGGTGAATACCCGAACCGACGAGATACGACGTTACTCCGCTGGTGGTTGCGCCGCCGTTGGGTGCAAGCGTCGCGATATGGAGAGCAGCGAGAGAGTTATTTGACGGAATCAACAGATGAGGAAGACGCTGTGAGTGGACAATGCACAGAGCTGCTGACGAACTGTGTGATGATTGATACCGACTCGGCGGTTATGGTTGGTCGGAGGGAAGAACATGGTGGGATCAACCGTTTAATTTTTGACTGTCTTTTGACTCTTAATCTCTTATCGAATCCTTTCTTAAGTACCCCACATTGCTGCGAACATCGGCCATCAGACCCCGTTTACTCTATTCCGGTCTGCTATGATTCGTGATGCTTTGCGCCAAGATCTCCAAACGTTCCAAAACTAAGCTTATTGAGAAATGGCAGCTGGTTTATATTAGCCGACGAGGAAGTCTTCCGTCGCGAGTTGTCGGCCCACGCCCGACGCTGCGGGCATTTACCACGCGACGCCCAGCCGGACCCGGCAAATGCGGCCGCGGGGACTAACAAGATATCAAGACATCCTAGTCTCGCCGCCATATCCCTTGAGCTTGATTGGTTCTGCATTTACACCACGACGTCTGCCACAGCCGACCTTCAGTCGAACACCAGCAACCGGGAACGTGGTAACTTGACAGAAAAAACGACAATCCACATGCAACCATGAACGGCCTCGAAATCTCACCATTCATCGCCTCCCTGCCAAAGGTCGAGCTGCACATCCACATCGAAGGCACCCTCCTCCCATCCCTCCGCTGGAAACTCGCAAAACGCAACAACGTGCCCCTCCAATACGACACCTACGAGGCCCTCTTGGACTCGTACAAAATCTTCTTCAACCACCGGCCGGAAATCAACGGCCGTGTCCCCGGAATCCCAACCTTCCTCGAGGCCTACTTTGCGGGCTGCGAGGTCCTCAAGACGGAGGATGACTTTTACGAAATGTCCATGGACTACTTCCGGCGCTGCGCCGCGATGAACGTCCGCTACGTCGAGCCCTTTTTTGACATCCAGGCGCATACCCGGCGCGGCGTGCCCGCCGAGGACGTATTGAACGGGTACCTGCGCGCCCAGCGCGACGGCGCGAGGGACCTGGGGGTGAGGTCAAACTGGATCTTTTGCTTCATCCGCGACGAGAGTCTCGAGGACGGGTTGGCGGCGTACGAGGCGGCGCGGCCGTGGGCCGCGGGCCACGTCGAGGGCGGGAAGGGTCTCTTCCACGCCGTCGGGCTCGCGAGTAATGCCTTCCAGAGGCCGCCGATGCTTTTTGAGGAAGGGTTCCGGTGGGCAAAGCGGGATGGGCTGCACGTTACGATGCACTGCGATTTCGGGCAAAAGGACACGTTGGAGCACGTTCACGAGGCGATTTTTGACGTCTGCGACGGCGCCGGGGCGGAGCGCATCGACCACGGGCTCGATGCGGCGGATCGGGAGGAGTTGCTGCAGGGGTTGGTGGATCGGGGGATCGGGTTGACGCTGTGCCCTCACGCGTATCACCGGCGGACGGCGACGGAGGTGCTGTTTCCCAAGATTCGGACGTTGTGGGAGAGGGGGGTCAAATTCAACATCAATAGTGACGATCCGGTGTATATGCATGAAGTTTGGGTGGATGGGAACATGCAGAAGGCGTATACTTACTGTGGGTTTAGTAAGAAGGATATGGTCACGTTGGCGAGGAACGGGGTGGATATGTGCTGGGCGAGTGAGGAGGTGAAAAAGGAGCTGTACCAAGAGCTGGATGCAGTTCAGACTGACTAGAATTGGAAGGGTTCATTGACAACTTGGGGCTCTCAAGGACCTCTCGTCGGTTTGCAACTTTGTGAGAATGCCTACAAGGATGTAAAGTGCTTCTCTCTAGTAAGGCACATGTGACCAGCCTGGAGATTAGAGAGGATTTCTGAGTAGTAAAGGCACTCTGTGAACAATGCCCATGCAACCATTCCCAAGTTTCGCCCTTCTTCCTCGACCTCGAATCGAATCAAGCAGCCGGTACCGCGACCTTCTTCCCCAGCTCCCGCCGATGCAAAAACTTGATCAACAACGAACTCCCCGCCATACCGACGGCAAAGAACACCATGGTAATATATCCCTTTGGATACCGAGGCGCCTCGACCTGTTGCCAAATGAGCAGCGGCAACCACGCCTGGAAAACGTACGCCATCTGATTCATCGAGCCCGTCACGAGCGCCCGCTCCTCGTTGTCGTCTTTGCAAATCTCGTGGGCCCAGGCGAACGTCAAGCCGCTGATGCCGCCGCCGAAACCGACCAGCAGGAAACAACCCCATTTCCACCCGTCGGAAATATTCCACGCCGCCAAACTGGCGTAGACGACAATGTTGAGGAGTCCGGAAAAGACAATCGGCGGCCACCGCTCCCCCTTGAAGACAGAGTCCGAGGACCAGGCGTAGATCCATGTCGTGATCACGGTGATGGCCGAGGTAATCGTCGGGTACGTGTTGTACTCCTTGACCGAGTAGCCCTCCCCCTTCAACCACAGCTGGAAGGCAGGTTGACTCATGATGCCGCTTCCGTTATTGAAGAAGATGTAGAGCGCAGTCAGGGCATAAATGTGCCAGCTCGTGAAGATCTTCTTAATCTTGGCCTTGGTAAACGGCTGCCGGTTCGCGCGCCCTTCCAGCTGCATCCGTTTCTGCGCGAGGGCAACATCGTCTTTTGTCAGCCACCAGGCCTTTGTGATTTCCGGGACATCGGGCAGGAAGAAGAAGCCGGCAATGGCAATCGGTAAAGAGATGATGGTGTCGACGATGAAGAGCCACTGCCAGCCCTTCCACCCCTGGACACCACTCAGGTTGTAGACGGCGGCCATGAGGTACCCCGAGAACATGGAGCCGATGGAGCCCGCGGAGTGGAAGAGGCAGGATCGCTTGGCGAGTTCGTCTTTTCTGTACCAGCAGCCGATGATGTATTGCATGCCCGGGTAAAAGGTGCTCTCAGCGAGGCCGATGAAGAAGCGGAGGACGTAGAGCTGGGTGGCGTTTGTGCACTTGATCATGAGGATTGTGAGGATGGCCCAGGTGCATTCGCAGGCGGGGATCCAGATGGACGGGCGGACACGGGTGAGGAGGATGTTGCTATGGTTGTTAGTCGCGTCTTCACCAGCGCCAGAGGCAGGGTTTCATGGTGAGCCAACCTGGGGATTTCGCCAATGACGTAGCCGACAGTCCAGCAAGTTTGCATGTAATTGAGCTCATTGCCAAAGAGCTTCATGTCCTCCTTCATGCCAGACACAAAGGCATTGTTGATGTTGATCTGATCAAGGTTCCTGATGAAGTCGTCAGTGAGGAACGATTGGGCCATCTGCCAAAGGGGGGGTGAACGTACTTGATAAAGTATCCCAGACTGGCAAACGTGAGAATCACGGCATCCAGCTTGAACATGAACTTGCGTTCTTCCGGTGACTTATCCAGGGTATCCCAGAGGTAAGACCGCCAAGTCAGTTTCGGTTCTTCCTGGACGAGTTCGACGACGGTGGGCTGCACCTCGCGTGCGTTGATGGAGCTGGGCGACTTGCTCCGAGGCGAGTCGGCGACCGTAGTCTTTTCAATCTCTGGGACGCCCATGGCTGGCGCTCTTTGGTCTCAGGAACAACAAAGAACAGGAGTCTCGACTGCGCGTCTGGATCGACATGATATAAACCCGCGACAAGTATGGGCAGAAAAAAAGAGGTCGGACTTTATAATGCAACTTGCGGAATTTTCTTGCATCGACTTTTCAGGGTCTTTCGGACCAACATCGGCACATACTCGCATTGGGGGCAAACTACCTTTGGGATAACTGGGCATATCGCTGACGAGGTTTCTGGATACGATGGCGTGCTGGAAGCACAAGCGCGCGTCTTCTCTTCCTATCTCTTTCAGTTGGTGCGGGCGATGTCCGACGGGCATCCTGTCTTCGACGTGCAGCAGTTAGTCCGAAGAAATATCGACAAAGTCTTGAGGCTCCCCGGCCCGGTCCGAAACTCAGCGGTGCCAAGTCATCTTGGTTAAGGAGAATGCATATGGCTCGAACTAGGTAGCCAAGCAATTTTCGACTACAGGTAGTCTATAACGTTATATAGTCGTCGTTCATATTCCTTGTATTGGTGTCTTGTCGATCAAATGCTTCGCACAGAGGTAATTGCTGTGGCTAAGAGCTGAGTGTCTGGGGAGGGGAACACGGAATTAGGGAATTGGAAGCTTACCGTGGCGCTCTACTAATCGTTTTTCCCCCCGCACCAAACCAACCATCCAGAACGATCAATTCGGGCGATGATCTCTTAAAGGGGATTGGGCTGACGTTGGTTGACGAGCACACAATCGGGCCCTTGTATCGCGTAACCCCACACGTGAATCGCGATGGCCGGACGCGCCCCCGGATCCGCTTCCGCGGGGGAGGTAGAGCTCGCAACGGCCCAACGAAGGATTGATTAAACCCTCCATCATCTTTGGCTAGATGGTCTGGGTCAGAAATCTGCGAAGCGTTCGATGAAGATCGCGTGCTGACGGCGGAGTTTGGTTGGAGAATTATTCTCCGATTTCCGTGGCTTGGTGGTTCGATGCTACGCATGGTTTTCTGGATTCGTCACATCCAATGCAGATGAAGCCATAGATAACCTCTCCCGGCGAGACCATTGACCCCGCGATTATTGGTAATCAGAGCGTTTCTTGGTGAGCGTGATCAGATGGGGAGTGCCGTGGGATTGGGCTTGGGGAGGCGCGTCGTATTAGAGACGGCGGATTTACAATACTTAAAAAGACGATGTCGAGCCTATCCATTTCACCACAAACTTTAAACATTTGATAGCTACCCCAAAGTTCAATTAAGCCTTCATTCTAGACATCTTTTTCTGAACTAAACCGCATCTCCGCACCGCGTGTACGCAAGCTGAAAACTATGGTTCCCGCCCCCATCGACCCATCAATCACCGACGTGGCGGAGCCGCGGAAGGACACCCTCGGGCTCCCGGAAACTACAAAGGCAAGACTGACCAAGGCCGGCATCGACCTGTCAAACGGGTACCCGTACCGTCCCTCGCGGCCTCTGTACCTGGACGATGCGTACAACATCCGCAACAAGGAGAGGGAGTACATCGATGCCGGCTCGAGGGCGGACAAGTCCAAGAAGAACCTGTTTGAAGCGGCGACCAAAGTCACAAACCTGACGGCGCACATTGGTACGGAGATTGAGGGTCTGCAGCTCAAGGACCTGACGCCCGAGCAAAAGGACGAGCTCGCGCTGCTCATTGCCGAGCGCAGCGTTGTGTTCTTTAGGGATCAGGATTTGTCGCCTCAGCAGCAGAAGGAGCTGGGTGATTGGTATGGCGAGGTTGAAGTCCACGTAAGTTCCATCCTAAGTTGATGTGATTTACAAAAATAAAGGCAAATATGTGGATAATTATTCTAACTGTCTCTACAGCCTCAAGTCCCACAAGTCCCAGGTGTCCTGGGCGTCACGGTCATCTGGCCAGCTTTGATGGCCACCGAGAGGAAAGCCAACTTCCGCAACCCCGGCGGTGCGTCGAGATGGCATACCGATCTGGTCCACGAGCGTCAACCCTCCGGCATCACACACCTGCACAACGACGCCGTCCCGCCCCTCGGTGGCGACACGCTCTGGGCCAGCGGATACTCGGCCTACGAGAAGCTCTCGCCCGACTTCCGCAAAATCATTGACGGAAAATACGCCATCTATCGTTCTGCTCACACGTACCTCGACCGGAACGACCCCGAAGCTGGGCCCAAGCACATTGAGCGGGCGCACCCCCTCGTCCGCGTCCATCCTGCGACGGGTTGGAAGTTTCTCTATGTGAATCGCCTGTTTACCACACAGATTATCGGGTTGGAGAAGGCCGAGAGCGATGCCATTCTCAACTACCTCTTTGATGTGTATGAACAGAATGTGGATATTCAGGTCCGGTTCAAGTGGACCCCCAATACCAGCGCCCTATGGGATAACAGGTTCGTGGCTTTTGTCCCAGACATTCAATGCCGGCGCAGCTGTATGTATGACCTAACTAACGTCGTCTTAGAATCACCATTCACAATGCCAGTTGGGACTATGAGGGCAATCACCCTCGTCATGGAACTCGTGTGACGTCTCTTGCCGAAAAGCCCTACTTTGACCCCAGCGCGCCGACGCGTCGTCAGGCGTTGGGATTGCTGGGTCCTGATGAGAAGGAGGAGCTCGGCGTTGACGGAACTATCAAGGGACTGAAGGATTTCTCTCTATAGTGGGAGGCAGTGTATGCTCATGAATGAATGTATTCTTCCCGTATTAGTAGTTACTCCAAGTCGTCGGGGTGATCGAGGCGCTTAATCGATCACCCGATTGTACGAGCAACGTCAGACTAAAGAAATTGCTTTTACAATTTTGAAGAGCCTCTTCTAGGGCCTGACGTCAACAGATCCATATATGTCCGGATTGGAAGAGCGGACATCCCTGGCCAAAAACGGAATGATTCGCCTGAGTGAGTGTTAATTCTGGAGGGGTCTGAGATATTCCTCTACCATAGAAAGCATGTGATGGGGGTGGTGCTAGGCGGACTTGACTTTCAGATTGCATGCAAAGACTTAATTCTTGGTGAACTGCTTCTCAAGCCGCTCAATCACATCGAGATCACCGGATGGAGTTACGCTTGAAAGGTTGTTGACGCAAGTAGTCTTCTCGTCCCGTTAGAGCACCTCCACCAGGGAACAGTCCGCGCTATAATCTCCCATAGCAATGATGGCGTGAAGAAGGGCCTTTCTGAAGAAGGCGTAGACGTGAATGAGTACACGGCCCATGGCATTCCATTGAGCACCTTGCCCGTTAAAGACGAAGCCGATGTGCGAGAAGTTTTTGCAATAGTCACGCTCTTCTTAGCTGGGCCGCCGAGAGCTTGGGTCTGATTTCCCTCGCAGTCTGCACTCAATATCGTAACTCTCCATGGGAAACGCAACCGGTAAGTTTAGAGGTTGTGTGTCAGGTTTATTGTTATAGAAGATGACCGCCGAAAAAAGCAACCTTGCAAAGACCTGGAGGCTTGTGGATTTTGGTCTGCAGTGTGTCGCCTTTCGGGAAAATTCCCTATCTGCTAAACGGTTCCGACCTCTTCCGCAACGCCGCCGTGAATCATACGCCCCTAAAATGTATCACATCCCACCAGACTCAACCCAAGAAAATAAAAGTCCTGAGTACATGTACTTAGCAAAGTTCACCAACGTCTGGCGTGCCGAAACACGACGAGTCAGCCGTGAACTAGTCAGTGGTGCAAGTTGTTTCAATTATTAACCTTAATCCTTCACATCCTCGCTCGGCTGATTTTGCAGCGTAAATATGAAGGGTACTCTCAAACCTCCTTGTGATACTCCAAAGTATTCGTGAACTTCGTGTGAATATACAGAAAAACGCTAGCACTAAGTACAGCCGAAAGTGCCACTCCCAACCATAAGGTATAGTATTCTATTACGAGTTAGAGCACACACCAGCGAGCTTATCAAGCGGGTAGAAAGTGACTTGTATTAACCCAAAGTAAACAAAAGAAAAGGTCAAGTCTATCTCCTGCGTGATAGTTAGGGCCACACGAGAAAGGACGTGGCAGACATCTTCGTCTGCCCTGATACGAGGGCCTACGCGACGCGAATTTTGAGTTCTCGGCCTTTGACGACGAAGACGTCCTAGGCGCTTCTTTTGTGTCAACCTTGACCAGCGGCGCGGACCTGTTCCTTGCGCAGGCCAACTTCGCCCCAAGGGGCTGGCTCCCGAAATTTTCGATCGCACACTGCTCGAGCGGCTGTGGAGTAGAACTTCTGCCCAGCCCGTCACCGAGATCCCGCGCGGGACGTGGGGCTTTCTCGGCTTCCGACCCCCAGATGCGGAAGAGGAAACCGCGGCTGGATCGACCCCACTTTCGGATCCGATTCGGACTATGGAGTCGCGTATCTTCTACATCTTCCCGGAGAACTTTAACAATTAGAAGAAGGACGTGCTATGCAATTCTGATTATGGGGCTGGGATTTCATCCAATGAGGCACTTCTGGCGTTTTTCTGGCGCGCTCTTATGAAAGTACGGTAAAAGGCAGCCATCGCATCTGGCAAGACAGCGCAGGCGGAGGAAATGTCGTACCTGTAGAGGGTCGCACTAATTTTGACCCAGAACGCCCATCATTATGCGCCGGAAATCTCATCATTGTCAAAAAGCTCGCGATGCAGATGGCTGACCTTGCCTCAGTGACCACGAGTCTCCGTGATGTCGCTTTGCAAATCCGTGCACAGGCGGCCGAAGTGAACCCGAGGCTTGTCAAGGACGCGCTCACGCTCAGGCGGGAGGTTCCGGATTACACCAAGCTGAAGCATGCATTCACCCCACTTGATGGATTTGAAAGTCATAGATCATCACATTGGTCTTACTGTTGCCGCTGGATAAGATCAAATTCGGAGCTGGGTTGTTTGGTAATGGGGGCAAGCCAGAGTCGCTGCGTCCCTCGCTGGATGCTTTGAGTGCCAATTTCAGGCTTTTGCATGGTGTTGCCGATGAAGAGCCATGAAGGTGTCGAGTTGCATGTCAGCTTGTTCGCCAACGAGATGGAGTATTTGCTGACAGGTGAAGAATTTGCAAGGTGTGCGGCATTTGGTTTACATTAATCTGAATCTATCTGTAGAAAAGGGATTCTTGAATTACCTTTATTACCCTTTATCCAGTGATTGTCGCTTCTTTCCACTCCTCAGTTCTCCACCTCTTCATGCCACTTTTTTCTCCGGCGGTATGCGGCGCTTTGTGTCGGGTTTGCGGCAGTGGCCGTTGAAACCACAACAGTTACCTAATCTATTCGGTAGCAGGGTATTTCTAGAGCTCAACTCCCTGTCCAGAAACACGCGTTTCTACGAAACCGACCTCGGCAACACCTTATTTAGAGGCGAGACAGGAACGATGCCATCGGCCGTAGGGTTCGGATTCTAAGACCCATGGGTCTCAAACTTAGCAAGCCTTATTATGAGGGGCAATGAGTCGTAGCCTCCCGGCTGCTCTGAGTCTGGCCTTGAGCTAAACACAAATCGGTCGAGTGATCGCACCCACCAGTCTGGGTGTAGGGCAGAGTCTACGCTTTAGCTCCCTTGTCCTAGTGACTGACCGCTCATTTACACCTTTGCGAGGGCGACGTGTGTTGAAGGTGCCCAGACGCGCTTGCACGACAACTCATTGATGTGCATCAGCAGCTGACCATGGGGTGCATTGGTGGCGCAGGCGTTGCGCCTGCGGAAGAAACGAGAATTGTTCTATGCGATAATTTCTCTGAGCGCCCCGGAGGCCGAAGCGCCCGCCCGCGGCCCAATGCAGTATGAGGCATTTGAAGTCTGTTCCTAATCGAGCTTGGGTGGTTTGGGGCTGTGTGGCATGGAGGCCTAGGTCAAAAAGTTTGGATGAGTTCTACAGGGCATGCGGAAGCGGCTACAACGGCAACATATTAATTGCTATTCCTATTTTTCGCGAACAAATCACATAATTTTCCTCAGGTCTCGTGGGTTTTGAAGATGCATGGTAACAGCTGTTCTACTCTGTTCTAATCAGGTAGATACGGTCATTAGATAGGTAGGCAAAGGAGGATACTAAGCCCACAGAGCTAAGTGAGGCCGCCGCCTCCTGGGGAAAGTTTGACGAGACTCCGCCTTTGTGAGGCAGTGCCCGTGATGTTCGAGAACCCGTCTATTCGGTTGGGCACCGGGTCCTCTCTTAGTTTGTCTCCCTAACCGGGCAGTCTCAAAAACCTTGATCTCGCCCACAGTTGTCCTCACCCCATCTTCAAACACGCACCGTCACTCAATATTTGGAGTGATTTTTGCACCCTCAAACTCGAAAGACCAAACACCATTGTCACTGCAGTGATCGCGGCCCTCTACCCAAACCTTTGGAATGGTAAACTTTTCGGCATCTCACGACCACAAGGCAGTTCGGTCATCTCATTACTCTGATCCAAACATCTGCCAGGATATGGCAAAGCGTACGAAGGAGCGATACCTACGAGCACACCACTCGAACGGACGGTGAAAGAACACGGAGAGGAGACTTGTGACCTTGATTACAGCGTCAGCAACTGCATAGTCTTCAACAGCAGCAACGAGAACGAGGACAACATCATGTCGCATATGGAAGACAATAAGTCTGTCCGGGTACCCGATGATGCTACCCTGTTGAGCCCCAATGGAGGTTCTCGGTACGTCGAAAGTATCTCGAGTCCTCGAGGCATAGATCCCGAACGAGGCCCGGCCCGCGACATGACGAACATTGCCAACTTCGAGTCCCCGACCATGCGGCCTCTGAGCAGGCGTCCTACCATCGAGTCGAGGCGCACCACGTCGCCGCCCAATTCCGTCAAGGCATTTGCCAATGCGCGCCGCAGAGGGCAGGACGTCGAAGCGCACGATCCGAGGGCCTCCTCGCGCAGACCTCAACCCGAGGTCGAGAGCAGCAACGAGTATGGCCAACGAGTATCCCAACACTATGCCAGCAGCGCTGGTCGTAGTATCCACAGCCGCAAAGCTCTCGATCGTGGTGCCCACGGAACCTCGTCTTCGCCCGTGCCGAAACCAAAGTCATCATCTATCGAGGACCCCAAGCTCGACAACGGTCAGAAGGATGGCTTCCACATCGACTTTGACTATTTGGAGACTTTGATCGACGCTGAGAATCGCGATCAGTTTGGTAGTTCCGACTTTGTCAATCTTCCGGATAGTTCCATCCCGGCCGTCACGCGCATGTTTACCTCTGATGGAGACTTTATCGATGTTGCATCCCAGGCAGCTTCCATCGCGGAAGAGAAGGAGACAGTCGCAGCATCTCAACCGCTCCCGAGGACTGGCCAGCACGTTGAACAGAACCGCTTCAACTACTTCTCCTCGGCGCTGGAGTCGACCATTCATGCAGCCGAGTTTGGCGACCTCGTCCTCCCGGGCGAGAGCATCAGGTCCCTGTTCGAGATGCCCGAGACAGAGGCCGACGGCGTCTGGTGGCTCAACATGAACAACCCGACCGGCAGCGAGGTCTGGACGATTTGCCAAGCGTTTGGGATTCATCCTCTCACCATTGAGGATATCATCCATCAGGAGAGCCGCGAGAAGATTGAACTCTTCCCGCTGTACTACTTTGCCTGTTTCAGATCGTTCATCGTCGTTGAAGAGGATAATGAGAAGGATTACCATCCGTTCAACGTTTACGCGGTTGTCTTCAGAGAGGGGATTCTCAGCTTCAGCTTCACTGCAAACTCGCACGCGTCGCGTGTCCGGTTCCGAATCTCTCAACTCAAGGAACAAGTTTCTCTAAGCAGTGACTGGATCTGCTACGCCTTGATGTAAGTGAACGGGTTGCCAAAGGCATCTGGCATCCAAATCATTTCAAACAAGGCATCTGAATTAACAATAACACAGCGACGACGTCGTCGATTCTTTTGGACCGGCGATCAACGAAATTGAGCGCGAGGCCGACGCGATCGAGGACCAGGTATTCATCACGCGAGTGGACGACAACCAAGCCTTCCTCCGTAAGATTGGCTACACCAGAAAGAATGTGATGAGTCTCATGCGCCTACTCGGCGGCAAGGCAGACGTGCTCCGCGCTTTCACCAAGAGATGCACCGAGGACTTTGACGTTACGCCACACATGGACATTGCCCTCTACCTCGGCGATATCCAAGACCATGCGGTGACGATGATGAATAGTCTGGTTCACTTTGACACCATGCTGTCGCGTTCGCACAGCAACTACCTGGCGCAGCTGTCGATCGACAACATTGACATGGGCAACCGGACAAACGACTTTTTGAGTCGGGTGACGGTCATTGCCACCGTCATCGTTCCTCTCAACGTTGTATGTGGTCTATTTGGCATGAACGTCAAGGTCCCTTGGCAAGATTCCGAAAATTTGAACGCATTCTTTGGGATTCTGGCCGGTATCATTGCGTTCGCGCTGCTGTCTCTGGTTGTCGCTCGACGGTTCAAATACCTCTGAGCTCTTTAAAAGTTATCAACTTTGACTTGTACTGTGTGGATTTTGCGCCGTTATACAGATTCAATGGATTTATTACGTGAGGCAAAACATCAATTCTAAAGCGACCTTTCTTGGGTCATCCAAATCGTGCACAATGCGACAAGCCCCGTCAAGGATATTTGTCAACAAAATCACCGGTTCACCTACCTTTAGTATGCATGTCTTGTTGTCGTACCAATAGAAGCCAAGAAGGAGCAGCTCGTAGCCACGAGTAAAGGAGGACGCCTGTCGCCTTGCCTCCCGCGCCACAGATCATGGCACCACCTTCCTGCTCATGGTTCCCTCTGACTTGACTCCATGATAATTGCAGCTGCGATACCCCAACCTTACCTACTTACCTCCCTAATCGCGCGGTTCCTACCGAACCAAGACGGTTTGCAACTTCTTCATCCGGCAAGGCGTCTTGCCAAGCCAGAGTATCTTCCGCCTTGGCAGCATGCGATGTCACATCCGCTCATTACGTCCTTCCCCGGCGAGAATATCATCTCGCTTTTTCGCGCAAACCTACCACAACCGTGCGAGACGTATTTCAGTCTGTGAGGGGAAGGGAAAGCTGCAAGTTGCCTAAGCGACCTCCCTACTAGTTTTGGTTCTTAATTCTGATGCTTATAAAGATGGAGGCGTGCCAGCTGAGCACTTCCCTTGGCTAGGTTTCGACCACTCGGTGCCAAGACTCTCGTCAACTTCATTAATACTAGTACTTATCCAACTCACCATGAAGGCCTCGCTCATCTCAGCCGCCACACTCGTCCCCTGGGTATTGGGTGCGACCGTTCCCAAGGCAGCCAAGGTCGACTACAACGGTTTCAAGGGTCTTCGAATCACTCTGCCCGAGGGTGCTGAGGATTTGGTCGACGAAATCAATGAGTTGGCTGCCACCATTTTAAACCCTGGTTCCAAGGAGCAGCTCGATGTCGTCGTTTCTCCCGACAATGTCGAGGCCATCAGCCAGCTGGCGGTGAATGCTACGGTTCTCCTTGAGGATGTCGGTGCTGCCTTTGCTGAGGAGGATATGGCCTCCGTCTATGCTGGTGAGTACTCTCGGTCCTTTGATACACACTTTACTCACTCTGGTGGTGGAAACTTCAGTTCCCAGTGAGACGTGGTTTACTGCCTACCACAGCTACGCCGACCACTTGAACTTCCTTAGAGACCTCCAAAGCAGCTTTCCCAGTCAGTCTGAAGTGGTTACTGCCGGCTCATCTTTCCAAGGACGAGCCCTCACTGGCATTCATATCTGGGGGAGCGGAGGCAAAGGATCCAAGCCGGCCGTTGTCCTTCACGGCACCGTTCACGCTCGAGAGTGGATCAGTACTATGGTAAGTGGCTACTGTAGTATCTGCTCAACATACTATTTAAAGGGTTGGCTGACGGATTTTTCAGACCACCGAGTACGTGGCTTGGCAACTTTTGACCAAGTACGCAACCGACTCTGCCATCAAGGCCGTCGTCGACAAGTTCGACTGGTACATCACCCCTGTTGTCAACCCGGACGGTAAGTGATCACGTCGCCATTCCATTCAGATATGCCAATGAGATTCTAGCTGACGCTCTTTGCAGGCTTCGTCTACACTCAATCTACAGACCGTCTCTGGCGCAAGAATCGTCAGACCAACACTGGCAGCTCTTGCGTCGGCCGTGACCCCAATCGCAACTGGCCGTATAAGTGGGAGCTCACCGGAGGTGCTTCTACAAGTGCCTGCTCCGAGACCTACAAGGGTGCTGCCGCTGCCGATACCCCGGAGATTAAGGGTCTCAAGGCCCAGATCGACTCCCTGTCCGCCAGTAGGGGCATCACACTTTACCTCGACGTCCACTCCTACGGGCAGTACATTCTGTGGCGTAAGTTGAACGCCTCCCCGGAATCCCGTTCTCCACCAGTGGACCTGTTCTTACATGTACTGACCTGTCTCCGAACAGCTTATGGATACGATTGCAAGTACGTTGCTCCGGATGACGCTGCGTTACAAACTCTGGCCCAGCGCGGCGCTACCGCCATCCGTGGCGTTTCTGGCACCAGTTATACCATTGGCAACGCTTGCCGTGCTCTGTACGCGACCACAGGCGATAGTACCGACTACATTCACGGCGTTGCCAAGTCCAAATATACCTACACCATCGAACTCAGAGACAGAGGATCTTATGGCTTTTCTCTTCCTGCCAGTCAGATCTCGGCTACCGTGAAGGAAACATGGGCTGGAGTCCTTGCCATGGCTCAGGCAGCGTAACGGGGAAGATGGTAGCATTGCAGACCCACGTAGGGGTGACCTGTCGCTCGTTCCTAAACAACAGAACCAGGCTATTAGTTCAAAAGCATTCCTTTTTCTTTACTTCCAGTTTCACGGGATGCCGCACTCTCGCCAGGGGTTACTCATGTGTCATTAATGAACGCCTGTGAGTTTGTGCTTTTACCTGGAAAGATCCTTGAAAGGAGAGGACGCTGTTTAAAAGTAAACCGTTAGTTGTCGGTTGAAAATACATCTTGATAGTACAGTCACATTTGACACCTAAGAGATATTCAACTCTATGCGTAATGGTCCAAATGCAGTGTAGACAGAATGATTTGACAACCCTATGAGATTCTGGACATAGGGAGTAGCCTGACTAGACCCAGTGAAATAGTTCGTATTGGAAGTATCTTTTGAGGCCTATTTGCCCGGCTGAAGAGACAGCACTTTGAAAACTCTCTCTCATCGAATGAAACAGCATATTTATCATAACTTCCTGAAGCCTTTCACTCGTGAAATCTACAAGACGTGTTTGACAGGCCATCGATGTACAAGTCATCACCTGAAAAGGAGACATCGTCTATAGACGTCTTAGATTTCGAACAGCGGTTTGCGTTATCATCGTTGATCAAAAATAATTGTAAGTCGACTCTTATTTAGTAAGAAGTAGCAGTAACTTTTCAACTTATACAATGATAACTACGGATTTGGACCGCCGACGGTGGCCCAGGCATTGACGTTGCGGTAGAGAGCACGGCCTCCGAAGCAACCGGCATCATCGCAGAACCAGCACTCCTACTGGGTGCTGACACGGATCGTATTGGCTCTGAGGACAGGAGCACAGTCTCTGGCGTAAGGAGTGAACCCTACTCCGAGCATGTCGTTGCCAAAGGTGTAACAGCCCTCCTGGCCGGAATCGCCCCGGAGAACAAGATTTAGGTTACGGTTGTCGCAAGAGGAAGTACCTGGGTAGGCAATGACTGCGCGTCGAAGTATTTGTTAGCTTTCTCACAATAAAGACACACAATGAAAGATGCAGGAGGGCCGCCGGTAAGAGATGAACTAATTTTGCCATGCTGAAGCGAACTCGTACCAATGGTCCAGCGTCGTCTTGGACAATTGACGAACGCGGCCGTGACATCGGCATCGTGTGTCGATGAGACATGCTGCAGAGTTTCGGCCAGAAATGCTGCTTCACCACAGATCAAAATGCACAGGGGGGTTGGTGGTCTCAGACTAGTCCGCGACTTGCATGATCGGCTACATCGCTCATGTTGTTTTAGTTCAGCGACGCAAGATCGTAGGGAGACATATAGCCACTAAATACCGTGCCTGGAAGTCCCTCGGCCGAGGGGTAGGCGGCGGCGTCAAGAGACAGATTGTTGTTGCGATTTGGGATCTGTGTGATTATGGAACCAGGTGCACGCTACAGTGAGAAAGATAGTTTGAGTTAAACACCTGGTAAGACAACGGGAGCACGGGCTAGCGCAAATCAGAGTTTCTACGGTATTGCTTGCCACGTGCCTCCAATACCTAAAGCCTAAAGGGCACGTTCCCAAACCCAAAAGTAAAGCGATGGCTCTAAGTGTGGAGCGGAGCTAGACTTGTGAGGAATTTATGAGGGGAACCTGTTGTCGTGTACATGTAGAGATTGCGAAACCAATTAGATCATGATGCCGCCACTATCAGTTCCTAGAATGGCGGCTGAGGCAGAATCCCAAAGATGAGACATCAGGAAGAGGCTCAATGTGGCAGCAACAAACAGTCATAGGCAGTTAAAGACCTGGGATCACAATATGGCCCGTGATTGAGCACGGTAACTTGAAATCTGACTAGAATTATTTGGGTTTTAATCTACAGGGCAAGAATTAAATATGTTTGTGATTTCACAGCTTCTTGCCCGGGGTAGGGGTGTAGGTGGGATCTGGTGGGAGGTCATTGAGAGGAATATCTGGTCCTTCCTCCACAGGGTCTGTGTTCAGATCGCTAGGGGTAACTGGCGTGGAAACCCTCGGAGTCGAGGGTGTTGTTGGAGTCGCAGCACAGTTCACATCAGGCTCCGCCTCCAGGTTTGCGTACAAGTCCTCATTGTAAGCTGCGTCAAGAGATGCTTGGAAGTTGGCATCGGTGAAGGGACAGCGGGCATATTCGTAGCGGATGGCATTGAACTGCTCTTTTGCCGCAGTCGACAGCTTGTCCCAGCTAATCAGTGGAGGGCTGAGCCCATACTGCGCGTTGTTGGCCGAGGGGAAGACGTTGGCTTGTCCGTCGTAGCCCACGATTGCGTGTGTGTTGGGAGAGCCCGTCCCACTGTCTCCGGAGGTGAACATCGTGGAAGGGGTGAGTCCCTTGTCGTAGGTCTCCGTGCCTGTGGAGTAGCTGATGCCCTCAATATTGTAGTCACCAGCAGCCGCGTTGCAGGTCGCGGTGTGCAGCCAAACAACGACGGTGAGGTACGAGTGCCTGTGTTTCTCGGTATCGGCCTGGATCTTGGGGAGGTACCACGAGTACAAAACTGCCTTGCGCCCGTTGGAGGTTCCAACCCGGGAGTAGACTTGACCCTTGGCAGAGTCTCGACAGTCTCCACCACTTTTGCCCCTAGGCTCGAGGCCGGTTCTAGAGAAACAATGCATGAGCTACAAGCATGAATGAAGCGTCTGGGGACATGGCGCAAACTTACCCGTGGTTGCCATCTTTATCAACAGCCGCGTACGGAAAACATCCGCTGCCGTCGTTCAACCAAGGTTTGAAACGAAGTTCAATGTCACCCGGCGTGCCGTCTGCCGTTTGCTGTTGGAAAGGTACGATTTCGTCATAGTTCTTCCACTTATCGCCCAGTGAAACATCACCGTCTCGGGGGCGCAGCACACCACCATTCGCAAAAGTCGTCAAGCCAAGGAAACACGAAAATAATGAATGACGCATAATGTCTGTTGTGTATCAACGAGAGAATGGAGCCGAATGAGACTGATTGTTTCAATTTCAAACCACGGAGAGAACCCCGGGTGATATAGCTCGTTTGATCACAGCCAAAAGGGGAATCGTCGATCCCATGGTCATTGCAGGCTAAATAAAGTAAGTAGTAGGTGACATTTCGAGATCGGGGGGTCCGAACGCTGAACAACAACTGTTTACCTGTTGAGTGTGAAACTGAGTCAGTTCATTAAAGATGCCAATTAAGGTACTGTATTGTGGGATTCCGCTTGACAGGGCAGTTGTGACAACCGGTCTCTTCCGTGCCAGGGGTCTACCATATCGTACCAAACATAGTTGTGCTGGCCGAGTCAGTGCATTTGCTGTCCAGGACAGCAAGTGCTTTTTCCTTCACAACTTAAGTCAACAGGCATGCTATTCCAAGGAGGATCGTCATTCATCCAGGTGACAGTCCACATAAGCGATTCAGGGAAGGAGCCACTCAATTTTCTTTGACCGAGCCGAGAGCTTCGCGATACTCCACCTCTCTTTTTGAACGACAAGCCAAACAAGGTTTCGGTGTCACCGACAACTGGTTTGAGTGATCGAGTTCAACGACTGATGATATATAGCTTGTGACGAAACACAAGTGAGATTATCTTCTCAGTTCCGTATCATTGTAAATCAACCCTTCGATCTACCTTCTCAAACAGCCTACCATCGCGCAGTTGACTCTTAATTTCTAATCAGTAATTCAAAATGCTTTCAAGTTATTGTCATGCCATTTTCTTGGCCCTTAGCGCCATTATAACTGTCGTATGTCGCTCCAAGATAAACCACGCTAGCCTCTATTCAGGCTATTCTTGCTCAAATTAACCTTTCGCTACCGCATAGATCTCCGGCCAACCTTTCCGACCATTCGCCGTCAGTACTTATAAACCATTTGTCCCGTAAGCTATTGACTGACTCTGGTGCAGGGTCATGGAGCATACTCTGTCGATGCGGAATCAGACGAGGCCGGCAACAGATGGGCCTTCTCCGTCTATTCAGACGGCTACACTGCACTGGACGAAGAGGGCAACACGTCGCCTGTCGACACTTTGCTGATCAGCAAGGCCTCAAAGCGTCTGACCGTCATCAAGGCCATGAACGGACACGACACCACCACACCCCGCCTCAAGATGCGCCAGGTCCTCAAAGAATGCTGGAAGATGACTGGCCTTAAACCATCTGAGCTGAAGGAAGTCCTGGCCTACCAAATCGAGAACGAAAATATGAAAGCAGCCATCGCGAAGTGCCGAACCAGCATCCGCCTTCCACCTTCTGCCTCATTTCAGGTTTCCAGCACGGAGACAGACGCAAAACGCCAGGCGTGCTGGGATAGGCTCGGTACAACAATCTTCTCAGCCTCTATCCAAGGCTCGATCGCGGACTTCGGGATCAACAAGAATCTCGTTCAAATTAAGGTGGACAATGGCGGAAAATGGGATCACGTCTACTATGAGTTTGCTTAAGCAGACCAAGATCATTCGCAACCACAGGTTGGTAGCTCCAGAGTCTCAGCGAGCTCGCAGGATGGAGGCGGCGGCTTGAGCGTTTAATTGTGAGCGTCTTTGTTTGTGCATATTGAATTATTGAGAAGCGTACATATAATCAAGAGCCAATACTGTCCGTCGCTGGCACAGTCTATTTGCGTCGTGGATGATGGTGTCAACTTCTGCTATTCCATTGAGCTACACAGCATCGTTGGTCTGTCCGTGCAGGGCAGTTGGGAATATTTCTGCCCTCGAATAGCATTTTACATGAGGGGCTAGCAAGGGTTACTCAACTTCATATAAACTTCCTTAAGAGCAATCGTCAAGAATTTCTATTTGAGCTATTGCCAAACTACCTCATACTGAGCAAAAAGCACATCGTCAAAGGCTGAACGAGCCAGTGAGAGATGGCTTCCCGTTAGCCTAGATTTGAACCAGTGGACCGTGTTCTCTCGATTTTGGACCACACACATTACCAGCTCCTGATCGAATATGAACGAGAAAGGAAGGCCTTCAGGTGGGTGCTTTGGCTTGCAATTTCCTTGCAAAGAGAGGAAAGTGTAGGTAATTAGAGATGCCGAGCGCGACTAGATGGTGCCAAGAGCCTCAGAAACATGGCAGAGACTGAATGATGTATACGCAGTGCGACGAAAAGAGGCTGAGTTACAGGAAGCGAGCAAGTGGCCTTGCCCGGGATGCCAAAACGCCCGGCGAACTTTCCACCAAGAAAAAGAGATTCCATGTCGCAAAGCTCGTTCACGGTAGCGTCGCAAGGAACTTTGAAGCTGAAGGAAAGGCAGCAACGCGCCATGGGATCGACCATTCCCCGCCAAGGACAAGTCGATCAAGGGTTCTACCGGGACTATTTCGAAGAGACCGGCATTCTCCCTTTCAGTATTTAGCTGTCCATTTCTTCTGCAATCCCTGCCTAATTGCTTCCTCGATGTTTTGAAAGTCACTGCGCATGTCTGTTCGATGTAGACTGCCACTCGTCGTCATCTTCCATCATAGGGTAAGCACACAGTGAGTACACGTCTTATCCCAGCTGAATAAGGATATTGGTGCGCGACCATAGAGTAGATTTGTGGATACTAAAGTCACTTGGCACTATCATTCTCGAGGTGCTCTAGCGTTTATTCAGCATGGATCGTCGGTGAATCTAAACGGTAACTTGGAGAGTGAAGCGTTGAGATTCTTCAATCATGGCGCGGTGAGTTCTCATGGTATCATTTAGGTGACAAGATGTGTCTGCTAACAACTCTGAGATCAATTAATGGAGTACTTATTAGTCCTCTAGGCTTTATAACTCTCTGATCCGAGTTTTCCAAGCTCCTCACATCTTGGGCTGATGGATAAATACTGGAACCTGTGCTGGGTCAAGCTGTGGAGTAAAAGGCATCTGCCGAAAGACTCATATCTTATCCAAGTTACCCTTCTAGCCCGGCCATCTCAAATCTAGCTGAACTTGGTCTCAAGATTGACCACGATCTTACGGATGCCGCTAAGCTTGCCCCGACCCTTAGTCTTCCAGTACTCAAGATGGCTTTCAATAATCTCATTGACACAAATTCGGATTCAATTACCCAAATAGCCTCTTGTCTCCATTTGAAAGTGAGACTACAATTCATAAAGCTGATTCCCAGCATGATGAGTACGGCTGAAGAACACTTGAGAGCCGCAGATGAGCTTCGAAATCTTTCTGTCCAAGGGGGCGGAAACGTCAAGGAGATATGTGATCATAGATGGTCAACCAGGTTCAACCAGGTATTGGTCAGCATCAAGTGTGACGATTTAAAGCATTGTGCAGGCCTTGGCACAAAGCGGCCATCATGACCTCGTGCTTGGCGGGTGAGGAAACCAAACGGTGAATCAAGAGCAAGCTTTGTCACGTCGGAAGGACGTCTGGCCTCGGACTAATGACAATCATTTCCGGCAACTAAGGTTAACGCTCACTAAGAAATTGAAAGTTTTATCAGTTGTGGCAAGTAAATGATCTCTTCTCAGCAACAATGACGTCGTGATCCACGCTCAAACAGCAGCTGCTAGTCGGTGGATGTATTTTAGTCCACATAGCGGCTTGATACCGAATCGGTCTCTTGCCACGAATACTTTCCCAGCAGTCTCGTCGTAAAGTACAAAAGCAAATTCACCTCGGAGACGGGCCAAGAAGCCAGGTGCGGCGGGGGAGGACGGATAGCTGGAGGAATCGAAGTGGGCGAAACTATATGATGCCTTCGTTGGAGGCAGGATTCGGTGTCAGCACAATTGATGGCAGTCACTCACGTAAGTTTGACGATGCATCGGGCGGCGATACATTTTGGGGATTTCCTAGCCCGGGCCACATCAACTGGCATTTTTTTTCTCGACTTCTCCCAAGTTACTCTATGAGGCATGGCTGCGATGGGGAAAGCTCCCACAGAGTCTTTATACGGAGCTTCTCTGAGGTATACATAATTTTATGGCGATTCGACTGGAGGAAGGTAGGCATACATGTTGGCCCAATGATGTCCCGAGGAATTCCATGGCATACTAGGTGTCTACTCTGCCACCAATAGGGATAAGTTCCATTGGACCACTCTATGGGCTCACCAAGTCATGGATCAGAAGGGTGCCTGTGAGTTTGAAACAATCGCAGCTGCGGCCTTAATAACTCGCGACAGTCTCGATGATGTCGAAGACGGCGTCATTTCTATGCCCACCATTGCTTTTTGAACGCCCGTACTCTCGGCGGTCGGCCCTTTGCTTATGGAAGGACAGAAGCCTGTCTCACAATTGAAGCAACAAAGGCGGCGAATGCTGCCTGGACGGTTCCTCGTAGAGTCACCGGCGAATTTGGGTGACATGAGTATAATAAATATGCCAAATTGACGACATTCGGGCCTCTGCATGTGTCTTGTGGTAGCAAAGGAGAGACTTACGCGCAGTCAGATTATCCATATTTGAGCCATTCGCCCAGTACTTTGTTGCCAAAAACACAAGCTCAATCTTCAGGCCATTGATCACACTCAGTGGTACGACCCTTTTATTGCTTCGCAAAATGAATGCGAATCAATCACTGGCACGTCCGATTCTGACTTGAGCAGGTTCAGCAAGGCCGGAAGGAAAGCTGCTCAGTTGGCACGGGATGGCTGATGGATTATGCCGGTCAACGGGACCGTCGAAGACACAGATAGTGTTCTCCATCAGGATCCAAAGGCCCATGATTACTCTCGAACGTAACTTCGGCCGGGAGCAGATTGCAGTCTTGTCATTGGCCAGGACTCGCTCCGCCCAACCTGCTGTCCGCGCTGATTGACTGGGTCGAGAAGGGAATTGCTCCAGTGACTTTGCGTGTTGAGGGACTCTACGCTTGTGGTAAGCACATGATAAGAGATATCTGCATATATCCTCAGGTACATCACTACGTTGGTGGCGACCCAGCAGCTCCGTCCTCTAGTGCTTGCGTTTGAAGCTGGAGAATTTTCATAGACAGTCAGCCCTTGTAACTGTTGAGAGAGGAGGAGAACATCAATGTCTACTACTAGCAGCGACCGTGAAATGGCAAATACTGCGGCGAAAAATAGACGCGGTGATCAAGTTTGTCTCTAAAAAAACCAGTAACTGGCTTGGTGGACTTTAAGGTTCGGGCGACAGATAAAGGTCCAGCAATAGAGGCAATTATCAAATTCTAGGCGGATGCGAGACAAGACTGAAAAATGATTCGGCTAACTGGTCTTGGTCTGGTAAAGCTTTGAATCCGTGGCTTTCTAACTGATGTCCACAAGTCAAAGCCGAGGTCACGCCGCGGAATTGTACCGTCCGTCATGAGTTGTGGTGGTGGGTGGGGCCGCCTACTCCGCGTTGAACTCTGGCGCGCGTCTCATCCACCATCTTAAGGCGACCCTCATATGCAAGCTGCTGATGAAGTGACTTCATGACTTATGTGTAAAGTGGATCAGACATCAAAGGACTAGAGCCGCTCAAGCTTATTTTCAACTTATTGTGGTTGATTTGGAATGATTACAGTGCCACTTTCGGACTTCAACTAACTCCGCTATTAAGTCCCGGTCTTTGACAAGCTTTTTATTTCGTCATATTCTCCGCTCGAAACACCTCGGCAACTCGGACCAATCCATCTTTCTAATAAATCCAACTTACCTGGTATTTCATTCAAAAAGGTTCGCTTTGATCCAAAAAGTCACTGTGCATCGTGCCCGCATTACACCTCCTACTTTCAAATCACTACACTCGAGGGTGTACCTTACTATCGCCATGGCTACTGACTACAAATTCGAGGGTTGGGTGGCAGATGATCCCTCTTCCGTGGACGGGAAGATGGTCTGGCGAGAGTACGAGCCAAAGGTCTGGGAGGAGACGGACGTCGATATCAAAATCACTCACTCGGGTATTTGCGGCTCAGATATTCACACGCTGCGCGCTGGCTGGGTAGGTTGCACATATGAGGCGTTTCAACGTCCCTTCAAGCCTTGATTGGCTTGCTGACCAGTGTCTCTAGGGTGCCACCAGATTTCCTTGCGTCGTCGGCCATGAGATTGTCGGTGTGGCTGTCCGTGTTGGATCTCAGGCAGGCGATATCAAAGTCGGCGACGTCGTCGGCGTAGGTGCCCAGTCCGACTCATGCCTGTCTCGTGACGGCCCTTGCGATGCGTGCGAGGTCGGCGAGGAGAACTACTGCGCCAAGCGCATCAACACCTACAACAGTCTTCACCGAAATGGAAGTAAGACGCAGGGAGGCTATGCGCTGTACCATCGCTGCCCCAGCTACTTTGTCATCAAAATTCCGAAGGGCATCGCACCAGAGCAAGCCGCCCCCATTCTGTGTGGCGGTGTGACCGTCTTTTCACCTCTGAAGCGCTACAATGTCGGGCCCGGCAAGAGGGTTGGCGTCATTGGCGTCGGCGGTCTCGGTCATTGTGCAGTCTTGTTTGCAAAGGCTCTCGGCGCGGACAAGGTGGTGGCCATCTCGAGAAAGTCTGATAAGAAGCAAGATGCCTTACAGCTTGGTGCGAACGACGTCATCGCCACTGCTGAGGACGAGGAATGGGCCACGAAGAATGCCGGCACTCTTGACGTGATCATTTCAACGGTTGCGTCTCCCAAGGTATGTGGACATCACCCATTCACCAAGACATGAAGGATTGAGCAGCTCACACGATGATAGATGCCTCTGGGCCAGTACCTCGGTCTCCTTTCGCGAGGTGGCACCCTTGTGCAAGTCGGTGCTCCCGAAGAGCCGGTGCCCTTGAGCCCATTTGCTCTCATCAGATCTAGAGTGCATCTGACCGGGTCGGTCATTGGTAGCCCCGGGGAAATTCGAGAAATGTTCGACCTTGTCGCTGCAAAGGGAGTGAAGGTCTGGGTTGAGACACGCCCAATGAAGGAGGCCAACCAGGCAGTTTTGGACATGGTTGAGGGAAAGCCTAGATACCGATATGTCTTGACAAACTGAGACATCCGCAAAATTTCAAAAGGTGTATGATTATCTACAAATATTATGATGCGAAGTTTGAAACCTGGATCCGTTCTATGCCTTCGAAACCTGTCTGCTGTCATTCAACCCATCAACTTACCCGAGGACTGATCACCGCTGAGTAAGGATTTATCTGACCGTAATAGTGATTGACACTGGCTTAGTTGCAATTGTCCCATTGGCAAGACATCCGGTGGCGAAGGTACATGTCCAAGTTGCAGAAGTCTATTCTCTCACCAAAGTTACTCATATATGTTAGCCGCTATCATGCGCGCCTGGTTGGGTTTTTATGTTGCGTTGTCTCTTGCCGGGTTGTAGGCCAACACAGTTGATTTTGACCAAGCGAAGTGTCCTCAAGGTAAACAGATATTTCCGCCCCTTAACTTTAGTCGTCCCGGGTTTCCACGCGGAAGGAAAGCTCTCAGCTTGGCTCAAGATTTTGCGCGTCTTGAAAGATAATTACGTTATCTGCAGCATTGGCAGCTACCACAACGGGTAATGCATCCTTTCAGCAAATGCTCACAGACGAATTCTTACTTAATTACATAGCATGGCCACTGGGTACAACGGTCAAAAACCTTGATTTTGCGTCGGAACCCCTCGTTGCAATTTGTTCGAACACCAATATCGAAAGCCGTCTTCCGATTCCAATGTTGACAGGAAGTGAGCGATTCGACAAATATAAGGTAATTGATGAGGCACTACGGATAATCAAACGCACAATGCCAGATAAGAGTTAACTAGGAAGAAGCGAGGCTCTGCCAACATTTTAGGCGTAGTCCAGCGATCTTACTCAAGCGTCGGCTGCCACCCCGATGTGGATCTGAACCACTGTACGGCCGGGAATCTGCTGTTGAGATCACGAAAGAAGCTCGCATTAGCCGTCCTCCGAGGCCAAATCGTTTCACTGTTTCCTATGAAGCAATAACTATCCCGCGAGACGCCAGGGAGCTGCCTTGGGGAACATACTCAACCAAAGACACCTTCTCGCCCCATGTCATGGCTCACTCAAGTCGACAAGCTGCACCAACAGATAATCACTAGCAAGGGAGTTCGCACCGCCATCATCGACAGCGGTATGTACTACAACTACCCAGCCCGCCCTGGGTGGATGCTTCGGTCCCAGATGTCTCGTGGAGGCCAGCTGTGATTGTACCGTGGACGACCTTCCTACCCGGAGTCAGACCGCTTCATTCCCATGCGGATCCGATGTAAAATTGCGCTGGCCACGGCACTCACGTCGCCGGTATCATGGCTGTACAACTCGAGAGCAACAAACGTCGAATACCGCTTCACGGATGCCGCTGTGGTCGCTAAGCTGGCCGTATATCAGTCGTGGGGATGCGCCTTATCATCCACAACGAGGTCTTGCTTGCTGCATTCAGCCGCGCTTTTGAAAAGGGGCTGATATGATTTCATGCCTTGATGGAGAGTTCATCTTCGTATTTGAAGTCAGTTATCGAAAGCCTGTCACCACATAAATGTACACATTTGTAGACACCTCGGACCACCTCGGAGCTGCCTCGTTCCCCAACCCCATCGTTAAATAATGGGCTGAGCTTCAATTCAGCTAAACAATATAATTGATGGCAACATGGAAACTTGGGTTGGTAAGATGCCTGACGTTATTTTACTCCTAAGTACCTGAGTGGTGAAAATGGGCGACGTGATAACTGTAATTTGCAAATGTTGCCGAGTACCAAATGAATAATTTCTGGTCTGTAAAACTACTAGCCTTATCCACGGGTTCAAAGCACATTGGTATATTGACACAGCAACGAGGCTTCGAAAACGAAACGCACATAGACATGCTCCGTGAGTTCTTTGCATCGGAAACTCATAACTCCATAGCACTAGCCTGCATCGATGTCGAGATTTCCTTCAGTTGAGGATTGAGGATCCCAGACAGCTCGTACGCAAGTTGGAAAGCGTGCTTTTGTGGTTGAAAGCCAGTCCACTCAGGCATAAACCGAGTGAGAACTTCAGCTACAAATGCTTACTAGAATGCACATCCTAGTACCTGTCGCCTTTGCCGAACTTGCGAAGCAACGGTAAATAGGACCAAGAGCTTCACTCCATAATCAATCGCGCGATATCATCGCCTCGTTATGAAACTAAGTCGGTCGCAACATGTACAATTGAAAAGGAGCGTTCTGGGCCTTCTACCCGCACTCCTTGCAGAAAGTATGCTTGCCCTGAAAGGCTCAACCATAGCCCCAGACCGGGAAGCTGCTCGACCGCCTCTTAAATCAGCCAAAATGAAGTTCTACAACGAGCACTTTCAGATCATAGTGTAAAGTGTAAGCTTACTTACCTGCAGATAAGTCGGGATGAAACAGTTTGAAGATGCTCTGTCGGAAATTGCTGCCAGTTTGTTAAGCCCATTATCATCTCCCATCGCTTGGAACGCATGTGATGTCGAATACCCATGCTTGTCAATGCTATTGGCTTACAACAACGTTTTTATATGCTTTGGAAACCACTCTCATTCATGTGGCTTTTGTTCATTACCCATACTTCTTCAGCGGGGACTCGAGATTGTATTGGAAATTTGCACTTTACATATTTGTTCCGCAACAGCCTGTTTGTTTTTCGATTTTCGTCGTTTCCACTCCAGTAGCCAGCTACATCAATGTGAGTGAATGGCTAAAGTTGCCTTCCTTCCCGCCTGTCCGTTTTGCGAGATACACAGACATTCGGCTGTTCTTACCAAGTTCTCATAATGACTCGCTTGCCAGTCGGGTAGACCTACGACTTCATCCAACGACTGAAGTTCAAGCCCTCTAGAATTGGCTTTGAGTTTCTTGGCGCCCTGAAACGAAACCTTCCTCGTCTTGGCATCCAATACTTCGGACGTCTTGTCTCCATCCGGAGACAGCCACTTTGGCTTTCTTTTCTTGTTTTCTTTTTACTGGAATTTTGCCCTTGACTATGCAAACTCGAAGCGCGCTATATAGGATGTCACTGCGACCCGAGCATGTGGGATTGGCCTCGCTTGCTTATTGCTCCTCTTTTCCCGATTGAGTGCAGCAGGGAGATGCATCCAGCATCATCCCCAACTGATGATCGCTGCATCTACATTCCCGGCCTAATAGCCTTCATACTAGCTCGGCACCCACCGAGCAGTGACGACGATTATATGGGTGGCCTGGTCTATATTAACTTGCTACTGCGGTCCTATAGGTCGAGAGCTCCGCCGAGCGCTAAACCTTTCAAGCGGAATGAAATATCCTTGCGAATCGGACCCGGCGCGGACCACATGTCTTGTCTCCGAGTCTTTCACCTTTTATGGTATGATTTGCCTGCCTTTTGCCATCTTGGAAAGCCTCCGCGAGCACTTACCTACGCCCAAACATTCGGGATTAGTGTCCTTCAATGGCTTTCGCCCGGTACTCGCATGGAAGCACGCTAGTGACACGGTCCTTGTCTGTTCTCATTTGACCCTTGACTCAGGGTCAACGTTCCGTTTCCGTGTAAGGACTACACTGAACACGCCAGAACTACCTAGTGTAGTGTGCCAAGCAATCAATTGATCGTCCGGTGGGGTTGACGGTCGGCCAGTGGTTTTTCTCTCCGAGGTACTGGGGCATGCAGACAACGATTGAGCTTCATCAAAAGCTTCATTCCCTCTCGTCCAAAGAATTGCCCAATCGTAGGCATGGGACAGGCAATGTCCTGAAACTTTGTGCGGGAAAGTCAAAGAACAACCCCCCGCACGTCCGGCGAAGAAGAGCTCCATTGGGAAGCTCAAAGAGCCAAACCGCCTCACATTTTCTGTCTCATCCGAGAGCATGTTTGGATTCCCCATGTAATTGAAGATTCAAGAATCCAGGGTACAGTGGTGTTCTATTTGGCCCGTGATTCCGTGATACCAGGATGTTGGAAAACGAATTCAGGGAGCTAGCCAAAGGATAAAGATCATCTACGTCCTTTAGCTCCAACCTTGGACTTCGACAGTTGCCAGTGCGCCCGATACGTCCTCGTTCTCTCATCTAATTCAACATCAAAATCCCACAGGTGCTTGACGGCAATTTCGTCGGTCGCCATTCACTTTCCACCCTGCGGACCCGAACCTCAAGCGTAATTCGCCTTTCGATCACCATGAAGTCTCTCATCAGCGTTATGGCCTTACTGGCAGCTGTGGTGGTTGCTCACGGCGACAAGCCACCAAAGAGCATGTCTACAACTGAATTTCGCCAGGCTTTTATTGAAGCCGGTATCGTTCCTGATGTGATGGGATCGTTCGACCCGATGGTATCGTTCTACGCCGGATACAAGGCCAGTGATGGTGACAATGCACTGTTGATGCCTGGTACCAAGCTCAAGATGAAGGAAACCAAGTTTCCCTTTGAATTCAGCGTCGAGAATATGATGATGGCCCACAACGTCACTCGGACCTCCAGATTCGTTCTATACATGGTATGGCTGTCTGCCTAGGAACTGAACAAGAAGCCAGAAACCCTCTGACAAATGTCAAAACAGATCGGGCCCGACTCTCCAACACGCGAAAAGCCTACCGAGCGAAACGTGAGGCACTACCTTGCTGGCAACTTCACGCTTGAGCAGACCAAATCTGAAGTGCTGTCATCGGCGATGATTATGAAAAACTCCACTCCCGCATTCAACGACTACATGGCGCCTGAGCCCAAGTCTGGAAGTGGCATGCATCGATATGTGTATCTTCTCTATGTTCAACCTGAGAAGCTGAACAAGATGGGCTTCGACGCCATCGGCGTCGATAAGATGAACCGCAGGAACTTCAATGTCAGTTACACGTACGGGAAACAATTTGTGACACCATATGCTGACCAATTCCAGATCTCCGAGTTCCGCAAAGAAGCTGGTCTAGGTCGACCCATTGGTGGAACCTATTTCATGTTGAATATGGCTCAGGACAACGGAGGTGGCGGAGGTCAGGGGGGCGGAAGCAGTGGAGGTAACAACGGTGGAAATAACGGCGGCAATAACAATGGTAACGGACGCAGTGCAGCCACCGTTGTAACTGCGGGTTCCGTGGTAATGTTTATTACGCTGCTGGCGTCAATGTTTGCCTGGATGTAGAAAATAAGGATGTTGCTTACCGAGAGCCAGTGCAATTCAGGCAGGCCGCCGCGAGTGGGAAGATCTTCGAAAGAAAAACAGACTAGCTACCTTCATTCGCTAGGTACGATGCTAGCACACCCCAATCTGGTACATAGTAATCACCTCTGGCCCACGTGTGCCTGGTGCTTCCTGTTCCTAAGAAGATGGGACTATGTTCCCCTGAATCATCCTCCTCTGCTGAGACCATGCAGTACTTCTTCAAACTCGCATGTTTGTGCATTTGCCGCCAAAATCGGGGCTCCCAGTTATGAAACCCCTCCCTCATACCCCCTCCCATGCCTTCCACTTTGTCGCTCGAGGACCAACACCGCCTAAAGAATATAGCTTTGCCTCCATGCTCTGCTGGCCATATTTATCAGCAGCAGCGCACATAACACCAGAATCAGTGTGGAACATCGTTCTGGAACCCTGCTTAACTCTGTGGTGAGTCCTACGCAAGGCTGTAAGGTTGTATTCGAGCGTGTGCTCTGTCGTTAAATCGGAAGTCGAACTGGTAATCTCTGTCAATCCTTCTGGAATATCCATCCGGTGTGACCAAGTCATTCCGGCGATGCTGAGCCTCCGAAGCGTCTTGATGTTCTCCGTCAGGGTCCCGGTCTTGTCGCTGAAGACACAGCTGATCTGGCCGATTTCGTCGAGGTTGTAAGCTGTGTTGACTCCAGCAGGGTGGTCGGATTGCTCGTGGTATTTCTCCAAATCGTTGCTGATGAAGGTCATCTGGCCGAGCTTGTTGATTCATTTCCGTGAATCCGGCCGGTCCATGGGGTTTTTGGCATCGTCTGATCTGTCCTAGCCAACGACGTTTCTGCCATCTTCATCTGAGATTCCACCTGAGGTTACCTGAGCGTTGAGTTTCTAAGCTCTCATTTTGGCTTCAGCCGCTCTGTTAGTAGTTCGGACTATTGATGTATTAGGGACATGAGTAAGGCGCAGTCGTCATTTTCGTTATGCAGTTGTTTGCCAATGACGGCAGTGGAGACGTACAAAATGCAATAATAGACGGTGTGCAGTGATTTGATCGACATCAAATAAGATCAATTTCCAAAGAACAAGCCAGATGGAGGAACATAACTAACACGTTGAATGAGCGTGCCCAAAGGCTATAATGGAAGTACTGATTCCTGGATTATTCAATGTTTCGCTTCAGGGTAGCATAGATCCTGGCCCGTTGCTCTATATTGCCGATCTCTTAGCTCTCATTCGTACCTCATTCTTGTTATCGCACCCACGGCCGTGAATGACGACTGCAATGGTAACGAACGCATCCCACTGCTGCCATCCGTCCTACATCGAGAACTATAACCAGGGAGAAATCCATGAAAAAACAGCCAGTACTGATCGAGAAAATCGCCATTTCCACCTCCCTTTGCCGCATTCTTGTATCTGTAAATGATTCTCTTCCCTCGTTTAGGTGTTACTATCACAGGATCCTTTGTGCCCCTCCCAAATCAGGTATTGACACCAGTCCTTGTCATTATAGCGGTTCGGATCCAACTTTTGTCATCTCGATCTTATGATCATCTTGTCTGTTTTCTTGCTCTCCATGCTCATCATCGCTCGCCTCATTTGGAACTCCGATGTTGAGATTGTCGAGGAGTATAAAGACTGGACCAAGAAGCGACAGGTCTTCATTTCGTGGGAAAAGGGCCGCTTGAAAACACGCCTGGCATCGGTAATTCGATAAAGGGACTGAGACATTACTCGCCCGGAGAGCAGCTATTTAGAGCATCGTGGGCTGTTGGAACATGTACGATGCAAGTAGAAGCAGATAATCGGAAACGATAATGCTCCCATTCTATGTCAATAGGTACTGCTATGGGAGTTGCAATGCTGGCAGGTGGATGAGTCATATACATAGGTAGAGAAGACGCTTGAACTTTTTACAACGTCGGCTTTGCCTACATCCAGCATTCATTCATGTACCATGCTCGTGGCAATTTCCTTTGGTAACTCTTTATCTCTTCACTTACACCCAAGGTATGGACTGGTGCTTATGTCAGCACAGACCACATCGTAAATTCAGCTCGCCTTCTCACCCCTGATGTTTTCTTCATCTCATCTAGGCATGGTCATCGTGAAGCGACTTTCATCGTCTCACTGCGTTGCTAATTCCTCAATTGAAGCATAAATTTAGCTTACATTAAGTCTGCTCCCATTAAGCAGCTTCCTCACCATTGCCATGTCTGCCTCAGTCAAGTCTTGGCGCGACAGCGCGTACCTCGTCATCTCAAGCATCCAGCTGGCGGCCATGCTTTGTGAGTTCGCGTCTATCGCCATAACCCAATTCAGGGTTTCACGACATGCTATGAGTCTGTGACATAGGCTTCCTTGTTGAGCGTTGGCTTCGTGGTTGCCATGTCGCTCTAAACCTTTCAGCCACCATCGCCATGCCTCATCCGAACCTATGCTAACCTTTATTACCTCATCAGTGGTCGACCTCGTCCCGTTCTACCCAACAGCTCTCTACGCGACATCTTCGTCGCCATTGCACTTCCTCCAGGTCCTCCGCGACTTCTACATATCAACCTACAACGACCCTTTCTTCACCGCCTCTCACGAGAACCTCCCCTCGTGGTTCAAGCTCTTCACCTACCTCGAGATCTTTTATCAGCTGCCCATGGCCGCCTGGATGGTCTACAGGTTCTCAAGGAGCACCGGCACGACGCCCGGCTTCGAGCTCGCCGTCTTGGTCTTCAGCGTCGAGTGCGCCCTCACGACGTTGACCTGCATCTACGACGTCTTCCACTGGGACCCTGCGGTGTACAGCCAAGCTCAGAAAAACGTCTTTGTCTTTAACCTCTACGGCCCATGGGTCATTATCCGTAAGTACGATCGATATCTGCAACGAAGTATTACTGGGTTAGACTGACCTATGAAGCGACATTAATCGGTTTGGACATGTGGCTCCGCATCCTGAAGCGGGTGAAAGTTGCAGACAAGGCCAAAAAGCTGCAATAAAGGGAGCTGGGTAATTGTCGAAGCAAGTTTTGGTTCCATTAAGATATCGCTAAAATCCCTGCTTCGGTCCAAGACCGCGCGTGCGCGGATCCAGATGATCGATTCCAAACTCCATTTCCCCAGTCCATGTCTACAGGTCAAGGCCATCCCAGTTTAATTCATCCATCAAAATAACTCCCAGCATCCATCATAAAGCCTCTTGAGGGGCGGCTGCAAATATACATGAATCGGATCAAATCATATAAGATTTTTTTTTCGTCAAAGATTCTTTTTTTCGCCTTTTTTCTTTCTGTTTGGTTCTTAGTCCATCCTCTTGGCTGCTTTGGAGTACCCCCAACCGTTTCCAACGCCGTTGAGACCGTTGAGGCCGTAGCCGAGGGGCGTCGCGCCGCCCATGCCCCTACCGCGTACCCTCTTAGGCAGGACGACGCCGAAAAAGTACGTCGCCGCGACAAGCACCCCCGCCATGAAGGACGAGATGATGTAAAAGACGGTGCTCGCGTACACGTGCCCACCCATGCCCTGCCACTCGACATGCCCCTCCGACTTGGGCAGATTCGGCGTCGGAAACCACCGGACAGAAAGCCGCAGCGGTAACGGATCACCAATCACCAGCCTCTTTGTGTATATCCCGTCCATGTGGCTCAGCGGGCTCGTGCTGTACGCCGTCCCGGAATCGAGAACACCCGAGTCGTGGGGACGGGTGTGGTGCTTCGGCATGCTGTGCAGGAGCACGTTCATGTGCGTACTTACGTGCAGGTGGCTCAGCTGGAGGGTGCCGGCGAGGGCGAAGACGAGGGGGATGTATTCCTGCACATAAGGCTTCTCGCCGACGGTCTCAACGTGGGGCGCGGGTCGGGCGGGGAGGCGGCAGGCGAGGGGCGCGTCGTTGTGGATGAAGAACTCGAGGAGGTGGAAGAAGGGGTCGGAGACCATGGGAATGGTGCAGTTGACTTCGCCTTCGTGGCCGTAGTTGAACTCGAGGGGCTTGTTGGTTTCTTCGCAGGAGGGGAAGGGGATCCATTCGATTTCGTGGTTGGAGTTTTCAATGTGCTCGCCTGTTTCGCTGGAAGGTTGTTAACTAGAACAAGTAAATCTGGGGCAAGATGCAGCCGCCCAAGGCTATGAGAAGCAGGGAAGACTGTGGGTAGAAACTCACGAGCTACGGTTCATGCACTCCACGTGAATGGGCGCGCCGTAATGGTACGAAGGGAGGCCATCCTCAGGATGCGCAGCGAGGACACGGGAAGCGCAGAGGGCGACGGCGCCCAACAGAAAATGCGCGAGGGACGCCATGATGTGTGTGCGCGGATGGATAATAGTCGATCTTGCAAGCGGCGGGATGGAGAAAGGATCCTAGCAGCTCGGCCGGGGCATTGCCTTGACTCGGGGGGGACGCGCGACGGGGTGGGAGCTATTCCGGGCCAGCTTTCCCCGGAGGCCGACTGGAGACCTCTCATCAATTTGACAGCTGTCGCCGAAGCTCTGCGCTCCGCCCGGCTTCCGATAAGAGATAAGGGATCCACTCTTCCCGGCTTAAAGTCACGTGAGCTCATGAACGAGGCCCCACTAGATTTCCCCCAACCTGAACCCAAATACTGGAAAGTTGAAGTTTGAGGCCATGGTTACAGACCAAACCACCTATGAGTGTAAGTAGGTTTGCCACCAAGGCTACGTTGTTGAGCTCCTTCAGTATGACAGTTTCGGCAGTTTCAACTCGAAAGTCCTGCCTTGTAAATTCTCTTGCTTTATCTCTGTGGCGTAAATCTACCTAGTCACTGTATCGTTGCAGGCTTGTAACAGGATCTTAGGAGAGATCGCAAGGTCCAGAGAGCAAAGTTTCGTGTGATTGAAGGCGAAGGAACTTTCTGTGAATGAATTACAACTTGGATTTCTCACTTCACTTGGGTTTCTCACTTCTGCCCTTGACTTAAGTGAATATCCTGTTTATGTTGTTGTCTAGCTCGGGTACTCTGGACATGACGACCTAGCATTTGGAAAGACTTTACGCGCTTACATCCTTTGACCGAAAAGTTGAAACCTTTGGGCACTTTGACTATACTCTCAACTCTTGATATTGATGCCAAGTTCTTTGACAAACGTCTTGGTACTCCACCCATTGACCTTGGAATACTTGTCAGTGCTGGTCGTCCCATTCAACACCTCATACGCCACCTCCCGGACACAGCCATCCTTGTCCTTGATGCACCCGGCAACGGCCTCGCCCGCATTCTTCCCCTCGTAATACGCGCCCTGCAAGAACCCAAAATATTGAGGATGGGTCGCCTCTCCAGCGAACCACAAATTGCCGAGGTTGGCGCGGATGTTTTGATGCATCTCCAAAGTCAGGGCCGGCGGCCAATTGGAGTAGGATCCGTATGCCCAGGGCTCACGAGTCCAGTTGTGATGGTAAAAGTCAATGGGATCAGGAATCTCCCTCTGGAACATGTCCTTCAGGACCTCCATGATTTGGCTCTTGGTGGTATTGAAATCCTGAGCCTCCACGACGTAGGACTGTTGGTCGACGACGGTGACGAAGAGGATGCCGGAGCCGTCCTCGAACTCTTCGTGGTCTAGCGACTGGAAATACGGATAGTAGCCCCGCTGTACTGGATCGGCGTACAGGAAGAATTGCGTACTCTTGTCCCAGAAGACATCTTCTTGCTTGAACTGCATAAAGATTTTCGTGTAGGTGCCCATGGTCATGGACTGGATAGCCGTGCGTTTCCAATCCGGAAGCTTCGGCGAGAAGCTGACCACCTCCTTCTGCAAGACGCCCAGTGAGAATGTGCAGATAGCGTAGTCGGCGGTGATACAACTGCCGTCATCGTTGTAGACCGTGACTTCTTCTGACGAGTAGGTGATATTCTTGACAATTGTCTTGAGCCTCAGCTGGGTACTCTCCTTCAAGAACAATCTCGCTTCTTCCTTGATGAACCAGGAAAATCCCCGAGCATCATGTACCAAGTTGTTTTCGTCCGCCCAACGTTGGAAGGATGTGTTGGAATTGACGACCGAGTACTGCTGGGATGTCTTCTCTGGCGGGTTGGCGTACTCGAAATCCATCGACGCCCACTCGATAGCTTGGGCCAGCGGATCGCTGCCCGGCTTCCAGTTTGCAATGGCGAGACCGGTACGGGCACTGCGATCTTGCTGGTTTTGGAGAATTATTTGGCCAGCGTCATACTGGTAATGTTCGGTGGCGTCCTTGTACAGCGCTTCAAGCTTTCCAAACCTTTCCGTCAAGCTACCGGGGTGCACTTGACCGGTCTCGTTAAAGACCGTCTGGTTCGTGAAGTTGGAGGGCGTGTTTGTCAGGTTATATCTCTTAACCAAGGTCAGAATCGGATTCTCTTCTGTTTGACTTTCAGTGCCTTGCACCCTGTTCATATAGTCAGCCGACCGTTCAAAAGCATCCCAGACCCATTTCAAGATCACTAACCAGTTAGCACCAAGTTCCACAAAGTAGGACTCGTTCGTGTTTGGCTGCTTTCCAAAAGCGCGATTGTACACCCGCCCACCGATCCGGTTGTTGTACTCAACGATTGTAAAGTTTGTGATATTTGCACTGACCAATGCCTGGGCAGCAGTGATTCCGGCGAGACCAGCGCCGAGGATGGCTACCTGGACTCTGCTGCATTTTCCCTCAGCGTCTGAACGCACTTCTCTTGTTGGTGCGGCTTGGGCAGAGGCAGTGAGAAGGGTAAGCAAGCCCAGCAATCGTGTAGTTGGTAACATCATGAAAGTTGATGGTAGACCTTTACAATCTTGAGAGCGTGTGTTCAGGAGCGACGTGAGGGAGAGACTGCCGAGGACACAAGAACTCTGAGCAGAATTTGCGGTTTTATATTTCTATCTCTCTGGGTTGTTTTCGGCGCACGGAGATATTGTCACGCGAGGTGTCTCGGTCAGTCTTGATTCATTTTTAGAGGAGCGTGTGGCTTGTCCCGAGAAGAGCGTTGCCGACCTGGACGCACCAGGCTGTCAGCCCCGATGCTACCTTGATCTTGGATTACGAAGCATTCTTCTTGCGTGATGTAGGCTCGATACAACAAGAAATCTCAATCCTGATCCTTTCGCTCGTGAAATCTGATCCGGCCATGGTATCGTCCATCTCCTGTCAAGTCATGTTGTGCTCGGACTAAAGTGTTACGCGGGCCGAACCGCTGGGAAGTCGAATATCCAGAAATGGGATTGCAGATGCAGAACAGCATTCCTCAAGACTCACGGGAGACTTCCCCTTCGGCCCGAGCCAGATCCAGGTCCAGATGGATTCTGTACGACATGACTTGCGAAAAGCTAAGTCTTGGTTCAGCTCACGAACATAAGGTTTGATGCCCGAGGGCGCCATATCTGGGGAATGAACGTTTTCAGCATCAGTGAACATACGTTCAAGAGGGGAACAACTTGAGACACATCAGCCGCACGAACAGGCGCCACAGTCTTGGATAGGAGACAAGTACTACCCCACGCACCGTGGACCGTTTTCGTCAAGCCTAGCTGTGCCTAGCTGTGCCTAGTCCAAGACACGCCTCCAGTTTCCCACGTGAGATCCATAAGCCCTTTGAGTTCTCAAAATCTTATTCTTGTCTGCTTTTGGCAACCACTTGACCTTCATTTCTCCAAGCTGTTCAAGGCAATAATCGTAGAAGCCTCGCTGTTTTCCTTACATTCCCGGAATTGCTTCACAATAACCCCATACACAACAATACAAGCTGACCCGGCCCCATCTGCGCGATGAGCCGCTCGTCAATGGGCACCATCATCGTCCGGCTCGTCTCGATCATAATCTCTCATCAGTGCGCGCCAATGGTCTTGCCCATGAGGCGGAAGATAAGCGCCGACTGAGATGATGCTCAACCAATGCAGCTTATTTCGACGAGACGCATATCTTTGATGGATCGATAGCGAATGATGTTTCGCATTTGCGTCGGCACCTTGCCGGAGGTGATCAGAGTATTAGAGGTATCCACAAAGATTAACTCTTACATCTCATCAAGAAGTTCACCGAGGTCCTTTCTCAATGCCATGCTTGCAAGTCACAGTATCATAGTCAAGTCGAAGTCAGAATCCGGCCCCCAAGTGCTGGAAAAGTGTTCATATAATAACACCAACTAAACATCCAAAGCTCAAGCCTAAGCCTACACCGCCTAACCAGCCGCGCCCGGCCCGAACCCCCGTCCGCATCAAATACAAGGTTTCTTTTCGCACTTCTTTGTACACTCGCCGTGGCTCGTTCTGAAAGCCAAGTCCGAGGGTCAGTCTTGTCTATTTGGTCGTTTCTCTTTGCTTCTTGAGAACTCCCCTCCGCCCAGCACGCCAATAAAGTCCAGACATTACAGGAAGCGCAAGCTTCCAGAAGGACCTCTCTCAACGAGGCCATCGACATCTCTCCTCACCGTCCGCAGACGCCTCCTCACCTCTGACAACTCCATACCACCAGGATTCGATCCGTGGCCCGCAGGGGGCAGTGATGCCTCGCATCTGCTGAGCAGGTCCTTAACCCACGCACCAAGAGCGCCGTCGCCCTTCATCGAGGCAGCACCGCGACGCTTCACCTCCCGTTGCCAAACATCGACAGAGAAAACAATGAGCTCGATGATGCGGTTGCGGTTGTTACCGCTGAATCCGTAGTCTTGCGTGTCGAACACACTCTCCAGCACACGAGTTACCATGTCGTTAGAGACGCCGAGGCTGAGGAAAAGCTGAACAGGCCAGGTAGGATCGGCGCCGATCTCAGCATCTTGGTGGTACTCGACGGCATATCGGCATATCTCAGGGAGTAGCACCGGCACGGGGAAGATGAAACTGTCCAAAGAAGTGCGGTGGGCGATGTTCTGCACCTTCACCGACACGGATTCGTAAGGCGAGGGCAGAACAGGGATGCCGGGACCAGCTTCCTCCATCCGCTCCACTGCCTCCTCATGAATTTGCTCGATCAGACTAACCCATGTTTGGGAAATTGTGCTTGGGTTGCGGTAATCAGCGCTGTGGTAGATGAGAAGGCAAAGATCGTAGTAGTTTGCCTGGTCGGCGTATTGGTTGAATAGCTGGCAATAGTTAGTCTCGTGTGAAAAAGAAGTGCCGTGTCAACTGGGTACTCACATCAGACAACGATATTACCTGGCCGTCCAACGCTTCCTCAATCTGAGCCTTGCGTTCAGGGTCAACGCGGCTGTCGGCCTTGAGCCTCTCCAATAGGTCGTCCTGGATGTTTGCAATGTCAAGAAGCTCGCTGACTTCGTGAGCCAGAACCTGCTGTTGCTGTCTGCCAACACCAGCTGTGGCAACGCTGGCATTCGCCTTGGCCTTGCTCAGGAGAATAATTCTGTCCTTGATACCAATGGCGAAGTCGGATTGGGCGAGATCGTTTTGGACCTGAGCAGCCTCGAAGTACCGCTCTCGTTGGGTATAGAACCTGCAGAGAAGATCCGCGTGGTCCGGATTGCTTCTGGCCAGGCTCTGAAGGTATGTAATGACGTGTGGTGATTCGATAGCGAGGATCCGATCAGTCCATCCCTGCTCGATGTACCACTCGTAAAGGTCAAAGTGGAAGACCTCGTCGTCCGAGTCGTTTACCACACTGTAAGCCTCGAGGCGTTTTGTGCCCATCAAAGTCAGTCTACCATCAATCGTCTCAGGTTCCCTGCTTGACGCGGCATCCAAGTGTTGCAGAGCTTCGTGAATGAGTTCGTAGCATTTCCTGCGTTCGGAAAAGGCGTTGGCTCGAGGGTCGTTCACAGGCTTGCCATCATGTACCCATGAGAGAGCAGTGTTGCCCCTATCCTTCTCACGGGCAACGGTGAGGCAGAGCTGGATGGCACCGGCGTAGTATTTCAGGTCGATGTACTGGGACACGGCGTTGTGTAGATTGGCAAATGAAAGAGCACCAGCGACACGTTCAAAGAGCCTCAAACTCTCATGCAGAAGCGCGCGAGATTGGTTGCTGTTGGACGGCTGCTCAGACGCTCTCTTCAACTGCTCCTGAGCCTTGAAGATGACAACGTCATCGGGACTGCAGAAACTGCCACAGCGTCTCCGAAGGGCATCCGCAACTGTCTCGACGTTGGAGCCGCTCTCGATGTTGCGGTTGACGATGGACTTCACGAGCAGCTTTGCAAGATCCTTTCCGGAAGACTGTGAGAACAGGCTCTCGTATGTAAGGTTTTTCAGTCCCTGCTGGGCCGTGGCATCCAGTCTCGTAAAGATGTCACTGACTCGCTCATCGAAGAGCATCAAAACGAATGAGATACCCTCAGAGATGCTCTCCATCAGTTTCTGAAGCGCATGCAGAGCTTGGTGCTCTGCTTGAAGAGCAACTTCCTCTTGCTTGCTGGCCACTCTTTGAAGGTCGGAAGGACCAGATAGGCCCTGAATGAAACTTTTGTTCGCATCAAGGAATCTGCGGAGACGTTCCAGCTGCTCCTGTGTGGAATGAAGCTTGGCGACAGGTACCATTGACTGAATAGTAACGCCGCCATTTGGGCTGGCAGCTGTAGCAACAACGTGGTTCTTCCATATTGTGCGAATGAGGCGGGTGAGGTAAACGCTGAGAGCATCGTGTCTAGGAGATAGGCGAACGGAGGTTGTGTTGAGAGGTGTACCATCAGCCTCCGTAATGGAGGGCTGGCCACCGTAGTCGACGAAGACTGTTCGTGCGCGGTCTTCTGTCGCCTGATCGATCGCCCGCGTCGCACCAGGCCTGGCATCACCACCGTGACCGCAAGCTACAGCAAGAGCGCAGGAGATGGTTTCCACACGACCATATCGGGAAATGAACTTTCGGGTCTCCAGCTCAAGACCTTCGTCTCCCACCGCACCGCGAATGGCGGCAGCGAAAGTATCCACCAGCCGGCGGCGGCGGATGATGTGTACACCAGTGTTTGTCAGCACAGCAAACTCGGTAGCCGGCTGGTCGAACTGGACCGCGAGCTCGTTTCCAAAACCAACAGGCTGATTTGCTGCGGCAAACGGCTTTGTAACCAAACCCACATCTTCGGCTCTACTTCCAATATCGATCCAGTTCCCGTGCTCGTAGTACTTGAGAGCAGCCGAAGACGAGTTGGCCTTGATTCGGCCAGTCTCGGGAGCGGAAACAAACAGCAGGTCAATGTTCGGGTCGTTATCCTTGACGACGAAGTCCAAAAAGTAGCCCGGCGCAAATCGAGCACCGAGTCGGCTCAATTCTAACGCCCTTGAGCCAAGATCAATAACAGCATCGCCAGCACTGTTGGTACCGGATCGTCCAGGCTTATCTGACGGTGGAAACTTGATGAACTGGACCTGCATGCTTTGAGGAGGTGTGTTTGAAGAAACGCCGCCAATCATGTACGAGGCAGAGCTTGTAGCGCTCAGGAACAGACGGCAGCCGGTGTTGGTGAGAGCCATTAGGTGCAGCTTCGATGCCTCACGAGACGGAATAGCGCTGATAGCAACGAAGGCTGTTCGGTCGTTGAGTAGAGGGGACTGGGTGATCATATGGGTTATGTCGCGTAGGCAGGCGTTTCGCTCTTTCTCGATGACCTTGGTCAGCTTGTTAGGCCCATCCATATGGTACGTGCGAATGGTAGATCTCGTCGACAGAGTGTAGACAAGTTTCCGGGAATCGTCAATGACGATGCTCTGAAGACCTTCCGGAGACTTATGTGTCCAGAAGCTGCTCTGAAGAGTGACTACTGAAGACCATCCTGGGTTAGTGTGGTTAATCTTGCCACATCTGTTCGAGAACCATTTTTCCTCCTGCTGATAGTATAGCTCGTGGATATCGGTGTCATTGCTACCTCCAAAGAAGATGCGGCCGTCAGCGCTTCCAGCAATCACTCTGACATCGGTGCCTCGGAGGGGGAGATTGAGCTTGGTGCTGTAAAGCGAGACAGTCTTGGTCCCCGATGGCGTGGTCTCGGCGGAGAGGCCGAGGAGAATCATCTCGGACGACGTCGCAACAACTAGAATATGCGTAATGGTATTGACAAAGATGCCTGGCTTGGGTGCAACGAGAGCGACGGCGTGAATCGTGTGTGGTTGGTCCTCGAAGCCAATGAGTTCGGGGTCGGGGTGGGTGTAGTCCCAGAGGAACAGCGAGTTATCGATGACCACCCAGGCATGGTTGATCTCGGCGAACAAACCCATCAACGTCTGGAGTTGGCCAGTATTGTAGTGGCTAAAAACCTGGTTCGGGATCGGATACATCTGGGTCTTGTGGAAGGGTGCCCAGGGCGAGTCGAGGGTGTTAAAGTCATAGTCCGACGACGCTCCTGCTGCAGGGATGTCAGTGGCAGTCACACAGAGAATTGCATCAGGGCGAGGGCGATGAACTTACGCCTGCAATACGAATCGAGCTCGGGATAGTTCTCGTCAGACTGGAGGAACTGGTTGACCGCCTGTGCTGCTCTCGTGACGGGCGGAAGGTTTTGCTGAGGAGCTTGCGAAGGTGCGGTCGACACCAATCCTCCACTCGTACCGGTTGATGCAATCGTCGCAGGTGCCAAATTTGATCCTCCCACCAGCGCGCCGCTGCTACCTGAAGGTGCGTCGCCCTCTGCGAAAAGTCGTCTCCTAACCGGCTCGTTGTTGTCGCTGGCGAATCTGGAGGCTGCGGGCGTGTTGAGGAAGGCGCCTGGCACCGGCCGCACCGGTGTCATCTGGGGATAGGACATGTTGTCGTCGAGCAATCCGATCGAGGGTACTGGATGGTGGGCAAACGCGTCGCAAACTGGCGGCCAGTGGCGGTTGGACGTCGCGCTACCGAATCATCAACGGGTGATGGCAGGTATGATCCTGTCAATTGGAGAATTCGGGATGGGAAAATATTCTTCTAGGTGTGTACGATGCGGAGCCCTGCGCGCAGCTCGTGCCGGACAAAGGGAAGGGAAAGAATTAGAGCTTCGATGGCTCGGTGTGGAGAGGTGAAGGTATCCGGGCGAGGGCAGTACAATGCAGCAGTAAACAATTTCTGGAGGAGCTCAAGAGGCTGGGGCCGCCAGACGCTTGGAATTTTCGTGCCTGGGGCCGCGCTAAGCCAAATCGGGACACAAGGCTGACTCTGACGTTTGCACACTTGAAGCTTGCACTTATAATAGCTCCGATAGCTACCTTGATTTAGAGCTCTTCCTTTTTCGAAAGCCCCTTCTTTCTTATTAAATATTCGCCTTTTTCTTCTATTGTCTTCAGACCTTGACTTTTCGCGGCCCGTGATCCCTGCGTAATTCATGCACGTGGCTCCTGCGTTGTAGGCCCAAACCCATGCTATCAACCCACCATCCGCGATTTCTTTCTTCGTCCATGCCTCATAGCTGTCAATATTTTACGTTGAAGCTTGTTCGAATGTTTTCATTACCCTCTATGTCGAAACAGCTACGCAGTCATCTTTGAACGCAACGTTTGATCACCCTGCGCCATGATTTCGCCATCTCATTCTATTTACTGCTTCTTGGCTTCGCGGGCCGCCTTCCTGAGAGCACGGTTGCGGATGTCGACGTGCATCTTGAGGTTGAACCAGATAGCCAGGTAGTGAGCGGCACCAATCGTGCTCTCCACAGCCCACAGCATGAGAGCGTGCGTCCACCAAGGAGTGTAGGTGTAGGCAAAGTTCTGGTAGCTGCCAGAGCCAATCTTGCTGAGAGTGGCACGGACAAAGTTCTTAGGTGTCGGGATCATGGCGCTCGAGCGACGGACCTTGCTCATGGCGGTGGTGATGAGGTAGCTGAGGACAAGCTCGACATCAATTCCCTGGGGCTTCAACTCAGCCGCGAGAGAGCTGCTCCAGTGCTGCAGGAAGGCCTTGCTGCCGGAGTAGGTAGCCAAGTACGGGGTGGGCATCCAGCCGGCAAAGGAGCCCATGGTGAGGATGAGACCGCGCTTGCGCTGCTGCATGATGGGGGCGACGACCTGGGTGGTCTTCAAGGTGCCGAGGCAGTTGATGGCGACAATGTTCTGGAGCTCGCTGCGTGCGGTCTCGAGGAAGGGGACGGGGATGCTGTGGCTCTGGCCGACATTGTTGATGAGGACGCCGACATCGAGGCCGTTGACGAGCTGAGCGAGCCTGTCGTAGTCGGTGTTGTCGTCGCGAGAGAAGTCCATGGCGAGGATCTTGACCTGGATCTTGCCTTCGAACTTGGCTTCGAGCTCGTGCGCGAGGGTTTCGAGCTTCGACTGGGTTCGGGAAACAAGGACGAGGTTGAAGCCCTTGCTGGCGAGCTGGTAGGCGAACTCCTTGCCGAGACCGTCGGATGCACCGGTCACAACAGCCCAAGTGCCAGGCTTGCCATACTTGCGAAGCTGCGCGAGTCTTTCATCAGTATCCGACTATCCATGACAGGGTGGGAGGCTCAGGGGTGCATACGCTGGTACCGCTAAGCAAGAAGACACCGAGGAGGAACTTGACGTAGCTCAGGGCCTTGGAGGTAAGAAAGAGGGCGCCAATGCCAGCAAGCAAAAGCTGGACGGGCTGCGGCACATAGGCCAGTTGATCAGCAATTCCGCCCATTTCGATGAGTCGTAATTGTTAATTCGTTAGCAGAAGTCGAGAGCGTACGGGTTGTTGAAAGGAGGGGAAGAAGATATTGCCCGAATCCTCTGTAGAAGAAGCGCAGCACAGCACAGACAAAATGTTGAGATGAGCGCATGGTGGAAAATGCAATTCGAAAATCGCACCAGCCACACCTCGGCACCTGCCTGAATTGTTGAACCCGCGCCAAATTGCCTGGGAGTGCAGGTGAGCTTTGGCCAATCGTGAAGCAGCAGTGAGAGCTCAAGCCACACTCAGACAGCTCCAGCCACAGTGGAGCATTTCTCCTCGATCCGAATACGAAGGGGACGAAAGCTTGGGGCAACTCGAAGTTGAAGGCCAAGATGCCGGCGTGATTGCCCACTCTTTTCTTTTGCGACTAGACATTCTCCTCGAAGCTCACACCACTCGGCGTCAATTGAGCTTCAAGGACCTTCAACTCAGCAACAATGGTGTCTCTCGCAGATCTGCTTCCCCCCGCAAAGGGTATTTTGCCCTATTACATGCTTCTGGTAAGGACCCAAGGAACAGATCCCACCGCTTACAATCATGTCACTGACTAGCAATACTCCCAGCTCTCTCTCATCTCCATCGGGAATTCGGCGCAGAACCTCCTGACCCTCCACTACTCGCGCCGCCTCTACGACGGCAAATACGTTCGCAACACGAAGCTCCCACCCCGCACAGAAACTTTCAACCCAGAGGACTCTGTGAACAAGTTCATCCCCGCGCCCGCCGGGGCCACGGACGTTACGGACCAGGCGACGCCTCTCGCTGCGCGTTGCTTCGGCACCTGGACGTTCCTCACGAGCATCGTCCGCCTCTACGCCGCGTACCACCTGCACCACGGTCACATGTACGACTTGGCCATCTGGACCTACGTCGTTGCGCTGGGCCATTTCGCCAGCGAGTTGTTCATCTTCAAGAGCATGACTTTCGGTCTGCCTCAATACTTCCCGTTTACCTTGGCCACCACTGCCTTGATCTGGATGCCATTGGTGCGCGACTTTTACGTTGACAGCCCGTAAAAGTGGCACCTTGATTTGTTGTGGAAAAGCTAGCCTACGGAAGCCGCTCGAGCTCTGAAGGTTGGGCAATAACTATATACCATGAATCAGGACATCCTGTGATTTTAGTTGAGGCGCAGGCACGGGACTATAGATTCCGTTTGATTAAGCATGAAATGATGAGGATAGAGAATATTCAAAAGAATATTGTAATTTCGAAAATAATGCTATTTATTGTATGCTTTTCTCTATTTCACTGAATGGTCTTGCGGTACAACTCACCACCGGTGCCCCTGAGCCTAGCAGCAGCCTGCTCCGGTGTGATGTCACGCTGAGGCTCCGCCATCAGCTCGTATCCGACGAGGAACTTGCGAACGGTGGCTGAACGAAGAAGAGGCGGGTAGAAGTGCATGTGGAGGTAGCTGTTCTCGGCCTCATCCTCGGTGGCGTCGAGGGGTGCTTGGTGAATGCCAGAACCTACCAAGCTGTCAGTCATCACAGAATCAATGCATTGTCCAGATGTAAACTTACTATAAGGGAAGTGCGTCTCAAAGAGATTGTCGTATCTTCTTGCGACTTCCTGTATGGCCTCGGCAAACTGCAACCGCTCCTCGGCGGACAAGTCCACAAGCGCACGAACGTGTCTCTTGGGAAGAATCAGGACCTCAAATGGCCAAATACCCCACCAGGGAACGACGACAAGGAAGTGCTCGTTCTCAAATACCGTGCGCTCCTTCTTCTCAATCTCGACCTTGACGTAGTCCGCCAATAGGTGCCGCCCAGCGTGCTGGTCGCGGTACTTTGCCATCTGCACCAGCTCCGTGCCGGGCTCCTCCGGCATGGTGGAGGTTGTCCAGATCTGGCAGTGCGGATGCGGGTTCGAGCAGCCCATGGCGGCGCCCTTGTTCTCAAAGATCTGCATGTAGCGCAGGTGGTGCTTGGGGTGGGGCACGGTGCTCTCGGGCGTCGCGGCGGGCAGCTCGAGGGCGGCGGCGACCTTGGACAGCGGGTTGGAAGGGGAGAGATGGGAGGCGTAGATGTGCGTCCAAACGTCGATGACTGGGGCAATCTCCTGGGTCGTCATGTCGGCGAGCGTGACGTGGTGCTTCTCAGAGAAGGTGAGCACGTAGCATTTGCCGGTGGCCGCTTCCGCGCGCAGCAGGGACGAGGCGAGGTCTGTTCAACTTCTGTCAGAGTTGGACCGTCTCTGTGTACCGAGTAATTTTGCTCCATACCATCGCTCTCAGCTTCTGGAGTGTACTCGGCTTGCTCCTCCTTGACGGCGCTGTAGTCATTGACGAACACAAAGGTGTTCTTATAGTCGGGGTTCGAGTCACCCGCCGCTCGGGGGTTTCGCGGGCAGAGGTAACACTTGGCCCAGTCAGTTCGTACTCAAAGACATGTTGCGACTCGATGCGGCTTGCCTTGGGGTCGTATTCAGGGAGTGTTGTCGTCGACGGTCCCTCCTGCTGGCCTCTGTCCGCCTCAGCGCATGTCGCATTGCAAATCATATTGACGCATTCTTACTGCCAGGGACGCTTGGTCCGGTGAGGGGACACCAGCAGCCATGTACCCTTTAACGGGTTGTACCGTCTGTGGGAAATGTCGTCGAGGATCTTCTCAGGCATGATGATGCTTTGTATCACCAGGCTATGGTCCTTGTAAATAAAGGCGGGGAAGCTTTGCGACAAAAGACAAGACTGTGAATGTCGCGAGAGTGCGAGCAAGAGGAAAAGGCCAAGAGAAAAAAGCCTCGAGTTTATTTAAACAATCTCGTTGTTGATCAGACTAACTGAGTGCGGACGAGAAATTCTAGCCCTCGGCCGCGACCTACCGAGTGACAGGCAGGCTAGGTGTTATGTAGCGTAGAACTGGCACAAAACAGCTCATGAAAGTGACGTTCGATCCCTGTCTTGTTGTTGGAGAAAGGAGGGACCGTGAAAGCTGCCCCGCGAACCCCACCATCGCAAAGCGCACCATTGTCGTGCGGCCATCTTATCCGCCGTAAGCAGCAGCGGAGAAGCTGCGGAAAGGTCAACCTCGGGAAAAACGTCATTGCGGGACACAGCATTCATAAGCGACAGAGTGCCCGAGCTAGAAGAGTGATACCCAGGTATTCATGAACAAGTTCTTCCTGAGTATCCGATACAACACCTCAGATATCGAGTGTATTCGCTCGCATTGCGCGCTGCCCGTTGCTTACCCAAAAGTGGTGTGTCCATGTCAAAAGACAATGCATTAATCCGTTGACCGAACCAAATGGCGGGGATGGCGGAGCCGCCCTAGCCCGAGAACCGAAACTGAGGGGCAACTGGAAGCTTATATAATGGTTTTGGGTGCTTGCTGGCTGTGGCTTGAACCTGCCGCTCGGCGGGCAGTAAGAGGCCCAAGCGCCGGATTTTCTTCGGGAAAACCTTCGCTCCAGGTTCCGCCATCGATCCCCCGGATTCAATCCGTTCGGAGTCTGGCTGTGTTTCGACGGCTCAGCTTGGAAATCCGTCGTCGTCAACACACCCGCGCCCTCTTCATCCGAAATCCATCAATACCATCGCCAAACCTCACATTCGCATCGAGAAACACGTATCGCTCACATCGCACCGTTCATCGCTTCCCGTAGTACCATCATATGCCTTCTCCTGCATCGCAATAACTTTTCCGTCGTCGGATCAGCCTGACCAGGGGCTGGCCTCCACGTCCCCACCGCAGCCCTGGACGAAATGGGCGTCATCAGAAAGAAGACCGTCACACGGGGTGGCGAAGGCGGTGTCAAATATCATTGCGATATCTGCTCCGTAGACATTACCTCGACGGTGAGTGTTGTGTTGACTTTGCTCCTTTCCATAACATTGTTCCCCGCGTCTGCACCCCGGCGCATACACAAATGTGCCGCCCTCCACATCTTGCGCATCGCGCTAACAGACACCCTCTGTGGCTGTAGGTCCGCATCAGATGCGCGCACTCTGCTTGCAACGAATACGATCTCTGTGTCCAATGCTTCTCTCAGGGAAAATCTAGTTCAAATCACAAACCCGAAACACATCCATACCGCGTCATCGAACAAAATTCCTTCCCCATCTTCGACCGAGATTGGGGTGCCGACGAAGAATTGCTATTGCTGGAAGGCGCAGAGATTTACGGCTTGGGATCATGGGCCGACATTGCCGACCACATTGGCGGCTTCCGCCACAAGGATGAAGTGCGGGATCACTATTACAAAGCCTATGTCGAATCTCCTCGATTCCCGTTGCCGAAACGATGCAGTCCTCACGACATGGACCTCGCGAACGAAATCTCCAGGGAAGATTTCCAAGCCAAGAAGAAGCGCAGGATAGAGGAGCGGAAGGAAGCCGCTAAGAACGCACCCACATTGCAACCCAAGACGAAGCCGACGGCCTCTGTACCGTCATGTCACGAGATACAAGGATACATGCCAGGTCGCTTGGAGTTCGAGACCGAATACGCAAACGAAGCCGAAGAAGCTGTTCAGCTCATGCAGTTCGACCCAGGCGATGGGCTTAATCCTAGAACAGGCGAGCTGGAGCCGGAGATGGAGCTCAAGTTGACTGTGATGGATATCTACAACTGCCGTCTCACACAGCGTGTGGACAGGAAAAAGGTTGTATTTGAGCATAATCTGCTGGAGTACCGCGAAAACACAAAGGTCGAGAAGAAGAGGAGCAAGGAAGAGAGGGACTTGTTGAACAAGGCCAAGCCCTTTGCGCGGATGATGAACCACGATGACTTTGAGAGTTTATGCCAGGGTCTCATCGATGAGTTGAACCTGAGGCAAGCCATCCAGCAGCTCCAAGAATGGCGAAGCGTTCGCATTGGAGATTTGCGCAGCGGAGAAAAGTTCGAGACAGAAAAGTCACAACGAGCGCAAAAGGCAGTGCCCATGGGATCTATGGATCGGGACCGTTTGGCGTCAGCTCAGCGGTCTAAGGCGGCTGCTGTGCCAGATCCCCCAAGCGGAGCTGCCTTGCTTGTGGCCCCCGAACTGCCCATCCGTTCGGCGCCCGCCCCTGACGGCACGAATGGCACCATTCCTCCCAAGGAAGAGAGCAAACCCCAGACCAATGGCGCCGTCAACGGAGCAGCCGCTAATGGCACCGTAATTGTCGCCAACGGCACGGGTCCGTCGGGCCCTGTTACACGGCAGAAGTACATGGCCGCGCCCCTAGCCGGTGTCACCCCGATCCAGCTCACGCAAGACGGCGCGCCGGACTTGCATCTTCTCACGCCAGAGGAAGCTAAGCTCTGCGAGGTGGTGCGGCTGCAGCCCAAGCCCTACCTGATGATCAAGGAACAGATCCTGAAAGAGGCACTCAAGAGCAACGGCACTCTTAAGAAGAAGCAGGCTAAGGAGATCTGTAGGCTGGATACTCAAAAGGGTGGTCGCATATTTGACTTCTTCATCAATGCTGGTTGGGTTGGCCGGGCGTAGGCCGCACTTTGAATTGCGAGGCGCTGTACTTGACATGCATTCGACATGAGCTTCGGCGTTGCGTCAAAAAGGGGCGAAGGGGTTTGGTACCTGATTTCGGGAGTAGCGGTTGTGCTTTTCTCGTCCAAAAGTGTACGAAGATACCATATCCACAATGGCGGCGATTTACTCAATTTTCCGTTTGGCATTATGAGGTGTTATACATTACCACACACGTTATTGATGAATACAATCTCTCTGTTACTTGGCATAACACTCCACTGGGCTCGGGAGTGTGCTCAGAGGATAAGACTGGTCCATCATACTACTTCGATATCAGTTCTCATGTTGTCTGTGGGAGTCCAACCATGGTATGCTATTCAGCCATGTGTTTTGAAGAGGGCAGGCTAGTTCCTTGTAGAGGTGTTGGTAGGATGGAAGCCCGTGCTTCCGCATTCTCTGGTTGGCGTAATGTTAATAACAGGGAAGTATCACGTCAGAGGAGTCGTCTTGTGTCTGTTCATCGGTCCGTCCCATTATGCATAGTTTTGATTGAACTCAATGCGTTCACGGCCTTGCGCACCCTAGTCCTTGCAGATTTTCCTCTCGATGCATGCAAACGCTCGAGCAAGTCATATTTGACTCGTCGAGTACGAGCTACGCGCCATACACATCCATACACCGCTACCTTGGACCGTTCTCATTCATTTTGCAAATCTCACGGAGGAGCACTATTGTGAAGAGTAACTTTTTTCGAAATAACTAATTGGGTATATGTACTCCCGATGATGAATGATGCAGATGAACCCGAGCCTCACGGATGGCTTGTAAGGCCGCCGCATGGGCAATTATCCATGCCTCTTTTTCCGACACTTGGTTCCTCCCCCCCAAAACCATTGTCCCTTGGTCTTGGGCCTAGATGAATTTGTCGTCGGTGAATGACGAGAGCCATTTTACAGGATAATGGCACCGATGATACCAGCGGCAGCGGCAGCAGCAGCGACAAAGAGGCCAGTCTCGCGAGGAGCCGCAGCAGCAGCCGCAGCCGTGGAGGAAGCAGCAGCGCTGCCGGAAGCAGAGGTAGAAGCAGAGCCGGCGCCCGAGGCGGTAGCAGTGACGGAGGCCGAGCCCGAAGCCGTAGCCGTGGCCGCAGCAGAGCCGGAGCCGGTAGCAGTAGCAGTAGCAGAAGCGGTAGCGGTAGCATCAGCGCTGGTGAGGACGGCGAGGGCGGTAGAGCAGACGGCGCTGCCGTACTCGTTCAGAGCGGAGGAGACCTCGGGGACGTCGCTGCAGGCGGAGAAGATCTCGCGGATCTCGGTGATGTGGGCGTCCTGCCAGGACTGCAGGGCGGAGGAGTACGAGGTGATGACTTGGCCGGCGGCGCCCGTGACGGAGGGGAAGTCGCAGGGGTTGGTGATTTGGGGGATGTCGAGGTCCGTCTCGGTGGCGAGGGCGGTGGGCAGCTCGGGGAAGTCGTCGACGATGGTGGAGTGCGCCATGTACACGGAGGCGCAGGCGGCCTCGTCGCGGGCGTCGAGGAGGTTGTTGCCGGCGCGGCGGAGGACGCGGGGGAGGGTGCCGGAGAGGTCCATTGCCATTGCGCCGCTGGTGGCGGCGGCGGCGGCGGCGGCGAGGAGGAGCTTGGACTGCATTGTTGGATAGGGTTGGAGGTGCTTTTGTTGAGCTGGGAGCAACGAGTTGAGACTGGGTTGTAAGGACTGTGGGAAGATTGTCGTGATGTTGAAGGAACGAGTGGCAGCTTGGAGGTGAAGAGAACAAGAAACAGAGGCAGATGGATTCAGCGGCGGCAGTGGAGGAGAGAAGCTTGCCTTATACTAAAAATTGACGAGGAAGTCGACCATCTCACGCATCCTTCCACCTTACCCTGGCGTCTAGACACACACACACACACACCTGCATATCCCTGCCCTGTTGACAACGCCCGGCGTGCCCATCAGCTTCCCATGCTCGGCCCAGAGAATTTTGAAGGAACGACTCCCACAGAATGAGTCTCTACTCTCTAGTTTGCCTAGGCGTGCGCGTGCCAAGACACGAGCTCTAGCGCAAGTTTCCTACCTGGCGAGGGGCATCGGCCGAGCCGGCGATGAGAATAATGGCTGCACTCTACGTAGCCGTTTGCCCCCCCTGATTCAAGGAAAAGTTGTTGCTGCACTGGTGGACCTTGGTTCTGGTAACTACTAGCGGTTGCTGCCTGCAGAAAGGGGGGGGGGGGATTTTGGCGGGAGACAGGGTGATGCAATGATCGGCCATTGCCTGCCGTAGCATGTCCTTTGTGGGAATATGATGCCGGGGGCGATGTTCTCGAATAGGCCACGCGCGTAGCGTCCAGGCGAGGCGAAGCTGACGAGCAAGGGAGGGGAGGGAGAGAGCTACACTAGTTCAACGGCAATGCGGCACGCCAAAAGTCGCAGCAATAGCATTCCATCACAGTACTCTCTCTGTGAGGTATCACTGGCATCAGCAACTCGCAGTCAGGAACAAGCAATGCTGGGCTGGACTGCCGGCTGGCTAGGACATGATTCGAACTGCAGCGCTGCAAAAAGGTCGAAATCTCCCAAATTGAACGGCGACCTGCATGCAGTCTGTATTCGTACCTGACCTCGCGCCCTGCACGGTGACATGGGTGGTGGTTTTCGCGACAAGGCATCCCCTGTCTTCACCCAAAGACGGGAGTTCCTAGCAGATGCAATCTGTCAGGGGTTCGAATTGGTCTGAGCTGCACAGCTGGGAAGGGCAATCAGAGCTGGCGATCCGATTTTCGCGTTGTTCTCGGGACCGAATATGGTTAAGTGTCAAAAGTCCCTTTCCCCCTGCCTTTTCTTACTCGCGAGTCGCTGGAGGATGGAACGACTGAATGGATCATGCCTTTCTCATGGAGGAGGTTCCATGTCGCCTGGTGATATCTCGACCAATGGAGGCTCTGGGAACACTCCGAAGCCATTAAGATTGCGTGGGCCCCCTGATAGACTGATGGAGACTTTCAAATGGCTCATTGCAACGTGATTTAGGGGGGGGCCAGTACACAGCAACGTGGACTCGTGGAGGTTTCAGGCTTTCACAGGATTTGGCTCGCCGGGTCGATGGAGCCTCCCGTGTATCCATGCATTATCCGTAGGCAGTATGAATGCTTCTGCTGCACGTACAAAGTATCGCGGATGATGAACACAGTCGGGCAACTTTGACGGGCTGCTGATCCACCCTTGCAGGGGGGAGCTGGATGTGTTGGCGAGTCGAGCAAGACGACCTTCGGAACAATAAATCTACAGCAGGATGATCGTTCCCCGCGTAGAAACTTGCAAGTCAGCTGTGCTTGGGGGGAAAATGGCTGTGGTCAGGGCAAAGGTCTGTTCCCTCTGCTCTTGTTCCCCCATCGTCTTTTTGGACCACCGGCGTCGGGACTGTGCCGCAAGACAACAGCCGCATCCCGTCTGTACCTTTATTGGCGATGAAAGCACAACGCCGATTGACCAGTAACCGTTTCCGCTGTGCGGCGATTCATTCATAATCTTGCAAGGGCACTCGCATTCATCATCCGCAAAACTACATTACACTTGGTGCTTGGCACTGCTTGGCTACCTACCATAGTAATTACCAAAAGACCTACGGATACTACGTAGGTACTTGCGGCAGCTCATCTCCAGCTCTCTAGCTTCTTCTGGGCCTGTCAGGGCTGGAATCGAGCACCGCCTCGCTACGACGCATTCATGCGTTGCTAGTGCTGACGGCGGCATCTCGGGCGACCGCCTCCTTGGCCAACCACGCCGGTCCTCAACCTTGTCGAACCTTGACTCGTTTGTTCTGGAGAGGTTTTTTGCCATTTGGATCCCTTCTTTCTGTTTAGTCACTCACTACTCACGAACCCACTGGCAGTGACGGCGGCTAGGGGGCTGCGCGCGAGTATTTCCCCGATAGGGCGCGCCTGTTGAAGTTGATCCTTTTGACGTCGAGTCTCAGATGGTCAATTCAACCGAGGATTCGTCCTTCTTGGCAACGAGGCTCGATCGCGAAAGAATCCGTTGGGAGCTGAAGAAAAGGGGGGAATCTTCGGTATCGCCACTTCGTAATGAAGACAAAATTCAATAATGAAGCTTTGCTTTAACTGCTTGTCAAAAAGAAAAAATTTGTCTACGGCGGAGAGGCATTTTTTCCTCCTAGGGCATTGGCTTTCGGGATGTGGTGCTCCAAGCCCCTGAGTTGATCTCCGACATTGACGGACTTTGCCGCAGCAAACCGCATTGGCGTGATCGGAGGATTGAAGAGACAACAAATATGTCGTGTGTTGCATTAGCTAAAGATTCGAAATTGACTTCCACATCTTCGAGGATGTCTAGGCAGGTTCTTGGCGAGCAACAGACATATAGCTTGTCAAAGAAGCTGGCCATTGCACTGCTCTCGCATACCCAATCATGCAGTCCCTATTTCTGGATCATGATTTAACTATCTCGTTACAGTTCCGGTCTGAATTAGATCGAAATACTATTTGATCACCTGGGGTGCATGCAAATTGGAGGAAACAAGGGCTCATGTTAAAGAATGAGAGTGTGGGAGCTGCACAGCTTGTCGATCACCGTCTGTTGTTGGCGAGACCTGTCAAACCACAGCTCAATGCTTCCTTCTGCTTCCAAATATATGTCCAAGTTGTCAGCATGCGTAGACTGTTGCTCTCGCGGGCCGCGTTGGTTGGAGTGATGTCCGTACGCCAAGCTGTCAGTCGGTGCTTACCATGGCGTAAGCCGCATCCATCGACCGTCCGGTAGGGATGACATGCATTGAAGACGACGATGCTTTCCTTGACCGGACTGTCGACCACCGTCATTTGGCAACACAGCAGCTCAGCAGCCGTTCTGCTAACATTGGCATACGCAAATGTCCCGTCAGAGCAACTTCACGGTATCTGACTGCGGCTTTTGGCTGGGTTCTATAAGACGCGATGGGAGTCCTGTTGTGAACATAAGATTGTGTGGTTTCTGCTCTCAATTGCCATCAAACCAGGTTCACTATGCAGAGCTCTTTCAGTACCGTGATTGCCACATGTTGGCTTTTCGCAGCCTTGGCCCACGGCCACACCGTCCTCTCCTACCCGGGGTGGCGAGGCAACACCTTCATCACGAACGAGACATTTCCCTTTGGGATGCAATGGACCTACCCATGTACGTCCCTACTCAACCTCCAACCCCGCTCCCCTTCTCATAACATACGCCCCAAACAAAACAGAATCTGTAGCTTCCCAAACGCTGACGTGAAACTTCCTCATCCCCCTAGGTGGCGGACTCGACGTAACCCAGAATAGGACATACTGGCCCATCAGCGGCGGCGCCGTCGCCGTCCAACCGGGCTGGAACTCGGGACACAAGACGGCACTCATGTACATCAACCTCGGCCTCGGCGAGGAACCGAAAAATTACTCCACGGTCATGGTGCCCCGTTTCCATCTGACGGGGCCCTCGAACGAGGTGTACGAGGGCACGTTCTGCCTGCCAAAGGTGCCCCTACCGCAGGGTGTGACGCCCAACGAGGGCGACCTGGCGTCGATTCAGGTCGTGGAGGCCGCACAGCATGGTGCGACGCTGTTCAGTGTACGTCACGACCTATTTGCGTGTTACCGAGTTTCCAAGATTTCCCCGCTCGTTGTGTGCTACACGGGGAAGAGAGGGGGGGGGAGCAGGCGATGCGGGTTGAGATTGTATGGCTGACTGTGATAGTGTGTCGACATCATCTTTACGGCAGACGAGTCAAAGGTCACGCCGGTGACGGAGGACAACTGCTTCAACTCGACGGACCTCAAGGTCGAAGCAGCGACGCTCGAGACGAATTCTTCGCCCATTACTGATCCTGCGTCGCCGGCAACGACGACTGCTGCGTCTCCGAGCGTGTCGCCGACTAGTGGCGGGGCTCCTAGGTTGGCGTCAAGCTTCGTGGGTCTCTTGAGCTTCTTGCTGTTCCTTTGAAATGGTCCGGGACGAAGGCTAGCGCGGGTTCAATGGACAATGATGGCAACTTGAGGTAATGTACCGCTACGATTGGTAGGGGCTGTCGAAGATTGAAGCTTCCCATGGGAAATGTGTTTGTTTCCATGAAGTAGGAAAAGCAAGGGTTTTGTTTTTAACGATTCGAGTCATGCTAAAAACGCGGTCATTGTCTATGAGAATCTGTAGACCGCCTCTCCAAAACCTCGAATAAAAATCTGCCTTCTCGAAGTCGGCCTGCGGAATGAAGTTGAACGCGATTTGGAGACCTCGGTCGCGGATTTTCTGGAACTTGGGGAGCCAGTACACAACCATCTCGGTCCGCATTGCCGGGGTGAGGGTGAGGCTAGCAAGGACTCGGTCGAGGTAGGGTACAAAAACGGCGAAGGGAAGGACGTAGTTGTCAATAAAGTATGCGAGAGGGTTTTGAGGGTTGAAGCAAAAGGCCTCTGGGACGTCCGACGAAGGGTCAGCCAAGGCATCGGCTTCCCAGAACAGGTAGCTGCACTCCGTGCCGGTGGCATTGTCCTCCAGAGTGCCATCAGGTCCGGCAGAGACCTGCCAGAAGACGCTGTTCTGTCCAACGGCCCCTTCGACGAGGGGATAGATGGTCATGAAGGTCCAGTGATGAGAGAGGTCTACTTTGACATCGACATCCTTGAGTTCCGTTGGCGACATGAGGTAGATTGCTGGTTTTCCACCCCTCTGCCTGGGGATTAGGGACAATGAGGAGTTGTTTGTGATGGAGTAGTAGCTCAAGGTTCTCTCATCTTTCAATCGCCGACCATTGTAAATGAGTCTCTGAAGTTCAGGCATAATGTCTTCCTTGTCTAGGATGAGCATCTTGAGGTCGAAGACAGTGTCGGCAGGTGACATGTTCAAGCGCATGATTAAGCCATTCACTTGGCTCTTCATCAGCATGTGATCTGAAGCTCGCCAGTGCTAGGGGTTCGTAACTTACAAGTTTTGACAGTAAACTCAATGACCGGCGAGGTTGGCTGGGCAGTGCTGCGACGCTGCTCGGGCTCGTCATCGGGTTCGATGAGCCGGTCAGATGTCGCCTCCAGGCGGAGAATCCAACCGCTTGCGACCGCCCCGTAGGCTGATTCATCGATTTCAACCTCTTCCTTCATGGGCTTGGAAGAGCAAAGAACGACCAAGTCGGCCGCTTTGATGTCGAACGTAGCTCGAGCCTTCTCAATCAGGTTGCCGTAAGAGTCTGGACGAGCGATGAGACGGCGGCGAGTGCCAAAGGTGATTGTGATGTACTGCGCTTCCATATTTTGAGACCTCTTTTAGTAGTCGTTGGGTGTTTGAAGATTGAGAAGATGCGGTATGTCTTGAGTGAAAGTTGAGTCTTTGGGAGAATCCACGATTCGGAAATGGTGGAGAGTATGTGGTGTGTGAAGGTTGGAGGGTGAGTTGAGCGATTGGGCGATGAGAATGAGTGAGAGAGAAAGAAGAAGAAGAAGAAGAAGAAGAAGGAGAAGAAGAAGATGAGGAAAAAGAAGAGGGATGGAGAAGGAGATACCTAATTAGAAGGTACCACCTTACTTGGCCTTAAGTGGTCGCTCAAAATAGGGAAGGCGCAAGGAAGAAGTGGAAGGCACGAGAAGTTGGGAAGGCGGTAGGTGCCTGTACACGATACACCGAGATGCCAGGCAAGAAGGGGCATAGGAGTTTCTCTAGCACTAAAGAGGCAGCATCAAAGGTCAAGGTAAATGGAAATTGACTTCCTGAGACAGAGGCTTTCCTTGGATGCCGTTCTCATTTCTCCTTCGTCACTTGATGCATATCGAGCGCTGCTGATATGTATCAAGCTGCTGTGATGAATGGTTCTTTACAGAAAGGAATTTACAGACCACTGATTATGTTAGTGGCCCAATTTCTCCGGATTGGCTCGCCAGTACTCGATTGCCTCCCTCTGGATGTTATCCTTCTCGATCCTTGTCCCATTCTTACTGACATTCACTTGCCATCCCAACTCGTCAGACCCGCTGTCAATGTACTTCTTCCATTCAGCGGCACCTGCGGCTTTGAACGTATTTGGGTCACCACTGACTACAAAACTAGCGTAATACCTCGACAGCACTGTTCCGGCTTCTGGGTACTGCGTGTCCGGCTCGGCCCAAGCATACGGGACGTCGGAGCCATGAAAGATCCCCAGGTAGGCAGCCGCGCTATTGTTGGTGTTCCAGTGCAGCTTCCAGACGGGAACGTCTGCGGCCGAGAGACGAGATGCAATCTCCTGGGAGACACTGATATATGATGTGTCGCCGTAGACCGCAGAGAGTCGGGTGAACTGCGCAGACTGGCCCCGAGAGTCTGCAAATGGGCTTGCTGGGTCTGTCTGGGGATCAGGGTAGAGGCGGGAGAAGACGTCTCTGTCGCTTTCGTTGAGCCCGGGGTAGAGGTTGGAGAGCCAGCCCCACGCTTCATCATCCGTGGTCAGGTTGGTGGGCGCGTATAGACTGCCCTCGTCGGTGACGAAAGATGTCAGAGCGGGGAGGCGGTTCCAAGAGTTCGAGTCCCAGGTCTCTGATGGGAGGCGGGGAATCATGACGGCGTCTGGGAAGCGAGTTAGATCCAAGACGTTTTCGATCAATTTTTTTTTACGCTCTGGGTCAAGAAGCCCCACGAGATAGGGACAGACTTACCAGACACAGGTTGGAAGGGATGCGTGCCATTGTATCGATACGCAGCCAACAAAGCAGTTGCCGTCTCCTCAATGACTTCAACATTCACCGCTCTCAAGCACGAGAGCAGAGCCTCGGCGGTAGCATTACTCTGACACCCGACCCCATGGACGTATTGCTCAAATTGCTTGACAGTCAACGGATCCGACGCGCCGGGGAAGGAACGTCCCGTCGGACCGCCCGACTGGAAGATCGCCTGCTGGAAGAGCGCCTCGCCGGAAGGGAACGGAGCCTGATAGTGGAACCCGACCGAGTGAGCGCCGGCGGACTTGCCGCCCAGGGTGACGCGGTCCGGGTCGCCTCCAAAAGCGGAGATGTGCCGGTGGACGAAGCGGAGAAGCTGGTGTTGATCTTGGAGGCCGAGGTTGACGTTGCTGAGGTCTGCGAGGAGGGGGTTCGCTAGGAAACCGAGAGCAGCCAGCTGGAGGAACTCGGGTCAGTAATTCGGCAGTCAGAGAAGACAGAAAAAAATAGAGGTACCCTGTAGTTGAAAGTTACGACAATGAGTGGCTCAGGAGAGGAGGCAACCAGTGAAGCGCCGTCAAAGATGATGCCTGCACCGTTGCGGAATAGACCCTGAAAATGTCAGATTAGTTGGCTGATTAACTTCTGTCAGGTCAGCAATGCCAACCAAAGTTAAAACTCACGCCATGAATCCAAACCAAAACGGGTAGCTTCTTATCGATGCTCACCCCAGTCGTCTTGTACACATTGAAGTTGAGGCAGTCTTCGCCGTATTCCAATTCGGCCTTGACAAAGGTGACCAAGTTTGAGTTGCCAGGCTCTTGGATGCAAACTTTGCCGTATGACGTGACGTCTTTTGTCCCGTTTTTGGGCGAGGGCCATCCGACTGGGGCAAAGCGAAGGGCTCCGACGGGTTGCTCTGCATAGTCGATGCCATACCACACGTTTACCGGCGTCGCGAGCGGGTAACCGGACGTGGTGTTGTATAGCGTTTTTCCAACATATGAACCGTATGATGGGATGTGAACAACCAGAGAGCTCTTGGATTCAATGGGACTCCCCCGGGCAGCGGTAAAGAGCCAGGCGCCAATGAGACTGGCTTGTAGCCAAGAGCCGCTGCGCATAGATGACGGGAACATGGCGGCCAACACCGAGTCAAACACGGTTGAGAGGACGGTGGGTTGGGGCGACTCGAGGAGTTGGAAAACTATTCCCAAGGCCTCTCTCCCCGTACCGTTTACATGAGGTTACATGGGGAGATGAATCCGATTGCTTGCCGGTGGTTGACCCCTCTTGTCATTGTTATCCTTGCAAGTCCCACAACCAAAGTAAAGGTCCCCGCCGGACGCTGATCGCGCAAGAGCTATTCAAATGACGAAACTTGCAGAGATCACGATTTTCGAGCAATTTGGTGAAAAAGTTGGATTCTCCAGCCGATGCTGCCGGTCAGTATGAGGTTGTGGACTTCACTCCTTGGCATTCAGGAACAGCTTTCTTCAACAAGTTCCCAGATTCCGGGGGCTTATCAATGCACATGAATGTGGGCGATAGGCGGCCATTTGGAGACAAGAAGCCAAAGTCTGAAGGATGAAGACTGGAGACTCGTATCGCAGCTCCGTGACCCTAGGGCCTCACGGTATCTTTTTTGCTTCATTTTCAGGAAACTCGACTTATTGAATCACTTGACTTGGATATCAAAGACCGAAAACGGTTAGACTTGCCGCGCAGATGTTTAGACCTGCCGCGCAAACAGGGTATTGCGCCGGCACCGGAGCTTTGTGTGTCTGCTGCAGATACGTAGTGAATGTATCAAATGACATGGGTCAGGCCCGCAGATCTGGATAGAGACTTGGCATAGAATCAATAAAGATATTGGCAAACTCCGCCCAGTAGACGACCTCATCGGTACTTGAATCGTTGATTAATTCCCTACTTGGCTAAGAAATCTCCTACCTCCCTAAACTTCCTCTCAGCCCATCTTTGTGTATTTTGCTTGGATATCCATGTTTACCACCTTGTTCGGCGCGGTCCGCTGACTCCGCTCTAGATGCTTCTATAACGCCACAACAACGACCATCACTCTCTATTCATCATCACCGGACATCCTCCCGACCTCGTCCCATCCACCACGTCAGTGTGTAATTTGCTAATGTCCTCGGCCGACAGTTCGACATCTTGTGCTACCGCCTGGTCGAACCTCGCCTCGGGGCCGAGGTTGTCCGTCTTGGCCTCCTTCTTTACCACGCCGTCCGGGGCAATCTGCCGGAACATCTGCAGCGAGTCGAACCAGGTGTCCACGCCCTGCAGACGCAGCTGATCGTCCACACGCGCAATCGTCACACCTTCAATGTCAATCTGTCCGCCGTGCGCCTTGGCTGTGACCTTGTCTCCTTTGCTGTACACGTGCCTTTTGTCAGTTCCACGCCATACGCGACCGAGAACGGGGAGACGCGGGGGGGAGGCGACCGAGGAGATGGTATTTATGGGGGCACGTCAGAAACGTACTCATTGAAACCGACGTAGTCATTCTTCATAACGCCCCAGTGACGCCACTTGAAGGCGACGCACGGCGGACCGCTATAGACCTCAATGACCTCCCACGCAAACGTGGGCATCATGCGCTTGAACGTCTTGTGGCTGGACGCAAAGTCGGAGTAGTCTGGGCTGTAGTACTCGTTGGGCGTGATGACGGCGTTGTAGGTGCCGACCCGGAGCATGTGCTCGCCCGTCTGCGGCGCGCCGCCGTTGACGGAGAAGGTGTAGTTGGCGTGGTCGACGGTCCGCCAGTCGTCGAGCTTCGTCTTGAACGAGGCCTCGACTTCCCAATTCTTGACCAGGTTCTCTACAATCTCTTCCAGACTGCCCGCCTTGTGGTTCATCTTTTTTCCTGGTGGTTTTTGGTTTGCTTGTCAGCTTTGGGATACCCCTTTCCTCCTACGGATACATTGTGCCCCCCTTCCCCCGGTACACACACATGACATGGATGAGGAGTAGATCCTTACCTTCTCTCCAGACTTTGCGCGTTCTCGTGTAATCGGGTGCCCTGCCGTACCGCCACTGCACGCCCTCATCGCCAAAGACGGCGTTGGGTGTAGTGACATAGTCCGGCAGCACGGGTTTCTGAGACGCCGCAGCCTGCGGCGTGGGGTCCTGGGCGTTTACGAGAACCATGTTTGTTGACTGAAAAAAGCTTTCCGGCGTTACGAGACTGTGAGGTGGATGGGATGAAAGAGGTCCTGCTGGCTCTTTTAATACGTTTTTGGAGCAATCTGCCACGAGGAGGGCGTTCGTTGTCGCACGTAGTTGGTCGTGAGGTATGTCTTGGATACGCGTGGGAGGAGAGACGAGACAAGGGGGCGTGATGCAAATGCTTCTTTTATCCCCCTCCACAGATGGTGGCAATAGATCTTAATCACGGCCTCTTCCCTGAAACAAAAATCGCAGCGGATCAGGAGCCGGAAGGGAAAAGCGAATCACTGACGGTCCCCCCAAATAACGTTCCAGTCTGCGCCGCAGAATCGGGTGAGAGTTTTCTGCAATGCGTGCTGCAATGGGACGGGACGGGGGAAAGCTGGGACGTCCAAGCTCACAAATGATATATTCGGGGAACACAAATCAGATAGATCCGTGTGCTGGGCGCGTTATAGCGTTGTAGGACAGCGAAGGCGCCTGGGGACTCGATGACCCCAAGCTGGCTGAGACGGGGGTCGACGCCAAAGCGAAAAGGAAAAAAAAAAATGGTGGTGGTTACACGGTGCTCAGGGCGCACCGCAGGCAGCAGAAGCAAACAAGTTCAGATTCTGCAGTTTGATACGCTGAGCTTCGTTCCCAGGAAGCGAAAAGGCCCTGTGCTCATCTGACTTGATTAGCAAAAAAATGTTGTGATTCAGGAAAATCCCGATTGTGTGGGAAGAGGACAACGGAAACCTACATGATGCAGGCGGCGGCGCGGAACGAGGATGGGGGAAGAAGAAAAAAGAAGCCTCAATTTCTTCTGGTATTGAGGCGTTATCGTGCGAGGACTGGAGCGAGCAAGATCTTTCCGCCAATTGATCGAGATGTTCTTTCTGGCCGAAACTGATGGGAGAGGGGGGTGAAGCTTAATCTTGTTTTCTCAAAAGTGGACAGACTCTTTTTCCCACAACCTACAGAGTTCGAAAGCCATTCTTATGTACATTGGCAAAGAAGCCCTCACCGGAACTCGAAAACGATGAACTTTTGCCGAAGAAAAGAAATTACAAAAAAGAGGGAGAAGCGAGAAATGTTGACACGTTGTTGAGCGGAACGCAGGGAGAGAAAGGGAGGCTGCGATATCAGGTATCCCATTGGCCCGACTCCCAGTTCATGATCCGCCAGATCGACGAATCTCACAACCGTCCGCCCCGTTCCCCAAGTTTGTTGTGGTTGTCTCTCCTCCTCCTCCTCCTCCTCCTCCTCCTCCTCCCCCTCCTCCTCCCCCTAGAGCGAGCACAATGTCTTTGATTTATCAGTTTCTGTCTGGCTTGTCGGTTGCAAGAAGCCTGTCTCAGTCTGATAGAGCCACGCGGATAGGAAAGGCGAGCAACTTTCCGAAGCGGCGGTGGCGGGGGGCCAATCGCCGCACGGCAAGTCTCAGACACACAAATCGAGTCGATCTGGCGTTGAGTGACCCTACCTACCTAGTTCGGGAAGGGGTTTGGCTCGCACGGAGAAGAAGAAGAAACGACGACGGCGTGCCAGTGACACCTTGCCTCGTGGTCTGGCACGCTGGGAAAAGGTGAATCAACGCACTTCGCCACGCGACAATGGGGCACTCGATGCTGTACTACCTCCCCTCTCCGCCCCCTTTGAGGTGTCATCATCATCGGCATCATCATCATCGTCGATGAGGCGGAGGCGGAGAAGAGTCGTTGTTCCCGACTTTGACCGAACCCTTGCTCTCGACTCGTGGAAAAAAAGAAAGAATGAAAAGCCACAGAGGGCCTGGCGCTTACGACAATAGATCAGAGACCGCAAAGGGGAGTGTTCTGGTTGGCAGGAGATAGGCGTCTTGAGCCTGTGAAGTCGACAATAGAATCTCTGGCCGTTCCTATGTCATATGTCAACTGGTGGGATGAAGTTGAATGGGCCATACTACGTACAAATACGGATACAATGCCGTGCAGCCTTGATTTGGCGGCTATCGACCGGCCGTGACCGGGTCATCCGGGCCCACGACTCGGCTTAGCCGTCTCAGACATGGCGTGTGCGGCGTGCTCCGACAGTCTCTGTGTCGTCGCACACATCCTTGGGTAGATCCAGCCATAGGCCTCCGGATGTGGCCCCCCCGGCAATCGGACGAGCCCTGAAAGTGGAACCTCGTCCGGAATGTCTGGCGTCATTTAGGGCGGTACGGGAGGCGCCTCTCCTCGCGGTCCGATGTTCATCCCTCTCTCTCTCTCTCTCTCTCTCATCGACTGGAATCTCCCCGAGTGGTGGTAATAAATGGCTTGTCAGCAACACGAAACGAGGCTGGCTTGTTGGACTGTTTATGTGTCTTACTCAGCGGCTTCGAGGATGGTTTGACAACAACCTTTGTCGCACGCATGGCCTTCCTCAAAGATTGTTCCCAAGAAGGGATTGATGCTTTTTGGCGTGGCTAGTGGTCAAACCATTGAAAGTTTCCGTGCCTCTTTTTTTGGCTCCAAAGTTGATCCACCATCGATAAGGTACCGCGTGAACAGTTCACGTATGCGCGCGAATGAAGCGCGATGTAATGGTCCCCATTTCCGACAGAGGAGAGGGCATCTCAGAGGGCATCTCAGAACGGGGGCCCCAGTGCTATTAGAAGCCCTGCAAAGGCTGATGTCGGCAAACGGCTAGGCGTATCCTCACAGTCGCATACTTCATTGCCGCGCGGGGACTTCCCTGCCTTCCTTAATACCGCGCGGGGTCCTTTTTTTTTTTTTTTTTTTTTTTGGCGCTGTAAGATACGATCTCCAACCCTAAGAAGTCAATTTCGCTCCTTGTGGGCCTTTGTAGCTGCTCCGCGCGGGCGGCATCCCAGCAGAGAGTCGATCAGTGGAGAGAGAGCCTGCAGGTACCGGAACTACTGTTACAATGCCACCTATAGGCCTCTGAAAATTACTCAGTGGCCATCTTTTGTTAACTCTGTTGCCTACTAATACATATTTACGAACAGTGCAGCAGGTGTGGAGACTCTGGACACCCTGGAGCATGAGAGTTTCCGATCATTTTTTCTTATCAAACGCCAACCCCAATACTCCGGAAAGCTGCCCCCCCAGTCCTCTTACAAGCAATCATCCTGCAGTCCCATGATCGCCACCCCCGGCACAGTCGATCAATCGTTCTAAACGCCCGCGCAATCGTCCGCACAGAGAGATGTTATGTCCCCCTGCACCTTGCCAATATTGAGTTACCCCGTGATGGGATGCCAAATCCACGGCAATTGGGCGGCGCGGTGTGCGGTCTTGGGCAGGAGTCCGTTGACGCTTGCGCAAACTGCTAACCTGGTTCGGCCGAGTCCATGTGACATGTCAAGGCCTGGGGGGGGGAGGGGGGACGACGGGCAACATCCTGGGCCGTCACAGTTAACCACGTCTGCATAGCAACATACGTAGTAGTACGTCGTCGACTCGTAATCACACGCTGGCCTGTGGCTACGGCGGGCGATTATTGGGGGGATCAACCATGCGGTAAAAGGTTAGACCGGCCGCACGGGGTCCACGTAGCGTGCGTGGGAAGATGATGCAGGCTGTTGATGCAGGCTGTTCTGATGATGGGAATACTGGTAGTTTGGGTGTTTCTTCCCAGTCCACAGAAGGGGTGAACAGGAAGAACAGCAAATCAAGCCGCCGCTGAAGACTCTGGTGCTTACAGCACCTCTCTGTAGACTTCAACGCAAACCAAGGAACAGTCACAATCATGAACACAGGTGCTTGGTGTCAATCTCAGGTAAATTGCTAGGACTAAATAAAGAAATCACCCACACGTATCCAAACGTTTGCCTATGAATAATGCTATCATGCGCCCCGTGAAATATGAGGCTGAAATGAGTGCTCTGTTTTCCCCATGCTCGCTTCGCAAACGCGAACAAAAGATGCCAATGAACCAGGTGTTGTTTGGTGAACTTCTGCACCATACCTCCCCTAATAGCGTCGTCCCCCAGCAGTCGTCGTCCCCCTAGTTGGCTACCGTTCTCGACTTCACACTGACGTGGAACCCTCGGGGCTTGACGAACCACGCATTGTGCGTCGTCCACGACCCTCCGGGCGCAGCAGCATTGCCCTCGAGCTTGAATTCGAAATCGCGAATGATCCTGGGGATGAGCTTGGACATTTCCAGGATAGACACGTTCTTGCCAATGCATGTACGCGATCCCAGTCCAAACTATAAATGGGTAAAAAAAGTCGCGGGTTAGAAATCATGTACACCAAAAAGTGAAAAGGGGGCAAGACAAAAAGGTGGTGGTGTCTTACAGGCATCCAGTTTCTGTTCATCACGGAGAGCTTCGCCTCGTCTTCAATCAGCCAACGGTCGGGGTTGAAGCTGTCGGCATCCTCTCCGTAAAAGACCTTGTTTCTGTGCTGGACCCAGGCGTTGATTCCAACAACGGACTAAAAAAAGGGAAGCATGAACGCGTTAGTAATCAGAGTAAATCATAGTGATTGGGCCACAAGAACGTGAAAACATACCCCTTCAGGGAAGAAACGGCCGCCAATGGTGACGCCGCCCTTGGGAACGATGCGTTCCAGGGGCAGTCCCGCAGCGGGATGGACGCGCAAAGCCTCCTTGATGACTGCCTGGAGGTAGGGCAACTTTTGGCTTTCCTTGAACGTCGGTGACGGCGACAGCTCTCCGCGGCGGGTAAAGTCGTCAAGCTCCTCTTGCAGCTTGGTCATGGTTTCGGGGTTCTTGAGCAGGTGGTAGAGAATGGCCGAGATGCTGATGCCGGTCGTGTCGGACCCGGCGACCATGTTGGACATGCAACCGTTGAGGAGATGCCAGCTGGTGAACTCGTCCGAGTTGCTCGAGTGCTTGGCCAGGAACTTTGTGAGGAACGCTTCGCCCACGGCCGCGCCGTCCTCGGCACCCTTGACGTCGATGACCGGTTTTGGCGACGCTTGCTCCTCCTCAATGGTCTTCGCCGTAAACGTCAGGACGTAGAGCACCTTGGCTCCCATGCTCCGACTCGGAAGAACCTTGTTCAGTATCGGTGTGATGTACTTGTGCACCAACGGAAAGATGCCGGCCAAGCTCATGTAATCCAAGCTCTGGTTGAGGTGGTGAATGACTTGAGCAACGTCTTCGCCGCGGTCCAGGAACCCGAGACGTTTTCCGTACGTCATGAGCGCGATGGCGTCGAACGCGAAGCACTGGAACCAGTGGCCAATGTCCATCATCGCCCCGACCTTTGCGAACTCGGACAGCCGCTGCGCAAACAGGGCGCCGCACTCGTCCACGTACGGCTCGTAGTTGACGAGGGACGTCATGGAGTACGCGTTTGTGTAGAACCGTCTGTTGCGCGCGTGACGCTTGGCCGAGCGCTCCGAGAAGAGATTCCACAGGTCGTCGTTGGGCTGGAACGAAGAGTACCACTCCGACTTTTGGAAATCTGTGCCGTGGCCGTAGACCGTCTTGGTGGCTTCCGCATCGTTGATGCTGTATCGGTTCGGGCCATAGCGGACGATGGGGCCTGGAGAGAAACAAGGAAGAAGAAAACGTCAGTGTGTTATGATACTCGCAGCTGCTCGATGCTAACCCTACCGTATTGTTCGTGTAGCTTCTGGTTGACCTTTTCAAAGTCTCCTTGTTTGACATGGTGGAAGTACCAAAAGTCGGTGAAGCGAGCCAGCGACGGGCCGGGTACTGATCGCAAGGGGGAACGAATCCATCGAACAAAGGAGTAAAGGATCTGGGCCAGCAACGCAAAGGCTGCGGCGGCCAGTATGAGTTGGGCGCTCATTGCAAAGATGTCAAGTATGATAAAGACAAAGATGAAGATTTTGGCGTTGGTTGATAGAGCATCACACTCTGTCCAATTGATAACTTTGAGATTTTTTCTGAATATGGGAAGGATACCAGCTGCAGGTATTTATATTGGGCATGCCGGATCCGTATCTTCACCGATTATTAAAGTCGACATGTACTCAATCAGTCCGCAGCCCGTCTTGGAGTTGAACCTGCAAAGTTATACGGCTTACAACTGTTATTGGTGCATAACTTCGGACGAGTCAAGACGATGTTGGCATGCTGGGCTATGGAGACACCTCGGCGCCGAACTTCCCTATCTTGAGTATTGAACCTTCGTATCGTGGGACTAGACTATAAGACAGTCTTTCCCGCCCCCCGGCTATGCATGGATGTGGATCTATATCTGTGAAGGGCTATCCGTACATGTATGTACCTTACAACGGTTTCAAAATGCGCACCATGAGGTGTAACACCATTCATCACTTCCAGTGCAACATCGTAATGCGAGTCGAGCGATGCAAGTATCTGCATCCATTTGCTTTGGTGACCTGAATAAGACCACATCGCAAGTGGAATCGTGAATCTGAACACCTACTGTAGTGTAGGGGAGCTGCCATCCCAGAATCTGGGGTTTCTTGGCATTGGACCAGGGAACCGTTGATCTTTGCCGCTATGTTAGGGGGGGGGGGGGGGGGGGTGTCGCGCGGGGCGCGGGGGGGGGGGGGGGGCCCCACCCCTGGTAGTGGTGGGGTGGGTGGGGGGGGGGGGGGGGGGGGTGGGGGGTGGGGGGGGGGGGGGGGGGGGGGGGGGGGGGTGGTTTTCGGCGAGGCGACGGTACTCGGGTATCAAAACTGTCCGAACCCGACATCCGCCCCGCAACATGACGTGCCAGATAGCGTACCGACCGCGGGCCGCGAAGCGAAAAGACGGCAATGGGGTAGTGCGGAGATTGTCGTCGCCGTTGACCGTGATGGTGTACGCCTAATTTCCAAAGAATACGAAACGGTGGATTCATTATGATGCTTCTTTATTCCCTTGAACCAATATGCATCAAGTAATTGCCAACTGTTGGCTCTTCGCCGGTGCCGGAACTCGTAGCAATTGCCAGGCCGAGTGTCCTTATACGCTTCCAAAGACTGTGGAAGATAAAAAATGGTCTCTTGGGGGGAAATAGACCTGCCATCCATTGTACAAAACACAAAGACATCGCATGAGATGTACACGGATAGACCGTCTCGGCCGAGTAGTGGCAATATGACCTCCTCGAGTGGTTAGGTTAAGGCTCTGGCAGCTATATCCATGTAGTGAAATCAAATACTTAGGGTTCTCCAGTGCCTACTTTTGACGGCAGCGATCAAATGATGAGAAGATCCTTCCATCTTCTCAGCTTAAAAGGTAAACTGTAACTCTGCTGAATGCTATCTGTACGTCACCTCTTGAATCTTGTTTTCGTTACGGCGTATTTCCAAGGGGAAGGATCGAAATTTCCCCCGCAAAGTTGGAGAAAGGAGTACCCAAGTCTCATTTACAACGTTACATAACGCCGACACACATACACTTGACGTCAGATGTCCTACAACTTCATCTTCATCGTTCCCGACTGGCACTTTGAGAGTCCAACTCAACAAACGCCGTCCTATCGCCGACTTTTGTCCGCTGCGGGCAGCTCGGGCACTGCGAGGGGGGCCAGATAAATGGCCACTTTTGTGGCTTTTATGTGGTTGATGTAAAAGAAAAGCGGCCGTCTCTATGGGGCCTACAGGTGTCAGGTTACAGCATACATGGCGACTTCAGGGGAGGGGGGCCAAACTCGGTCAAAATCCGCCTAGTCCGGAAACTCCTTTCGAAACCCCTTAGGTGCCCCTCTTGCCGATCACTACTTGTGTCGCAAGCCCTCACGCTGATGGTGGCCAGCCTTTGGATCGTGGATGGGAAGGCGGCCGGCTATAAGAGAGCAGTCCGCCTGTCAAATGAGCTCGTCACGGGTTCCTACTAGTTGGTTACTTAAACGGATATAGTCTGTTGTTTCGACGCCAGTTTTTCGTCTGTCTGGCCAACCAGGCTCCGCGCTGGCAAAACTTAAAAACCTATGGCCGACAATTCTCATCCGCCGTGCCACCCTTACCCAGGCGTATTACCTCATCATCATCCGCGTGGCTAAGTAGATCAAGCGCTTGTGGGTAAACAATTACAGTTTGTAGTGTAGTTGGCTTGTTGTTAAAAACGGCCTAGCGTTTTCTACCTCGTCTACCGCTACTACAGGAAGCGCGCGGGCTTTCCCCATCTAAACAACGGGCGGAACAGCCAAATTTGAGGGAATCCTGCCCGCAGAGCCACCGGCGACATTCTTGGCTGGAACATTCATTTGCGAACCCTTTGCGGCCGTCCTGTAGGCCTGTACGTCGGCATCCGCTTTACTGCTGGTTCATTAGCGCGCCATGTCCTGTGTGGAGAAAGGGACTTCTCGTAATTTTCTTACGGGTTGATGATCATGACCATGCCAAGCTGGCAGTGCATGCCCTGCGCGCAGTACATGAGCATGGGCTCAGTGTTCTCCACCTGCACGTTGAAAGTGCCAACCGGGGAGCCGTCCGTGACACCCGGAATGAAGCCAGAGTGGACGGCGTTCGGCATTTGGTCCTGGAGGGGCATACACGGGGCCTGGGTGTTGGCGGCCTGGGTGACGGTGTGGTTGTTGGGCCAGAACTGGAACTGGACAATGTCGCCGGGGTTGGCCTTTACGACCTCGGGGTAGAAGAGCAGGGACTTCTCGCGGGTCGGGCTACCCACAACGACGGGGATGACCTTGGGCGTTGGGCCCGGTGGTGCGGGTGGTGCTTGACGCTCTGGGGAAATTGTGAGCTGCAAGTGACGAGATAACCTTCCGGCAGTGTTAAGTGGTGCTTACCATTGAGAGCGGCGGCCAATGAGCCTCCCACAAAGGCGGCGAGATAAACGGCGACGGTGCTGAACTTCATTTTGATTCCTCTAACCCTCGATGATCGTTTACGGAACTACTGGCTGATACGGCTAAGACGACGAGACGCTTCGATAATGATGACACTAATGACACTGAAAACACTACAGAACAACTTCTCCCCCAGCAGAGGTGCAGAGGACCCTACGATATTTAAGCTAATTATGATTGCTTGCAGAACCTCAAACCAGCAGCAGATATGGGACAAGCTCAACGCCAAACATCCGCCCGCCACAACGAACCTTTCCCTCTCTTAACCTTCCGCACTGGGCAGACTTGTTCCCAATCATGAGACCGGCCAAACGTAGAATCGCAGAGTTGAACTGGTTGAGTTGCGGTGATGAGCAAGGGTAGCAGCGAAAGCTTGGGCACCTTAAATGATGAGATGATTCGAGTTGCCCAATGAGCGGTGTCTGGTGCCTCCAACGTGACACTTGATGTTTCGTTTCTTCGGCCGCACTGCATACCGAAGAGTGCTTAGAAATGAGCAACCCCGGACAATGGCGGAATAAACATGAGATCGAAGAGAGGGTGGGATTCGATCTCGCTCTTTCGGATTGGAGGGGCGAGGCCGGGTCAAAAATCCATAAGGCTGTCTCGCCGGGTCAGATGGCCCCCCCTTTCGGCGTGGGGACGACAAAAAGCCCGCAAAGGGCACTGAGAAACGAAGCTGCGGGCGATATCCCACCCATCGACACCATCAACCTCTCCGACAAAGTAGGCAGACAGACGGCTGGCTCACCATGGAGTGCTTTCATGATTACCAAGCCAAAGCTGGCAAACGGGATGAAACGGTTGCGGAGTCGTTTCGAAAGATTGGAAAAAGGCGTGGACCACCCGCTGGTTCCTTCCCCCCATCTCCCCTCCCTACCCCCCGACCCGACCGTGGGGGATCTCCGAGCGTTGAAGGATGGCACTATTAGCGGGAGATCTGCACTAGTGGGTAGATAGTTTGCACATGCCGATAGCGTCTACGGCTCCGCCCTAGGGCAGTGGTCTCCTCGTCGCGCGCGCGAGACGTATTTGGCACTGACTCTCGACGTCAAGAGAGTTTTTCGCGCTGAAGATATCGGGAGATATTAATGTCAACTGGAGCGTGCGCATGTCGTGATCGTGTCAGTCACGATTCTATTGCCCCATTCGAGAACAGACCTCCATGTTCAGTGCATCTACCGTCTATAAGAATTCCTTCGCAATTATTTGCAGTTTGCAGCTACATGCCATAGCACATATTACTTGCTTGTTATACCCAGTTCGGGGTTGGGGTTGGGGTGTGCTCTATTTCTCCGCTTCGCCGTTTCCTTCCGTCTGACCCCGAGCCTGGCCGTTCTTCTCCGGCTTGTTCTTCTTCACGCTCTTCAACTCGATGAAGACACACCCGAACACTGTTAAACATCCGAGGACGGTGGCAATCAGAAACACGTTCTGGAGGGCCCTGTTGTAGGCTCCGATGATGCCGTCGACCGAATCCGGATAGATGCTCCGCATCGACTCCACCAGTCCGGACCCCCCCGCGTCAATGACGACGGCTGGGTTCACGTTGGGGACGTTTCTGTTCAGCTCGGCGATGAGCCGCGAGTGGAAAATGTTTTGAGCGACGGCCAAAAACACAGTGCCGCCGAGACTTTGCAGGAAGATCAGGAGGGACGTTGCCAAGGCTACGTCACGACCGTCGAATACGGTCTGAACTGCTATCAACGTCTGTTGCCCGCCCAGACCTACGCCGACTCCCATTAGGACGAGTGAGGCGATCCTGAAGCATTTGTTAGCATAACGAGAGTTGTTGAAACCAGAGTGCGAGGTATAAAAGTACCAAAGGCCTGTGCTCGTGTTTTCGTTGAACGAGTAGATTAACCCCGACCCAACAGACGCGATAACAGACGACGCAATGAGTTGCGGAACATAATACCCGATACGACTTGTCTGAAAAAACTGGTCAGCATCATGGCCTGACTTTCCAGATCGGGGACTTGGGCATCGACTTACCAGGAATCCCGACAAGATTGTCGCCACCGATAAAGACACCGAAGATGCCAGCAAGTCGATCCCGCTTTGGTAAGCAGAGTGGTTCTTGACTGCCTGCAACCAGATGGGGATGTAGTACACTTCGATAAAGAGAAGGGAGAAAAGGAGAAGCATAAGCCAGCAAGCGCAGGCCATGGATCTTTGAAAGAGGATGCGGAACGGGACTGTAGCCTTGTCGCCCTCGCGGTACTGCACAAACGCCCATGAGAGGAAGCAGACCGCAAAGAGGCACCAGCAGAGAATGATGCGCCAGTTGCTCCAGGGGTACTCGGTCCCTCCCCATTGCAGAGCGAGGAGGAGGCAGATGATCCACGGAATGAGCAACAGTGTTCCCAAAAAGTCAAAGTTTTGAACAAACTCTCGCAGGCTGTGCGTCTGCTTCTTCTCTTGCGGTGGGAGCTTCAGGAGGAAGAGGATAACGAGGAAGGTAACGCCGCCCAAGGGAAGGTTGATCCAGAAACACCATCCTACGTGGGGATCATTAGTTTGCTATTGTATAGAAATGATGAAGGGTGCAAGGGGGGGGGGAGGAAGCATTACTCCAAGTCGCCTTGTCAACAAAGACGCCGCCGAGAGTTGGCGCGATGCACTGCGAGATCCCGCCTGCTGCGCCGACTGCCGCTGTGAACTGCGGGCGTCGGTGGAGAGGCACACTTCTAGCTAAGATCTGAGTCGCGTGATTATTAGTTAACAGGGTTTCAGGGAAATTCGGCGGGGGGCCGGGAAGGGGGGGGAGGGTTGTCAAGCTTTCCGCGAACACGTACAATGAGAGCGCCGGACATGAGTCCAGCGGCACCCACTCCGGAGATGGCTCGGCCGACGATGAGAACAACGGAGCTCGGAGCCACGGCGCACACCACGGACCCCACCTCGAAGATGAGGAGCGCGACAAGGAACACCCATTTGGCGTTGAACTCGGCGTACAGTTTGCCGACGAAGAGCTGGAACGAACACATTGTGAAGAGGTAGGCGGAGCCGTACCACGCTACGTCGGGCAAAGATTGAAATTCCGAGGTAATGACTGGAATTGCGGTTCCCAGGATTGAGCGATCCTGGATGTGGAAGCATGCTGTTAGCAAAAGTGTTGCATTCCTCGTTCACTTCTGGGAACATCCTGCGCCAGAAACGAAACTGAAAAAAAACTTACAAGTCCAAAGCACAAAACGGCGAGAAACAGGCCAATTGTAATGATTGCAAGGCTGGCACCAGTCGGGTACGTTCCTGCGGCGACATCTTGGCCTGGAGACGTCTTGTCCAGTTCCGGGTCACTGAACCTCTCTCCACTTGTCCGTGGTATAGAGTTTGAGGCATTCGTCCTGGGGGAAAAGTTAGCTCAGCCGCCCTAGCTCCCATCTCCATAGCTCACCAAAAGGTGCAGCGCGAACCCACCTTGTTTCGACAGCCATGTTAAATAATTGTATTATTGGAGTTGGTCAAATGAAGTAGTAGAGCGCGATGACATGTATGATCCGAATACCAAACGTTCCCCTCCGTCTAGAGACAAATGCCTTATATACAGCTCCCTTCATGATTGAAGAGACGTCTGCTGCTCACGTTATCTTTGACTATCTGAGCTTACAGATCCCACAGCACGATGCCGGTCCGTACGGAGAATAACATGAAAGACAAGTCAGAGTCAGCATGCCAGTCTGGGATTAGCGCCATTAGCCACGCAGGAACGAAAGCCAATATTTCTTCTCGCCTAATCAGCTTACATGCAAGCAACTCTATCCAAAGTCCCAATTCTTGTGCCGAGGCAGGGTCCTCTAGCTAGCCACCGGCGCCAGGGTCACTGGTGCTGACGGTGGGCACAATTGACATGAAAAAAAAAGGAGCTTGGTTGGTCGGGCTTAACAGGAAGCTTGGGCCAGAACAGCAGGTGATGATGTCAAAAGTCGGAGGCCGGGGCTTAAAATAACCTCCGATGCCGTACGTGATGGAGACTAAACAACCAATCAAGTAGCTCCTTTGGATCCCGATCGTCCACTTACGGAACTTAAAGAGCCGACCGATCCCCGGATTTTAATCTGCCGTCCGTTCCATCACCCTCGACCTCTCTCCCGTTCGACTCAGCCCCAACATCGCCAGCAAAGTTGCGCCTCACCAAATCCCTCGTACTTTTTTTTTTGTTTTCTTGTCTCCATCTTCCTCGACAATAAGGGCTCCGTATTCTTACATTCGGGCGGGTCACCTCCCAAGCAATGCCGCCGAATGATGACGCCAATAGCCCCCCCATCTTTGCGCATAGTCACGCAAAGAAGCCCCGAGCGTGTACCAATTGTGCTCGCCTCAAAATACGGTGTCGTTGGCAACCGGGCTCGGAACAAAATGAACACGCCGATTGCATACGGTGAGCCAGCCGCCTTCTGCTTACTGCGACCGTTGTGTGGGTATCAAAAGACTGTGCAGCAGAGCTGACGGCGTTGGTGCGCCAAGATGCTCCCGCATGAGCATACGATGCCAGGTACCTGAGCCGGTTCCGAGGAAGAAACGTGGAAAGTCGAGGTCAGTATAAATTTCACAAAGTAAGGTTGGAGAGAGTGTCCTATTGCATCCTGCTCTTCCAGCTAGCTGCAGATCACCCGCTCCTCCTTGTGCTCCTACCTACCTACCGGGGTTCTTTGAGCCAAATATGAAGCTAAATTCACCCCCTTGCGCAGCCGAGTCACAGAGCTAGAAAAGAGAATAGATGGTCTGGTCACCCTGTTCCAGACCCAGCAGCAGTCAGGGGAGGGCCAAGGGTTGCCGGCAACCGGCCCCAGCCCTAGTAGCGAGGACCCGCGCTTAATGCCATGCACCGGGTTGACTATACCGGGCGTCACCCATCCAGTGAGCACGGACGCGTCTCCGAGTATCAACAGCGCGGCAAGTGTCCAAGACTGCCAATCTATGCCGACGCCAGAGGCTGCTTTTGCCAGCGGGTCCTATCATCTCCTGCCTGGGTTCCTCATCACGGCCGAGAAGGCTGAGGAATATCTCTCCATCTACCGGACGCGTCTCGTCCCCAATTTTCCTTTTGTACCCATCGAGCCTGAAATCACGGCGAGAGATCTCCATAACCAGAAACGGTTTCTGTTCTGGTGCATCATGCAAGCTGTTGTGCCCCAAACAGCTTCGGTACAGAAGGCCGTCGATGATTGGGTCCGCAAACATGCCGCCATGCACATCATAGTTAATAAGGAGAAGAAAATCGAGCTGCTCCAAGGTCTCATCGTCTATATCGCCTGGTAAGAGTTGGCTTCCGTCTGGGCTCCGGCCGTACAATCTCATGATAACCCCCCTGGCACTTGGTCCGTACCGTAGTCGAGGTACATTTTGTCTAATGAGTTCTGTATCTATCAGGGGTGACGTCCATCTGCAGATGGGCATCAACGCGAATACACTCCTCCAACTCGCCATCGGCCTGGTCATGGATATGACCCTGTACACTCTCGCGGGCCCAGTGAGCTGGATGCCCAAAACTTTGTTGAAGGATGCGTGGGCAGTCTTGGGGCGGAGCGGAAAGCAGTTCGAGGCACCCAAGCCAACCCTTGAGGAGCAAAGAGCGATTCTGGGCGGCTACTTTGTTGCGTCGAGGCAAGTTTTCCTTCTAGGTCATGTGGTAGCATAGCAAACGACGTGAGCAAAGACTGACCATGATCATCAGTGTTCCCGCCGCCATCAGAAGACACTCGCAGGTCCAGTACACGCCTCCAATCGCACGATGTTTCAAGGGCATCCGCGAGGCAGACGCTTTATCGACAGATCAGAATCTCCTGGCCCTCGTGCGCATGCAACATTTGGGGGACCGCATTCGTGCGACTTTCCCGAGTCCGGACAGAGAGGAGGGAGAGCCTCTGCCCCTATTCCGGGAACACTTTGGTGCCGTGCTGGCATCGCTCCGCAAGGAGGTCTGCGCTCTCAAGACCGAAGAACCTGCCATCAAGAAGGAAAATCGTGAGTGGACCGTTCAATTTGCCAAAGGGTTCAACTCCCAGCCATCCAGTTATACTGACCACACACACGCACGTCATTGAAGCCATGATTTGGGCACACTACAGGGCATTAATGGTCCGACTCTACGAACCCAGCATCGGCATGCGCGGCGCCAGCCCCTCCGAGGCCCTGTCCGCCACGGAGCCGTGCAGCCGGACCGAATCACTCTGGTTCTGCCTGCAGGCGATCCAGAGCGCCCAGGACGCGCTGCTCGCCATCCCCGCCGACACTTTTGCGTATCTGCCCTTCAACACCGTCGCGGACATTGCCCACACGATGATGGCCTCGCATCGGCTTCTCCTGGAGGACTCGGCGAGCGACTGGGACGTGATGCTGGCGCGGCAGAAGCTCGACCTGCCCGGCATTGCCCGGCGACTGGCCGACCGGTTCGAGGAGGCGGACAACGTGGCGCTGATTGTCGGGCAAAAGAGGCGCATCTTTGAGGACGAGAGCTCGCGGTGGGCAAACTACGCGTACCGGGCGAGATGGGTTCGTCAGTGGTACCTGAACAAGGTGGTCGGGCAGCCGCCGCAGGAGCAGATTGCGATGACGGAGCAGCAGCAGCAGCAGCAGCAGCAGCAACAGGCGCCGTCGCATCCGCAGATGATTGCGCCCGACGGGATAATAACGGATCTGAACATGTCTTTGTTCGGGGGCATGGCGATGGACCAGTCGTTTTGGGATATTATGATGCTGGATGGGCCTGGGCAGATGCCCGTGGACGCGTCCGTGCTGTTACCGGACCAGCCCATGTTGCCCGCCATGCAACCTTCCTAGAGATATTTTTTTACAGGCTGTTGTTCGCTGAGAGCGCTCTCCAGCATACGATGGTATTACCCTGGATTGAGATAGTAAACTTGGTGACATGGGAAGGTGAACCGTGACATACGGGCAAGGGTACAGACAGGGCGGGTCTCATGGCACAATGAAATCAAAATTAAACAGCATTTTGATACAGCTGGCGGGTCTAGACATATATTGACACAATGTGAACTTATACTGACCTCCAAATCGGCAGGGATGACGTTAGAATTGGGTTCGAACTCCCAAGTGATTAGGTAACGTCTGTTTAGACGACGACAACAGCTACCATGGACGTATGCCTGCAGGCAACTTTGCGAATCTTGAGCAATAATTAGAGTTTCAGAAAATTGGGTCTCAATCTTAAGGGAGAGAACGCCTAACACGCCATGGACTGCCCTCTCAGACTCTGAATGCGGGATCATACCAGTAACAGTGAGAATTACTCTTGGGAAATAAAGGCAGATGCGTTTGAAGAGCAACACAGAAACTCCCTGATTGTGTCAGATATCATCTCTATGACGTGCGTTGCGAAGGCCATTAAAAACACTCACCTTTCGAAACCCGACGATGATGCCTTCAACCAGCAAGAACACCAGATTGCCATTTTGGAAGCGGCAGAGTGGGCTGATTTTGGTGCTAATTGCTCTCGAAATTCCTACCTCTTTTTTGGCGTAACCCGGAAGCCCCAGCTGCACTCATGCTCTCGGTATTAACTCATAGAAAATGACCTAAATTTCTCCATAGTCCTACCTCAAATCTACTGAGTAATTATGCATGTGGTTACCCTGTGCTCAGGCATGAAAACTTAACCGGCGTTGTTTTTGCTGAGAGGGAGAGCCGGAACACATTTGACGGAAAAGCCTCTCGTCAACCAAACTTCTCCTCATCACTGGTGGGATACCAAGAATCGGTATGCATTGTTCTGTCCAGCATGTGTGGCAATTGCTGCAGATGCCAACGAACGGGCCACTGGCACTCTCATCAGCAGCCGCCAGTTTTATTCCTAAGGTTAAACCTGACAGTCGACCTGTACAAATATCTGCACACCCGAGCCCGCTACGTCTCCATGCAGCACGCAGCCGAGGTGACAATGGAGTCGCCAGCTCGGAGAAACGGGTTTTGTTGTTGGGCCGCTGTGTCTAGCGAGATGTGCGACAGAACCAGCTGGTACACTGGCAATGAGGGCGCGATCCCTACAAAGCGAGCCTTCGGAACGGTGGGGGGGAATAGTCGCGATTGCGTCTTAGATCAAAGCGATATGGGTCAAGCGGCGACCAATGAATCTGCGATTCTGATTGAAGGCTTGCGTAGCACGGATAGTCCGCGTGGAATTCAAGGCTTGGATCCTGGCGCCGTGGCTGGGATCATGGTCCTCGGCACGCTGCGCTGAAGGAGGAGATGGATCTATTTTGCTTTCCCCGAGCTAACCCTGATTCTCCGCATCCACTAGTCTCATGACTCCAAAACGTGGTCCTATTTAGCTTCCTAAAGTTTTGGATTTGATCTTGTACGTACAGCTTACGGGCGCAAGTCAAACCCCGCAAAGTTAGACCGGAGAATCCGGGGTAAGTATACTATTGTAGATGTTCAGCCGACCAAACTGTGCAATGCGACACTGTCACGAGATATAGGTGTGGTTAATGCTGCCCGGATTAACGGGTGACAAATATTGTATCCGTGTTAACATCCTCTCCGCAGGTTTGCCTGTCATTAAATAGTCTCCAACGAACATTTGTTGCCGCAGCTGCCTCAATAAATAGGGAAAAAAACTGGTCTACTTGCGTGTACTTGACTCGATCACCAAATACGAAGTACGCGCTGCATGGTGAGTCGGCCCCTGATGCGCATTTCTGGGTAAGGTTCTCAGCTACACAACCAGGCTTTCCCGTCTGAAGCTAATGTGACCGCTGCGCCCTTTGTCCTTGCGCGTGGGACCTGCGTTTAAAAATCAAACAAAGAAATGTTACCGCGAAACTAGCTTGATCTACAGAAAGAGACAAGTACGGATAAGGGTCTTCACCGTCATTATTGATGGAGCCAGAAATACCAACCTCCCCCGCTTTGATCCCGGCACCCCACGCTGGCCGTTCAGCCAGCGGGGCCGGCTTCAGATAACTAGTGCAATGTCATGCCAACTCTTCATCTTCTGATTGGCCACGGCGATGAGACAAGTGCTGGCTTTGGAATAGTCCATAATGTGTCAAGTGCCTGCTGTGTTAGGTGTGAATACCTTGAGACCGGTGGAGGGCTGGCAACAAGTTGAACATACTGTACTCGGCACAACATGGCAAGCAATACATGTGAGTATGCATGTGATCCCACCAGCTCAGCCTCTGATATAAAATCGTCATCATTCTCTGCCTGAGAATCACAATTTAAAGTTTCTTTTGCTCTTCCAAGCAGGATGAAGCCATTAGTATTCCCGTCACAATATGCCGGCGCCATGGTCCCCCACCGCGGAACCCCCCTTCGTCCCCCACTCCGGCAACTAAAGTTTGCATGGACGTGGACCCCAGTGGATATTCCGGGGGGAATCTGGGGTAGCGTCAGTGCGATGTTGTTCGGTCCAACCAAGAGACTTAGAGTTGTGAACAGATGGGATCATTGATAAGTACGGCGCAGAAGCGAGACTAAGCAATCGTGCGACCATCAGACCATTCCCATCCTGATGTCTCTGAGCCATTCTCAAAAGGTCGACGTGCAGACACCAACGTGATCCAGAGAGCTCACCATTAATTAAATCGAAAAGAGCCAACAGGATGTCGGGCTGGAAGTATGCATTTTCCCTGACTAAAGAGGAGGTCTCGGCGGCCACACCTCCTGGAACGGTGAGGTTGATAGGTGAGTTCCTTGGTTGTCCGTCTCCGTTGAGATCAGGCTTGAAGCCAAAGTCGATTAGGGGACATATTGATGAGACTTCTCTTTATTCTTCATAACTATTGTGAAAACGGTGAAAACTAACGAGGAATGATTCGGTAGTCGAAGATGAGTCCGCCGACAGATCACGAAGACTATCCAACTCTCTACGACGATTCCCACAACCTTCGGACGACCCTGCAGATCCTCTGAACTGGGCGCAATGGCGCAAATTCGCAGTCTTGTTGACCGTCTCACTGTACTCCTTCACCGGCAACTTTAACAGTTCGGAAATCGCACCGACGCTGCAGCTATGGGCCAAAACCTTCCCGAACGATGTTCGGTCCTTTAGTGAACTTACTTACTTCATCGCAGTGCGTCATGTTTTCCGCTTCACTGAAACCCTCAAGAGCTCGTCTGCTGACGCTAGTGTAATGAGTCTAGGTCAACATTCTGTTAATGGGAGCATCGAATATCTGGTGGGTACCGCTATCAAACATCTTTGGTCGACGGCCCGTGCTGCTAGCCGCAACGCTCCTCATGACGGTCACCAGCATCGCATGTGCCGTCACAAAAACCTATAATGGGGTTCTCGTCTCCAGACTTTTCCAAGGCATGGGAGCTGGCGCGTCCGAATCAGTTGCCCCAGCCCTCATCGGAGAGATGTTTTTCGTAGACGAGCGTGGACGCGCCATGGTAAGAAGCCCCCCCCAAACCCAATCAGTCTGACGGGAAAGAAAAAAAAAAACCAGGGTTTTGCTGATGCGCCAAAAACCCCTTAGGCCATCTACACAGTCTTCCTCGCGAGCGGTTCGTTGGTAGGGGGCCTTTCAGGCGGCTACATCGGTTACCAACTAGGCTGGGCCTACATCTTCTGGATCGCCACGGCCCTGTCCGGCGCCTGCTTCGTCGGCACTCTTTTCTTCGTCCCCGAGACCCTCTACGACCGCGTCCTCTCCCCTTTCGACCCCGCCATCGGCTCGTCAATGGACGAAAAGGGGGTGGACAGCCACCTCGAAGACGCCGGGAGCCAGGTCCTCAACTACCGGCCATACACCTACGCCAGATCTCTCGGCTTCACGCACTACCGCGGCGGCGTCGTGGCCAAATTCCTCGCCCCCTGGAAGACGCTCAGGTTCCCGGGGACCTGGGTCGTCATGTTCCACTACGCCGGCCTCGTCGGCGGCATCGTCACAATCTCCACCGTCGGGCCCCAGCTCGTCGCGGCGCCGCCGTACCACTGGGGCGCCAACGTCGGCCTCATCAACATTGGGGGCGTCATCGGGACCATCCTGGGCGCCTTGTACACGTATCTCCTCTCCGACTCCCAGCTCAAGAAGAAGGTCAAGAGCTCGAGCAGGGGACTGGCGGAAGCGGAGAGCAGGTTGCCGACCATGTTTCCCTCGCTGGTCATTGCGACTGGCGGGTTCCTCGTCTTTGGCTTCACGGGCCAGTACCCTTCGAAGAATGGGTGGGTTGGTCTCTGTGCCGGGTTTGCCATGGTGTCGTTTGGTCTCATGCAACTACCATCCGTCGGCTTCAACTATGTAAGCAAATTTTTTTTCTCTCCCGTCCTCGTGTCAAACGAAAGGGTGGCGTTTTTACTAATCTGGAACTTTGCAGCTCATCGATGCGTATCAACATTTAGCTGGTGATTGCTTTGTCATGGTCACTATTATGCGAGCCATTATTGCGTTTGCGTGGACGTTCTTTGTTGCGGATTGGGTCGAGAAGAAGGGACCGTCTGAACCGTTTGGCATATTTGGCATGCTGATGGGACTTTTCTCTCTTCTGACTATCCCCTTATGGCTCTTTGGAAAGAGGATGAGGATTGCTACGAGGAAGCTAGTGGAGGAGGCTTGATCAATGGACGTCATTACCATGTAAACCTAAATGTAGCCATCAACTAGGCGATGATTAATGCAGTATAACTCAAGATTCGATATTCGTCTACTTTGCTCTGTGTATAGCGTTGCTTTTAGAACTCTGTCCTCGACACAGCTAGATGGCGTACGACACCTCGTTTCGGTCGCTTTGATACATAAACAGTGCTCAATGGAAGACTACCCCGAAGAAACCTGTTCGAAACAGTGAAGTGCGCAAGATTAATTAGGAAGAGCAGTCTAGTGTTGACGCCGAGGAAGAGCGAGTACATTTCAACACCATTAGCTGATAGGATCGAGAAGAGAAGCATTGTAGTGTACATTCCAATCACAGACAGCGCTTGCATGTGGCGACCGAAGCGATCAGTACACCAAGTATATCAACCCCAGAGCCACGATGGGCACATTGGTGATCAAATGCGCCTTCGCCTTGGCCTTGCCGACCGCAATGGCCTCCTCCGAGGCACCCGGGCTCCTCAGGTACTCCGACACGACAGCGGCGCCGCTGAAGCCCACGCCGGAGCCCAGCGTCAGCACGATCCCCAAACACCGCCGCACCGCCACGGCCGCCAACGGCGACGCGCGGCACACGCCCGAAAAGTGGCCGTAGAGTACCAGCCCCAGGATGCACAAGGACATGTGCAGGTTGCGAGCGCCCTTGACCTTGACGAGGGCGTGGTGGAACGCGTCGAACTGGGCGGGGGTGACGGTGTCCCGCGGCGGGGGGACGAGACCGAAGGTGGCGGCCCCGCCTTCGGGCTTGGCGAGGTTGAGGCACCCGTCGGCGGCGCCGAGGAGGGCGAGGAGGCCCGTGAAGAGGGGGAGCGCGGCGGGCTTCCAGGAGGTCAGGGAGGGGTTTAGGCTGGTCATGATTTGGGTGAAAGGACTGGTATTCTGTAGTCTGTAGGTGGAGGGGGATATGCCGTGTCAGATAGGGGGCTTTAATCAATGGCAGTCATAGTCGGGTTTAAAAGGGAGATCGGGTCGTTGTAGGGGCAGAGGAATCCCCGTCGGCGTCGGCTCGAAATACCTCAGCTGAAGTGAAGTCGGGGAGAAGCCGATTGGCTAGGGAATTAGTGACCGAAGGGAAGCAACAGCTCAATCCAATCACGTGGCGAGTGTATGTGTGTCAGCTTCAAGCCACATTGGAGGTTTAGGAAAGGTATTCCATTGCAAGGGCCGTCGAACTTGTCACATACCCAGGTACTAAGCTGTCTCGTTCAATTCTGGATGAGTTCCATCCAACTTGGAACATGACTGTCATCACTCGATGCCATTGCCAGCCTGCCAGTCGAGTCTAATCACGTATTAGTCGTCTAGACCAGGAAAGGCTGTCTACCAACCCTTTTTCTTTGCTTTTTCTTTTTGAGTCGAAATCTTTCTGGTTCGAATGACACCAGCCCATTCCCGTCCAGGCAAACGTTCAGACTTCCCTCCACGACAGAATCACAAAAGAACACAGCGAAACCCAAAATCAACCACCACATCCAAAGTTCCAGCCGCAAGGGAGGGTACGAGGACCAGGTCTTCGGATTGAGTCACCACTCCAAGAACGGCTGGCTCGCACAACCGGTCGAGAACTCCGACTCGCAGCCGCCACTCATGAACCTTGCGTCCTTGCCATGTGACAAAGTATCACTTCTTGGTTGGGCTCGTCTTGCTGTCATGAGGCACATCCGTTGACACCTACAGCTTTGTCGGCAACTGGGAGCGCGGTGTGATAGCAGGTGGCGGAATAGCCTGCTGTGGCATATACGTTTGCGAAGGAAGAGGATGCTCCCGGCTCCCGACATCTTCAGGAGCACTAATGAGAGCGTTGGGATGGGCGTCGACAAAGGGATCCTCACGGCTCACTTGAGTGCCAGCAGCAACGTTCGTAGGGTGGAGGGCCGGGAGACTAGACTGATGGGAGGGCACAACAGTTGCTGAACCGGTGGTAGAGGGTGGCCGCATGCCACCCAAGGCGCGCTCGTCTCCGTTTCCCTGTCCTAGAGTTTCATCGCTCTTTGCCTGGATTCTCCGCTCAGCCTTTGCAGCAGTTTTGGCTGCTTTGGGTGGATACTTTGACCTGTTCTTCTTCGAGCTCGATCCGCCCTCGACCGAGGCCACCATTGGAGACGACGTGCTACCCACTGAAGTACTCAAGGTACGAGCCTTACGCATCTCGATATTTCGTTCATCAAATTCCATGTCAGTGTTGGTCGTATTGCTTCCCGCGCTGCTATGACCAGGTGCGCTACGGGTTCCTCCCTTGTCATCCATCTGTTCGTCCAGTCTTCATGGACCAATTCCTGGAAGAGACTTCGCAGGTGGTCGATGGTTTTGCCCTGAACTGCGTCAAAAGCTGCCTTGGTAATCCAGGGGAAGAGAGTTGTCGCTATCCAATCGGATTGCACCCAGAGTGGAGGAACTTGGTTTCTTCCTATGCCACAAGGAAGTACAACACGGGGCAACACCTCTTTTTCATACAGAAAACGGAGCCCCCAGGTCTCGGAGACATCTCCACAAATGTGCCGGCGGGAGTTGGCAACCTTCGTCGGTAGCGGTGCTGGTAGATGCGCCGTTGTCCTCGATCATGTGAGCTCTGTTCCCTCTCAACAAAATACAGGTTCGAGATGGTAGCTTCGGCACGCCGAGTTCCTAAGAAGGCTCAGATCGAGTGGTTTCGAGGCGTCTGACCTAGCCCTCCCCAAGATGTTGTGGAACTTGACTTCTGTAACATCAAGGTGCGGTTCAGAAACGTCTTCCTTTTCGCTGTAGCCTGAGCAGAGATCATCGATGTAGCTGTCAAAGACGCTCTGGACAATTTCCAAGATGATTTTGTCCGGCAGGCTAACCAGGGGTGACGGGAGAGCGGCTCGGCTTGGCGGTCATCTGAGTTTTGTTTGAGGTCGAAATTCCTGCCAACTTGGAGCGGTGAAGGTTATGGGGAAATGAGTTCATAACAAGTATTAGATACCGTGCTGTTGGGTGCGCGTGGGGTACTGGCGACCTGCGACCTGTTTGAAGATGTCGGCGGGAGATGAGTGGCATCACACTCTGTTGTTCAAGTGTGATCGCCTCTCTCAACGACTCACCCGTCTGCGGCCGCTTCTAATTGCACCATGTCCATGGCCAACAGAAGGGTAGGGCGTGGCTGTGGGGAAGTACAAGTGACTCTAAGTGGCTTGATGAGAGGCTTGGAGTAAGCAGTGAGGCTATGCTCTACCTGGTGATGTTGAAATCATGTTTGAGGCCCTAGGTTTCAAATAACCGTTTCCGGAATGACGTGCTGGCAAGGGTCTCCTATTCCTGGGAACGGTTCCCAGGAACAAATCCTAGGTTGCTGTTTTGGTGAACGGTAAAGAATTTGATAGGTTTCTAATCCTGGGAAGTAGTTAGGAGGTTACCTTGCGAATCCTAGGAATCATCTTGCATGCGATTAGTTAGTCATATGTACATCCTAGGATATTGGGCTCGCAGTCATCGAGGCCAGTTGCCATTCCTAGGACTTGCTTGTACACCTGTATAACCGCACCCCTACTGGGGCAGCTACTGCGGGCACTACTTTTCCTAGCATCAGCGTCCCGGGAAGCACAGCCTAGGCTCACTAACTCGCAAAGGTCTGATTGGCTGCTGGGGTGTTTTCACTAGAGGTCACACAAGGGCTGAGCTTTTGTGGAACAGAAGGGTGAAGACCCACATCACATTAGCGGCGTATATCTCCATTCTCTGGCTTCTCAGCCAGTCGGAATGCCTGCACCTGGCGAAATCATTTTAAATCGACATGTTTTGGGCTACTCCTGGTCGCGGTAGACTTCCGTAATCGTCCTATTGACCCACCCGTCTGGTGGTCCCTTCAGAGGCAGATTATCTAAGAGTGCAGAACGCCCACATACTTCAGCAAGGAGCTTCCCACATAATTTCACTTATCAACGAATCCGCCTTTCATATACGCACAACACATGTCGAACTCATAATGTCCACGTTTGACCCCGCCCGTCAAGCCTTCGAGCACGCCAAGAGATCGTTTAGGGAAAAGTTGAAGGATAAAGACCTATTCCGGCAATTATTACAAACGACCAGTATTGAGCAAGTCTGGCAAACGACGAATGAGATACAGGAGAGGCAAGAAGTTGAGAAACGAATGAGATTTATGGGGAAGATCAAGACCTTCCTAGATAAGTTGTCAGACTATGCCTCGGTGGTGGATACTTTTGTGCAGGTCAAACCAGACGTCATGGCCTTAATATGGGGACCGATCCGCCTACTGCTCTTATGGACTGCCAACATTGCCAAGCTTGCGGACGCAATTGTATCTGCGACATCAAGAATCGGCGACGTACTGCCCCCATTTCTCGAGACCGTCAAGATCTTCAGCGATAGCGAAAGGCTGAAGAATATTCTCTCCCTGTTTTTCGAGGATATACTCGATTTCTACGCCATCTTGTTGGAGTTTTTCAAGTTGTCGCGTGGGTTCTCAGGCAATGATCAAGCCACTGAATCTCGACGTTATTGACTGTTTGTAGGGCGGCAATTCTTCTTCGAATCTGTATGGCCGAAACAAAGAGAAAGAATCAATGTTGTAGTCGAAAGCATCGAGCGGCATGGTTCGTTACTGAGAAGTGAGGCCACATTACAACAAATCAAAGCCGAACACGAAGCTCGCGTGAAGGCGCTAGCTCACTTTGATGAGACAAGCAACTTCCAAGAACTTCAAAAATATCAAGCTTTAAGGAATTTCATTTCACCCGAAACACATGACCATCGGCTTGATTGGTTGCTCAATCGTTCATGCAAGGGTTCGACCGAGTGGCTGAAGCATAGCGAGACTTATTTGGCGTGGCTTGATACCTCCAAATCGGCCGTGAATCTGTTGTGGCTTTGGGGCATACCCGGAGCAGGTAAGCACTCATTATCTGCAGACTGCAACATGTGAACTAAATCTTGATTAACTTTGATCCAAGGAAAAACCTTTCTTGCTGCATCTGTCATCGAACAAGTAAAGACACAACACCAAACTTGCTTCATTTTTGCAACCCATGCTAGGCAACACAACACGACTGCCAGGTCCATTTTACAATCTTTGATTTTCCAGTTGGCGTCTGGTAATAAGGATCTACAGTCCGCATTGATACATTCAGACGAACGGGAACTTGCAACCAGCACAAAGTGCGTGTTGGCGCTCTTCAAAACTTTTCTCAAAGCTATCGGACCTACTTACATCGTTCTCGATGGATTGGATGAGATCGAGCTTTCAGAACGCACAATACTACTTCAACTGATCGTTGAGCTGAAGGTGTGTCTAGAGACAAAAGTTCTCATTACTAGCCGGCCTGAAGACGACATCGCCAGAGTACTGGATCTCCAAGCATCTGGAATTCGCGTAGACAAATGCAATCATGAAAGTCTCAAGTCATACATCGACCAAAGAATCCATGTCTGGATGCAGGATGGGGATTTTGACCAGGAAGCCCAATGTCAAATACAGGGTCTTCTCAGTCCTCTGGTAACGAGGGCAAATGGTGAGTTGTTTCATCCTGTCGAAAATTAGAGCCATCTGCCATCAGTGGACTTGGCAAACCCCTGAGATCGTATGCTAAATGTGCATACTAAGGGATGTTTTTGTTTGTTCGTATCGTTTTGGACAACGTCGAATCACTTACCGACTTCCGCGAAATTCAACGAGAGTTGAGAGCACTCCCATTGAACCTACATGACGCGTGAGTCAATATCACGATTTTAATTGGTGTTGGCTAATATGCTTTCTCGCAGCTACGGCCGCGTGTTTGCTCGAATCAACGACTCTTCGCCACCCTTGCGTCACAAAGCGAGGACAATCCTCGGTTGGATTGGCTGTGCCCCAGTTCCTATGACTCGACAAGAGATGGAACAAGCTTTGCTGATCGATGTAGGCATTGAATCAGCACCTGCTGTTGCGACAGCCGTAAACTTTGTTCGTATCTGTGGTCCCATCGTGGAGCTCGTGGACGACATACCACAGTTTGTACATTTCACAGTCAAAGAGTAGGTCTCCCCTTTCCAAACTTAAGGACAGAGAGAGTGTTCGAACGCTAATGAATATGACTGGATATAAAGATACATCTTTAGCCAACAGATCAGCAGTTTCATATATCGCTTTGAGGCTGAGTGCAGTCTCACCAAAGCACTCCTGAAATATCTTTGTTCTGGCATATATAACGAAAGCCTTTCAGATGATCAACTCCGGTTGAGCATGCTTGCTGGGAGATACCGACTTCACTGGTTTGCTGTCAATCAGTGGATTCACCTCCTCCAGCGGCTATTTGGAAACCATGAGGAAGTGCCACAGCGCTCCAGCTTGCTCGCTTTACTCGCGTCGCTTACGGCAAAGCTGAAAAATTATACCTTTAGAGGCGAGGCTAATGCCGAGGATGATTTATTTGCGGTCTTTGGGTCGGAAAGTCCAGAAATTTCGCAGATGATCGGTTGTGTTGTGGAGTTTCGTCGGAACGTAATACACGCTGACTGGAACTTCAGAAATGGTACTGCCCAATAATTAGATATTTCGATTTCGGGCTGACATTCAATTTCTCACAGGTCCAGAATGGATCAATTTGGATCCCTTGGTTATCTCGCACATTTCTCTCCGCCTATTCCAATTGCTCGACAAAACGCTGTGTAACGAAGCAACAAAACCAGCGATGACCTACGACTACACCTCGCTGCAGAGGCATTATGGGACGGGGCTATTCAGATGCATATTTCCTCAGTGCAATTTCAACCGGCATGGCTTTGCCACGGGCGAATCCCGCGACAGGCACATCGATCAACACACGCAACCTTGGAGTTGCCCTCGGCCGTCTTGTGAATTTGCCCCCGGGTTTGCAACAAAGCAGGCCTTAAGCCATCACTCATTGAAATGGCACGGTAACCCTGTTTCTAATAGTTCATCGAGTCTATCTGCAGATCAGCTCTCTGAGACTGATGTCGATGGCCTGGCCGCTGAGCTAATCAGAGCTGGTGACGTCGAGGGATTAAAAACACTACTGCAACACCTGAAACAAGGCCATCGGATCAGCTCTGCAGTCTTAGTTGTCGCCGCGAGGATGGGTTCTTTGCCGATGGTCACAATACTGACCCAGTTCTCCGACTCATATAGAAGAGGTTTGGGTTTCGAGAATCATTTATACGAGGCTGTCCTGGGGAGTGAAAATGTAGACCTCTTCCGATGGCTTCTGAATGGAGTAGGCAAGCAAACAGATGTTCAATACTATTGGACTTTGGCAGCGCTTGTCACAGAAACCAAATCACCCGATATTTACGCTGAGTGGGAGGACTTCATCATAAGTCCGATGCGAGTTCTCGGAACCTTCACACCCGGTACTGGTGCTTTCCAAATTTACAGCCATAGACGGCTTCAAAGAAAGCCCTGTAAGCTGATTCCACAGCACAACAAGCGCTCGGTAATCTTTTCCCAGGCGGCTCTTCAAGCCGCAGGGAAGAATGCCATGTTTGAGGCCCGCCTCATTCACACCTGGCATCGCCTAATCGACAGCCTTGGCGGCAAGCCTCTCGATCCGCAGTTCCTGGGTTGGTCGTTGACAGACCTAGCCCGTTGTTCCAAACCATCCATAACCTTAGCGGCCGAGTTGTTAAGGTTAGGAGCTCCTGTTAACTTTCCTCGGGAAGTTGAAATCACTATTCCTAACTCAGACCCCCAATTCGACAACAAAGCTGGGCCAAGTAAATCACAACACCAGGACGTACACATCGGTCGGAAACAGCACAAGGGAATAACGGCTCTCCATTATGCATCACGGGGAACCTCAGAGCAGGCGGCGCAGCTTGTGCGGCTTTTGCTTCAAAATGGAGCCAATCCAAGCTACGGTTTCGGTGGCGTGAAGCCGGAACAAGAACCCGGGTCGAGGCTGATCAAGAAATGGTTGGGCGAAACGTGGGAAGAGCTCGTGATGAGGACATCGGATGTAAAAGTCGGGAATAATGACGAGACTGGCGTGAAACAGAGAGGCCAAGAAAATCGAGAAAGTGTGGAGGAATCATCCAAGGTGGAAAATGGTAGTTGCCCAGGTAAAAGGCGGCAAGAGTATGCGAGGGAAAGTGAAGATGCGGATGGTGTAGTCTTGCAGCTCAAAAGACCGAGGAAAACGCCAACCGAAGCCGACTAAAAAGATTAGTAGCTAGTTTGAGCAGATCTAATGTTTACAGGACATAAAGCAAATTATAAGGATAAAAGGCGCGTCATCTCCGTACCCTCAGACTATCTAAGAAATTCTAACATTTTCTGCGTAATGATTAGCATCCACTTAACGTCATTCCTAGAGTCACTTTAACAGCAAACTTACATTCCATCGTGGTTTAATACTTGCCTCCCAGCAATCCGTTTGGTCAGGTGATTCATTTTCTTGAGCAGGAAGAACTTGATGTATAGTCTTTGTCTTCTGGACTTGAATCCATCGAATGTACTATGTATCTGGAGTGTCAGTATTGAGCAGCAAGAGGAGACCAGGAGCGAAAGGGGAAGCCTCGTCTCTGAACACCCGGGTTCTGAGGAATACAGCTATCAAAAACTTGCCTCTTCAATACTGTGTTTTACACAGTATTTCATAACCTTTACCTCCCGAGTCTGACCCATGCGATGCACGCGGTCGATTGCCTGCACTTCTGCCATGGGATTCCAAAGCGGCTCGACGATGTGTACCTCAGAGGCGACAGTCAGATTGATCCTACAGACCAGACTTCCATTAGCATCTGATTCGTTCCTTTGGGCCCAATTTCGAGTGCAAATATGAAGCTATTAGTGAACGCAGGTCTTGAAGTCGACACTTACCCTTCACCTGTAGCACCGACAGTAGCCAACAATACAACACATCTGTCATCATTTACAAATTTGATGATGGCGTTGCGGCGCTGTTGCAAGTCACAGCTGCCGTCCAGGCGGGCGTAGGTCAAATTGTAGGAGGAAAGGTGCGGAATCAGAGCGCTACCAATTAGATCAAGCATGCCGATCCAGCTCGAAAATATCACACTTTGGACGAGCAATAGTGAGCGGCTGTTCAACTAAAGAAATAGATAGACATGATGGAGTTAAAGTGTTCGAAAGGACTGACCTCTTGACTGGGGGAATATGATTATCGCAAGAGTCCCCTTTTGGAAGCGTGTGCAGTATGTTCCGAAGCACGGCTGAGACTTTGGATGATGGAGAAAACTTTTGGCCGACGTTTTTCCTCCTTATCTTTGTATGCGAGTGTTCTTCTCCCGTCGAGATGGCAGGATGAATCGGCAATACAGATCGTTCTTGAGTAATACTACCTCCATCGGCGCCACCTTTCCTTGCATTTTCCAGCGTATGTGCGTCCTGCAGCTCTGTTGCGTTTTCAGCTTCTTCAACATTGAAGACATCGTCCGAATCTTTTTCAGCCGTTGTTTGAAGAAAGTCCCACGTGATTTCCCCCGGGTCTCGGTTTTGCCATGCCTTTAGAGCGATGGTTGGAAGTAGTGCCTCTCCATGATCGCAAATCAACCGCAAGATCGAAATCAGAACAACAGGATTTTGACCACTTCTGCTGCGGGTCGTAAGCTGTTGGTTGACACTGTACGCATTCTTTTTTTGCCTCTTTTTGGGATGGTCATCATCGCATGCAGAGATCTCCTGGACCTTTTTGGATTCATCATGAGCCAGTAGATAGGACCTCTTCATAAAAAAGTCGTAGATGCATCTCTCCTCGGGTGTCATGTCCACAACCTCAATGTGCTCTGTCTTCTTTGGCAAGTTGAGTGCCGTATTCAAGCGCAGCTTGGTGCGGCGCAAACAAGTGGCAGCCACGAGTTTTCGCAACTGTTTCATGTCTCGTTGTTGGTTGAGCATAATGGGCGAAGAAATCCAAAAACGAAACTGGTCGCGCGATGTGAAAGGGGGAACTCGTATGAACGCCAATAAAGACCCGAAATCATCAAGCGAGTTTTGGATCGGGGTTCCAGTTAGACACCAACGGGACCGGGCGCGGAGTGCGGATGCTGCGAGGAAAGTCTTTGTTGAGCAATTGCGAATCTTGTGAGCTGATAGTTCGTTCATTAGTAAGAAAAAGAGATATAGGGAAATCTTCTTGCCTTCGTCCAGAATGACTCTAGCCCAGGTAAAGTTGTATAGCGGGCCGTTAGACATCCAGTCTGAGCGAAGAGTATCATATGTAGTAAGAACTACGTCCAACTTGGGCAGTGAGTAGATAAATTGGTGTCGTGTGGGGCCAAGAAACACGAGACTCCGTATATTGCCGGGTTTGATATGTCTGCTACGTTCAGCTTGCGTCAGGGCCATTTTAAACTGGTGGGATGCGTACGTTTCGATCTGATGCTGCCATCCAAAGATTGCTTACTTCCGTCAGTCAACACTATCTCAGTTCCGGAGCACCATACTATCGTGGAAATAACATACTCGACTTTGGTGCCACTACCAGAGAAACCCTGGTCATTGCATCGGTCTGGCACGACGAGATATTCGGTATCTTATCGAGGTGATGGCAGATGAGTGCAAGAGTAGAGAGTGTCTTCCCGAGTCCCATTTCCTGGCTAAGTCAGTCTTTTTCTTTTGAATATTAGGCGAAACGGTTTGCATACATCAGCTAGGATGCCTCCACTAACGCTGGGGAGAGGTGCGGCTTGAGTAAAACCCGTTATAGCATGCCGGTATCTGATTAAAGGTAATCAGAATAGCCACTAAAGTTGCAATAGCACATCGGGAATAAAAAGGCCCATCTATTCATCTCAAAATCAAGACTTACGTCGTTTCTTCTCCCTGGACACACTTCTCCCATAGAGATGGATATGTTGTATCAATGTTTGGGTCTCCATGCTCTCTTCGTACCATTACGTTGAGGGCCTCAACCTGGTGACTAGGATGTTTATGATTAGCTCGCTTGCTCAACTTTCATGTCTTGCCAAACGTACCACTTCAATTTTGTTATTATCCTCGAGCTTTGCTTCACATTCAGCGGCAAAACTAAGCTGGAGACAGTTGGTTCATCAAAGACGTTCTGAACTTGGTCTTTTATGACCTCCCCGAGCGGGAACTCATCAAAAGATGTGGTTGTCTGGTTCCCAATCAAACTCCCGCGGAATTCTATTCGTTCCGGTATGTCCTTGCCCGTAGGTACAAGGTACATGGGATTGAAATACCTTACCCTAACGTCATATTCTGAGCTGTCTGGTCGTTGCAGGTAAAGCCCCCCAGCGTCCAGTATCCTCGTGACATGCTCCTTCTCTGACAAGAGACCATGGACAACAAACCGTATGAGGCAAACCGGAATCTGATTCCATGACCTCGCATTTGTCACGCTGGGCTTGCAATTCTGACTCTTTGGCCCCTCCATCGTTGCGACTAAAGTCACGAAGCATTCTCGTGCAAGGCAAGACAGGGCTTCTGAGTGCACCACAGCAGCTAACGCGCTGTTGCTTTCGTTGTGAAGCATCACAAATTTATCGAAAAAGGATATTCGCAATGGCTTTGCATTGTTTGCTGGGCTTATATCTGCACTCATGCGACTCCCCTCGAGAAGAAGCTATCCAGATTGGTTAGTGCGTTTCTCTGGTTAAAGCCGACGCTGAGAAATTGCGCTCACCATTCCAAAGCAGACATCATAGGGAAGACTGTCAGGAGCATCGAAAGACGGGATGGCTACTCTGCGTTAGGCTTATCTTGAGGTTGTTGATAAGAATGCTAGAAGTCATACCTGCTTCAGAATCACTAATCGGGTTCATCTCTTCCTCGTCTCGTGCCATAACAGTGCCTTGGCTATGATATTCGATGGGGAGGAGCTCATCTGCGGGCGTCAGCAATGCGTCCTTTTTGAAGATCAGCTGACGTGTCACTCGGCTGCTGCCTGAATCATTTCAGCAAACAGCAAATGAGCGTACGCCCCTGCTAGTATGGGTCCTAAACCCGCCCTGCAGCCAGATACAACCGAAAAGGGGTGCCCCATAAATAGATCACTCTGGGCCTCTTCGCGGGTGATCCGGCCGCACCTGAGCGATATAGTAGCAATGGCGGCGGTGGATGAGTCTGTCGCGTTTGTAGGGTTCAACTTGGGGTTGAAGTTGACATTACTCGAGGCGCTGCCATTCATCTCACCATCCAAGGCCGACGTCAGGTCATGGGAAGGCAAGCAGCTCCGGCCGAGACTCGACTTCGATAAGGTGATCTGGTAGGTAGGAAGGTGGAAAGCGAGTTGGGAAAGATTAGTATGGGAAGAAATATTGAGAAAGAAGGGTGTGGGGGGAAAAGGTAAGATATCTTAGGTAGGTATCCACGGTGAAGTCGGAGACAGGTTTGAGAGGCGACTCAGGATAATGGTTTGCACCGCTGGAAAGGGAACGCTACGTGACCTCGAATAATCGAACTGATACAGAGCGAAAGTTTCTTTGGGCTGGGTGCTGTACCGTCGATCGCTGGAAGATGGGTCCTGGAGGCCGGGGTGGAGTCTGGTCATACGGGTGTCCACACATGGGTTGTGGGTCCGCCTACGGGAGGCCGGCGCCCCGAGAGGCATTCCGTCCCGGTCTGGTCCGCAAACAGGCAACCGAACAAGGTAGTCACAGTACCTATTGTCAGGGGGAACCTGATGCACTCTGGAAATTCTTAGATCATCGTAGTCTCATCGGCACGGCTTATACAAGCATTGACGGCTATGTGTGACTGAAGGGCTCCAAATTCACTTGGCGCGGGAAAGAAGAATCTTTTGCCCGTTACCTCAAGCAGTGAAGGGGAGAAGATGACCCAGGTGCGGCCTCTCGCCCGTTGACTCTCTGGACGTCTTCTCCATGTACGATCGATTTACGGAAAACGTCTCGGCGAGGGAGTATGCTGTGCAAATTGCACAGCGGGAAGCGCCATCCGTGATCCCTCAACTTGCACTGTCGGAATGTCCATGGCTGCCTTCCCGGGGTGTTAATTTGCAGCAGCTGTGAACTAACACCGCAAACCGAGGGGGCTTCTGACACAGACTTCCGATAGGCCGACACTCCTCGGCATTGCCACCGGACCCGTAGGACCACCACATAGTCAAGCAACCAAGCAACAAACCGGTCATGGGCGCCACCTTCACTGATTTACGTCGCAATATCTGCATGACTACAAGCGTACCCGGTGCATGCGAGGTTTCCTGCAAGTCACCGCATTCCTCCAACAGCCCACCTCTTCACTTGACTCACGATAAACGACGTATGGCTTACCAAAAAGCATGCCGAAACACAGCTGGGAGCATGGTGTCGGTGAAGAAGAACCGGCAGCTGGGGCTACCGATCGTGCGACACGGCTGTCAGAAGAAACCACCGCGGTCCTGTCATCGTGAACCTTAGGAACGGTCAACAATGGTGAGCGGGTCTTCGGATTTGTTCGAGATCTCCGAGTATGGCTACACAAGCGACGACGAGGTGTAAGGCACGGACATGCTCAAAAACAACTGCCGCAGGTCAGAGGTGACTATACTGCCCAATCTCGCGCCAGGCGGTTACCTCCGAACCGAGATCATCGCCTTGCATCCCGCGTCGCAGCCCAGCATCCATGTGAGTGGCCTTCATACATCTACTCGTGGCTTTTTAGATCGGTCCGAGAGGGGCTATCGATAGGTGTGGATTCTCCTACGACATACGGGTCACCGGCAGAGGCAGCGCGCTGTCGGCCGGCGTCAACTTCTCCGGCGTGTCCAGCGCGACAGACCTCCGGCGGTGAGGTCATCGTTCGGGACTACAGGTTCAGCGAGTATGTCGTTCCGCGGCCAGCGACGGGATCGTTCCGCGGCCTCCGTCGCTGCCGCATGAGGGATAAGGTAGATGGCGTATGGCGTATGATGTGATGATGTACCTCGACGATGGAAGATGTTGTGCTGAATACCTACGAGAGAGGGTTGTAAGGCAGGGCGAGGGTGTGCGGCACACGACGACAGAGATTGGCCGGCTGGAGAGATGAAAAAAAAGTAACTTCACACTTTTGTCTTCCTGATCCGAGTCGTAGACGTACCGTAGGTATTCGTAATAATACGACGATAACAAGAAACAAGCGCATGTGTTACGGGGATTTTCCTGCATATATGTACCGCAGCCCAAGAGAACCATGAACTCTGCGTGAGCTTCGGCTGTATCGGGCTTGATCTGCGCCGTGGCTGCGCTGTGGGTAACGGCATGTCACGCCATGAGCGTTGTTGTTATCTCGGCGGGCCGGACAGGGAAACGACAGGAACAGGCGCCTCGGGAAGCAGGGATGTGTGGGGGGATGCGTGGGCGTGTGCATGGCCAGACGTTCTTCGAGATGGAATCTGGCCCACGTTCGCTCTTAACTCGGAGAGAAAATCAACCGGCGAAACAGGGCTGGGAGGTCTAGACCTGAACTGCGAAGTTGGGACGAATTCCGAGATTGAGGCTCCCACCGCCTGAATATTCGGTAGTACAAGAGTGGGTTCTGACTCGGGAGGCTCGTAAGACGATTGGGATGGGGTGATCATGATGCTATCCTTCAGGGTCGGACAAAACCGGTAGATGACGGTCAATGCCGGACAATGGTACTGGATAGACGCCTGGCTACTCTTTTTTTTTTTCTTCGTCTTTTTGAGCTTCAAGGCACAGGTCGTTGCGCCTTCCGTATCAATATCGAATGAACTGATGGCTGGGCAATGCTAGGCCGCCTCGAAGATGATGGTGCTGATGCTATTGAAGAGAGTGTGGCCAAGTGTTGCTTTCAGACTTGGCGTGGTGCTGTCGGACGGGTACAGGCGAACAAAGTGCAGAAGCGAAGAAACTGCGCAGGAAGGTGAGGTACCTTACGGAGTACTAAGGCTTGTACGTACTTACCTTAGGTAAGGTAAGGCAGGTGCAGATTCCACCACGGGATCTTTCGGTTCGTAAACACGCTTGTCCGAAAAACGCGTGGCGCATGAGACATCCTTAGTCATGCAGCCACAATTGGCTGGGCCATAGCCTCTCAGAAGGCAGCCCTCGTCGCCATTCTCGAGAGGAAGGAGCCACCTGGCCACCTCACCGGCACTGACCGACACCGGGCACACGGTAGCTGGCCGGATATTGCAATGGAAATAGGCAGGCCCGTAGCGGCCCGGCTGTTCTCCACTCACCGCGCTTTCCCAAGCCCACTTCCCTGTCTCGAATCATCCAACTTCTGGCCGACATGTCACCGCCTCCACTTCGTTGTCGACTCTCCCGCGACCATTCACCCTACATCAGCCACCTCGCGCGGCTGATTTGCACCAAAGCACGACCATCGCATCAGTCCCAATCGCGCCATAAAAAGTCCGAACAGCAGACACACCCTCGTCATCGCGTCCCTACTCACCAACAGGATCTTCGTTCCTGCAAGGGCCCCCGTCGATTGACTACCTCACTTTCGGCATCTCCATCTTATCGGCGTGCATCTTCCAGAGTGCCGTCGTCTACATTCGTAACTTGCCCTCGAATCCGGCCACTCTCTCCATCCACACCTCGTATCCCAGCATACACTCCCCTTTTGACTTTGCTTCGAACTCACCACGAGGTTACTTAAACTTAAACATGACCACCCTCAACATGTCTTCGCGGAACTGTTCCGATCCCTCCTAAACGCCTTGAGCCAACATTTTATATAACATCATCAACATCTCGAACATTTCTACTCTTTTGCAGCCACATCATCGATATCAACATGTCTGGAGTAAGAACACCAATAGACTCGTTACCCAACGAGGTACGTTCACCCTTTACTTAGTGCAACTACGCGTAATCACTCTCGTGCCGCACACTTGCTAACTACCCTCTCCCCGAACAGCTCCTCATCGCGATCCTCTCCACATTCGAGTCCCGCGATCTGCTTCCATTAACACTTGTCGACCGCCGCTTCAATGCTACCGCCACCACAATCCTACAACACCGCCTACTCCACACCGAGAAAATGGAAGGACACGAGGTGATGTTAGAGAGCTACCATCCAAGTGTCAGGAACTCGACACCGTCCATGACGTGTAGATTCACAGGAGTCGATTTTTTGAACTACCAATGGACCGGTGAAGAAGATATGGACTTGCATGATCTCTCCCACCTCTACTCTCACTTCCGCCCGGTCGTCTCCGAAGAGACGCGGCGCATGCGGAGGGTGTTCGGTCGACGTATGCCGGGTGCCCCACTTGAGCAAGAGATGGGTGACCAACCGGTCACTCAAGAACTCATCCTGGATGACGGCGAGCTCTTCTCTCAGCTTTGCACAACAACCAGCCTGGTGAAGTCAGGCCCGAACCCTGGTCTCCTTGCCAGCCACAGCAATATTGAAAATGGCGTGGTACGCGTCTGGAGACACTGGCTAGCGAAGGCAGCCGCCAGGAGCACCATATGTTCGGCAGACGGAGATCAGCAGCGGATTGACGAGAGCACAATCTTGTGGGCCGACTCTACAAAGAATGTGGGACTGCGATTCAGCGTCACCGAGGTCACCAAGGAGCGCTTACCCGCATACCGTGGATTGGACGAGGATCCTCCCGTCGCGTACTCTCTTCACTACGAAGGTAAGTTCGATACGATTTGCTCCATCAAACAGGCAAAGGACAAGCGGCTAACCACGGCATCAGAGTTGCTGGTCCGCACAAGTCAAGTATTGCTGGCCGTGGAGAAGTCAGCAGTGCAGGAAGTTGTCGACTCAGGTAAATCAACCACCATAGCTTCTTGAAAAGTTCCATCCATCCGACCGACACCGGGCCGGGCACACACAACACCTACAGGCACCAAGAGGCTCACGGTACCCACGACCTTCAATCGCGAATCCAACATCGAAAAGTTTCGAAGGGTAATGCGATTGGCCTAGGGTCCCGCAAGCCAGCATTGGCTCACTCGTGGTCGCTACCGACTAGCCTCTCCAGGTGGAACGATTCCCATAACTTGACCACTCAGTAGCGGCCACCTTTGTGACGAACGTCCAGCGGCAAAACACTCATGCAACCATATTTCTTCAGACTATTCCAGACCATTTTACTTACTATGTACCCCCTCTTTATAGGATTTGTCATGCCTCTCGATGCAAAGAGCGCCCACGCAGTGGAGACCGTCTTAATGGCACCCGCTATGCGACCTTTTCAGCCTCAAGCAGTTGCTGTTATGTAAATGGAGTGGCTATGTCAGGACTCGGGCAAGCTATATACCAGTCGTTACATCTCAGCTCCTGTCTATCGACAAGGAATATAGGGAAACTCGGAACGAAAAGATCCTTTGGGACTGCAGACGAGCGAAACACGTCGCATGTCGCTCTCGTCGAGGCCGCAAGACCAGCCACGCATTGCATGAGACGCATGCATTAGATACAAAAGAGTCGACGTTTCAGCATCTTGGCGACATCATCATTCGCCTGGCGTAATGGAGAAGGACGATGGACATTGATTGGAATCAGTTGTCCGCGGGGACAGATACAACGTGGGAATTGGAAATGGCGTTTGGGCGAATCTAATCTAGATGAGGGTTACACCGCGAATAGGCCAGTTCCGACCACGCGGATAGAAAAGGGTGATGGTCATCAGGATTTACAAGACAACATAGAACCTCCCGGCCTTGACGACGCGATTGCCAAGGTTGTTCGGGAAGCTGAATTGAACAAGCATATGCCACGAATCGCGATATGGTGGATTTCTCCCCTTGGATGACACTCCATACACATCCGACTGCTCCATGTATGATCGACACTGCGGGGGCATTCCTTTAACCGAGCGCTCTGGACGAGGGACAGAGGGGCAGTACGGCAGACAAACAGCGATGAACATCCATCTCTCACTAGCTCGCAGGTCATTGAGGCGGTCGCATCCCATCGGCTGCAAGCACGTTGACACGATGTTCAGATCGTTGCCACAACATCAAAGACTTCAGCCAAAGGATCGTTGGCTGCCAGTCAGTGTGCATGGACTAGTGTCGATTGACCGACAGCAGATGGTCCGAGCGGAGTTTGCAATATTCGACGTGGGCAACTCTGTCGCACTCAAATGACTGTTGAGTCGGGGGTCTGACAAGTAGGCTTCTTTGCTCGCGAATTATATTGCCGCAAGAAGGGCCGCAGATTTGACTCTGCGCAATCCGGCAAGGATCCTGGTTCTTCGGGGTTTGCGGAACGGCCTGCAACGAAGGAGTCCCCCCCCTCCCCCTTCCTCCAACCCTCCAACCCACAGCGAGCGGGCCAGTTTACCGAGACCAGCCCCAAAGAAACAAAAGAAACAACTTGGCAAGAGGTTTGGTAAGTTCAGTCGGTTACAGATGCCGGGAAGTCAAAAATTGTGATGCCGAACACCACGGGATCAAGATGTGGCTAGGCAAGATGAGAGGTCTTGAGCCCGACAGGCAACGTTGGCCTGCAATCAAACATGGTTTTGGGAGTTGCAGGCGGAATATCCTCAACGGTACACTACCCTCAGCCGTATCCGTACACTGGAGCTGAACCGGGTATTCCATTCCACCTTGGGCCGTGTGTTGAACGGGCGTCAAGTGTCAACGGTTTCCCACCTGTCAAAGTCAAAATGGAAGGGAACAGGGGAAACATCGGGGACTCTGCTCACCATCATCTGGTGTGATACATCTGTCAAGTTCTGCAACCTGCGATCGACTGGCCTGGATTCCAATTAAACTTGCTTTAGCATCGGCCGCACCACGCACAAAGCCCAGGCAGGCATTAACAGCCATTTCTGAGACCGTCAAATTCGATCTGAGCCTCAACCAAGAGCCGGCCTCATTTTAAGGCTGTATAGTGCCTGGTCGGCGAAACAATATCAACAGGTCCATTGAAGTAACCTAGAGACAAGTCCAGCATCAGGAAGGTTTCAGCGCGTCGTCCGTCCAGGCCGGCGGTGGTCCGAGCACGCATCGGCCGGGGGCCATTCTGACAATGCTCGGTATCCCTGCAACCGTGTCTCGTCCAACGATGCCCCGGGAGACCAGACCGAACTCCTGGCCATCGCCGCCGGCATAATGCCTGGTATGTCGGGGGCCTGTCATGCGCAAGGCCCGTGAGTTCGCATTAGGTCGCTGGCAACCGTCGAGAATCATTGTCCGTCTTTTTCTTGATGACGGCCGGATGTCGACTGGTAATTTCCATCTTTCAACGTGCCGTGGGGTTTTGTATCAGCTTAGTTGTGTGGATGACGCTATCATCTAATATCGAATCTAATTAATCATTCCCTCTTCTAGACCCTCTTCTGCTTGGTTCCATAATTCTTCATTCATACTTCACGGACTGGTTGTAACTTCGCCTTCCCCCGCTTTCTTTTTGTCTTTTTTTTCCTCCTCTTGATTCATCAGTCTTTACCTTCACCGGAGCTGCGCTCCTTTTATGCGACTACGATACTTGGCTCGACAACTCAGCATTTTGGAGTGATGGAGAGGGACATGGAAAAGGGCGAGCTTGATTTGGCGCAGCCAGAGGGGAGCCATACTGCATCGGAGAAGGCCATGAGGAGGATGTCGTTCGAGAGGCCCCCGCCACCGCCCCCAAAAGACGACCCCCCTCGACCGATTACGAGTTCGACAAAGCGGCTATCCTTCTCGACGACCGTGACTCAACGCAAGATCAAGTATGGCACTGGGAAACACTCGAAAACAGAACTTAGTCCTCAGCCAAACGATGACCCGGATGATCCATTGGTAGGTTTGAGTCGGCCTATCTTCGGTGGGCGGACACTTACCTCATGCTACAGAACTGGCCGCAGTGGAAGAAGGAACTCAACTTTATCGCTCTACTGATGACCGTCGGCCTGGTAGGGGGAATGAAGACGGCATACATGAGCGTCAATAGTGTTCTCGCCGTCAGGTTCAGTGTTTCTTATACAGCAGTAGCATCTTTGACGGCCGTACCGCTTGTCATATCTGCCTTTACAGGTCTTTTTGGTCTGGCAGTGTCCAAGATTTGGGGCAAGAGGCCAGTGTACTTGGCCTCAATGGTCTCTATCTTCATCGGCGCTATTTGGAACATGCGCGCGGGTGACAGCTTTGGGGAGTGCATGGGAGCGCGCGTCTTCCAGGGCTTCGGATGGGGCGCGTTTGATACACTCGTTCTTGGTTCAATACAGGACACGTACTTTGTAAGTTCGCTGTATAGACTCAATTCGCAAGCGAGACATGGTTACTGACGTATTCCAATTTAGGAACATGAACGCAGCGGTCGCATCACGACTTACAATCTCCTTTCAGTCACGACGACCTGGGGCGCGCCTCTGTTTGGAGGCCTTGCCTCTTTCAACGCGGGCCGATTCACCGTTCAGTTCGACATCATCAACGCCTTTCAGATCATCGCTATCCCGCTCCTCCTGTTCGGTGCTCCCGAAACGGCGTACGAGAGGTGGTCCAGTGGGAGCGTCGCCCAAACCCCTGCGTCTGGGGTGTCGTGGATGCCCAAGCCTCCCAGGCCGCTCGGAAAACCATCTGTCGAGGAAGTCAAGGCTTACCTGCGTACTATGAAGCCAATTTCTTTCTCCGGCACGATGGACCTCCGCACGCTTCTTCAAGCCCCTAGAGCTTTCGTCGCGCCGACGACCTTGTTGCTCTTCGTCACTACCTTCATACCGTACTGTGCGCTGTGGAGCCTGACGGAGTCTCTCTCGCTCCTCTTCTTCCCCATGCCATGGATGCTCCAGGAGAACAGCATCGGGTCCCTGATGGCGGCGCCGTTCGTATTTGCGATACTTGCCACTGCTGGCCTCGCCTTTTATCAGAACCGCCACGCCTATTACTCGTTTTATCACACCTTTTGCATGTTGGCTGGTGGGACTGTCCTGGCTTCTATCGGAATTCTCGCCTTCGGCCTCAAAACTCACGCCGTAATGTCCGAGGTGGCCGAAAAGGACCCTGCAAGCGTCTTCAAGCTGGATGGCGTTGGTGCACATCTCTCCTTTCCTCTTTTGTCATTCCTGCTTGGCTTCCTGGCGGCAGGCGTAGTAATCATTGACGCGGCGATCCGGTCAGTCATCTGGCGCTCGACCCAGTTTACATCGTCTAATATGAACGTGTGCCTGAGGAACGTGGCAGATATGGATGCTGGTGTGACGTGTTGGAGGAACTTGTTCGCCGGCATCTTCGTCATGACGATTCCCAGCGCAATTGTCATGTGGGCCGGCCTGAAGTCAACGGTCATCGGGCTCGGCGTCGCTCAAATCCTAGTCGTAATGGCAATCTGTTGTGCGTGGTGGCTCTATGATGAGCAGGTGAGGAGGATGGACGGGCTTGTCATGGGACTGGTTGATTTGAGTATGCTGAAGAGAACTGGGAGCTTCTTTGATACGGATTGAGGGTGGGCGATTCTGTGGGGTTTCGATTTAATGATTGGGAATGATGGATAATGACTCGAGACGGCTGAAAAGGGAGTTGGTGGGATATATGTGCAGCGGACCCAGTCGAGGGCCGGGGACAGCTCCGAATACACGAGCGAGCACCATTTGTTCCCTTGCTTTCCTCTGCTTGGGATACCAGCAGGTTCGGCGGCAAATATGGAGTGCTGAGGCGGGCAAAGGGACAAGGGGTCACATGATTGATAGGAGGTGAGGCCGGACGAAAATGAAGGCGTGAAGAAGAAGATGGGAGACTCGAGGCTTGGCGAGCCATGTTAAGCACACAAAACGAATCTATATAGTCTCTCTGAGTACTTGGCGGAGGGATGACACGGGTCATGGAATAACCCACGCTTATGTTTGCTTTTCTAGTCTATGCCTCCCTAAGGTAGCTGTACTTAATGCCTGCGATGTTTTGTTGATGAGGCCAGGACCGAGAAGGGGGGAATCCTCGAGGGTGTTGGTTTGTTGTGTATTGTGGGATTTGAAGTTGACTGGAAATAGCTTTGGCCCTGGTCAGGGGAGATGAGGGACGGAGGAGCAATGCGGATCGGACCGGGGTGGCGGGGGTTGCGGGCTGGGTTGTTGGGTTTCAGGCTGATATTTACTCGAGGTGACGGGCTTGAGTGATGGGAGAAGAAAGTCCAAAGGAAAGGTGACTGCTGTCTATACAGAGGAGGCGTGATGTAGGAAGGGATGAGGCGTAGTGGCCAAGGGTTCGTGGCTGATTGCTGGGCTGTTGTAGCGAGGTGTGTGCTTCTGCAGGGTGTTAGGGTGCGGGCTGTGTCTCTAGAGGCTGAAGAAGTGTGAAAGCGACGACTGGATTGGATAATTGGAGATATGTTGGGGGTTCGGACCTTCTGGAACAGTGGCGGACTGGTTGAATACCTTTTCGTCGTGGGCTGGGGAGGGGTGGGGGGTGGGGTTGTTCGTCGTCGTCTAATGTTCTGATTGTTCATGTAGGGCTCGTCTGATGTTGAAGAGATTGGGATGTTGCGATTCGGTAGGCGAATCCGTTTGATCGTCTGAATCTTTTTCGGGGCCGGGGGGTGGGTGTCTTGGGGCTCCTTCGTCTGATCTTCGTGTGGGAGGGTTTGATTACGTTTGATGGCTTATGCGGACTTGGAGGTTGAGGGCTTCGATATTGCTTTACTTGGTTGCCCGCTATTTCGAGGCGTCGAGCCATCATTGACTGGCGCATCGATTGTATTCTGGGCGGGCTTGTTATTCAGTCTGTGGACTTTTTCTTTTTACTTTTGTTGAACTTATGGTAATGGATCAGGTGGCTTCTGTCTGTCCTTTTTGGTTATCTTGTATCTTTTGCCCAAAATCGATGCTTCTTAAACAACTGCGAGTTGCTATGATAGAACTTGTTGGCTCAACTTCCAGGAACTTGGTATTCGCAGAGGTCAGTTGCAGGTGAGTGGGTAGGCCGAGCGGCACGGAGATTTGGACTGAAGGGTGCTTATTTATTATTAGTAGCTATTATCTCTTGAACTCGTCTATTGATATTTTCCTCCCTGCCATTTGCGCCAATAGAAATAGTTCGTCATTGACATGACTCCACGGTTCCCTCCTTTACTTCATCATGACGAAGAATCCTCAAGAACAAATCATATTTCTCCCTAGACATCACCGAAAGGCAGACTACATTGCTCATTATGGCATTGTCGCGGAGGCATTCTCGACAACGTCCTCATAGGGTTGAAGTTGAGAGTTTTGTTACCCTCTCTCGGCCTTTCTTCCCGGCTGCCCCATCTCTTGCTCCTCAACGGAACCTAACGATTTACCAGCCAGCATTTCAAACATTTTTTACTTCTCGGGATTCCAGATGGAAAGGGACACAGACTTGAGCAAGATACCGCATCCGACAATCACCCAGCTGAGAGTGCGATTGTGCCGACGCAGCGCTGAATGTTGCCTTGGAAGGACAGCAAGACGACTGCGCCGCAGAAGACGGGCTCGACGCAATCGAGGATGGCGTTGGCTTTCAGACAAGCCTATCTGCGGAACCAGGGGACGTGCTGCGTTGCGACTTGGTAGATGATGAAGATTATTGATTTTACAGACTGTTCATGTTGATCAACTTTTCTCAAGACGCCATCGTTGGGTAAAAGGACGGCAAATGGGTTTCTCATTATCCCGGTATATCTGTATCTCTTTTTTGGGGATGGGGGGATCTTACTATACCCAACGACATGGTGTTTGTACAGGTCATCGGTCCGCTCTTGAGGGGTAATTTCGCGCCGGAGAGGCCCATGACGATGTGAATCACTGCGATTTGGGCAATGTGGACTTTCAGCATGTGCCGGTTGTCAGAGAGGCGCATATTGGCGATTTTATCCATTTTTGATGATGTGTATGGTGTTTAGGAGGACGGTCTTTGGTGGTATGTCCGTCAAGGGGGGAGAAAGTCGAAGGACGGGAATTTCAGCGGTGAGAAGCACTGAAAAGGAACTGAATGCTACGGTGTAATGGTTTTCAAGACATCCAGATATCAGGAAGAGGGTATACAGCTTTCCATATGAATTATCTCCAACCACTTTTGTTCTAAACCCGTACGGCCTTTCTATGGCCAGTGTAATGATGAACCGCATCGTCCGCTGGTGGTTTGACGATACAGAAAAACGCCCAGCGTCTTTAAGACTGCCCGTGTGTTTGGACGTAATGTCGCTATCTCGCAAGGGAACAATAGAAAATGGCGGTGCAAATCAGCCCGTCGGTCTCGGATTCCCGTGGAGTGGACCCCCCATCCGTGATCTACTATTTCGGTCTCGGTTAAATGGGCCTTTGAGACCCCGGTTCAATTCAGCATTTAAGGTTTTGGTGGCACCGTCCTGACTATAATTGGTGTCGCCGTCAAGGAAGACCCTAGACGTTCTTGGTGACGATCTGTCATCCGAATATCGAACTGTTTGCTGGCCCTATGGCCACCTCTGTGCCACGGGAATCTGGTAATTAACGAGAATTTGGGAGATATGCCGAATGAGATGCTTCAAAAAGTGTCCGTTGGTTGTTGGGATGGTCCCTTGTCACTGTCTCTCGTGTCGGTTGAGGCTATTCCTCGCCCGCGTGCATGCACGGCTGTTTGGGAAGACTGGCTGAATCGCGTACTTCCATTCCACATGCATCCTTGGCAAAATTGACGAGCTTGACAACCCCAAACCCCTATTTCACATTGCTCTCCCTTCCCAAAAGCATTATCTTACCTTATAGAAATGGATTTCACGGAGAATTAAGGTTTGGTGCTAGAGTCTACCAACATTGACCCTGTGAGGCGGTTGGTGATTAATAAGTCCGGATTCTCCGTTTGAACGGCGCTAACGGCCGTGCAGAGACGCATTGCGCCACGTCGCGAACTGGTCCAAGGCTTTCGGTTTCTCTTTTGCTGGAATGATGGAGGCAACTCAAAAATGACTTTGCCGATTTGATACCCCTTTAATCTTGATGAGAATAGAGAAGGTGCAAAAACTGAGCAGCGGGTTTAGGGGTTCGTGGAGGTGAATGGAGTTTGCGCAATTATGCAACCTCCTTGAGTATGGAGCTTGGTCTGCTTCTCAAGCGACCTCGAGTCTGCTCGGGCTGAGTAGTTTGTATTCAGCCGCTGCACCAGGCATGTCTTGAGTTCAGGTCTAAGTGGATCTAGGCACTACACCCTTTTTCCTAATATATTATTATTTCGTAATTGCTTTTTTTCTCGCTTGATTTCTTAGGGACAAATTTTTTGAAAGCCGACAACGTGCTCGCGTTTTCCAGCCCGACGGTGAAAGTTGATCACAAATGCGACAACCACCTAATATACATAGAGAATGAAGGAAAGATTGAAGAAACCTTGTTAAGATGACATTGGGAATCCACGTGAGATGGTCAGATCCTCTCATTCTCTCCATGAGCCTGACTTGAAACAAGAGGCTCAATGTGTCAGCCCTCGAAGACAGGTGCATAGCCTGGGATAGTGGCATTTGTGACCATAGACTGAGCTATCCCAAATCCTTCCATGAGCCGGAGTATTATCTCAAGCTCTCGCTGGGTAGTATCTTTTAGATTGTCGAGGGCTTTCTAGATCTTTGGCAGGCAGTACAACGAAAATGATCACCTTATGCTCAATCATCCCCGTCCCGGTCAACATGCGACAGATCGCGCGAGCATTCTGCAACCACAATTGCTCTTGGTCCTTGCATGAGGCCCATTTTCTTCGTCATTGCCAGAGATTCAAGAATAATCCGAAATGAAACCGCTGAAGACTGATAACTGCCGTCGCTCGAGGGCGTCTCGCCATCATTCGGAAGGCGTAGATTGGACAAGTCCTTCATAGCCTAGCCCAACGAGGCACAGATAGACTGCCTAGTTTCGTGGCTGGGCTGCTGCTTTCTGGGATATTTGCCCAACGTTGAAGTTTTTGGAGGCACCTATTGAGTAAAGGCCTACTAAAAATTAAATAGCCGATATTGCCATTTAAATTACTATATGGCCCTGCCATAGATCAGGATTTCCACCTCTTCCTTCGGTATGATCCGAAACAAAGCGACCCTCATAGATCCATAACAGCTGTTGGTAAGGATTGACGAGTGTGATATCCAACCTCAAGGTTAAAGACGACTGCGACATTAAACAACCGTTGATCATGGACAAAAAATCAAGTAATACCTTTGTGACTAGAGTCCTGAGATATTGTCTCGTCTGCCTGGTCGGGTATGCAGGCAAAGTGTTCACTGATGCCAACGTCATCAGCGCATACTTGATCTGCTGATCCATGTCAGCCACCTCGGCTGAATTGACACGAATACTCCGGAATAGCCGGGTTTGAGCTCACTTCTTTGGCAATATCTCCGCGGAGGATTTTGTGTTACAGTCGAGGCGCATTTCGGCTCATTGGACCGTGAGAAATTCAAATGAACTCTCAAATTCGCGTAGTGAGGGTTTTATCCAACATAGTAAGCTCAAGCAACTCATTCTTACTTAGTCTGGTAACGTTACATGGCCAAAAGGACTTCCAAATCCTTTAGACTCAAAATATTGGGATGCGCCGTTGAGCTGGGCTAGTGATGCGCGTCTAAGCCAGTGCTGCTTCACTCCACCACTAGAGAGATCTTCCCGCGTGCCATATTCTGTCAAATCATATCAAATATGGCCACTGAGCATAGGGTCAGTCGAGCTGCGTCTTGACCCTGATACATCATGCGCTAGCAGCATAATCTTGTTCGGGCCGAGACCACCAGCTTGAATGATAGGCCGCGAAAGCTTCCGGTCGGGGCTAGAAAGCTGTTTATCACATCTCACATTGGCTGAACTGGTACTTGTTTTACGGTCAGGTCTTACTGCATTTCCGGAGGCAGACAAGTGCTCTGATTCTCTGCGGTGATTGCGGCTTCAGCCGACAGTCTGCAGCGGACGCGAATCCTTGCCAAGTCATGATGAGGCCCTTCGGAGGAAAGGGACATGCAAAGAGGCACAACTCGATGCAGGGGCCCCAAAGGAGATCTTACTTGGCACTTTTGCCTAGGGCCCGACCCAATAGTAAGTTGTGCACGACCAGCAGGGATTACAATCCCAAGAATTCGTCGCTCAATGATTCGTATAACGGCTTACGACCGATACCCGCGCTTGACAGACCTGCACCGAGTTCCGACATGAATGGTACCTTCGAATACTTTGCCATCCGTTCTCGTCTAGTCTTCGCCCGCGAGGCGTGTGATGGGCCAATGTCTCGGCTCGCGCCGGGCTTAGCGGCAGGCTTAGTGTCATCGGTTAAGCATAACAAGACTTATGGCATGCTGATGTTTGCCAAGTCTGCAAGCTTATCACTCCAGCTTATGTATACGTGTAAGCATAAACAATTGACGTTGGTGCCTTGATCCTGCCACTTCATACATACTACCTCTTTCACACACCAAGATCGTCGATTTTGATACAAGTTGGCACTTGAAGTGATCGACGGCAACTCTTCATACTTCCTCCTTTGCTAGAAATTCCTCTCCTCTCACAGGCATTTCGAACTTTGCACCACAATGGGTTCATGTGGGCAGATACCATCAGAGCAGCAGCCGAACGAGAAGTCGGTGAGCACAGGGCCGGTGTTGACGCTCAGCCCCCCCTCCGAAAGCGAAGAGCCACAAGTTGGCGATGAGCATCTCCCCCCTCAAGATAGTGGGAGAGCAGCTTGGACTAGTCTCATTGCTGTTTCGGTCATTGCAATGGCAACTTGGGGTATGTCAACTTGCGGACAACTTCATTTCCCTCACGGTTTTGCTGATAATCGCTTCCATCTCCCTAGGCTTCGGAGCCACTCAGGGCGTATTTCGAGAGTACTACTTCAAGACGCCGCCTCTGCAAGGGAATCAATTGGTCGCTTCCACCGGCCTGTTAGTGGTGGTTAGTAGTAGAACTGTGACTATGTTTGCAACACTATACTAAGTCTCCCAAGGGTCTCTTGCAAACCCTGCCGCCCTTTCTGCTTAAGATCATTAGCGCATACCCCCACTACAGACTCTATATGATGTGGAGTGGTATGTTGCTTGTGGTGTCGTCCTCAATCGGCGCTGCCTTCTCGACTTCGGTAAGCAATCTACAAGGAGCCATCATTCCAGTCTCCATCAACAACGCTAATAACTCTCCAAGGCAGTACAGGTTATTATGACCCAAGGGCTCATGTATGGGTTCTCGAGTGGCCTGCTCTTCGCCCCTTGCCTAAGCTTTGTAGACGAGTGGTTCCTCAGGCGACGCGGTCTCGCCAACGGTATATTGTGAGCGAAATCGACTCTGAAAACGAAAGAAGCAGTCAGCTGACCCTCATAGTTTCGGGGCTCCCAACATCGCTGCTGCTGGCCTTTCTCCGGTCTTCTCCGTTCTGCTGAAACGATTCGGACCTCGCACCACCCTCATCGGATGGGCCGTGTTTACGGCAATCATAATCTCTCTCGGCATTCTATGCGTCAGCCCTCGACGCACAGGTAAGGCGGAAATGGAGGCAGCCGCTAGGCAGCCATCATCCACCACCAGAGTTTTCACAAAGCCCGTATTCTGGCTCTTCGTCTTTTCGATGACGCTTCAGAGCCTAGCAAACAATCTGCCAGCGAACTATCTGCCCAGCTACGCTACAGATTTGGGTGTGTCGCCGGAGCAAGGGGCCCTGTTGGTCACATTCCTGTCACTGTTCGGAATCATTGGCCAAATCTCTCTTGGCGCTTTGACGTGAGTACAGAAGCTTGACTGGCCACAAATATTGCCCAGCTGACAAGGAAACACGACAGAGATGCGATTGGACCACTCATACCCATGCTGCTGAGTACCCTGGTCAGCAGCTTTGCTGTCTTCGTCGTGTGGGGTTTGGGCAGGTACTACTGGAACATGGTGATCACTTCGATTCTATTTGGTGCATTCGCCTTCAGCTTTATGGTTCTACGAAGCCACATGGCGGCCATTGTGGTCGATGATCCCGAGCGGCCGGCCGAGGAGCTTTTCGTTTCTGGCATCCTTCTGTTCACTAGAGGCGTCATAGGTGTTGCGTCAGGTTACATAGCTGCGGCTGTCTTGCAAAACAGCGAGTATATCGGAGTGCAACCGGGATACGGTGCTGGAAAGTGGCGCTCATTCATCATACTCTTGGGCACTACAATGACAGCAGCTACCCTCGGAGCTTTTGGCCTGCTAAAGAAACGAAAGACCGCTTGAAAGCTGTCACAGTCTCCAGAAAAATAGCCGAAATAGAGTAGAATTCAAGCAGACATGAATACTAGGACTAGAGTAGTAGGCGAAACGTAAAAGTTCACAGTTCTTGTTGTTGCAAACTTTTAGAGGCAGCATGTAAGTGTGGTAGTGTTAGCGTTGGGTCTATCTTGGGAAAAACGAGCAACAGAATCATCTCTAGTCGGAGCGCCTACCAATATGTACATGGCCGAGATAGCAAGGATCTCAGATACCACACTTGGGCTGCAGGCAACATACGTTAGCTAAGGATCATAGATACTATTAAGTCACCTAAAGGCGCCTCTGAGAAATAATTAGAAGTCGGCAAAGTGTAAGCATGCTACAAGTATATCTCAGACTTCACGATATACCAAGTTTTGCTCTTCGTCAACGTTTGAAAAATTGGGCAAACTTTACTTCTGTACTTAACAACATGTCGCAAAAACGACGCCGTTAATTGCGGGCAGGAATGAACGCCATATACACCCTTGTGACACAACATTATAGTCATGTTCAGTTATCCTATCATAGTAAAGACGGTATCACACCCCGTGCTTCCCCCGCTACCCCTTTCAGAAGATGCCCTCGAACCGAGTAGTACTCGCAATTTTTCACAAGAGTTCCCTTTCCGGTTTTGGAATCAAAGACATAACAACCGTTTCTCACGATATTGGGAGGCGTGTAAAGATGAAGCGAGATGGCAAAGTCGTTGCTGTTGTTCCACATCTTGTGCACACCCTGGTCATCGCTCATATAGGCCACATCGTTCTCTGTGTAAACTGATTCCAAAGCCACCTCCATGCTTTCATCTCCGCCATCTGAGGTAGTTGGCCTGTTATCTCGGTTCGTATTTCGGGGAAAGTCGTAGCGTGTCTCGGTCAGGCTGCCCTTGAGAATTTTCATCAAGCAGTGTGCGTTGCTATGACTGTGGATGGGGCTTCCCTTGCCGGGTGTCCAGACGAGAACCAACTGTGTTCAAGCAAGTTAGAGTTTGACCACATCGTTTGAGAGCTACAGTTCTCACCAAATTACTCTTTCCGTTGCCCTCGTCTACAAGGTTGCGTGTGTATGCCATACTTGGATCGGCTAGTGCAAAGGTATCCCATTCTTTTTCGTTGCTATCATAGCTCTTCATGAGATCCGTTAGCAACTCGAGGTTGACATCGTCACAGGCCAAGCCTGAGGAACCGAGGGCGTCTTTGAGCGCCGTCACGAGTTCATCGAACCTGCTAGGAGCTTTAGGGATAATTGAATCTTCAAGATGGAGCATTGTGAGAAGAAGCTTGGGCTTGCCTTGATTCAAGCTCAACCCACCTAACGGTCTGGAAGGCGTCCATTATAATCTCATCTTCTCAACCTCGGCGGCTGGTCTCGAGAGTTTCTCCCTCCTCCCCCCCCCGCAAGTTCCAACGCCTTAAAACCGAACTGCCTCAGAATTCCATTCAATTGTCATCCCCTATCAGTTCGTCTTGATTCTGCCTAGTTGAGCTGTATGCCTCACGTTTCAGTCGTGGCTGACGTGCATGATGGTGGTGGCAAGTCTGTGACTTACCTCGACCATGCTTCGCTTATCACTTCAGCTTCTTCTGAATGTCGACTTGAAAATGGAAGCCGAGGTGACCAGTCGTGTGAAAGTGATTGTGCCGAGACACGCCTATGACTCCATTTCAATCCTTCCACCTCCCTGCAATGCAACGCTTACATTCCCGTTCCGCCGCGTTTCTGTATTAGCGGCCGACGCCTCACAAACTGTCTATTCGCACTTTCCTCTTCCAGTCATATGTTTGTCGTGTTCCTTTGAGGTAGATATTCCTACGGTTATCGGATGCCGATAGCCGACAGCTGAGAGGAGGAAATGTACGTCCGCCATGCGACAGCCGTGTTGGTACCGAGAGCTACATGCACAAGGCTCCCGCATAAGTAAGATTACTATGAGAGTGAGACAACCCCCTCGCTGAGCGCCTTGTTTTGATTATCAGCCTCGGATGGAACCTTGTTCTCGGAGGAAGGTGTGCCATGCCCGTTCATCACAAAAAGAGCGAACACCTTGGGTTCCACAGACAAACCACCCAGTAAGCGACTGAAATCTGACAAAAGTTCCATAATGTAGGCAGTCAGAGGATGCAGCCTGGAGCTGCATCCAAGATATACGCCAAGAGACAAATGCTGCAAGAAACTAATGAGAAACATGGAAGGGACAACGATATAGAAGGGAGAAAGTTTCTTGACCCATGTTGTAAATGCAATGTACAATTCTAGGTCAATTTTCATGTATTTGCAATGTATTAATTATAACACCAGTGAAAAAGGCTGTGGCCTGATTCTAGGCAAGGGGAGATACAAAGGTTAACAGTTGTGATTGGTCTTGGTGGCGTTTTATAGGATCAGCTCGGCATCTAACTGACGCGAACGCAGGCTCGATTGTCCACATCGAAGTTCAACTAGGCTTTCCGGTCGAACGTGAAATGTTTTCGAACCGTTGAGTGTTCCAGGTCGTGATTGAGAGTTATATGACCCAGTCGAGAGGCTCGACTATCTCGCCGTTGTTCTTCTCATATCACCATCATCGATAGTACGCTCCCAGCATTACTTCTATCCATCTCCAACTTCTTCAATATGACAGTTGCTGGTTCGAATAAGATGGATGGCGCAGCTGCACCCTACGAGCCGACGGCAAATCTGGACACGGTGGTTTTCTCCAAAGTGTTGGACCGTGATCCTGAGACAATCCACAAAATCATCTCGGCCTGCGAGAATGTTGGGTTCTTTTACCTGGACATATCGGACCAATATTCCGCGACATTGCTAAGTAATCTCGAAAAGTTGAACATTGTCATGAAAGATTGGTTCGACCAGCCCACCGCCACCAAGCGCAAGGAACTTGCGATCAGCATGGCGTCTCATGGGTATGATACAGATGCCTACTTCACACGAGCCCTCGGAAGACAAGCTAACACGACATGACGCCTTCAGATACAAGCCCATTGGTTCCCAGGCTGGGACTCACGGGGGGCGAGATGGCTGGGAGGTTCTCAAGGTAGAAATCAAGTCTCGAATTCATAGAAAACCTTCCGTTTTAACAAATTCACAGACAGGTAGCTTCGAATTGGCAGGTCGATGGGGTCTTCCGCCAGTGGTAGAAGACAACCTCCAGACGTTCACTTCTTTCCAAAGCCAGTGTCACTACATCACAAGAGTGTTGCTTGACCGCATCTCAAACGCCCTAGGACTCAAGGGAGCCCAAAGCCTCAACCACTTCCACCGCAGCGATTGTCCATCCAAGAGCGCGCTTGCCTTTTTGCACTATATCCCCATGGACCCAACGGGAGGCTACGCCGGGCACAATGTTCACACCGATTATGGGACACTGACGCTTGTTTTCGCGCCTCAGTGGGGTTTGCAAGTCCTCTCCCCTCCCGAAATCTCCCCTCCATCTTCAGCCTCCTCCTCAGTGTCTCACGACTCAGACGAAAGTCTCGACAGCGGCTACCACAGAGGACACAATGGGGACCAAAACGACCAATCAAAGAACCTACAATCTGAAAACCTCGACAAGGAAGAGACACCTGAAGCACCACTGGAGTGGCAGTACGTAGAGCCGCGTCCCGGTTGCGCTGTTGTCAACGTGGCTGATGTGTTGCGATTCTTGACTCGAGACCGATTGAAATCAGCGGTGCACAGAGTGCTCCCGCTGCCGGATGTGGATCGCTACTCTGTCACATATTTCCTGAGACCCAGTGACGATGTCGAATTCGTTGACGGCGATGGTCGGCTCACTAACGTCATGGATTGGTATGACCGCAAGAACAATATGTATGAAGCTTCTTATGGGGCCCAAGACCGGTCCCTGCTCATCGGAGGATTATACAAGGAGGTCTAGTGTAGTCGTGTGTACACATAACATTGGCGATCTTTTAGAGTGCAAGATCCTTCGGGTCAATTTGAGGTAGTATCACCGTGGTGCATCTTTCGCATCCTTTTTCGTCTTCCTGGATGGGCTTCGGAACTATTCATTGAAATACTCTTGAAGATCTCCCGTATGGGTACTCAGTTTCGTGATTTACTCAGTCCCGTCACACCTTGAAAAAGGCAAGTACGAACATGAATTGCCTAGACTCTGATCCAGTGTGACCGTAATATATCTATGTTGCACTCTGCAACTTAAGTTCAAATAAATTCCCTCTGCCGAGTTAGGCGAGGTGGACCTTGGATATCTTAAAGCCGCCTGGAACCTTCTTTTGGAATACCTGCTCGGGGTCATAGTTGGCAGCGACCGCTTTGAGAAACCGAATATTCTCGGGGCCATAGGTGCTCAGAGGATCTTGGGATCCATCCGCGTATCCCAAGTACTCCCACTCAACATCGACGCCCTCGGAAACGTAATAGTCCTTCAGTCCTTGGCGCAAAACAACAAGTTGCTTCCGGGCCTCTTTCTCGGCATCGGCGGAGCGAACCATATGTTGCATCTGGAAAAGAATGGAATTACCATTCTCCCGGTCCATTCCGACGACGTTTCCGCCTCGCTCTGCAGAATGATTGAAGAGCAATGTTGGCATGGCCTGGAAAGTGATATAGTTCAGAAAGTCAGCGTCCTGAGTGCTCTTCCAGCCCTCAATGAACTTGGCCTGTGCTTGAACTGCACGACGGATGAAGCGGGCGTCGTTTTTGCCTGTCAGAGTGATCCAGATTTGGCGGTACCCTGTAGGCTCCTCCAGCTCAACGGTCATGTTCAGGTGGCTATCATGGCGAAGGGTATTCGCCATCTGAGGTCCGATAGTCTGAAAGTCTTTGTAGACCGGTGCCCACTCGGAGTTAGATGTATCATGTAGAGCAGCCGAGACGACGGTACCGGCGCCGGGTGAGTATGCCCAAAAAGTAACGGCCGAGCCTTTGGTGTAGTTGGGAATGTTGTCAATCCACTTGACGTAGGCGGCGATGTGCTGCTCCGTGGTGTTGAGAGGGTAGACGACCTGACCGCCCCAGATCTCGACAACGTCAACAGTCTGCATATCGACGCGTGTAACTATGCCGAAGTTACTAGAACCGCCCTTGAGTGCTTTGTGCAGATCGGAGTGGTTCGCTTTGTTGGCGTTGACAATCTCGCCGCTGGCAAGCACAACCTCGAAGTTGATGACATTATCGCAGCCGAGGCCGACTTCTGCGCTGAAGAAGTTGTTGCCGCCGCCAGTTAGGAAACCGGCGACACCGACGGTCGAAGTGCGCCCGCCGGGAACGGTCACACCGAATGGCTCGAGCGCAGAGTAGACATCGCGCCATAGTGCACCGGCTCCTATGCTGGCGATCTTGTTCTCGGCAGAGTACTTGACATGGTTCATCAAGGCCATGTCAATGGTGACACCTTCTTCAACTAAAAGCTAGTGTCAGCTGGTGTGGGCCAAACGACGTCGACGAAGGCAAGTCGACGCACTCACGCTCAACTTACTGTTGGAGGCACCAGCCCATGTCATATGGCCACCACCACGGATGGCCCAATTACAGGCGGTCTTCTTTAGAGTATTGATAGCTAGTTTAACCTCCTCGGTGGAAGCGGGCTGTATGATGCAGTAGGGTTTGAGCTGGGCCGAGACTGAGAAGTACGATTCATCTCGTGCTTCGTAGGCTTCCGTGTTGGGGCGGAGGACCGTGAGACCAGCAGTCTCGAGAACATCGCACTGAGATAGCAAGTTTAGTATCATTTAAGTCACCAACATATCAAGTTGGGCCTGTCTCAAACTTACACAGGACTTCGTCATGGTGTTGTTGCAGGCGGCTTCCGTTAAAGATGTTACTGTCCCGGCGATGATCAAGATCAGTTTTGAGCCCCTCATCTTGATGGCGTGGAAAAAGGAGAAAAACGTCAGGTTCATTCGTTGGAAAAAGCAACAACGGAGAGAGGAAAGTGGAAAAAGTCACAATGTAACAAAGCCAACCCGAGTGGTCGAGGAGACTGATCGACAGCCCTGGGGTTCCCGAGTCTACCTGGTGTCCGAGATTACCAGGCCAGCAGGCTCACTCATGCACGTCGCTGAACCCAATAAATTACAAGGATGGGGACGTATGGATCCGGTGGGGGATGTCACCAACCAACACGATTGAACCTATGCTGGAGAGGTCGGCATTCTGTTCACAAGCCATTCAATCAGTGAGCATGCCATATTTGATCACTGAGGCAAAGGAACAGCCCCGGTGTTTTCGATTTGCATTATCAGCCACAACTGATCTACGATGACTTCTGCTGTCCTCAGAAAAACAATCAAGACGCAGCCGAGCTGGCGGAGGAAGGAGTGGCAATTGTTGTAATGGGATCTGGCCCTCCTGAATCCTTGCATCCAAGTATCCGTACCTGAACCGGGAAACTGCCCAGACTTTAAGAGCCAACGCCAATATTCTTAATCCAGGTCCCTGTTCGGATGATCAGTGGAGATTCTCATCGCAAAAACTAGCATTTTGACACTACATTTTATCTCAGGTTCATCAACAAGTTAACAACAGCGGCAGAGATGTTTTCCATTTTGCAATTGCCCTCTGGAAGCTTGTAGAAGGGCAAACTTTAATCCTCTGTAGAAAATACGACCTGCGATCCCCAGCAGAGATACCACAACAAATTGGCATGAGCAATGTCCTTCGAAGGACTCAACACCTCAATCTGTGGGCTTGCTTGGCATTGCAGGCATGGAATCCTCTTGAAATGTTGGTTGGAAATGTTTGCAACAGGTCAAGAATGTCGTTGGATGAATCTCCGCTGATCCTTACTACTGCAACGCAACAATCTGGCTTTTTCTTGGTCCAATTTCCGGGGCAACTTCCGCTACACGCGGCCACTCCTATGACGAGGTCCCAGATCCTTCCTTGGAAGTTGATCGACAGGGCCTTACATGCTCGATTTACGTCCTGCCAGCAATAAGGCCGCTGAGTCCTGGAGTGGTTGAGTCTTATGTGAGAGGATGTGCCTGAGGTTCGTGATGCTGAGCTCGAGCGACGGGAAATGCTGGTTGGGTACACATAACTCTCACGTCTTCTGTCTCGTGTTCATATACTGTAAGAATTCCATGTCTATATTGTAGTCTTTCGGCAGGCTTTTGATGGAGATTGCTCGACGGAATAAGAAAACAATTTGAAGTTCTACACTCAATTTAATTCACCGACTGGCTCAATCGTCTGACGTCTTCTATCTCCGCACCAAATGCCAATGTTCATCGGTTCATTTAAGAGACACAGTTATGAAAGAAGTCGAAAACCCGTGGGTAGTAATGACACGTCAAGCCTACTATGATGCTGGGTTCAAAAACCTGCCTGTTGGTAGCTACGCCAGCTTGACACCGGTTCACTTCTTGCTGGGAGACAGAACCAAGTCGATCTGCAGGTGCCAGGGTGTTGCTGCTTGTCAAAGCATTCTTGCTCAGTTCTTCGGTACCTCTTGTTTGATGAGAAGAAGCTTGAAGCATTACGTAACCCGCCTGAGCAATAGGTGAGGAAGGACACCATATACAGACTCAGAATCCCCATCCAGGATTTCCTTTCCAGATCCGTCCTTGGATGGCGATACCAACTTGTTGCTCTCTTCAGAGTCCTCTATGGCTGCAAAACCCACGAAACAGCATTCTAGTGACGCCGAAGTAAGTTCAAGAACAATTCTCATCGTAATTATGTTCCGCACTCTGACCGCTAGCAGTTTCCTTACTCCCTTGTTCGAACATGGCATTCCCCATTGTCAACGGTACCGAGGTGCTGGTAGAACCACCAGGAAACTACCACGTCAACTTCACTCATCCATTCAAAGACACTGCGACTATCAACTCAAGTTACTGGGCCTTTGGCATTGAGTTTTCCGTTGCCTTCCTCTTTTTGATGCAGCGTATCTACACAGCCACTTTCATTGTGCGACGATGGCGCAGTGATGATTGTAAGATGCTTGCCGGAAGTTTTTTGCCCACAGAAAGCTGCTGACCTTGCGCTCAAGACATGATTCTCGCGGCATGGCTGTTGACTACGTTTGCTCAATGTCTGGTTCTTCATTGCTTAAAGCAAGGTGTCCTTGGAGTGCATATATGGGAAATGTCTCTCGAGGATGCTATTTGGGAGACAACGGTACGATCCTCTCTTCCTTTGCACTCACAAAAGCTCATATAATCCTTGCTAATTGTCGGCCTCCAGCTCATCCATGCTACGACATTGACAGTGATACCAGGTACCGTTCTTGCGAAGCTGGTACTTTGCATTTTCTACTATCGCCTGTCGCCAATCGTCTGGTACCGCTACGCCATCATCGCTACGTCCTTCATCACCATTGCTGCTTTCACCGCCGTGTGGTTCGCAGTCCAATTTGCTTGTTCCCCTATATCGGCCGCATGGAATCTTCGTCTTTACACCGGAACCAATTGCATCGACCGCCCTCCCGTATACATGCTACAAGCCATCATGGGTGGTGTGACCGACATCATGCTCATGGTCCTGCCTCTGCCCATCATCCTGCGTCTGCAAATGTCGTGGAAGCATAAAACGGCACTCATCGCATGGTTTGGCACTGGTCTTATCACTCTGGGTGCCGCCGTGGCACGCTTGGTTATCCTGATACCAAGTTTAAAAAACTCGGACACAACGTTCGTGTTAGCCCAAGGCACACTTTGGTTGATAGTCGAAGCCAATCTGATTATCATCTGCGGCTCGCTGCCGACTTCTCGTATTTTTCTTAATCAGGTTGCACCCAAGATCCTCGGCGAGTCGGCCGGTCGCAGTAGCAATGGCAACAAAGGCACCCCTCCGGCTGGAATGCGGTATGCTTTGCGGACATTTGGCAGCTCAGAGCCAAAGCGGAGGCATTTTGACACTATTGACGAGCTCGAGCTTGGTGACAGACCCTATGGCTCGGAGGTGAGGTGGAAGGCGGATGCGGATGTAGCGGGCTCGGCGTCGACACGGAACAAGAGGAAGAATCACTGTGAGGGTAGCGATGAGGAGGCTATCGTCAAGACAGTGCATACGTCTGTGGTTCACTCCTCCCGTTGAACGTAGCTAGTCCTGCTTAGCCGGCCAAACAATGCATTTGTATTGATCACTAATGCTATAATCAGAGGAGACCCATCCATCTTTGTCACAGATACGGGCTTCGTCAGCTGGTAATCAACAGCTGGAAAGACAATGTATCGTCCCAAACCGGCTACCTAGAGCCTCTCGGCTTCATGCGAACTTTTTCCGTGAAATCAAATGATGTAGCGCCTGAGATAAAGGTTGGTAGGTGGTATTACGGACTCCCCATTTTACAAATGTAAGAAACCCTGCTAATATCTCTTGCGTAGCTATCTCATGCATGCGGGCTGGCCTTGGTTTGTCAATCCATGGACCGGAACTGGTCTCTGAAAATCGAAAGTTCAATTTTCTCTGTTTCGAAAACCATAATAGATTGAATCATCATACTCTTGACCACCGAGCTGATTACTGAATCCAATCACTCACCCTGAGCATTGTTGTTTGCGGCAGCAAGGGTGTTGGAACTGGATCGCCTCTTTCTTGTTGGTTCTCTCGGAGAGACTTCCTTTCTTGGAAGTACATCGTTCGCCAAAAGATGAAAAAGGAGTCTACCGGGGAAGTAAATAATACAGGTCGACCCGCCAAACTGCATTTCCCCTTGTCGCTAAGAGTCGTCGAAGCGGGTGATGTCGAAGATGTACCGCGCGATCCTAGAGAGAGCCGGGGTCAATGTATGTAGCCGACAGCCAGTACGCCACCAAAAGGTGCATCGACGGTGTCCGGCTTTAGGGTTCTTACCAGGGCAACGATAAGTGCTGAAATTGGGCCAAAAGATAGTAGCTTGGCCATAAACCCATGCTCACATGGTTTGCCAATACTCGACACGTCACGCGTTTGCGAATACGACAAGGCGGAGAACTCTTTCTTGGATGCGCATCGCACACCTTTGGGACGTTGGTAAATTGTTTACTATTGCCGCGTTAAAATTAATGCCGGTGTGCAGTCATGACCTATCCAATTCAATAGCGTTTTTGAGAACTCGCAGATGCTTGCTGCGAATCCAGCAACAAGAATCTTGATCAAGCGGGGAAAGAGTCCAACAAGCAGATCTAAACGGTCTTTCTTTTGAACACAGAGATTGTCAGGCGTATTTAGAATTTCCAAGAGTATTAATGCATAAATGTAGCTAGATCGTGATGCTATTTGTGTTGCGATTGTCATAATTATGGTCCATTACCGAGTCTTGAAATTACATAAGTACCTCCACTTACCACGCTCATTCATCGATTGAAGTTTATTGAAACACCATTGTGATCCCTTCACTGGAACAGCTCAGGATAGGCTGCCTTGATGGCGTCCGATGTTTTCTCTGCATCCATGTAGACAGCGTTTTGAATTCGGCAGTCTGGGATGACGGGGAACACCGAAGCATCAATAACTCGAAGGTGTTCAACGCCATGGACGCGAAGCTTGCTATCCACAACACCCTGTTCAATGTTCTTGGACATGCGAGTGGTGCCGCAGGGATCTTGGAAGTTTACACATTAGCAAATGGTAGAATCCAAAAGGAGGGTGTTCATGAGAAGTTGGGCAAAGCTTACGGAAACCAGTTTGAGAGCGCTCCAAGATCATCTTGATCATGGCCTCATCAGAAGTCCGGGGCATAGGCCAGGGGTAGTCTCCCTCGATGATGTCCTTCATGCCTTCTCCGTTCATGATGATATCGTCGACGAAGCGGACACCTTCTCGCATAGCAATGAGGTCAAGATCGTTCGAGAAGAAGTTGATGTTGATGTTAGCCTGCTCAAGCGGGTCGGTGGAGTTGAGCTTGACGGTGCCGTTCTGAGACAATGGGCGCAGTAAGTCGACGATGACGGTGAAGTAATCACCCTGCGGTGGGGTAGGAATATGCCACTGGAAAGCGTCGCAAAACATGGGCTTGAAGAGCTTCGTCAGCACTAAAGACTTAGAGAAGTTGGACAGGGGAGGGCTTACAACAAAGTCGATCTCAAAGTGAGGTTGTCCACCAGGGCCAAAAGGATCAACACCGCCATTCTTGTCGAGATGTTCGGTATACTCGTCGCAATTCTTGAGGCGATCGTCGATTCGAGGCAGGCCAACCAGCTCCAGAAGGCCACTGCTCAGAGGGCCTCGGTGCTTCCAGCGGTAAGAAGACACGGCGCCATCTTTCTCCGGACCGGCGCGGAGAAGATGGTTATCCAGACCATAGCCATCCTTGAGCTTGAAGACATGAGGCATGATGGGGTGATCAAGCAGGTTTTGTCCGACGTGGGGTGAGTCAACAATAGTCTCGATACCAAAGGACTGCAAATGCTCCTTGGGGCCAATTCCCGACAGCATCAGAAGCTTGGGCGACTCGTACACGCCAGAAGCGACAATGACCTCGTACTTGGCACGGAAACTGAGGTCTTGCCCATCGGGGCCAATGACCTCGACCCCGACAGCCTTGCCGTCCTCGATGATGAGGCGCTTGGAGCTGCTCTGGCCTAGAACAGTGACGTTCTTCTTGCCTTCGAGAAAGAGCCAGCTGGATGAACGTGTTCCCTTGTAGATCGAGCTGACAGCTGTGGCCAGGCCATGCATCTCGCCGTCGTAGATCTCATTATTCAGCTTCTCACCTTTGCTGACCCAGGCTGTCTTCAGCGCTTCTCGAAATGGGGCAACCTCGGAGACGAGTTCCGCAGGAGAGACATGCAGAGGTCCCGAAGTACCAATGTGCTGCAAGTGCTTGGGGAAGAGACCCTGGTCATCATGGAACGTAGCGGGCTTGTCAAAGTACGCCTTGCAGGCGTCCCAGGTCCACTCGTCACCGCCGTAGGCGGCCCACTCGTCGAAAGTAGCCGCACTGCCGCGGATCCAAGTGTAGTAGTTGAGGCAACTGCTGCCGCCGAGAACCTTGCCACGGGTGTTGGGCTTCTCGACGCGAGTATAGTCGGGACGGTCGATCATCGTCGTCTTGTAGCCCCAATCCCACTTGCTACCCCGAAGTTCAAAGGCGCGAGCAGGTGTGGTGATGGTGTCGTTATCCTTGGGGTTGCTGACGCCGGCCTCGATGACGAGAACGTTGACCTCGGGGTTCTCAGCCAAACGACCGGCAACAACGCAGCCAGCAGTGCCACCTATACTCAAGTCAACATTTCAGCTCAGTTGAGGCGGAATTAAGTACCCACCGCCAACGACAATGAAGTCAAAACCTTTGGTGTTGTTAACAGCAGTCATCTTGAGCTAATGGAGCTGAAAATATCCCTGGGTCGATATCGGTGTGAGTAGGTCGCTTGGGGGATGGGTATTGGTTTGAATGTTGCTGCGGTTCGGTGAAGTAGAATGGTCTGATGCGTAACTTCATTTGAAATCTGAGCGTGAACCTCGAACTTATATAACTGTCTCACGAAGCTGCCAAAATCGCGGCATCTGAGTTACATCCACATTCTGGTGCCGTTGACCCGACGCCTCAGAGACCTTCACACGTCATGATGACAGACCTGTCTGCTTCCCAGGGCCATTATCATGTTCTGAATCTTTCGGCAGAGGAGTATTAGTGACATAGCCGTCGAGGCCCAAAAGCTATGGCTGGCTACTTTGAGCGGAACTCCGCCCCGGGCCAGTCTGGAGAGAAGATTGATCGACACAAATTCGCTACTTTTGTATCACCGCTCAATTGTATTCCAAGGCGCTGACATATGCCCTTGCAGAATGCATTGAGCATTATGCGTCTGGAGGAGTCAGCAAGAAACATCATGTCCAACAACGAATCCGGGCCGGACACAACGGGTCCGGCGTTCGGCGCCGACCTACCCACCTTTGTTTTTCGGCCATTATTCGTCGTTTCGGCATCTCTCACCGAAGCTCGGTGAATGCCCAATCAAATCGCCGTGTATCACGTCTCGGCGTTCCCAGAGTCGACGTCTCACTTGATGACAAAGATACCGAACATCGTCCGTCGGGACCGTGGCGAACCAGTTTGCTCGATTCAACTACGTGCTTGAGACCCCGGATTAGGTCTTTTGCACTATTGAACCGCGATACTCTACTCAGGCATTTCTATAGAACCCCGAGTCCGTAGGTGGATCGTGACATCGGAATTGCGGCGACGGCGGACGCTGACTTGGATTATTTCTACCCACATGACTCTTCGAAAAGATTTTAATTGCAGCCGCTATATCACGCCCGAGCAAAGACACCGTTACCTCTGATATTACCTTCACGGCATTAATGCGAAGCTTCAGGTCTCTTGCGGTAGAAAGTCAGTCCCGTTCCATAGAAAAAACTAATTAGACAGGTAAAGAGTGTAGGCAAACAGAATACCGTCACTGAGAACTCTAAAAAGTAAACTTATTGCCGCCATCACAGGTTTGTATTTAACCACGCCCCTAGATACTTTTCAGCGATGAGGAGAGACCGTATTCCTGCCCAAATCACAAGACTATTGACTTCTAGCGAACCTAAGAATCGGCATAGTAGCCAGCGATCCAGTATTGCACCACATCCTGGGCTTTCAAGACATACGGATGCATACCTTGCCGATGTGAGTGCCGCTGGTGAGATACTCAAAGGCGGCGATGACATCGTCTCTGCCAGAGGCGAATTCCTTCTCGACGGGGACCTGCAACTCACGGGCTACGACATAACGCATGACTTCCTCCAAGTGCTGCTTCGAGCCCACCATGATGCCGCGCACGACAGCACCCTTGGACAAAACGAGTGCTGCAACGTCAGGCATCTTGCTCTGTTCGCACGATGCGAGGAACCCGATAACGGCAATGGAGCCGCCGTACGCCACGGCGTTGATGCTCTCGGCAATCGTTCCGGCACCACCGTTCTCAAAAATGAAGTCAGCACCGCGGCCCTTTGTGATCTTCAAGACTTCCTGTGACCAGTTTGGGGTCGTCTTATAGTTAATGACGTGGTCAGGACCATATGTCTCCTTGACGTATTCCAGCTTCGAGTCGGAAGACGAAGTGATAATGGTGGTTGCGCCAGCTGCTTTGGCGAGGATGAGGCCAGTAATTGAAATACCACCGGTTCCTTTAAGATCATGTCAGACTCTCAAGCACCCAACAAGGAGCAGTCAAAATTCAGAAAGGAATTACCGAGGAACAGCACAGTCTGGCCAGGCTTGAGAGCAGTATTGCCGTAAAGAGAGTTCCAAGCAGTGGTTCCGGTGCAGACAAGCGCAGACAGTTGAGAGTAACTGAGCTTGGCTTCCTCCGGCACCTTGACCAAGGTAGAGCTCGGGAGAGCAATATACTGCTGGAGAGCCCCGTCAAGACAGCCTCCAAGGCTGTGATTCCAGTCCTTCATGGGGCCGTAAGGGGTGCTGAGATCAAAGGTCGAGACGACTCTGTCGCCTTGAACAAAGTCGTCGACATGGCTTCCCACTTTGACGACGTCGCCAGCGAGATCGGATCCAGGTACCACATTGTCCTTGACGGGAAACGGGTACTTTCCATTCGCCACGGCAAAATCGCGGTAATTGAGAGCGACGCTGCGGATGCGGACTAAGACTTCGTTGGACGAGGGCTCCGGGACGGGCTCGGTTCCGACGACAAGGTCGTGGGTGGACGTGCGCTGCGGAAGTCTGAAGACTTGCTGAGTTGCCATTGTCAAGATGTGGTTGGGGGAGTATTGTCTGGGAGTGTGGAAATGGTCAAGTACAGGTAAGATGTTGGGAGCTGCTGGGAGAAGGCCAGCAGAGATGTTCATCAGACCCGGCTAGCTCTTACATATATATAGATAACTAACAGAGCAACCGTGCTTATCTGAATTGCGATTCCTTACTTGTGCTGATGAATGTGATAGAACATTAGGAACCGGGAATAACCTTCCCGTAGTGGAGCTTTGAAAGGCAGGTTGACGTAATCTCACCATCGGACATCGAATTAGGCAGTCCTTATCACTCAAGAATGGATTAGAGACTGATCTGAAAGACTGATTGGACACGTCATGGCAGTTGATATGAGTAATTGGGCATGATCATGCCTTCATCAAATCCTGGTGACTGTTTGTGTGGATGCGGGCAATTTCTTCTCCAACATTGGGGTCAAAATAGTCCACCCCTTCATCCACCGGACTTAGTAGTTCTTGGCCATGACTGCATAATAATGTGCTCACTACTTGTAAAGGAGTCTTCTTCAAGATTGGGATTCAAAGAGAACTTTGTGAAACTTTTCCTTCGACAATGAAAGTAGGGACAAATCACAAGGATTTCTAGAGGTGATCTGCGGTCGATCTTAGAACAACGAAACGAGATGTCCCATCGCTGCGGTACTCGAATCCTACCCGAAAAAGCCCATGTTTGGTTCATTTACTAGTTGAAAGTGTAACATGGACGGGATCAAGATTTTGATACAGGAAACCACCTTGTATGCGAAATTGGATGATAGCAGTAACCCATCGAAGCCTCTCCAACCAGGCAAGTATTATTATGAACTGTGCCGCGTTTCAGTAATATGCTCATCAATAAGTGAACCAACCCCAAAAGCGCCTGAGACGCAGAAAGAGCCGGTATCTCGACATCTCGGCCTGGGACCGCAAGAAGGTCTCCCAGACGCTCGGGGGCAACATGGACATGGAGGCTCTCTGACCCGACTGGAACATGGACCAGCTCGGCACCCTCCGCAAAACCGTCGAAGGCTGGGATGACAATAACGGCCGCATTGCCAAAGACAGGCATCCATAGGGGCGACTGGGCGAGTGAGACGCCGCCGCCCTGCTTCGCCACGACGGCCCTCAAGGGCAACTAAATCGACGTCTCGAAGGGGTCCATCTGGATGGCCGGCAACTAGGGCCAGACTGGCCTGTTTTAGTCTAAGTCCCACTATGAGAACGATAACAGGGGCTGCACTAGAACCCGTTTGACAGCAAGCCGGACTATGGGTGTGCTGGGTTTGATCCCTCCAGCGACCTCCTGTGAATTGAGCGTCAAGTACGACTCCGCTAATTCTATACATAAATCCATAAGTGTCTCCTCTCCGTGCATCAAGACAAATAAACCTTTTAAACCAATAGGGAACTACCAGAAATATATCACCGCTTAATGATTACGCTTGATGAGTAATGCTGGCGACGCATCTGGAACCATTCGGGTATCCACTTGCAGTTGATGACCGTTGGAATCGGGGTTAAAACCAATTTCTACCCCAACGGCTTTTGTCTCCTACTGGACCGAGCCCGTCTGAGGATGAAGAGTTCTAGTCAGACGTCACAGCATCTCCCGGCCACAGACTGCACACCACCCATGCTAATCACAAAGCATTGAATATTGAATTATTATCTCCAAGTCTCCGTATCTCGTCATGTCTGCGACTCGGGGCCGGCCACGTCGTAGTGTCCCGCCGTGCAGATTCTGTCAGAAGCAATTCAAGCGATACGAACACCTCGAACGTCATGAACGCACCCGTACGCGAGATCCCCCCTTTGCCGCGAACTGCACACAATGCTCCCTGGAGCCAACGAGCCGGGGTCCATCCGGTTGTACCTCTTACATGAATACTGTAACCAGAGACTCACCGTGTCTTGCGCGTAGACACCCGAGAACAGCCCTTCTTATGCGATTGCGGCCGGAGGTTCTCCCGACGGTAAGTGATCATGAATTGTATGATCGGCAGATACAACGTCGTCCCGATCCTCCCTCGCTAATTCTTCCGCAGAGATCTGTTATCGAGGCATCAGCGGATATCGCACGCCGCCTGCGGCACAGAAAACATTGATGACCTCTCCGGACCGCTGGCAGAAACGACAATCGCCGAAGCGTCTGGAAACATGCCACCCGAAACGGAGACCAGTGATGACGTTGGCGCAGAACCATCTTCGTCAAGACAAGCAGGATCAACATTCCTTAATCAGCATGGGTGCGGTGATAGGCCGCAGCCGTTAGAACCCCAGGGTACCGCCCTTCAACCCATCAACAGTCTAGCGTTGTACGATGCAGCGGCAGGTTTTCCCGAGCCGTCATTTCAAGACTCGCTCACGCAGGACCTACTGGCCGGAATGGAGGGCATCGAGTTCGACTTTCTATTGGACGACGCTCAGTTGGCAGGTTCCTTTCTACCAACGGCCCCCTTCCACGTTGCCTCCTCGATGGTCGAGATATCGCAGGCGGAGGCGGACCAAGCGACTTCGTCCTCTAGCCAACTCAGGAGAGAAGGCACACGCGCTGCTCACAATCTTGTGCACCAGAGACGATCACCTCTTCGAGACGGACCAGCAGAGCCTTTGGAGACGGGATCCTCGCCCCCGTTTGCGATCCGGTTACCTTCAATGGAGCCAGAGAGACCAGAAGAAATGCCCTTGTACATATCTTCCGCACATGGCCCTCAAGATTCTTTCATGCATTCACCACGGCCAAGGCAAGTACACTCAATCCGGCCCTGGAAGATTTCAGCCGAAGAATACAGCAAGGTTGTGGAGGAGGCCGGGAACATGCACATTATGCTGCCGAACACTTTCACACTGCCGTCACATCGTGCTCTCTCACGCTTTGTGGAAGGCTACTTCCGCGGGTTCGCCATCCATCTGCCGTTCATACACGGCGTCACCTTCTCTGCCTCGTCTGCTGGTCTCGAGCTGCTCTTCTCGCTGGCCGCAGTTGGTGCCCTCTATCGTTTCGAACCGGCCTCAGCATACCAGCTCTACGCTGCTGCGCGAACCCTGGTCTCATGGCGCCTAAGCCAGAGGGACCAGCCTGTAATCAATCGTCTGACCCGCGACCACCCCGTTACGACAGAAACGGCAAGTCTCCCTGCGACATCGATCGATACGGACACAAACACGGAAAGATCGGGGCCACATGATCAGAGCAACACCCTCCGATTGCTACAAGCCATGATAGTGCTCATGGCGATGGCATCATGGGGCGACCGAGGGCTGATCAGTGACGCGCTCCGCATGTCCAGTCAAGTCGCCATGCTAGCCCGCGACATGGAAATATCCGAGCCAGAGAAGCTCCCGCCCCCGAACCAACCATGGAGCGAAGCAATCAAGCTCGAGGAGCGCCGCCGCACGCTCTTTGCCGCCTTTGTCCTTCTGAACTTGCAATCCGTAGCCTTTGACGTGCCACCGCTGCTCTTGAATCGGGAGGTCGCCGTCAACCTCCCCGGCTGCACGTCGAGCTGGCAGGCGCCTAACGAGGCCGAGTGGTCGACGCTGAGAGACACGTACATGACGCCGAGACCGTTCCCGGAAAAGTTGCAGATGCTACTGTCGGGGCGCGGTACCCATGCCGAAACGGCGCTCTCTTCCTTTGGAAACTACGTACTCATCCACGGACTACTTCAACAGATCCTCCTCACCCGCAATGCCTCTGAGGGTATCCCAGGCTCACGCGATGCACTCAGCGGCGACTTCGTCAACAGGATGGAAGCTGCGCTTCGCGCTTGGCAAGAATCCTGGGAAGCGACGTATGAATCCACGACGGATCCTTCGTCTCCCAAAGGACCGTTGGGCTTCAACTCCACCGCCATCCTGCGCCTGGCTTATATCCGACTCAATGTCGGCCCCAGCCCTGGCCGGCGACTTCTTCTCGCCCGAGACGCGCAGGAAATAGCCGCGGCGTTCTCCAACCGAACCATCACCGCCGGAAACAGGTCACCACATATGGATCAGGCCGTGCTGCAGTGTATACACGCCCTCAGCATCCCCGTGAGGGTCGGCATCGCGTTTGTGGCGCGCACCCAGACGCTCAACTGGAGCGTGCAGCATGCCCTCTGCAACCTGGAATGCGCCTTCTTACTCACGCAGTGGTTGGAAATTCTGTCAGAGGTTGTTCAGGAGTCTGGCATTGGCTCGCTCCGAGCTGACGAGCGCAGATTGGTCAACTTGGTTGTCAATCTGTTGCAAGAGACTGAGCTGGAAGACTCGCTGAACGAGGATCAACATCTTGCTGTCCAAATTGCAAACTTGGCGGGTCTGGCCATGGTGCTTTGGAGCAAAACGTTCAATGGTTCTCACGTGTTTGATACTGTTCGGCGCATCGGTGGCAGCCTATCAATCTTGGCCCTGGCGTCAAAGGAAACCGATGTTGCTTGAGCGCTGCCTTGGGCGTCAACTTCTGAAGTCATCAACATGAGGAATACTGAGTTGAACTAATCATAACGCGTCGTCGACGACGGAGTCACTCTGAACCCATACCTTGGGCGAGAAACAGGATGTGCCGCCGCCTAGAAGAAATCCCCCGACCCCTATGTCACCATCGCGGTCTATTGTTATTGTTACGATGATTCCGGGCCCTCAGGCCCGTGAAGCTAACACGATCCTATGAGAGAGAGCATATAAATTGACGAATGGAGGTGATACAGACGAGGGTGTTATAATTGTGCAAACCACCAGCTAGCAACTCCAGCAAGTCTAGAGTGTATCCCATTCTTTCAACCTACCTGTGGCGCTCGGAAGACCTCGGGACCTCAGCCACGCATGCTGATAGCAGCTACCTCGGCACGTTCTCGTGTTTACCGAGCGTGAGCTCGAATAAGCACAATGAATGTTGGGGGCCTCGGGCCCAGGGATGATTGGGCCTGATGATCTCCAGTCTTAGTGCTGACAGGCTGCACAAATTAAACGAAGCGTGCATGTGCCTAGTACCGACCCGTCGATGGCGCTGTCAGCTTGACAAGAACATGGTACGTAAGTAGATACAGGATCGCACGATGTAAGGAATATTCCGGAGTGAGGAGGTTATGAGTGGGTAGGATTCTACTGACACGTTTCATTACCGCACAACTGCGCCCAACGCTCTATGTCCGTCGGGTGAAGGCCGTCTGCCAATGATGAAATGGCAGACACGGGTTTTACACTGGATTAAAGCAACGGACGATCCTTCACGAAGACTTTTGTTCAAAGACCCCAATGGTTTTGAAGTAAGCATGAATGTAGCGCCTGAAGTAATCTAGTTGTGATGATATGAATAGAAGATGTTGGCCCTGGGATGCTAAGGAATTCTTTGGCCACATCTCAATCATGACTTGCACGTCTGTGAATGATCAACTTTGGTGTCTGTTCCTCCCATAAACGCTGACAAGTCCCCTGTTTAAATCTGCTGAACATTCATGGCATGACCCCGATGGATACTAGACCAAAAGATTCACACAAGCACGGGTGACCATTTATTTAGAAGAACTATTTGTAAAGCACACTGATTGATTCATTAACGCTTCGTTAAACTTGATGCACTGCGTTGTTCTTGAACGTCCCCTGGTACAAGTATCCGCTATGGAGACCTCCAGCATGAGCAGCAAGAGGCCAGCGAGGCCTTATTTCTCCCCGCTACGATGAAGTAATGGAAAATGTAGACTGTTCGCTCAAGAAAGTCTCCCAGGCGTTGCAAAAGCTTCTCGAAATTCACCAGCCGAAGTCGCACTCATTACTCAAGGATCGCCTCCACCCTTCATCCGTCACAGCCATACCAGCATTTCCGTCTATGTCCGAGGGATTTAGAGCCATCTTTAAGGCGCACCTCACCAAGTCACCGATGCTCTCAGGGATGCTGCTGCGGACCGAGAGTACACTGTGTGCGATGGTACAGTGTTGTCCGTAATTGCGCAAATGAGTGATTGGGCGACAGACAGTGAGGACAGCAGTCCTGCCCAGGCTTATAGCTCGCCCCTCTCTTTCCAAGTCTAATATCCCGAGGTAAAGCGTAGGGGTCTCCCGCCGATCGAGCGCGTCCTCAAGCTCCTTCGGCTTTGTCAAGCTGAGAAACAGCGATTCTCTAATGAAGTCCTGAGGGTCGACGAACAAGAGTTTGGGGAATTTGCTAAAATATGTGCTTTGCCATCATCGGCTATTCCATTATAGACTGGACTATCATCAACGTCAGTTTTTGCTTCTTGCTTCATGGCTTGAGAAGGCATTACTACTTCCAGATTGGCATTACTTCTTCTGATCTCGAGGCATATTCTCAATTGTTGAAGACCAAACTCGAAGCTGCCATACAATTTTTGAGAGGTAACAATGATACTAGTACCTCTATGTAGGCATGTCAGGCTCTCACAGTCTTGGTAAGCCTCCAACAATTGATATTGGTTCTGAAGGAGCCGGTACTGAGAGGTCAGTATACGTTTTCCAACAAAATTGTCCAAGGGCATTGTCGTGGCAGCTGATGGCAAAAGCATCAAGAATTTGTATCGACCATGGTCGGTATAGAATCCCAAAGGACGAGCCAGAACTTCTAAAAAGACGTGAAATATTCTGGCGTATCTACCTCCACGACAAGACCATGGCTTTCACCATGGCCAAGACTCCATCGAGTCATCCTCGTGAAGTGTCCACCGAGCGACCATCAGTACCCCAGACCTGTTTGTCGGGTGTACCATTACAGTAGGTAAGCAGTGATTCGATTTTTTCCAGGTTCCAGGGAGACATACACTAACGGTAGGAGTCTTTATCCGGGATTCGTTGAGTATGCTTTCATCGTCGGCGACATGCACGTGGAATTATTTTCCTCTCCCGCCCTTCTAATGCCGCTGATATCCGGAGTGAAAATGATCTCCAAGCACCATCATACTATCATAACATGGCTTCCCAGGACTGGGATGTTGTTATAAATGGGTTGGATCTGGGCACCGAAGCCGGCGTTATGGCTTTGTTTGTAGAACCCTAAATACCTTTCGATGGGAGGATGCCCTGAGAAGACCTGCGGCCCAAATCAGACTGACTATGACTTGAACTCTGTTATGAAATTTGCTGCAGAAAAATGAATAGATTATCGATGACTGGAGGAATTCAATTCAAAGCTTTGCGCTTATACTGGCCCCTTTGTCTTTGCAAACCGCATCCACACAAGCCATGACCTGCACCAGTCGATCATCCTGTAACCTCGGTACAACGACTTGAACACTGAGTGGCGTCCCAAGATACGTGCGTCGATCAATCTTGCTCTCGTCCCACAGCTCCCGGTTTCTCTCGTCCCAACTACTCAGAATCTTGCCACCCTGTGGCCGACCGAGCTCCAGATCGCTCTCCTGAACAGCACGAACCGGCACCGTCCCCGCCGGATAGTCCAGCAACACCCAGCTGCTCGTCATACCAACGGCATTGTACCCGTCAATGGGCGGCACGGGATGCGGCGCAACGGGACAGATGACGGCGTCCAGCTTCTGTCTCCTTCGACCATGCTCGTCGACCTCGATCCACATCCTGAGCATCTCCCGCTCCAACATTGCGCGCTGCGCTTGCAGCTCTGCAACCCGCGTCAGTGGCTGCGGTTTCCCCTTTTTGAAGCGTGCTGCCGTCCACGGCACCAATGGCTCGCCCGTGGCGTCAACCATCTCCGCCATGGTGACGGAGCCGTCGACAACCATGAGCTTGGTCATGAGTGACTGTGCCTTTGTCCACGCCGGGGGACATTCCATCTCAACCACCTTCACACTTGGCATTCGCGAAAGCGAGGAGGACACCTCGTCCAACATATTGGCCAGTGGCGGATGGATGCTGCAATTTCCATCGGTACGCAGAACGCCAATGACCAACTCCCCGTTCCCACCACACCCCGAGATCGACGACCCTCTCGGACTGGATGGCCACGATGAAGGCATGCAGTCCTCGCCCCATAGCGCCGCCCGGGGCACAATCTCACGCAGGAGTGTATCAATATCCTCGACGCTGCGACCAATGGGGCCCGCAACGGCCTGCACGGACGTGCGGCTCATGCCTTCGATACCCGTGGGAACTTGACCGCCATACGGCAGGCGGCCGTTGGAGGGCTTGAAGCCATAGACCCCGTTACACATGGCAGGCACGCGGACGCTGCCGCCAATGTCGGTCCCGATACCAATCATGGAACCCTTCATGGCGACGAGGACGCCCTCGCCGCCCGAGGATCCACCCGCGGTGCACAGCCGGTTGATGGGATTCATGGTCCGGCCAAAGACGTTATTGACGGAATCGAGACTTGCGATAGTTTGCGGAACGTTGGTCTTGGCGATGATGACGCACCCCAGAGAGAGGAGCAGATCGACCAGGGGCGCGTTCGAGGCTGCGGGCTTGTGGCACAGGTACGCGAGACCCATTGAGGAGTCGACGCCTGCCACGTTGAATGTGTCCTTGACGGAGACGGGGAGTCCGTGGAGGGGGCCGAGAGGAGCGCCGTGGTGGCGGAGGTAATCATCGAGGAACTGGGCGCGCTCCAAGGCGGTGGCGAACAAGGGCTCCGTCAAGCAGTTTGTGAGTTGCTGTGCTATGGCGCTGCGGTGGCAGAATGCCTCTGCGACTTGTTTGGCCGAGAGGCTGCGTGTGCTCATGGCCTTGAGCAAGGCCGAGATGGTGTAGGCCTCAGTGATTGAGATTTCAGATTGGGATAAGAATTGACGCGGTATATCAAGCACGTTCTGTGGCCCGTCGGCTGGTTGAGGGGGATCCTTTGGGATAACATTGGGAGGAATAAGCCATTTTGATGGGATACATGCTGCTCTTTCGATTTGCTTGCGACGAGCAATGGCTTTCCATGGTGCTTCTGGCGATTCTGACATTCTTTCGCGGTTCCTAACCACGCGAGATGGATTTTGGACTACTCAACGGGACAGCGATTTCGAAGCGGTTGATGGTTGAGATGTAAGTTGAGATGTAATTATGTTGTGAGAGCGAATATCTCATTATGCCCGCCAGTCGGTGGGGTTGGCACTGAATGGTCAACAGGACCTCGGCATCTCTGCGCCTACTCCTATCCCTCATAAGGGCCAATTACTCAATATTGCATGGACCTCGGCATAATGCACAGATCGTGTAAGCAATTCAAGCCGCTCTTGGCCGTCAAGTTTGGGCGTCAAGTGGTGGTACAGAGGACGTGGGGAACGCTTAACAATTACCCCAACTTACTGGCTCTGAGTGCTCGTCAAGCCGGAATCCTCTCGGTGTTACCGTACCGCCCGGCCGTGTGGGGTAAATTATCTTGCACCGTGGCCCGCGTGACGGGGAGCGGCATTGCCCCGAGCTCGCGGTCCTTACCGTACGGAACGGATCTGGCACGGCATAGAGTTTATACATGGTAAGGTTAATGAGGTTCAACAAAACCCGGGTCGATCAAGCAGGCCTTGATCGATTTGCGAGAACTTTGCGTGAAAAAACGGTCTACAGGAACTCGACTCATGAGCCTTCGTATATGTACACGCGCCTGAGTCTCTGCGGCTTCCAAACACGAAATCTGAGTACCAGACTGCTGGAATTCGTTTCAACTATTCCGATTACACACCGCTATCATTACTCAGTTCCAGTCTCAGGCCAGTCAACACAGCTGCTAGACGCGAGCGGTGAGCCTCCCTTCGAGGACTATTTCACTCCCGACAGCATCCACCGTAAAAAGAAAGGGTACATACGGTGCGCCTCCATCTCAGTATTGGTCCCTGAATCTTCCGAACATTGTTCCTATTGCTCAAAATCTTGATTATGTGAAGGCTTGAGTGATTGGACGGGGTCTTGAAGACTAGTGCAGTCAGACTACCAGACCGTCCTAAGAGGGAAAGGATTATCAACTTGTATCGGGCTGCTAGCCTCCAGTGACTTGTATGAACGTAGGTAGATAGAAATTTGATATCCCTTGCAAGGGTCCTGACCGCAATATGTTGTGCAACTCACCTGCGTTGAATCCAATGACCTGGTTTTTACCCAAGTGAGAGAGAGTCTGCAGACGGCTACCGCATGCACCAGACGATATAGAGAAGTGGCTGCAACAACTCACATCGCCACATTAAGCCATCCATCTAGAAGGAATCCTGCGTAACACACCTACCTCCTCGAAGACGTCTGCCAAGCAGAGAGGATGCTGCGGGAGTGGCGCTAGTCATTATTATCCGTGGCGCGTTGAAGTAGCCAAGTGATTGACTGCATAAGACTGTCACAGTGCATTCATCCCGTTGGAACATGGATTCCCTACCTGCGGCAAAGCCAGCCCGTCAACCCAATCAAACCCCAGCCGACCATATTGCATCTTCCAACAACATTAACAAACAAACAATTCAGCCCAATCCCATACGGCATCACAACGCAGTCCCACAACTTGCCCTGCCATTCCTGGGGGCTATCTCCGAGGCTCTCTTACGAATCCTGGCCCCCATGACTCGGAGGCTCAGCATTGGGGTCGGTGTTGCAGTTGAGGGCTCGTTCACGTCTATATGGGTACCTCAATGTTCCCTTTTCGAGTCTCCATGCGACTCGAGTCACGCTCGTTCCATTGAATGTCGGCGGTAGATCCGGAGGTGCGGCGGCTCAGCGGCTGACGCGCACCTCACTGACGCCAACGAGCAAACAAACCGGGCACCCAATCGCGCGCATCGCAACATCCTAGCGTGCAGAATATCTTGAAGGATCTCCGACTTGGATCACTGTCTCGTCCTTTTGACAAACAGAATGCCCTGATTCATGAAGTGCCGAAAGGCATGCAATACCGGGCCGCAAGCCACTTGACGTCTGCGATTCGGGGAAGCGCCCTGCTAAGGAAGCGATATATGCCTTCCTGCGGCGTTCGTTCCGTCAATTGAAGAATGTTTGCTGAAGAGTTGCCTAAAGTAGGTATGAATCCCTGCAAGGGTTTCCTGTCACGTCCTCCCAGCCAAGTCTTCATGTTCACAACCAACACGAGCTGCGTGATGACTTTGGACGTCGAGGCAGCGGGTAATGTTGGCCCCCATTGACACCTTCCTCCCTCCCAGGGTTCATGGAAATAGAAGACTAGTCGCGCGATTACCGGCTGATTCTTGACACGGACAAGATTTCATGTGAAAATGGGTCCTCAGAATTTCAAAGAATAAAGGCAGTCAAAGATTCCATGGATCATGGGTGTTCTCTATCCATCTTCTCACGTATCTGGGTCTTACATCGATTTGATACCAGCCTCGACGCCGAGAATGTTCACCTCAGTGCTTGAAAAAGTGCGCCTCGGCGATGGAATTCGTGGTGCCATCACAGAGTCTGTACGCTTCGTCTTGATCTTGAGCATTCCCTTCCTTCTTACCTATCTCTTCACCTACATCCGCTTTCTCTGGCAGACCCGATCTTGCAGGAGGTCAGAAGCCAGGCGGCCTGCTGTACCTCCCCACTTCATCCCAGGACTTGGCCATGCCTACTCGATCCTATTCAATGCCGAGAAATTTCTCCGCCCTCTACAGTAAGCAGTAATTATACTATACCCATCGACTGTGTTCGTGGTCATTGATGAAAACTCCAGGTCCAGACTGCAGGGCTCCGTCTTGTCTCTCTCCGCACCTGCAAGTTCACTTTGCTACGTCCTTCCCGGTGAAGGCGTACGATTGTTGTTCAAGGGACCTCGTGAGCTCGTACCAGTGCCTGGTATCTTCGACGCCTTGACGATCTTCTTTGGCTTGGAAGCTGCCGACTACCATGTGTTCAAACACGACCACATCTCAGCGTTCGAGAAGCATAAGGGCGCAGGACTTTCAACCTCCCACCCAGACGCATCCCGACGAATCATGGAACATCAACGCAAAGATTTCATTACTTTTTTAAACGGAGAAAATCTTCGGCTGGTAATGGACAGATTCTCTTCCAACTTCGCGCAGCAACTATGGCCACAGAATGCTTCCCTTGAGAAGAAAGGTCCCGTCCTCCTTCCTGATCTATACAAATTCGTACGCGACGCAATCTTTCATGCTGAAGTCGAGGCGCTCTACGGGAGGCACATCTTTAAGCTTTACCCTTCCTTTTGTAAAGACTTTTGGGCCTTTTACGACGCCTTCCCCGTTGTATCCCGAGGGAGCCCTCGCTGGATGTATCCCTCGCAGTACCGCTCGCGCGACCGGATGCTCGAGAACCTCAGCGCTTGGAGGGGCTGGTGCAATTCCAACAGTGACCATGCCGATGCGGAGCTGGGCAACGCCGAGTCCGATCCTGTCTGGGGCACCCGCTATGTGAGGAACATGGTCCGGCGATATGAGGATCTCGGGTTCTCCGATGCCGGGACGTCGAGTGTTATACTTGGCTTTTTGTTTGTGTAAGTCTACATGGCATTTATGGGGCTACCATTTTTTGACTAACATTGCCTTTTCAGCACAACGGCAAACACCATTCCAGCCGCCTGCTGGGTGATTCTCCACACACTTCTCGATCAATCACTTGCAGCAAGACTACGACGTGAACTGGGTATCCGAGACAAGGGTGAAGCAACACCAGTGGACTGCACGGCGCTATCATCGGCTCCGCTCCTGAACTCAGTCTACCGAGAGACGTTGCGACTCCATGTCGCCGGGGCTATCGGCCGCAAGTCGGTGGGTGCCGGCCTCCGTCTGCACGGTGATTCCTTCTCCGCTTTACCATCGGGCACGACCGCCCTATCAGCCAACTGGCTCGGCGGTCTCGACGGGTCCATCTGGAACACGGGCCGGACCATCAACGGGGTCACGGAACACTCCCTCGAGTCCTTTTGGGCGGAGCGGTTCCTCGAATACCCCGACGATCCATCCAGCGGTCCGCTTCGAGGAGCGAGTCATAGTCATGGGGTTGCGGCGAAGCATGTCCGCGATGATTCGAAAGCCAAGCTGTCGAATCCGTCGGCGCTGCGAGGGCACTTTTTCCCCTTTGGTGGAGGCGCGTGGAGGTGCCCGGGCGAGACGTTGGCGAAGAATACGATTCTGGCCTCCGTCTTTCTCCTGTTGAGGGACCTTGACGTGGAGATTTTGGATCCGGCGGGTGCGGCTGAAGCTCGTTCTCGTCACAGAGCTATGCCATTTGGATCGCATGCCTTTGATAGAGAGGTACCAGTAAGAATTCGGAAGCGATGGTGAGGAGTGCATAGAACTTAGATGGTGTAGCAGGGAGTTTGGCGTTTTTCGTGCTCATACTGGCGCTTTTTGTGAATAAGCCGCCTTCAAATAGACCACTGCACACAATAGAATCGAAGCTTCAACGTCATAGTCTCTTGATCGATTGCGGATTCCTTTCACCTTTTCTTCGTCCATGGTAATGGACGGCAAAATTTCAACAACATTGAAGTCTCCAAAACGTTGAATATGCAAGACCCACTAAGAATTCCTTATCAGCTCATATCACTCCCTGGGGCTGATTCTTCAACGGTGAACCTTGACAGTGAGGATTTTCCCGTGGAAACTCCATCTTGAATTGAATTTAAGGTCTCCACCTGTCTCCTAAAATCGGAGTCAAACCCTGATAACGACAGTTTTATATCCCCTCATATTACCGAGTCAAGATAAGGATTCTCACCTAAAAGAAAACAAACACCGGTTCATCCGATGTTTCTCAACTCCAGCTCCTATCCATCGAGTTGAGCCCAGACTCGATCCGAGTTGACAACTTCTCACCAGCCATGGTCTCAGCTCTCATCGTAAAGCTCGCGCTCGCCGCACTGGCGGTGCAGCCAGCATTGACAGCGCGCAAAAACATCATCATTGACACCGACATCTTCAGTGACTGCGAGTCAGTGCCTCTCGAGCCCCCAAAGATCACCAAATACGTATGCAGGCTCTAACATCGCAACAGTGATACCGGCGCGTTGCTCCTCGCCGCAACCTCGCCCAATGTGAACCTCCTCGGCGTCAACGTCAACTACCCGTCAACCTACTCCGTCACCGCGACATCAGCCATCCTCGCCCACTACGGCCTCGCAGACGTCCCCATCGGCACGCGCAGGCCATTGACGGACGAGAGCTTCTTCGACACCTTTGCCTACGATCTGGGCGAGTACGCAAGCAAGATCTCGTACCACTACTCGGGCGGCTCGCTCCCCTTTGGCCAGGCGGAGAACGCCTCCGACGCAGTCACGCTTTACCGCAAAATCCTCGCCACGGCAGACGAGCCCGTGACCATTGTCTCCATCGGCTTCTTTGAGAATCTTTCCGCACTCCTCAACTCCACCGCCGACGCGGTTTCCAACCTCACGGGACCCGCGCTGATTGCAAGCAAGGTCTCGGAGCTGGTCGTCATGGGCGGCGGGTACCCGTCCGGCCGGGAATTCAACTTCTTTGGCGACAACCCGTCGCACACGGCGCACGTCGTGAACAACTGGAAGGGCCGCGTCGTCTTTTGCGGGACCGAGGTTGGCTCGGTTGTGCTCTCGGGAGCTAGGCTGCTCGCCGAGGGCCCGGTCTCGGATCCGGTCCGGCAGGCTTACATTTACTACAACTTTTACCAGCCTCGGGAGTCGTGGGATCCCTTGACGGTCCTGTATGCTATGCACGGTCTCGGGGACATCTTTGAGTACGGAAACACGTACGGCAGGAACTTTGTCTTTGCCAACGGCTCGAATGAGTGGGTTTATGATAAGAATGTCACAAATCAGCACTGGTTGAACCTCAAGGTGGACAACGTCACGGCGGCTGCTGCGCTCGACAAGCTTTACCTCGAGGGAGCGTGGTCGGTGGTGAATGGGACGTCGGCATAGAGAGAGACGTTTGGGCAGCTCTCCCGGTTTGTAATCCGACTCCTCCGAAATTAAGCTCAATGTCGTTAATCATGTTGCATTGCGGACCTTACATGTATGCTTATGTTCCAAACCTCGACAGGCCATGTAACCTCTCGACGGAGAGCGAGGCTTGGTAATCTTCTTGATATCCCGCTAGACCTTGATCGCCGTGAAATCTCCCTTTGGGACCGCTCAGCATCGGACACAGTCCCGGTCGCGTCAAATAGAGGTGGTTCTGCATGCGCCAAGATCACGTTGCATTCGCGCCAGACAGGGCAGTCAAATACCACCTTCCGTTATGCCCCTCGTCCCCCGTTGACGAACTTCCTTGATGAAGCCACCGCCCGCTGCGGCAAGACCATTGAATGCTGCGGCACAGACAAGAATCCTTCCCAGAATCAATGGGTTCAAGACGAAGGG